TATTTAATTTCCTCTATTTCAAAGCGAGGCAAAACAGCTGAATCGGCTGCACCCCAGACACCCCAGACAGAGGGCCGATGCAGGCCAAATTGGCCAATCAGCAGCCGCGGGGCTACCGGCGGGCCGAGCGGCGACGGCTTTCTTCGGCTGTTTGAAAGCGGTGACGGACGAGGAGGCCGAAGCTGCGGTTTGGGCGTGTTTTTGGCGACTTGGCATTTCCTCGGGGACATGGAGGGGGAGAGTTTGAAGACAAGGTTTTTTTTGTTGCCGAGCGTGGGGTTTATCTCTTCTCTTCTTCTTGTTTTTTTCCTTGTTCCCGTTTCATCATCTTTGTTGGAGGAACCAGAAGCTGTAAGTGCTGTCCCATTCCCCGGATTATAGGGCATAGCATGTGCTACAGCTACAGGCAGCACGTACTTATAGCTAACCGAGTGCCCCGCCATCAGCTTCGGCTCAACATCATCAGCATCAACAATGGCTCTCAACCTCACCTCGTCTGCCCGGGCCCTGCGCTCGTTCAAGGTTGGTCACGACAGCATCAATTCAGCCCTGGGAACGTTCAATTGACTCTCTTCGCAGCCCTACACTCGCGCCGCCCTCCTCGCCAACGCCGCGCGATGCTACTCCACCGCCGAGCCCGACCTCAAAACGGTCCTCAAGGACGTCATCCCCGCCAAGCGTGAGCTGCTCAAAAAGGTCAAGGCCCACGGCGACAAGGTCATTGGCGAGGTCAAGGTCGAGAACACGCTCGGCGGCATGCGCGGGCTCAAGGCCATGGTCTGGGAGGGCTCCGTGCTCGACGCCAACGAGGGCATCCGCTTCCACGGCCGCACCATCAAGGACTGCCAGAAGGAGCTGCCCAAGGGCAAGACGGGCACCGAGATGCTGCCCGAGTCCATGTTCTGGCTGCTGCTGACGGGCCAAGTGCCCTCGGTCAACCAGGTGCGCCAGTTCTCGCGCGAGCTCGCCTCCAAGGCCCAGATCCCGGCCTTTGTCAGCAAGATGCTCGACGACTTCCCCACGGACCTGCACCCCATGACCCAGTTCGCCATTGCCGTCTCGGCCCTCAACTACGAGTCCAAGTTTGCAAAGGCCTACGAGCAGGGCCTCAACAAGGCCGACTACTGGGAGCCCACCTTTGACGACTGCATCTCGCTGCTCGCCAAGCTGCCCACCATTGCCGCCAAGATCTACCAGAACTCGTACAAGGGCGGCGGCGCTCTCCCCGCCGAGGTTGACCTGGAGCAGGACTGGTCCTACAACTTTGCTGCCATGCTCGGCAAGGGCGGCAAGCAGAACGAGGACTTCCAGGACCTGCTCCGTCTCTACCTCGCCCTCCACGGTGACCACGAGGGCGGCAACGTGTCTGCCCACGCCACTCACCTTGTTGGCAGCGCCCTCAGCGACCCCTTCCTCTCTTACAGTGCTGGTCTCCAGGGTCTGGCCGGTCCTCTTCACGGGTAAGTTTTGTCTTGTTGACATGCTCTTCATCACTTGCTGACTTTGGTCCAGTCTTGCCGCCCAGGAGGTGCTTCGATGGATTCTCCAGATGAAGGAGGCCATCCCCGGCGACTACACCGAGCAGGATGTCCACGACTACCTCTGGTCCACCCTCAACTCGGGCCGTGTCGTGCCCGGCTACGGCCACGCCGTCCTGCGCAAGCCCGATCCTCGATTCGAGGCTCTCATGGACTATGCCGCTTCTCGCCCGACCATTGCCAAGGACCCCGTCTTCCAGCTGGTTGAGAAGAACAGCCGCATCGCTCCCGAGGTGCTCAAGAAGCACGGCAAGACCAAGAACCCCTACCCCAACGTCGACAGCAGCTCCGGCGTGCTCTTCCACCACTATGGCTTCCACGAGACTCTGTACTACACCGCCACCTTTGGTGTTTCTCGTGGCCTGGGTCCTCTTGCCCAGCTCATCTGGGACCGCGCTCTGGGTCTGCCCATTGAGCGCCCCAAGAGCATCAACCTCGAGGGTCTTTTGAAGCAGGTTGAGAGCAGCTAAATGCCGAGATAAAAAAAAATACTAATGTTGAATGTCATCTATGTGGGAAAAATGATACGATTAGAGTATTGGGCGGGTCTATGTTTGAGAAAGCAACTGTATATATTACCTCTTAGCTTGTGTGAATAGATGAGCCTTGTTACGCACTTCGATCCAAGGCACGAGATTGTACTGAAAATGCAGGAGAGCAGCAGTTTCGGTTTTGATGGGTAGCATGGGTGGGAGAAATAACCCTTCTATTCGGCTTAAAGTAAATGCGAGGCCTTGAATGGGTAAGCCATCTTGGAATGAAAAGTTGAGCTAGTCATAAGAGAATCCGTGATATCGTCAGCAGGCCTAAGAAGCCGTTCTGATTTTTTTTCTCAGCGTCTAACGACGGCTCTTTCACAAACCATTCGTAACTTAGGGTATTGTATGGTCCTTTCTGTTACCAACCACACAAGTCCTTCTAGTCAGTCTCGCACATGCCAAAAATCATCTTTGTCTATACCGCATCTGACAATGGCTGCTGTCTACGCCGAGACATTGTGAATTGTGAACCCTGCAACTACTAGTAAAGGCAGCTGAGCTTCTCGGCATTATGTGAGGGATCCTACGCTACTGACACTACTCTGGGACTTGACGTGGCTGCACGTGGCATGGCTACAATGAGACTGGATCCTGAAAACGCTGAGCTTTGTTCGTCGCGAATTGGCGTAACTAAGTCACGACTGATAACCTGATGATGGCTAGATGGGTCTTGAGTTGTATGGAAACTTTATCAGACACTGAGTTGGGTTCTTGAGTTGCAGTATAGATACTTGCACCTCCAAATATATACGTTACATCACAGAATTAGGAGGAAATATTGTGATTAGCTGGCGGCATGTAGCGTTAATCTCCGTTCCGCAGCACCATGGATTGAGTTGTGCGAGATATACAGACCTATCTTCTAGAACGTAGATATGAATTTAGTATAAGCACTATTGACCAATACCTCCTTCCGAATATCACCTGCCTGTATCGTTGTTTTTGCGTGTACTTGGCTTACCAGACAAACATCTTATTACCCAATTTGGACAACTACCAAGCCAACAGGGTAGTATCAGGAACAAGCGTCATCTTAGATAATAAGTGAGAATGTGCCTTTTGATCTGACCATTTTTAGAACAGTCATCAGCACGAATACAGCACGAGGCTGAAACATTGTATACTACCCCTTTCCCAATCTCACGAAAAGAAAAAGAGTTGTTGGAAAGCGGCTCCCAGAATGTGATATTGCAGCACTCTTTAATCTGACACGGCCTCGTCTAACAAGACAATGGTGTGATACATGCTGCGCTCGTATAGATTATACGGATCACACCGCTTCGAGTTGCCCATGGCGGAGATCATCTTACAATAGACGTTTAGTTGGGCGTGAAGAGCTCTTCTTTGTCTTACGATCCATGGCAACAAGAGGATAGGTCAGCGAACGGAAATGGATCTTTAAAGGCCAATTAGATTCTTCCAAAGGGAGCTGCTGTATGTGGCATTGTTGTCGACGCACTTTGTTTCCATTTCTGTTGAGCCATCAGAACAAGTCCTTCCCCTATTCAGGATCAGCTCATGAATCCCCGTCTTTCGAGAAGCTGCATTATAGCCGAATAGCCGAAGAATATACTCCTTAGAGCATATGCTATTAATGATGCTGACTTGCATTTTTGTATGAGTAATACTCGTATTTGAATCTTTCATCCGGACACATCGTGGAGGAACCGGCGGAGTGCATGTAACCTTAAAATTAGATCCCAGCATAACTTCTCACTTTGACGGGCTAGCAAGGCTTTTTGCCAAGCTTACAACAGGCTTAGGCCAGAAAGATCGGCAGCCAGGGGGCCTAGGAGAGTGCTGACTACTGTCCTACAGCGGATAAGCTGCACGAGTTAGAGTGAATAAGGTACTGCAATTATCGTTAATGTTAAGTCTCTTTGCTTTCTTTATTCCCTTCTACTGCTGTTTAATAATCGAAGCGTCGTTTAGCCCTCTCAATCACCCTGATTCATCAAAACGGCAGTCACTTGACACAGGGATTGTGGATCTTGAGCGTTCGAATGGATCGGCCCCTCAGACCCGGAAAACTATTACCAAAAAGAATCAATGGAAGACGGCCAGAAGCCACAATACGAAGATGCATGACAAAAAGCGCGATTCAGCACTATCCTTGCTCCCCAGAGTAGCGCGTGTCACTTCCCTGCTAGGCTGAGCTTAACGGCCAGGTCCGAGGTTCCTCGATTCTCATCTAGGAAGCTAGATCTTGGATTGACAACCCCGTTCATTTCACTTGCTACAACTGGATAGGCCACACGCATGCTATATGACGATTCAAGCTCGATGGGAACGTTTGTCGATTTGATGCCTGTCCGTCGGCGCCATGCCGCGACAACCGGAACAAGGCTGGCTGGCCCAATGTGTGCAGTCGGCCCTTTTGCCGAATCGAATAGTCTCGCCTCGTCTGGCGGTCGAAATTTGTCCGTCCATATGGGCACCCAGGAACTCACACACTAATGCTGCTGTCACTGGGGAACGGGGTCTAAACTGGCGGCTAGCAAGCTGCTCGTGTGGGGGACCAGGGCCTTTGGGCCATATTCAGCTGCTCCTTTGAGCCTCCTGAGAAAGATGCCCGTCTGCATATCCGTATACGAAGCACATGGCCGTGGACAGACGGAGGAAACTTCCAACGAGCACGGAGCGAGTGGAGAGGCGAGCATGAAGAACGAGGGGCCGAGAAGCCCTTGTGTGGATAGTCGTACGCTACAGTATGCTATGGCTTCTCCGTGGTGAATTTATGAAGACGGCTTACAAGGCTGATCAGGCGCCGCCTGGTGGTTGCGAATTATAAGGGCCTCACCAGATCTCGACAAGTATTAATAGTCCGGCTTGGCATCTGCTTTTCCTCTCGGCTGAGGCCATCACCCAACTCCATCTCCTATACCAGACTACGCCATCTAGTAACAGAGACAAAATCGCAGCCATGCTCTCCAAGCTGCTCCCGCTCGCCGCCTTGGCAGCTGTTCCCGCTCTTGCAGCTCCTACTCCTGCTGCTGCCGGAAACTGCTTCCCCTTTGGCACTGCAACTTTCCCCGGCAACTATGCTGCCCCAAGCACCGCTCTCAACAACTGGTGGTGCCCTCAGTCCGACTTTTATGGCTTCATGGGCTTCTCATATCCTCTCGAGGATAGCACCTGCTCCGACTCTGACAACGGCTACGCTCAGATGAAGAAGGACTTTGCCCAGCAGAAGAAGGACTTTGGTGCGAGCATTGTGCGCATGTACTACCCTACGTGCACGCAGTCGAGCGTCTTTATCAATGCCATCAAGGCTGCCTATGACAACAACATGGGCCTGATTGTCCAGGTCTGGACCAACTTTGGCGGTGGTGTAAGTGTTTGATTATGGATGTTTGCATGTATCAACACAAGTACTGACAAGATGTTTCTAGAATGTCTGGCAGCAGTCCCAGCAGGCCATCTACAACGCCATCAACGACCCCTCCGTCGCGGCAATTGCCCCCTATGTCGTCCACTGGGCAGAGTTCGGCTCCGAGCCCGTTGGCGACGGCATGGACCAGGGCAACTTTGTCAACGACCTCGGCAAGTTCCGCGCCACCCTCAACGCAAAGGGCATCTTGGCCGGAATCAGCGAGGACTGGGACAGACCCGGCACCATGAGCGGCAACAACGGCCAAGGACTCGGTTCCATCGGCGCCGGAGTCAAGGCCAACTCTGACTTTGCTCACATCCACCCCATGCCCTTCTACCACGGCAACAACCCCGAGTCGCAAGCTTGGAGCTACATCCAGTCGCAGATCAACTGGGTCAAGACCAACGTCGGCCTGCCCACCTTTGTTACCGAGACCCAGTGGGCTTGGGGTCCTACCGACCACTATCCCGGACACCAGGACCTTGGCGTCACTCAGTACACCAACTACTGGAAGACTTTTGACCAGAACTGCGCCTACTTCAAGCAGCAGAATGTCGGCTGGTTCCTTCACGCCTGGAGGGGCGAGGATACTTTCGACATCGTGAACCCCAATGGTGGATACATTATCCCCAACTGGAGACCCCAGCAATGCTAAACGATTAATGATGTGATGTTTGTGCCAAGGCGCAATATGACAAGGAAGGATAACCACGGTTCACTGTACATAGCTTTGTCAGCCTTAATACGGCATATATATAAATAGCAATGAATTTTCCAGATACTTGGAGTTACTGTTTATGTCCCATACGTTCTCAGCGTCTAATTCAGATTGTCCTGTGCAAACATTACTTGGAGTAGTTACATTAAACTCGAGCTGCAACTAAACTCATGTAGATTCCCCATAACAGGCCAATGAAGCTTAGAAACACGATGCGGCGGTGCACAGGAATGAAACTGAAGCTGACAATTGAAGCAACTGGCCAAATCTTGTATCCCGCAATGATGATGGGTATTGTTTCCTTGGTTGGGATGACGTTAGTTGTAGCATCGAATAGCCCAATGGTTAAACACTCACAGTTTTTATGTTGGATGCTATCTGAATGGCAGGCTGGCCTTTTAAAATTCCCATGACGACCAGGAATGCCACTGTATTCATAATGGCCCCGGCAGTGATGCAGTCAATGAACCATTTGGCGAGTGTGTTGCGAATGCTAAACTTGGATTGCACTGATGCTTCGTTTTGCAGTTCAATCCCTTCTTCAATGGATTCTTCCATGGCTCTGAGCTCAATGTCTTTATCGCCATGATTGTGCAATTGATGCGTGGGCGGATATGCAGGTAGAGCCTTTTCGAGAAATTGCTGCCATATGTAGTTTGGCGGAGCAGTAATGAGAGTGTATGTAATGAACCGGGCGAGTTGGATAAAGTCTAAATAGAAGTTACGCTGCGAACGATGTAAGTGTGAGGTCTTGAACATTGTAAAGGGGTATTTGAAACGTATCCAATGAGATTGTGCCGATCAGAGAGTCTTACATTATTCCAGTATGCCTCAATAAACTGAGCACAGAAATTGGAGACGGTCGACAGAAACGCCGCCTGCAGCGTCGCTGTCATCATTGGAGACGGCATCTTGGGCCGCAATTGCGTTAATTTGTCTACCTGGGCTCCTGTCGAAGATGTACGTGCAGCAATTGTTTAGAGTTTCGAGGGAGAAGAAAAAGGAATGTTTCGCAAATGAATCCACGTCAGAGCCAGGAGGGCATCACGTGAGAGGCCGGAGTATGGATGGTGATCTACAAAACAAGTGGAATTTTGGTGGAGATGGGCGAGTCGGTGTTGTGAGGCTTAAGATGCAGGAGTTTCGAAATAGAGAGTATGAAAGCGTATAATCTATTCTTCTATATAATTGATATTGTGTACTTTGCGTAACTCAACATGAGGATGTTTAATTGCATTGCCATAATATCCAAATCTTGTTAACCCAGAAACGCCACTTTCGCAATTCCCTATCTGGCATCTCACTGAGGAATCCTTACCACAATTCGCCCTGTTACTTGGCCATGCTTTAATTTCTCAAAAATCTCTGGGATTGCTGAAAATTCTTCCACTTTGACCGTCGGATGGATTACTCCCGCAGCAGCATGTTGTAGAAGCTCCTCCATCTGCCGCTCAGTCCCTACCATCACCCCTGTGACGGTGAGTGCTATGGCAGAATTAGCAATATGCCCTATATATTTAGTTTTGGATCAGAAAAGAAAGCATACCTCTTGCGGCAAATACACTGGCTGCCAAGGGAAAGTTAAAGGTAGCAGCAGGCAAACCTATTATTGCCAGTAACCCATTGTTCCGAACCAGCTTTGGGGCAAGCTCAAAAGCGGCTTCTGATCCAGAAACAATGAGACAGGCGTGAGCTCCTTCTCCGGTGATCTCTCTCACTCTCTGCTCAACATCTTCGGTAGCGAAATCAATGAATTCATGGGCACCGCATTGGAGACTGAGCTCGCGTTTGGATGACCCGGTATCGACTGCGATGACCCTGAATTTCCTCAGCCTGCTGGCAATCTGGACTCCGACATGTCCTAAACCTCCGCCCGAACCTGATACAACGACCCATCCATCCTTTGGAATATGTGCGTCAAGTTTTGCAATTCCGCCCATCATTGTTAATCCTCCGCATAGCAGAGGAGAGGCCACCTCGTCTGCCACGCCATCGGGGATAGCCGTCAAATATCGTGAGTCTGCAACGACGTATTGCTGTAGAGTTCCTTGAGCATGAACACCTGTATAGGCTGGTTTCATGCAATGATTTGAAGACCCTCTTTGGCACTCTGAGCATTGGCCGCAGGCACTGTGAAGCCATTTCACGCCTACACGCTGTCCAAGCACTGACTCTGAGACATTCTCGCCTATTTTGACGACAATGCCAACGCCTTCGTGGCCAACGACCGGCTTGTAATTACTCCATCCAAGTAGTGCTCGAACTTCCGATCCGCTGAATAACGTTTAGCAAGATGCTTTTTGGGGGAGAAAAGAGGTCAAAGACCTACCAGACACCGCTATAAGCCAATTTGACAAGAACTTGATTCTTGCCTGGTGTTTCGACCGGATATGCGTTGTCAATTCGCACTGTACCGTTTGGACCTGGTTCTTGTATGACGGCTGCGGTCTGCAGTGTGGGAATCGGCGTGGTCATCTTGGCCTTGCGTATAGAATGAGCTTTGGGAGTAGTTGCGTGATACAGGTGGATTAGTGGTTGAGTGTAGATTTGATTTAAAACATAAGGTTCTTTTGAGATTATATACTTGGCAGCGGCCTGGGCCATCCATTTTAGTATCGAATTTACGAGTTCTGTAGGCTTAGCAGATCCCCGCATCGGCAGTGGGCTTCGGAAACTTTTGGTGGGGGAAACATGTAGGCAGAGATTGAGGGCCGGCTTTGATATCGGCAGTGGATGCGTCGAGTCAAAAAAATCACTTCGGCTTCATGTTTATATCCTTTGTCTACCGTAGCGCTGAGACGTGTTGTAGCTAGCTACATGTAACTTCGCCGCTCTAGATCTATAGGACCTATGAATAGTCCATGGCTATGAGCAAGGTATCGAATAATGCTGACTACAGGCATCTCTCGTTGATGCTATAGGCCCTCTATGCTATTGAACCAAAATGTTCTTTTCTGCTAAATCCTTTTCAAAAGCAGCTGCAATATCCAGCACTTTGCCATCATATCCGCTGCCGCCTTGGAATGTGATGCCAAATGGTAGCCGGACTCCTCCATCTTCGGCCCATCCGGCATTGACGCTGACTCCGCATAAATCAATGACATTCCCTGGATGTGTGAAGATACCAATCTTGGAATTCGGAGTAATCGGACTTTCTTCTATTTCTTGTATAGTCGGATGCCATGGCACGGTTGGCATGACTAAAACGTCAATACCGTCTTCGAACTTATTGAAGACTTGTCGTCCTTTGGCAGTACATTCCATTTGTATGGCCTGGTCTCTATATACCTCCCAGCCTTTCAAATCCGACGACAGAACCTTCTGGATAACTAATTTAGTCGTCCGATGAAGTGTGTCAATCTTCTCTGAGAGAAACTCGTAGCCGATTGAAGCGAGACGTTCGTGAATAAGGGATGCACCGTAAATGAGATCGCCCGCTGTGGCAAATGGCGTGTAATCGATCTCAACGAGCGTTCCTCCAATTGACTGCAGTGTATCAACAGCCTTTCTAAACATCTCTTGGTATTCCTTTGAACACAGATGTAAAAGGGAATCTGGAGGTACGCCAAAGGTAAAGCCCCCTTCTTTTGGTCCTCGGAAATCCACCGCCCACGTTGGCAAACTTGCCGGTGGTTTGGCATATGGATCGAGAGAATCGTGCCGATCAAGCACATACCAAACCTGTCTTGCATCGGCCACGGAAGGTGCTAAAACGCCAATTGTATCGAGACTCTGGCATGCAGGCACCGCACCTCTGGCGGAGATTGTGCCTTTGGTGGGTTTGAAGCCAACGACGCCGTTAAAGGCAGCAGGGGCACGAACACTCCCCGCTGTATCAGTTCCAATGGCAAAGGAAACAAGTCCAGCGGCGACGGCGACTGCAGATCCGGAAGATGAGCCACCGGGGACGTGATCTTTGCTGTGGAAGCAGTGCAGATCACCATAGGGCGAGCGACGTCCCACCAAGCCAGTTGCAAGCTGTTCAAGGTTCAATTTCCCTATATAGATTGCCCCCGCGTCGAGTAGATGTTGAATTGACGGAGCTGTAAAAGTGGCCGTATATGCGTAGCTTTCGCATGCTGCTGTAGTGACCACCCCTTCAACATCAATGTTGTCTTTTATGGCAAACGGGATGCCAAAAAGAGGCGGGAGAGGCTTTCCAGCATATGTTGCAGATAACTTTCTAGCAGCCGCTAATACATCCTCTTGAGATTGCCTAGAGATCCAAACAGCGGGATTGATATTCTCATACTTTGCTATGCGGTCAAACACAGAAATTATAATGGCTTCTGGCGTGATACGACCATCCTTGTAGAGGCTCCTGAGTTGATCGATAGAAGGAAGCGTTGGAGAGTTGAGATTATAATCAGCTGAGGACGGAATAAGCTGGCAAAATTGCTCTACTTCCGCAGCGAACTCTGAGCCGTGGCCGACATATCCGAAAAGGCCGTTTTGACAGCAAAGAATATCCAAGGACGTGGCTACCATATTTTCGTTAAATCCTGCTGTACAGTCTGATAGAGCGCAGCATTCATAGCCTCTGTCATTGCCCTCTCTAAGTGTACTTGTTACGCAACATCTACACGAATAATTAGTCACATATGCAGCCAGTACGGTCTACATCTACTTACTCAGTCGTTACTCCAGCAAGGATCAAATGTGTAATGCCCCTGGCCAACAACAATCGATGGAATTCAGTGCCCCAAAAACTCCCTTTCCCAGGCTTATCTATAATTGGTTCTCCAGGATGTGGCTTCAGTTCGTCGATAATATCATGGCCTTTCTCGCCTCTTACAAGCAGCTTTCCCATGGGGCCCTCATCGCCAATGCCCAGTGATTTGCTGCCGTTTGGTGCGCTCGTTTGCCTCAACCTCTTCGCGGCGGGCAGATCGGAGAGGTTTGGAAGATGGCCTTCTCTGGTGAAAATAACATGCATGCCAATAGATCGGGCGGCTTCTAGCGCCTTCCGGACATTGGGAACGATTTTGCGAGCAGATGAAAAGGCAGCAGGATTTGCGCAAACAACAGACCCGAAGCCATCTGGGTCTAGGAAGTCTCGCTGCATATCAATTATTACCAGAGCCGTGGTTGCAGCAGGGCAAGAAAACGCATATGGGCGAGCATTTCGAAGCAGCAATTTTCCGTCTGGGGCCATATTGAGTCTCTAAAGAGCGGTAAACAGAGTCGAAAATACAGCGAGGTAGAATGGCGATGTTGGGCTTATTGCGCGGAGAAGTGACATTTATATGCGGGGTGATTTAGCACGACGGTCGTCCTAGCCATTGAGCTTCCGTGCTCGTCCGAGCTTACAAAGCATGTCGGGCATGAATTCAATAGTGATAACTGTACCTTTCACGTAGCTTCACTTGATAAAGAATATGTAAGGAAGGCTACTTGGGACATCAAGTCGCTGTTCCTATCACGATATATCCAACTTGGTAGTATTAGTGCCAAGCGATTTGCCAGCACTTGGGAGGGGTCAATGTGAAGCAGAACTAACAGGCTATTGTAATCGGCGAGTAAACCTGAAAGAAGGCAAGAATGCTACTTTTTCCTGTCTCTCCATCGAAAATCCTATTTAATTTTTGATACAAGGAATAGTTGGAGGGAGTGGCTTGATTGGCGCCCAATGTACTTTATTTGTTGAGACGTGGCGATGAAGCAATGAGGCCAGTATGGTTGGATATAAGCTTAAAAATTCGGGCAAATCTCCTTTCTAGTTAAAAAGATCATGCTTCAAATAATAGTAGTGACATGAAAATTGAAGGGCGAGAAGCAATCATAATACACGGATCCTGACAATATATCGATAGGTATATAGGCAACCATCTCAGTATATTCACCTCAAGACTAGCTCTCTATCCTATGTTCGCTTTCATAATCATTTTCCCATGCTCTCTACAAATCCAAATCCGTGGAGCTAGCAATCTCTTTCCACTCCTGACACACATCAATCGCAGCCTGGGCGGCTGCAGTGATGTCCTCGATGGCATCAACACCCAAGGGCAAGAACGAAGGCATTTCTTTGCCCTTAGCTACGCCACTGGACGTAACCACGTCGTAGATGACCTGAGCACCCTTGACAGGGTCTCCTCGCTGCTTGTCGGCCTCAAACGCAATGACGCGCTGGTTTTCTTCGCTGATCTCTCGGTAATCCGCGATGCCGTTGCTCCCACTTATTGATCTGAAATCTCCATTCTGCTTCAACAACTCTGTGCGGAATCGGCCGGGCTCGACCAGCAAGTGTTTGATGCCAAGTGGCTTAACTTCAGCAGCAAGACCAAAACTGAGCAAGCGCAGAGCTGCCTTGGAGGCATTGTATACACTGGCGGCTGGATGAGCAAACCATGCGGCCATTGATCCGATGGTTACCAGAGTTCCGGATTTTCTGCTCCTCATGTGAGGAAGAATGGCGCGGTATACATTCAGTGCTCCGAAAACATTTGTTTGGAATTGTTGATGTGTGTCTTCAGGCGAGAGATCTTCCAGAACCCCCATTTGGACGTAAGCCGCACAGTTGACGATGACATCGATTGGACCATGTGATGAAATAATGTTGTTCATATCTTGCTTGATCTTGTCCAGAGGCTCATTCTGGTCAAGGTAAGCGAAGCTGATGTTCTTTTCTTGAGTTTGCTGGGCTTTCTTCGGTGAGCGCGTTGTGGCAACGACCTTGTTGCCTTGCTTTGCAGCGACAATGGCGAGATGGAGGCCAAGGCCTGATGAGGCGCCTGTAACGAGCCAAGTTTGAGGAGACATTTTGCTTAATTGTATGTGTGTTTGATGAGGTTCCGGTGTATACTTGACTGTGATACTGAACTATTCGTTGAGGAGAGAAGTCGATTTACCACCCCATGAGAGCAGGAAGCTTCATCTTTATACTTCAGCGATCAAGCCACTCTGGGTAATCTGGGTCTAGCAATCGCTGGATCATCTCGAATTCCTGATCTCGGTATGACTCACTTGATAAAAGGCCTCTTTTTGGCCACTTTTCTTTCGAAACATGTTCTTTTCATGAAGCTATTTGTCTGTTTGTCTGCTCTTCTCCGCGATGGCCCGTCCTAGCGGATCTTGCCAGAGCGGATGAGAGCGGACGCGAGCGGATAGTGGAGCGCGGGGCCGCCACTTCGGCGTTTGCAATGCACTAAAGATCTGGTTTTGACACTTGCGGAGATAAGTTTGTGGAGAAATGGAGTTTATACTACGTGCATTAAGGCTCCGGAGTTGAAGGCCGGCTGCATGGCGTTCTGCTGAATCTGTACTCTGGTGCAAAAGCCTAACGGGATTTGGAAATACGTTTATAACAAGGAACAAGTCTTGAAGTCTTGCAGAGACGACTGATTGCCACTGGAGCCTTACAGGTGTCTTCACATTTGTTTCCTAAGTATGCAGCTTCGGCTTATGAGGCCGTGTAGCTCGGGTTGACACTCTTTGTGATGCTAACGTGGAATATCAAGCAGAAAAAAGCATACGCGAGAGAAGCTATAAATATTGAAGGTAATAAAATTTTACAAAAGAGCGAATAGCTCAAGGTATCGATATACTGGGAGGCTGAGGTCTCATCGCCACAATTTTAACATGGCGGGAGATGTAGAGATAGGCAGAGCTACAATTACTGCCATTCAGATGGCTATGAGGTCTCTATATAGAAACAAAGAGTAATATTCCTGATGGAGGAAATACAGTGAGGTGTGGTGGAAATGGCGACTTCTAACGAGATTACGAAAAGTGGTTCTGCTGATATCAAGATGACGATATGTGCCAATGCAGCCCATAAAAACCGATGGCCCTGGCTCTATAACAATAAAGGTTTACGAAGAATATTTTGGATGTATTTCGATATATAATTGTCAGGAATGCACAGTGGATATTTTGTTGCTTCCATGTCCAAACAATCCGGTTATACAGTTTGTATCATCTGTCGAAATCGTGTCTATGCCTATTTCCCTCTTAGTAAGCGGCAAATTGATCTATAGGTCTGGTTGTAAAGTGGAAACAGCATATCCCTGGTAATAGGTATACCTTTTCTTTAGCGGCTGTTCAACGTTTAGGTTCTGACACAATACTAATCATTGTGAAACGGGCATTTCTGCAGCACCCTCGTCCAATGTCAGGAAACAAAAGATACCAGCTGGCCAGAAATGTCTCTTGTTGCTGAGTTCTTAACCCTCTTATCCTATCTATAGTAGTTATATCGATTAAAACGTCTTTAACTCCTAACACGTGTTGTGTTAATCGCAATGGCCAGTGGCGATGCGACAGCTGCATATTAATCTTTTTTCTCTTCTGCTAAATTTACATTCAAGCATATACAATGAAACAAAGATCATTCCTTTGTCACATTATTTATTGTACTTGGGCGTTTCCCCTTCCTTTTAGACGATATGGCTGATTGTTTTCGAATGCATCGTCAAATTTAGATAGTTGAGCCTATAATACTCGTGGACGTATGTGGTGATGTGGAACATGGATCTTTGTTTTAACGTTGAGAAATCACATTGACAGAGCTGGGATCGGGAAGTTCAGTAATCAATCATCCGATAGTCCTCACCTAGCATTCTACAATATGGAACTCCTGTAGTTCTTGTTAATGAATCCTCGTGCTCTTTTATAGGGGGGTTCAAGTAAATGTCCTGACAGGTGGGGGAACTACTATTAGCGCTGACCGTTCAGTGGATTCAAGTTTCTCTCCTATTCAAGGTTCTCCTGTGCTGACTGTGTTATATAAGAATCTGATAGAGTTCGCCTTCTCTGTCAAAACCTATTTTCCCCTCAGTATTCAACCCTTTTTCTGCAGGTTTACTAAGTAATTTCAAATCTCTTCCATACCGCTACTATGAGTCCATTTCTATCAGTAACAACGATGCCTCAATGGCCTGTACCAACTACGAGCTTAGGTGTTGTTGCGGCTCGGTTTCAAGAAGACCTCGTACCCTGGCTCCCAGTAGCCAACTACACCTATGTTTATGACAAGGGTCATATCCCACAATCCAACGACACTGTTGACCACGACGCTTTCCGCTCTTACGTTGAGCTACCCAACATCGGTCGAGAGGGACACACACACTTATACCATATTGTGAATAACTGGGATACTTTGGAAGATTACATGGTCTTCTCTCAAGCAGCCCCATTTGATCTAATTGGATCTGTTGTCAACACCACGAGCAAAATGGTGGAAGTAGCGCTTCAAGTCCATCCCGGCGAAGTCAATCCTTTCGATCCAACTCTTTTCCACGATGTGGATGATTGGGCCAAGATCAATTGGACTGATCCCAAAGAAAGCATTTGGATGACAGCAAGCGAGCTAAAGTCTCTTGTCTTTGCGCCGTATACACCGGCAGAGCTATGGGAATTTGTGTTGGAAGAGGACCATCCACCAGCTATTCGAGCCGCACATGGCGGTATTTTTGCCGTTCGCCGAGATACAATCAAGAGTCGCCCACGAGAAGTATACGAACGTGCCTTGCAACGATTTGTTGAAGCCAATGTTACAAACCCCGAACTCGGCTTCATGTGGGAACGCTTCTGGACGCCAACATTTTCTCAACAATATTGGCTCCCGGAGGTGGAGAATCCCTAAGATATTTCATGATACTTAGTCTGTGGGTATATTGTGAAGGAACCTTTCCAAGGATAGTATCGGTGTCCTGATGTAGGAACTTACGTCCTATAATAAAGCTGTCTACAAGGCGTATTAGCCCACCAGCTTTGGTGTTGACCTGAACCTGTTTAATGCTGCTTTGTGGATATGGACACGGCAGATAGTAACATACAATTAATCCCAAATGTATTAATAAATAAATTCTCTAGATTCCATATGTATATTTGGGTCTGGTTCACTGACGAGCAACGAAAGGTTCAGACCCTAATAGCTCAATTCGAGTAGCCGGAAACAAGTCAAATTTTTGTTGATCACTTACATAGGTTATATGTTTTGTTTATGGAATAGAAGTTTTCAACTCGCCATATACTGTCGCCACGGTTTCATAGATGGATAGGATAATATAAATTCTTAATTTGCCTCAAGTCACAATTCACAAACAAGCAATAAGTGATCTAGATAGACAATACGCCGCTATGTAATGGTCGATGCGCACATGCCATATTGCAGTCACTGCTATGCTAACATCTTGATATGCCGGTATATAGCCTGGAGAGTAGATACTATGATGTATTATATCTTTTCATCTCGTCTACCGTATCAGAGTTGGATCAAGTAGCAGCAAAACGGTTCGCTCTGGGGCTAAATTTACCGCCAGCTTCTAACTAATAATTCAGCTACACTGTCTGACTAAATAAGATCAAATCGAGTACGTTGGCGTTTCATTGAAGTAATGAGAACATTCGCTATATTGATAATCTTCAATTACTGTAGATTCAAGCTGGTCATTTTAAGTGAAGCTGCAAGATGGCTACGTGCGCTGTTGCCCATAGGTTTACTTCTATACGGTCAGAGCGCTACAGGGATACCTATCATGATCGTAAACTACAGCAGAGTTGTAAAATAGCCGAAGGGAGAAAAACTGTGTTTCGCCAGCTAAGATACCTTCAGCTTTCAGCTGTATGAGATTAGGTCTGATTATCTCTTTTTATCTCACGTGTATTGCAATTCGTCGATAGACTACATATAGCCACAGCGCTTAGCGAGGTGCTGTGGCTAACGTTTGCTTGTCGCGACAATGTTACGGCTCTTCTACAATTCAGCTGTCAGCTGTTTCTTGAAAGCCACTCTAATCCAGCCAGCTTCTGTGTAAGCCTAAGCCACTGTTTGCTCAGCCATTATTACATGTTTATTGATTCTAATTGTGTGCAGCGTTCAGTATTAGAGTGCATCATTGGTTGATTAGGTACTTGTGCTTATACCTCAAAAGTCTTCAAGCGCTACAAAATCGAGCTAGACAGCACGCAGACTCGAGGCCCAAATCCAACTATACGAGGTATCATTATTATAATTATTGAGATAAAAAAAGAGTCTTTCCTTTCTTTATGCCGTCTTCCGCGCTTTCCATTCGTTCTTTACAATGACAGAGGAGCGAGGGAGCCTCCGCAAATTTTTGCTCGCTGAAACTGAGACGCTCAGCTTACATGTAGCCGTTCACTGACTAAAAACAACCCGAATCCGCGTCAAGTCGGAGCTGAACATGGTACATGTAAATTAGGACTCATGAGTGGTCTATCAGCTTGGCTTTGAGCCAATCTGTCACAAAAACTAGAGAGTCACAGGACAACCATTGAATGCTTGTGATAAAGCACGCAAACGATTATTTATAGTTGCTTACAGCCCTTTCAGATTGTCCTGGCACTCGAAAGCAGGCAGCGCAAATCCGGACAACCTGATACCAAGCAATCAGATAATTATTATTTTACTATTTTGCGCCTGTTTCAGAGTCTTCTGCAATTATTTAACAATGCCTTCTTCCATTCCATATGATCCCAGCCTTGTGATGGGCCAGATTGTCAACAAGGAAGCCCTCCAAAATGTCGAAGATATTGCTGGATACGAAGCACCTGCCGATGCGGCTCAAGACAAATACAACGGGCTCTTGGCATCGAAGCGAAGTCTTGATATGACACTCATAGAGCTTACTGGTCTAAAACTCGGTGAAGATGCCCTCAAGCCACTTCAGCAAGAAATCGAGGCTTTCAATAAAGATGTTGCTCTAGCGGCGGTTGACTATGCCAAAGCAAAAATCGTATCTGAACAAAACATTGCAAAAGTCCGCGCCAAAATTCCGCAAGTTCATGTGCAGTGGGAGAGCCCGGTAGATTACAACAGAACGGGATACAAGACATTTCCTCTTGCTGCCGATTCTATAAACTTGGACGTCCAATACTTTTCTACAGAGACAAATGATCAAAAGTCTCAATCTTCAGCAGACGATATAGCTTCATTTGCGACAGCAAAGATGGAGAAACTAGGAGCGAAACGCACGGCTGAGTTCGCCGCCAATGTGAAGAGTCAAGTTAGTAGCCAAAGAGAAAAACACGACATCGAAGGCACTCTTGTCATAGCTGCCACCTGCACGCACAAGAATGCCACAGTCTTGGCTCCATTCATAATGAATGTAGATAAAGCAATCAAGGTTTGGAATCAGATGCATCCGGATCAAAAAGATCGAATCAATCCAACAAGTCCCGCGGCAATGCTGCAGCTCGCCGAAGAGATTGAGTCACCGGAAGGTGTTGACGGCAAAGGCAAGCCCTCAATGACCATCATCTCAGGCGTAACGTACGGATCCAGCTTTGTCGGAATGGTTCATATCTTGAGATCGAGCTCGACTATGGCCAGTGAGAAATTGAAAAGTATCGCCTCAAAGGCTCAGGTGCAGTTAGAAGTGGGCGCGTTTTTTAATAAAATGCAAGGAGGTTTTGGCGTCGATGCGAGCTTTTCCAACGACGTCAAGAATCTGCTCAGCACACAGAATGTTCAGTCGCACGTCACCATGACCTGCATGGGCCTGATTCCAACTTTGAAATCCAACGAAATACAACTGGGAGTCAAACAATTTGCAAGCTTCGATCCAAGGTCATCTATGGAACAGATCCAGGAGATTCAAAACGCCACAGTCGCAGATCAGGCAACTGTTGACAGCGCTGCAGCAGCAGCAAGAACAGGAGGAGAGATGGTTGCTATGCAAGGCGGAAAAGTGAAAGCCGCATTGTCGGCACTTGGAGATATCGACAAGGAAAATAACAAAATTCTAGACATCAACTCCATGATGGAAGCGCTCGACGACTACATTGCAAAAGCTGCCAATCTCACCGGTGGCGTTCCCATTAACTACTATCTGAAGCCAATCACTAAGGATATGCTGGCGGAAATGTGGATTTCCAAGTACTACCCAGGCGAGTATATGCAAATCAAAGGTGATGATAGCGAGGACTCTAAGAAGCCTGGAGATAATAATAACTCCTCTTCGAATAACAACAATACTACTAGTGGTGGGGATGAGAATGAAGATAGTTAGTTGAATTGGGGAGCAAAGATGCAGCATGAGTAGTAGTGCCAAATATGAGGATTGCACTCAAGTCAAGACCGTATTTGGCACATCACGCTTTCTGTGCGTTTCTTTTGTTAGACACTCTATGACTTACACTTAATTCAAGATTTTTATCACCTGCTTCTTCTTTTCCTCTTATTAAAGCGATTGATGATTTTTAACACAGTTTCCATCGCGTGCCGGTGAACCAGGCTAGATTAGAGAAAGGCTCCGCTGAGATGTATTCCATGCCATACGCTCTGTGCATATCGACACGCCTTTTATTGTATAGCCAGGTATGATATTGGAGCCTTTATAAAATCCATCTATAAACTTGAAAGCCATCACACTCTTGCATGTTCGCTCGCAAGGGCGGGCGCAGTTGCATGCGCTGTGTCAGCAATCGTTGCTGCCTAGCTAGGCTGCTGACGCTATTTATGCTTGAATCAGATTGCCGAGAAAGGCGACTGAGAAAAGACAAACCGTTTGCTGTATTCTGTATTCTCCTAGTGAACTGTTTCAGCGTTTTATGTCACTAGCAGGATAATGAGAAATTCTCACAAAATGTGGAAACAAATCGCCCAAGAAGCGCAGGCACTCCGTGACGAAACACTTGCGGAAGTTGGAGTCAACATCCAAATCCCAGCTCAGCTTTCAAGAAACGTTACCGATATCCCTGATAAAGTATTATCTGCTAGCAGTGCTAGAATAACATCTTTAGCGCCTCAAGAGATTATCACCCTGGCATCTGAACGCAAAATCTCTGCTCAAGAGGTAGTTCAGGCCTTTCTGGAGAGAGCCGTCATTGCTCAGAATCTTGTATGTCGCTTGTACTTTTTCGCTCCTTAATCACATCGTCAAATGCTGATAACTATTGGTAGACAAACTGCCTAACTGAACTTCTCCCTCAACGAGCCATCTCCCAAGCTATTGAGCTCGATGGTCGCCTCCTAGACAATTCAACTTCGCTTGGGCCGCTTCACGGGCTGCCAGTGAGTATCAAATCTCACATCGGCATTGCAAATCGACCTCTTTCGTCTGGCTACTGTGCTCCATTCCATTCACGTCCACACCCTGATGCTGATGCGCTGGTGGTCCAAATTCTTACACGGGCCGGAGCCATTGTCCATGCTCGAACAACGGAGCCGCAGAGCATGATGCAGCTTGAGTGCGCGTCGAATCTCTATGGAGTCACCACGAATCCTTATTCCAACATCCTTATGTCTTCAGGCGGCTCGTCAGGAGGAGAAGCTGCGCTGATTGCATTGCGCGGCTCCGTATTAGGCGTCGGCAGTGATGTAGGCGGATCGATCCGCGTTCCAGCCGCTGCTTGTGGGATTTATGGACTGAAGCCAACCTCATTTCGGGTACCAACTACTGGCTGGAGTAGCACTCCGCCCGGAGCTGATCCAATTGTCACTGTTTTGGGTCCGATGAGCGTCAGCCTGGAAGGCCTAGAGATCTTTATGAGAGTCATGGCGGCTGCAGAGCCGTGGCACATTGAGCCAGCAATAATACCACTGTCTTGGAGGGCGGTCGATATTACCCCGAGCAGAGAAAAGCCATTACGTCTAGGTATTCTATGGCATGATGAAGTCGTTAAGCCACACCCACCAATAACGAGAGCGCTGAGAGAGCTTGTAGACAAATTGAGCAATATACCGCATGTAGAAGTGGTCAACTTTCCGCCATATAAACATGACGAGGCGTGGGCCATTGCATCGAGCCTTTACTTTACCGATGGAGGTGAAGCTGATCTGGCCGTTATGGCTGAATCCGGTGAACCGCTGCTATCGTTGACCGAGTGGATCATCAAAGACAACCCAGGGGTTAAGAAGTTGAGTCGAGATGAGCTAGAATACTGGCTAGAAGAACGAGAGGAATTCCGGATGGAATACTCGCAGCACTGGAACAAGACTGGAGTCTTCAACAAAGCTTTGGGCGCTTGGGAAAACACTGTGGATGCTATCATCTGCCCCGTGGCGCCTGGGGTAGCTACGAAGCACAACACGGCCAAATACTGGACATACACTGCGGTGTGGAACTTGCTCGACTATCCGGCACTTGCTTTTCCCGTCGGTAAAGTTGACAAAACGATAGATGTTAAGGAGAATAGGAAGCGTTTCATGAGCCACTTGGACAAGGAAAGTTGGAAATTATGTGAGTTTAATCCCAACACGCCATATCTCATAGGACTGCCAAGCGTGGGTTGAGAGCTGATAACCGTAGATCGCCCCGAGCTATTCCAAGACATGCCGGTCGGATTACAGATGGTTGGGCGAAGATTTGACGATGAAACAGTTATTGCTATTCTCAAATTTTTAGAGCAGAATATTTAGAACCTGTTATGATAGGCGAAAATTGTGTTCAGTGTGAGAAGAATGGGGCATAATATCGCAATGTAGAATGCATTCATATTTAAATACATGGTCCATGGTCTATCATAGCAATATGCTGTAGAACAAATGATTTGTACTTGCCAAGGTATATACTGCTAGTTACATCTCAATTAACTTCCAAAACTGGTAGAAAGGTTGGTGGTAAGATTATCTAAACGAGAAAATTAATTTGTCATTTTCGTCAATACGCCTTAAGCCTTCTTTAATTTAACTTTTGATGCCGCATAACTGAGAATTCTCTGTCATACGGGGCGAGTCGCAACGTAGAAGATAAGCAGTAAAGCGCCCAACCTCTAAGGATATGACGTACTTGGATTCAAATACTATCGAGAGAGTGGTATGATAAGTCGATGCCCGTCATCAATCTGTCTCATCTGTCCCTTAGTATGGTGAGGTAGGTATGCCTTTCATTGGCAAATGCCTTCACGCCCTTGAGAGCTCTTCGCGCTCTTAGATTGCTATACTTTTGGTATGATGTAGACAAATGTGTGATAGTTTCCTTTGATCCATAAATTGAGACACTTACAAGTACAATCGTGGTGAAATTCGCTGTAAGAATTCACTCTATCTGATATCCGTGTCAGAAGGTTGGGTTCCGCGTACCAGCCATAAGCTCAGCAATCGCTGACCAAATGCCGATCGTCTTACGTCTTGATTAACACTTGATTTCCAACGGTGTGTCTGTGGCTTTAAACTTGGCTTGAAGCATGTAATCATAAATATTGCAACAAAAAGAAACTTATTATGTAGTAAGCCTATAACAAAGACTGCGTGACCATGAATAATTATCACGAGATATTGATAACACATACTAATAATAAGTAGCTCTTTGTTTACGCGACTTTTACATCATTTCAATGCCCCAGATAAATTACCAAAACACGAATGGCTTGAGTCTAGTCAACATGTCACAATCTACATCCATCTAGTGCTGACTCAGTTTGTTCTTCAGTAGGGAGGATATAACAAACGAGAGACGTCCATGATAAAGACTGCTCCTTCTCACTCTCGTAACCTGTCTTCCATTTCCTTCTCTTGCCTTATGCAACAATCTCTTAAATATGACGAACCAGAAAGAAATCGAGGCCCTTATAGATGAAGCCTTTGATAGGCAGAAACGGGGCAATCAGAACGCACCGTGGGACTGCCTTACGGTACGACAACCCGAGACTTACTCTCTTCGATTTAGGCTAAATAAAACAAGCTTGTAGGACTTACGTCTATCAACGAAGGGCAGTACGCGGCATATCTATACAAAACAGCCCTAGAGACTACGCCTGCTGAATCTCGACCGTTATTGTGGCGGCGCTATGTGGATGCGCTTTCAGAAATGCTCATAGTTGTTGGACTGCCAAGGACTCTGAATGCACTCTACTCAATGATGCCTTTGGTCGAAAAGAGTGATCTAACTTATTTAAAAAGGTCAGACTGGGAAGCCGATACCGCGGCAAGAGGCTGGCAGTATGCAACACTAACACACCATGACTGGGTCGACCGCTATAAGGAGGTTGCCCTATATGCACCTGACGTGGGTAAGTGCATGCTATTTCCAATTAATAGTGGTGGTGGAGGCTAAAACATCTAAGCACATATTACACTGAATCTCTCAATCGAGAAGTTGTTGTCAGATTATTCTGTGCACGATGGGCTTGCAACAATGGCACTGCTATTGACAGTACTAGTCACAACGAATTGTCCACTCCAAGCGTCATGGTACGTAGACGGATATTTAAGACACGGCGGCGAGAGAGAGACTCTTCACGATATTGTTGAGTTTGCGAAGAAGATTGTGCACGATACCGGCAATGAACTCCCTGCGGATTTTCCCAGCGTAGAGGAAATGCTGGGCGGGACAACCCCATAATTACAAAGCAAGAGTAGTAAAGCTCTCTGTGCCTTCAAGATGCAATCTTTCTGGCCTCTCTACCAATACGCTTGGACAGCTCCAAAGGTGCGACCATGCAAGCTTGCATTGCGCGATAATGACATTCAAAGATACTCTCGCTATTACAAATCAAGTTGGAATAGGTGATCAGCTCGAAAGGCTTTCCTCTTGCAACTCTACGTGTAGATTTAATTGGTCTGGAACTAAGATGCGGAAGTTGCCATTGTCTTTAGCCGAGGCGCTGGAATGATCGCGATCAGAACTAAATCCGATCTGAGGCCCACTTGCCTTGACAAACGCCGATGGCAACTTTCGGAGCATTTCTCAAGGTGGTCCACAATCGGCTATCTCGTGAAAGACGGCAGGGTCTCGTTATTGAACACTTTGATGTTATGTAAATATTGATGATTGATAGTATCTCCGCCTTAAACTCCGGGAACAAAACGGAAGAACAGAAAGATGGGTAGCGGGGATAGGTTCGGCGCTACCACCAGAATGTCTTGCATTAAAACCGTCTAGAATTGATATAAATATATAGGTACACCATCACCGAATCGACTGAAGCTCATTCGCGTCTCAATCATTGACTCTTCAGTGTAAAGAAGAATAACAAAAATAGCAACATAGACGGCGCATTTTGCTCACTCGCTCAACCCACATCATCTCTATTCTGCAGCTGCAATCAGAAAATAGCCATCCAAATATGTCAAAAGGACCTGTTTTAATCACTGGAGCTTCCAGTTTCGTTGGTGCTCATGTTCTGGAGCAGTTCCTCTCTGAAGGTACTCCCGTTCGAGGAGTCGCTCGCTCTCAGTCTTCAGCAGATCGCATTCTCAAGGTGAACGCCAAATATGCGTCGCTCTTAACTTTCGTCATTGTGCCAGATATTACGGCTCCAGGAGCCTTTGATGATGCTGTCAAAGATGTCGAGGGAGTCATCCACATCGCCTCTCCCTTCACCATCAACATCAAAGACAACGAGAAGGATTTGCTTATTCCTGCAATTGAGGGCACAACTCAAATACTGGAATCGACCTACAAGTATGCGCCACAGGTGAAGCGGGTAGTCATCACTGCCTCTTTTGCCTCCGTATTCGATCTGTCCAAAGGGTTCCGCCCAGGCTATGTATACTCTGAGAAAGACTTCAACCCGGCCACTTATGAGGAAGGCAAGAGTGGCAACGGCATTTTTGCGTATTGCGCGTCCAAGGCACTCGCCGAACGAGCAGCCTGGAACTTTGTCGAAGAAAAGCAGCCACAGTTCACCGTCTCTGTCATCAATCCACCTGTTATCTACGGCCCTAATCACCACTACATCGACAATCTCAGCGAGCTCAACACTTCGTCCGGCATGTTTTACTCTCTTATGAACGGCTCCCGCACCGAAGTACCACCAACAACGACTTGGGCTATTGTCGACGTGCGGGACGTTGCCCGCGCTCACAAGATAGCTTATTATAAGCCTGAGGCAGGTGGCCAGCGATATCTCACCACATTAGGAAACTTTAGTTTCCAGCAAATTTGTGACATTCTGCGAGAAGAATTCCCCGAGCTTCGCGACCGTGTCCCAGTCGGCAATCCTGGGGCGCCCTTCCCCGACGTTTACGGCGTGGACAACACAAAAGTGAGATCAGAGCTGGGCATAGACTTTATCTCACTGAGACAAATGGTCATTGACACTGCCAAGAATTTTTTGGATATCGAAAAACGCATCGCTGCATCTGCTTAAATGTCGGGGCCGTTGCTTTTTCGGCTAAGATTGAGAGAAGGGAATACGATTGTTTAAGATCAAGACGGATTTGTAATGGATTTGATAGAAAGCAAATGTGTTTGAATTGAAAAGTACCTTGAAAGGTTTAGTTTTATAAACAAGTAAAAATATTTAAATGTTCATGTGTCATTGTGAATATATATAATAGCAGAGTTTTGCCGTACATCATGAGGTCTTCTACTATCTCAAGTCCGTTGGATGGAACAACACTGCGACGTGCGCATGTTCGAGTTTACTTATGTAAATGACTTACATGGTAGTCGTACGTGCCAACGGCCAACGAAACAAACTAAGCTGTTGTGTCTATTCCCTATATCTTTCAGCCAGTGGGCTTAATAGAGGCAAAAGTTATAGGTTTGGCTGCCCATCGGTATCTTCGTGGCTAAGTAGAGACGTCGAGATGGGTTATTTGACATGGAAACACGAGTTTCAGCTTGCAGGCCCGGGAGAAATATTTCGAAAGAAAACGGAAAAGCCGTACACTGGTGTTTTGGGAGCGCTTGGCATATCCAATGAATTGAGATGATGATGCAGCTCCTCCGATCTAGTGCATGTGGCGACGGTTCATTGTTCACGCTCGACCTGCATTCTACTTCGTCAAGCGATGAATTATTGAGAAGCTAGAGCGTCGTGCATACATCTTATTATGTGCAATAATGCAAGCATTGGAATAGAAGGCCTGTTTTCGGGTCTTTGAGAGGTGTAACAGCAGGGTACATGTAAGCCAAGTACAAATACTCGGCTCGCTACCTGTATGTGCATGCGCACTGCTATCGTCTACTTGGGCATATCGAGCTGCATTTTCACCTTGGCAAGATGGATTATGCTCGGTGAATAATGCTCAGTTTCAATATTTCAAGATTCTTGAACTCTTTCTGCACTCTGTCTTATCTTGAACAAAGGGTGTATTGCTGTAGACCTGGATTAAACTGTCTTTGGCGCCCAATAGGTACTTATACGGGACCGTACAACTGTATGGGATTCTTAGTTAGCAACAACCGCTACAACCACCGCTATAACAACCGCTATAACAAACCGCTATAACCACTATAACAGCTACTATAATAACCACTAATATAGTATAAAAATATATACTATAGATAAGGATTCTAGTTATTAAACCGCTTTAGTTAATCTAGTAACGCTTTTACTCCCTATAGTTGTTTTAGACTAGATTGCTCTTGCGCTATCTTACAGCGGTTATTATAGCGATCTTACAGTGGTTGTTATAGCAGGCGTTTGCTAACTAAGGATCCTATACAGTTGTACGGTCCCGTGCGCCTATGGGGCGCCTAAAAATGCTGACTAATCACTGCTGGTGATTGCTTATCACGTGACTCTCTTTACGGTCGCTCACCTTTTGGCATCGTGTATCGCGGGCATTTCTATTCACGGCAGCCAGCATCCTCTTCGCCCACAGCAACACCATTATCTCGCAGCATCTCAGATTCCATCTCGCCCATCTCGCCCATCTCGCCCATCTCGCCCATCTCGCATCTCATCCGCACGCATTCCACATGCCTCGTCCCCCGCCATGACGGACTCTGCAGCATCGCCAGCCCGAGACGCCCCCAGCGAAAGCGACGATGCGACGCAGCCTGTTTCCTCGCCCGGGTCAGTGAAATAGATCTTAGGCGCCTATCGAGCCTTGTGCTTGTGTGGAGAGCCGTGCCGTTCTGCTCATGGCATGCTGCAGTAGACAGTTGTCTGCTAAACAAGACCGGGAAATTCCTATTCATACCTGGCACGTTTGTCGTCACCGCCAAATCTGTCAGAATGGTAGGGGCCTTGTTGGCCGCGGATAGCGAGTAGCGGTTCGTCGTTTATCGCGATGGACCTGCGTAAGGCACTTGCTCGCGATTCTCATCGCCGTGCGATACCTTGCTCCTATCTTGCCTCCTTATGCCAGTACTCTCTCTGCAGAATGCCATCTTGCGGACCGGCGAGACTTTTCCTAATCACCCTTTCACTTGGACTTGGCATCGCACCTTTCATCATGAGCGATACGGATACACGGCCGAGCTTGCCCTCGCTACTGTGTGGTTTACTGACGCATTAACTTTCAGGTACCCTTACGTGACCCAAGACGACAATGAATCAGATGCTTCCGACCATGATGAAAGCAAAGTGAAGAATGAGCACGACGACGAAGAGTCTACCGAGTCGGATTCCAGTCAAGAGAATGAAGAGGCCTCACAAGTCGATGTGACTTGTGGACAGACAGTGATATCTTGGAAGAACGCCAATGGCCGAATCGAATGCACTGACGATCTATCTTTTGATCTATACATGGACGTCTCAACCAATACTGCGATTTTCAAACTGTATGGCTACATTCTTCTCAAAGGCAATAGAGGCAAAAGTGGCAAGCAGGCCATTTATTTATTCATACATCCTGAGAGCATCCGATCCATCACTCTGGAGACTGTCCATGATGCGCCATCTCGACCATTGACCAATCTTGGATCCAACTACCACTCGTTGTGTTTCTTTTTGACGAAAGAGCCTCGTCTCGTTGTCCCTCACGACAGTATTCTAGAGTCCAGACCGAAGACTGCAGCCCTCCTAGATTCAATCCAAGCCTTGGCTACCATGATGGATTTTACCGTTTCCTTCAGCAATACCGACATTACCGCATCAGTCCTGCACAGCCTAAGATTAGTCGCTTCGGTTTTCTCACCAACAGCCAACAGCAATCGGCCGTCTACGAATATCAGACGCGCCAATCTCAGTGCTTTGTATGCTGGCAAAGGTGGTGAAATTGTTCACACGAATGATGCGACCGCCAATGCCGCAGTGCTACCACCTCCATTATATACCGAAGCCACGCCTGGCCCAAGCCAGATCTCCAGTTCGTTCTCATCACTCGGACATTCTACGAATTCCTAACGCTAACCTAGCTATTCTAGATAAACGTAAACGTGTGAACTCTGACATTGATGATGATCGCTCTCCCGGTGTCAACAACCAAATTTTACACCTTCTCAAAAACATCTGTGCTCGCCTCGATACTATGGATGACCGTATGAGCCGGCTTGAAGATAAAGTGACGGAGGCACTGGATGCTGACCGCACCTCATGCCGATACGGAACGGAAGAAAGAACAGAAATAATAGAAGCGGTCGACAATAGAATTGATGACTGCATCACTGACCTAAAGGTCGAATCTCACGACATACTCCAGGAACTCAAAGAAGAGGTTGACGACACACTGGAGCGACTAGATAATGAGGCAAGTGATAAGATAGAACAGCTAGAGAATGAGATAGACGAGAACACCACAAAGCTAGTGGAGAAGTATTTGAAGAAGAAGCTGTCAAATGCGAGCTTGCGAGTGGACGGGACTGTGTTCTTGGACATTTAGACATCGCAGAGTTACTTGGCCAATCTCCTGCAACTACAATACCATACGAGTCTCTGGGCTTTTACCTCTTCAGTGGATTGACTTTGTGATACTTCATGACTCCTTTCACCACGAGATGTACCATAATCACTGCCTGTACTGTTACAACTATATGTCAAACAGCTTCGTTGACACAAATTGTAAACATCCTCAAGATAGTTGCCTTAGTTTTATTTAGTCGAAGTCATAAGTCAACGTCATTATATGAGCTGAGTTTTGCAAGACGCGCGCAAACGCTAAAATTACACGTCAGAAGTCTCAAAACAATTATTAGATCCGTGCAATAGCATACGCAAATGATTCCTGCATCCCAGACCTCAAGCCGCATCGTCATATATGAGCAGTACTCTAATTCTAGCCGTCTTCGTGTGATGTGGCAGAGCTATAATACCACAGCCTCCAAAATTGAGTGATATAGCAGCATAGCGACGCCTCCTGCACTCGAGAACTGATGGAATTGAGATAATAGTACGGATGGAAAATCAGGTCAAGTGGTAACGCAAGCGGATATCCATACTGATATCGAGATTTTTGAATCATCGGCTGGTGACAATAGAACACAACACAGAATATCACCTTGCTCTGAATATGGGCCTGTTGTTGTGGAGCTTGATTTTCCCCCTCCTCTTGCGACTCCTGTTGGAGCATTGCGTACGTCGTATCCATCACATCTACTACAACGGATTTGGCCGTTGATGCATGAGAGCCCACAAATGTATTACGTTTCAAGAACCAGGCTTAAGAGTATTATAGTATATTTCTGGGAATACTTCTATCGAAATGCATGAAGAAAGAGAAACTTTCCGTTTTTGTAGTTTCATGTTTTACTTTTCGTCAAAATTTTGACCCATAAAACAACTAAACGCCAGTACAATCGCTTGCTCAATTCGTCTGTTCTAATACACCCACGGCAGCTCATTTCCGTACTGGTGGTCAAAAGGAACGTGTTCAAACTTGAAAGACTTGGAGACCATGGTAGGTACGCGAGCAGCAGCATTCGTGCTCATAGCCTCAAGTAACGGCCCGCTACTATCCACAGCTGATTCAAGGTTGAAGCGGGACAGTCGCTGCCAAACACCAACTTTGCCTTCCAACTCGCTTTGATACGTGCTAAATGCCTTATTGACCTCTTTTGTAGTGGGATCTGGGTTGTTCTGCAGGAGGGACGCAAGTTTATTGGTGAGAGTTGCTGCAGCTTCCATGCCAACATTCGCAGCCACGCCCTGCTTCGGGGAGATCTGCATTGCGAGACTTGTTAGCTTACAGAAGAATGACAATAACGGGAGTCAATATACATGCCTTGTGAACAGCGTCTCCAACCATGGCGATGCGATCATAATGCCAGAGGTTGCAAACGCCTTCTTCAAAGTTTGCAGTGCCTTGGGCGTAGCGCTTGTCCCATATATCTTTGAAAGCAACTTGGGGTGTTAGTTTGGCGTCATAAAACTCTGCAACGTCGTCATCTGTAACGACCGATGAGAAGGGGATTTTGGTCGTGGTTGACGGAATGCGTTTGTAAATGAACATGTGAGTTTCCTTTTGAGAGGGAAACGCTTGAATCAACCACCCATCGCCATGCACTTCAATGCCTTGCCCTGAGCTTATGCCTTCCACTAATGGGCCTCTTCCGAAAACTCCTTTGTATGAAGCCTTGAAAGGGTTTTGCGGAAACAGGCCCTTGGGTGCTTGCTGGCGAATCTGATCACGGACCGTACTCCAAATTCCGTCCGCACCAATAACAATAGACCCATCATAGCTGGTGCCGTCTGTGAACTCCACGGTTACACCTTTTTCTTGAGTAATGATGTTATTGAGCTGCTTCCCGGTAAAGATATGATTCTCGGGGTCTTCAAGACCGCTAAGAAGCGTATTGGCAAGACTACCACGGTCCGTAACAACGACAGGGTATCCATGACTAGGGAAGAAGGAGTTAGTTAAGAGAAATTGACGAAAATGCAAAAGGGAGAAAGGAGAAGTGAAAGACTGCTTTATATCGCTTACATCTTGTGAGTCATGGAAAAGATTGTGTCTGCACTCAGTTGCTCTCCTGAAGGAGCACTGTGAATTATGCCCGTCATGGGATGAGATACTTCTCTCAGCTTATCAAGAAGGCCCAACTGATGCATCATCCTAGTGACTTGAGGCCACAGAAAGATACCAAAGGCAGTAGTTGGAGGGATAGTAGGTCGCTTTTCAAAAAGCAAGTAATCGATTCCGGATCTTTGTAGGCCATTTGCAAGAAAAAGCCCAACGGGACCGCCCCCAATGATAATCACTTTGAAAGCCATGGTAGAAAACAAAAAGGGCAAAGTAGTCAAACTACTAAGGTCTCGTGTAGAGTAGTGTCAGAAGCCACGTGAATATAATAACAAAATGTGTGGTTAAGACAGAGCTTTGCAAGGAGAGTTCTAGAGCACTTAGTGAAATAAAACTAAAAGTAGAGAGAGAGAGAGAGAGAAGGCCACAAATCCTTTTATCATAAGCACTTGGAGTATAAACAAGTAAACAGTATGCCTAACAACATGGTTTAATGAATCACACGCAAGCTTGATTGCGGGTACCTGAACGAAACATTATTCTCACTGAAAGACCATGTATTTGCTTTATTAAGACTAGTGCTTATTGTAACATAGGAAATAACAATTAACGGGTCATATCTTGCTCAACTTCTTCTATATACTTGACACAATAATAAAGGGTATACTACATATAGCTTTCAACCAAGAACTGTTTGATTATTGCTTCTCTCCCTTGACATTTTTCAATCTATACTAGGATTCTCTTCATCGCGACTTCTTATTAGCCAATAAGTCGCCGACAATGATCTCATATTACCGGTTGTTCAACATCGTATTTCGCACATGTAAGATAAAAAGATGACGTGACGGTCTAATCCTATCCATCCCTGCTTGGGTTTAAAAGAGATTTACAGGTTGCTGATTACGTGGAATGTACCTTGTCTTTCGTGTTTGGATTAGATGCCACAGTCCTAGCTGAAAATGGCCAAAGTTCTAGGCAAACACCCAGTCTTTTGCGCCATCTTGTGTTGATTGGTGGCTGTAGGATGCTCGTGCATATTACAATAAGAGCACTAATGTAAGGTGTTTAGATAGGGAGATTGGTGTGTGTGTGTGGTGCCGTGTACTTCTGTCATGGTTCTTTTGTCGACTTTTGCCTGGGTACAGAAAGCCACTCGTGGGGTGGGCAAATAAATCGCCTGACTGCCATGACGAGCATTTGTGTGGTCGGCGGCGGTGATTTCTTTTCCCCCATGGCTGTAAATGTCCTGTCATGATCCTGGTCGATCTACGTACTTGGCAGATGTAACCCAAAAGATCCCGGTACAACGATAGATTAAAAAGAATTTTCGGGAAAGGATACCCGACTATCCGAAGTAGATTAGGCCGTAATAAAATAGTCTGAGACAGCTGTTAGCACAGCCGTATCCTCCTGCAGGATCGGAGTTGAAGAGCGCTTATATGCTATACCTATCATTGGCTAAATTCGAGTAGGATTGGAAAATATGCCACACTAATCGGGAAAACTCTATCAAGAATAGCGCAGGCCAGGAAGGTCGCTGGTTTTGGCGATAGACTGGGTATCTTACAGAAAGTTGAGAACAGTTGCAATAGGACCTTACGGTAACTGGCTGGCAAACTAGGTCAATAGTGTACGCCGCTCGGGTGCCAAATCAAGTCCGTAGTAGAACGTAGTAGGAGCGGGTTACCGTGCCAGTAAGGTGCCAATAGGTGCCTGCATGGAGCAAGCAGGGTTTCAGAGTGCCAAAGCACCACGGCATTGAGCAACAACCATGTACCCGTACCTATACGAGCAAAAGACACCTGCAAGTTTCAGCATACCTACCGATAGATATCTCGCCATGGTGGCCCAAAAAAGCGGGATTTCTGTTCTGGGAACTGCGGCAGTTTTTTTAGCGGGGTCCATCTGGCACCGTAGCGTTCCATGGCACTGTGCCAGCAGGGGCAAGCATTTCAGGAATTGTATTATGCCGAACCCAGGCACCGTGCCGCTCCTCCGTAGGTCTATGCTACAACAGGCTGGGAACTGGCGATTATCTAGCTACGGTGGGTAGAAGCTACATAATCTTGACGAATCTAGGTATCATCTACATGTACCCTAGATTCGTTGCAACTAGTCACTATGATATTGACGCAAGCTGATCAATCTGGCTCTCAGCTTCTTCTTACAGCAATAGATGCGCAGGCATGAGCACTTTTTCGATCGGGTGCTGATTAAAGGTCTCTTTGACGTTCAGTAATCAAAGATCTAGGTAGAAATTGTGACGTGTAATTGTCTATATCTATAACTTTAAATAGCTCTACAACATCAATTAACTGTAAAGGTAGTAAAGTCTGCCTATATTCTAAAAACTCTCTTCTGAATCAATACATAAACTGCACATATGTTCTATGCTACAGTAGACCGCCTTTTGAATACAACAGAAACAAGGAGAAAAAGAAAAGGAGGCCAAAACATATCAAACCAAAGGAAATAGTAGATAAGGATAGTAACATTGAAGGATTGAAGGATGGATAAAAAGCATAAAACAAGAATAAAATACGAAAATGAAGCAGGGCAAGTGATAACAGGAACAGTATAAACTCACGAAGAAATAAAAGCATATACTGTACAGCTTCTAATTTGATTATGAATATATTACTTATTATCTCATAGTACATAAGCCCATAAGCGCACTAAGAAGCCTAGGGCCTACAGCTACACAAGCATACACAGACTTCTAACTGGAATGACAGGGTATGGGGACTTTGTTGGGTAGTACAAGAGATTTGGACACGGCACGAGACCTCGCTGCAAGTTCCGAGCTCCCGAGTCTCAAGGACACTTCATCAAATGCGAAATGACCGAACCCTTCTTCCCGATGTTACCAAACAAAGACCTGCTAGAGATTTACACCCCCTATCCCTTACTTTCTGTAGAAGATAGTACATCAAGAAGAGTAGTCTATTGTAATAACTGTAGAGCCAAGTTCAACGGAAGGATTCAGTGGATCGTTTATCTAATACTCATTACATAATCATGTTGTCGGTTCAACCACACTGCACTGTTCCTTCCAACACTCTAGGACTTGAGTGGCTATAAAGACTTTTAGAAAGCAGTAGTGTATGCTAGCTTTGATCCCTAGGCCTTAGATTTTAAGTTGATCGCTATTAGTTTTCTTTTGTTTATTCAAGATGTACTAGTAGGGCCATGCAACGTTAGCCTCTGCGGACGCTAGTTGTTCCCCCCTCCTCAGCTTGTCACTAGTTTAGTTCTTTACCATCATCACAGTTCTCAGCCACTGTCACTTTTGCTTCCTCGAGTTTTAGTGTCTTCGGTTATTGAGATAGTTCGCCTTGTTTCTCACGCTCCTTTGCGACCCCTGTCTTTGTCATCCTCACCATCCAAGTCAGCTGCTTCCACACTCCTGTTGCCTACCTAGCTATAGCTTCATGAGATTGGCTTAGTTAAAGGCCGCTAAGAATAGGATAAATATATAGTTAACAAATGAAATAAGCACGCTACGCATCGGCAGCATGCATATAAGATGCTTTTTACCAATATTGTCTAGTCCGAATTCTCATTGGAAGAGGGAATTGGATTGATTAGTTAGCCACACATGTATAAGGCTTATATGAGACATGTCTAAATTCTTACAATAGTGCGAGTTAGTACCTACTAGTAGCTTAAGCATGGATAGAATAAAGCCAAGGATTCAAAAAGGATTTGGGCTCCCGATATTAGTATTGATAATGTATTATCAATACCTAGGTAGCAACCGGTTAGAGCTCTTAATGCAGTAGGAGTGTAACTGCCATTCTTGTATGCTTGTTGAAATCACGTCTGAACTATTTAAACATTGGTATATTTTGACAATTTTGACAATTCTTTCTTTATTCTTCACCCTCTGTCTTGAGATCAAAGAAGCTTGTTTAAAACTCACGTTAGAAGTTTTGTAAATACATTCGAGACTACTTCATCATGGCTGAAATTAGCAATGATCCCGCGCCTCCAAGCAGCATTGATATCATGAAACCCTCGGTTGCTCGGATGGTATGTTTTATAATACTTCAGATAATCCAATTTTCTAACCAAATTTAGTACGATTTTTATCTTGGTGGCAAAAACAACTTTGAGTCAGATAGAGCTGCTGTGCTTGCTGCCAAAGAGGCAAACCCGCAAATCTTTGAGATGGCTATTGAAGGTCGCCATTTCTTGCGCCGAGTCATTCGATATATGTGCTACCAGGGCATTACTCAATTCATCGACATTGGCTCCGGTCTACCCAGCGCAGATAACACACATCAAATAGCCCAGAGAGTTACGCCCGGTGCCCGTGTTGTCTACGTGGATATTGACGAAGCTGCTGTCGCCTATGGCCAGCAAATCCTCAGTGAAAATCCGTCAACTACGTTTATCCATGGCTCAGTGCTTGAGCTAGACCACATCTTGGGTCATCCGGAGACCAAGAAACTCATCGACTTTTCGAAGCCAGTTGGCGTTGTCATGATGGGACTGGTGCACTTCTTTTCAATTGACACGGGTCGCGACATCTTCTCAATTTTGAAGAAGAACCTTGCTTCAGGCAGCATGATTAGCATCACTCATGGGGTAACAGATAACCTGAGTGAAGAAGTCGTGCAGAAGATTCTCGCTGCATACGCAAGAACTCCTACGCCACTGATTATGCGACCACTGGCCGACGTTGAGCAAATCATTGAGGGCTTTGAGAAGGTAGAGCCGGGTGTTACTTTGATTCATGAATGGAAGCCAGATATGGCCGAAGAGGGAGAGGCGGAGCCTCCGAAAACATATGTTTGGGGAGGAGTCGTGGTCAGGGTATAGCTTGGCGCTTCAACAATCTACCTTTGTTGTCAGATCGACGATAGAATATGGTGCTCTTCTAGACTATAGATCAATTCAAGTAGAACATCTTGAATCTAAGTTATTCATTGCATAGTATCGAAAAGATGATATATTTATTATAACTCATTGCTCCAAGTCTGAACTATCAACAGTAGTCAGATAAAAGCATCGGGTCACAGCACGCCTTTTGCACCGGGTTGTTGTCTGTTTTCGAATCTGAATCCTATGGTATCTTGTTTTCCTTCGGATCTCACAATGTTGCATTAAACTTTAATAGCATCCCTTGCTGGGTCCTGCAGTCTTGCTAGCTCTAGAAGCAAACGATACGTATAAATACTAAAATCCACAGTCCTGAAAGCCTTGCTGGACCACTCATGGCCTTGCTCTGCAATTTCTTGAGCTCTTTGTTGCCCACGTTGAGTCGATGTAAGATAAAGTACCAGCTCAGGAAGTTCGTCCATGCTTTGGCTCACAGGTATGTAATGAACCCACGGGATAAGGCGGTCGTCATGCCACTCTTTTAAAAGGGTCTGCTTTAGCGGAGTTGATTTGGACGCCAGGAGCTTATAATATCGCCCGCTAATACCGTTTCCATCGATATCAAACACAAGCTTTGACCGTAAGGCTGCGTCCTTATGAGCCCATGATTTTGGACTGAAAAAGTTGCGCTGGCTTTTGCACTGTTTCCAAGTGCACTGAAAGATCCGAGTGAAGGAAACGTCGAATAGCCTCCGATCCAAAATGGACGATTTTATTCGTTGAATGTATCCACCTCTCTTTTGCAAATAAGAATGCTGTCTATAGCCCAAGTTCTGGCCCAGCGAAATGAATCGTTGCCTGTGGTAGCTTCGCCAGTTGTCGTCCGTGGCAAAGCCTCCTGTTGTCGAACCAGCCCAATAGAGTTTGTTGGCCTTTTGATCCCAAGGGATATCGGAATTTTCCTCATATTGGAATTCGGATTCCAGGTAGGCAGGACTAGGATACAGTATATCGGCCATAGTTGAGAGAGTACCTGTCGATAGAAGAGGGACTAGGCCTTCGATTAGGTTAAAAGATACCGGGCTCATGATAAGGCCGTGTTGTTGCTCATATTCGGGGTGTTGGCACAAATCTATTGCTGAGCTAGAGTTGGAGACGAACGGTAAACCGAAAGTTAAAGCCTCACTTTTCTCGATCGCGTATCCATTCTTGTGTGCTTCGCATGGTTGAATGATAGTTTTGTAGACGGGCTGATGAGACAAGTTTGTTAGATTGAACCGCTGATCTTGATAATGCTGTCCTGTTGTTAATTGCGGTGGGACAACGACTCTTGGCTCATCCAAGTGATTGACAAAGAATCTTATACGTGGCAGATCAAGCTGCAAGTCTCCCAGTAGTGTATCGAACATCCACGAGATATGTCTATCCCAGGAGCGATAAGGATGAGTACACGAAGTCTGAGCTTCTCGAGCACTAAACGTGCAGTCCCATGTTTCACTGTGTGTGTCGTTTTGTAAAGCGCTCATGGTGTCCATGATATCTTTGCCACTCAATTTTAGAAAAGGTAGAAGGTTTTTGGTCATTGTGTCGAATTCATCGATGATAGGAGAATTGTTCGTAGCAGCAAACTCGTACCATGCTCGAAAGCCAGGTGGAGGTTCCACTCCATACCGACGAATATATTCGTCATGAGCTGCAAGGTAGCTTTGAGACTGCATTCGCTTCATATTTTCGAAACCTTCTTTGGCGCTATTTATCATGGCCTCGACCGGGTGACTGGGAGAATCATCAAAGCTGAGTTGAGCCGCGGACTTTAGCGAATTAATGGCGACAGTATTCTGTATGTACGGAACAATAACAAGAAGTGGAAGAACCCACAAAACTTGCTTATAGTTCATTTGCCTGGGCAGCATATGGATAATTTGGCCGATGGCAAAAAGTGTGCTTGAGATGCAAAAGATCACATGCATATTCGTAGATAGTGCAGAGAAGTCAATCATGGCGACAATGCTAAATGTTTGTATGGCGGTGGCAACAGCCACAGAGCTTTGCTGAGCCTTTGCAAAATGTCAAAAGGGCTTCCGCGTGAGTATGAAGAAGATGCGTAATGCAGACTTACTGTACGTATTAAAAAGACCCAGGACAGAGCCTTTCCAACGCCTGGTGCTATTGCGGCCACCAAATTACTCAAGCTGAAGCCAAATAAGCAAGATTCTATCCCCACCCCAATGAGCAGAAGAACGACAGCCCGCGATGAGAGAGATGAGACGGAACTTTCGTCTATGATGAGCGGAAAGGCGTTGGTAGATGTCTTCCTTCTGGGAATCATTGCCATGTAAACAAGAAGGAGAACCGTGGCCGGAATGACAGATATAATGGATTTGTGATAGTCACTACTCGCCAAAGCAAGCATTGGCATTGTAGAAAATATCACAACTTTCCATGTCTCAACTTTGCTGCCTCGCGCTTGTAGCGAAACAGGAATTGTCGTCAAAAAGGAGTCAGCCTGAAATCGCCTTTGCAATAGCAACAGAACAGGCGTTAAAACCGGCTAGGCATTTGTTTAGTCGAATATGCGTGTCATTTTCATGGAGACGACGTACAAAAAATTGGATCACTCTGTTCTCCGTCTTATATGCACATGAAAAGGCAATGGATAGAGCAATGATCCACAAAGAGCCCGGAGCTTTGGACTGGGCAGTATTCTTTTCTGAGTAAGAACCGCTAATTTCGGATTTTAGATCGCTATATTTCACAGTCCTGAAAAGGGCGGGCAACATCATCCAGCATAATAGCTCAGAGTATATCTCGGATCTCGTCGATGAAGTATATTCCGTGAAAATGGTGCACAGTAGAGCCGCCCAAACCGTCCCCGTTATGGGATCCCTGAACTTCAAATGTGGCTCCCACATGGTTGCGATTTGCTCTGTCGGGCGTGCGGTCTGACGAAAGCCCCAAGATAATTAAGAAGTCTTGCCGAAGAATGAACGTATGTATCAAGTCATACTTGCAATTTCTTCCTCGATCAGGTATTCGGTTATTATTGGTGCCATGCTTCGCATTCAATTGCTCTATGCGCAGCGCAGCAATTAGCTCCACTGTGCACAACAGCCATTTAGGGGCTGTGTAGCTTCTTTATACGCTTTTGCGACCACTCTCTTGACACGAAACCTCCTTCACATTCGGTCTTTAACGAGGCTAAGATCCACAACGGCTGCGACCCAAAATGGCTAAGTTGTTATTAACCCCTGAAGGCCATTACGGTCTCGGCGGCCAACAAACAGCCTGTGGCAAAGAATGGCTCGAGTGCCATGCTAGAACATGATGACTTTGAGCGAGCACAGTAAAGGGCAGCTGCGTAGGTGATCAGCTTGTATATCGTTTTTTCGAGAGGGGAGATAAACCACGTTGATAGGCTAGGCCGAGTAAAGAGATGCAGAGTAGAGGAAATGAAGTCCTACGCCGAGACTAAACATTGTAGAACAGACGAGGTAAAGTTGTTAGTACGTGAGCTTTTATTGGGTCGATCAGTTAACTACAGGCTGACATGGGAGAAGATGCTGCTGAGCATTGCATCGATATTTTGAGAATATGGCACTGATCAACAGATTTCCAGATTGGTCACAGCGGCTGTTCCACTGACGCCCGCTGCACTGCACAAAGGCTGTGCTCAATAGGTATTGCACAGCATGCAAGACGCCTGTAGGATGATGGCTGTGGTAGCGTTTCAAGCAGGATGCGACTTGGCGACGTCTCGGCTCCCCCTTTTAGCATAGCCACTATTGAAAGAGCGCTAGCCGGCAACTAGACAAAATAAGAAGAGCGCGGAGTTCTTGGCTTGCTTGGGAACATTGAAGTGGGGTAAAAACTTCGCGAAACGGCCTGTTCCATTGGTCGATAACAGGTCTGGTGAGTGTAATATTTCCCCAATACGAGGAAACCAACGGCTATAGCGCTTGGCATTTCCACCAGGGGCTGGTTTCTACTCAAGCACTGCTCTTGGCATGAATAACAGTAGTGATCAGAGAATCTTCCGTGCTCTAAAGTCCCCGTTATGAAGCTGTCATTCCTGCGTCAGCAGATCTAAATCCTTCCTTGGCTACCGGCGATAGAGATCGATGATCGATGATCGAGGATCGCTTCCTTTGACCGATGGTTGGTGTAGTATCCATATTCCTGGGGGAGCAGCTCCACTGGGGAGTTGACTCTGCAACTGGTGCTCTTAACCTAGACTTGTAAACAAATATGCTCACAAACAAAGTTGATGTGTACATTTACGCCCGCAATATGCCTTGTTAGTTTTCTAAAGCTGTGTCAACTCCTAGAAGTTGCAGCAAAGCAGATTCCATCCAGCCTTTAAATTAATACAAAAAGAGTTTGTTTAGCAACGCTAGAAGCAGGTGACTTTTCGAAACCAAGTTGGGCGAAATGGTGGGCCATGGCAACATCCGCCCTTTGGTAGCCCAATCTACATTGCTTATACCTTTAATACATTGTACTCTACTCTTCTGTAAAGATTCTACAATACATGTTAATCCTGTGCCTGACGAGGATAAGGTTCTGCCGGCGACGCCTTTGGATCATGCCGGACCACTATAATTCCGGCCCGAGCATGCACTTGGAAGCACCTCGGAAGTCGGAAAGTGCGGCCTCGTCATCTTTTGCCCTTTGATCCAAATCCTCTGCATCCTCCGTCATAATCGAAATAGATGCACTCTCTTGATGCGTGGGCCGTGCTGGACATGTCGCAAGCGCACTATTCAGTGCGATCAATCCCGCTTTCCATGCGCCAAATGTGAGAAGGCGGGGCTGGAATGCCTCGATAAAAGACCATTGAGATGGGTGAAAGGCGTAGCAATTCGCGGTAAGATGAGGGGACAAGGTTTCGACACAAATAAATCACCTCTAGCACAGCCTAGGCGAAAACAACTGTTGCCAAATGCCCAGAAAGGGTGGGCTATGGAAGCTGGTCCTTCGCCTGCGTTGCCGGATCCTCATATAAGCAGCGTGGAGAGATTTTATATCGACTACTGTGAGTTGGCGCTAGCTTGACGGAGGGAGCTTTGCTTTGACGAGTATGCTGATATCAATGTAGACGAAAAACGTGTTTGCAAACTGTACATCTTGTACGATAGTGACAGCAACCCTTTCCGCAAATTACTTCCTTACGCTCTGGAAGATGTGGCTTTGCAAAAGTCCATAGTCGCTCTGGCAGCGCGGCACTTTGCCAACACGGGATATTCTTTTGATCGGATAGAGGCGAATAGTTCACATCGATATGAAAAAGCTGAACTATCTGCACTGCAGTTCAAAAAGCAATCTATAGATGCTCTATCCCGTTCACTGTCGCATACAGAGTCCTGTAAGAAGGATGCGACACTGGCAAGTATCTTATTACTGATATTTCTTGACCTTCTCGAGTCGGGGATTGATGGCTGGAGTTTGCACATTCAAGGTGCCAAAGTCATACATCAGTTACTAGCCGAGCTGGGCTCCAATGGCGATACCAAAGTAGACCATGGGCAGACGGCCACGGAGATAAGACAGTTCATCACCAGGCAGCTTTTTTTGTACGCAAATTTCTTTTCTCCACATCTTGAACCTTTTTTTTTACTGACAGCTACAGAATTGAAACACTCGGAACCGCGTTTTCAAGTTCGACGCCAGTATTTGAAAGCCCTGTCGAAGGTCAAGAGAGCATACACCAAGAATCCATTGTGAGGAGCTTTTTGGGATGCCCCGAATTCATTTTAAGAGCGATATCGTTCTTTTCCAATCAGCGAGCTCTTATGGAATCTCAAAGAAGTACTATCGATACCATCGCCATGCTCGAATTGACTGAAGAGTTCAACTGCTTTGAATGGGCATCGAATTTCCAGCAACCCGAACCGTCTTCCACCAAGGAAATCGATCAGCTCTGTATGCTATCCCAAGCCTACAAAAATGCTGCTTTGCTCTATGGAAGGCATGTCCTTGGCCCATGGACAGACACAACGCGAAATGATGAGTTGGTATCTCAATTGCTTCGTCTGGTGGAAACTCTTAAAAACAATGCGACATTGTTTAAGTGCCTTCTCTGGCCGACGTTTATGGCCGGTCTTGGTAGCCAAGCACAAAGCCAAAAAGATGCTGTCATCGGACTTCTAGGGAGTCTCTGGGATTCGACGAATTGTTTAAATGTGATTAGTGCTTCGAAAATTCTGCAAGACTACTGGAAAAAGAAAGAACAGACAGACACTCGAATACAGGGGACGACTGGCATAGACGAATTGGCTTATGGCTGGCTTCTTATATAGCTTTGCAAAAACGGCCATGCTTGAAACAGGGTCGCTATAGTAATTTATCTGCGAGGATTATGAGCAATGTACATTCCTGACAAACTGCACGACACGAAGTTGAAGTAACATTAACACGATGCCTCAAGATATCTCTTTTTCGCTAAGCCTTTGAGTTGCAGAGTTCTGGAAGTAAGGGTTATTTTAAAGAATGGTCGCCGGTAGCATTATCCCTAAAGCAAAACAACTGAAACTCCATTCACTTTTGATAGGCTGCTTTGGAAAGTTCGAATGTGGAATTTGCTGCTTTTGTGAACTATTAAACTTGTGTGGAGAATAGAGTATATATTATATAAAGCAAAATGGAGAGGCTTAGAAATACTATCAAACTACTTTACTCCCATTGCTTCATCAGGGCATTTGTCTCAATCTCATTGTCAAAGTCGACAAGATGCGTCGAATGACACCAGGGCTTCAACGTCTCCTCCCTGCGAATGAACGTAGAGAAGAATGAGCTCCACTTCAGGCGGGGATAAGCTTCGTTGATTTGCGCACGAGTAGTGTCGTGAACCAACTTCTCAAAGTCTTTAACATGCGGGTGAACGCCAGTATTGTCATACGTCGTGGCCAGTTGAATGAGTTGGCCAATGTAAGTAATTGTCCCATCTACGCCCATATCTTCGTGGCGAATGATTCCCTCAGACACAGCCTCTGCCTGATCTTGAGTAGCGCCAAAGTCCTTGACAATACCGAGTGCTTTGATACCTCCATAAATGTCAAAGGACATGCGCGTTGCTGTCAGATTCTCTTCTGTGGTGCCAATATCGTGTAACAAGCATGTCAAAGCCCATGTCGCAGGATTGAGAGAAGCGGCAATTTGGGGAAATTGCTGCTTGGTGATGACCATTCCTGATGCACTGTTAACAAACAAACAAAAGTATAGTCTGAGGGCTCTCTGATATACCGTAGAAGTAGACTCTCATGGAATGGTGCAAAGTTTCGCGAGGTAAAGTTTTCTGTGCATATTCAAAAGTCTTTGCAACGACAGGATCGTCAAACGGAAACTTTACGCTGTCGATTGAAAGAGGCTCCGGGTCGTTGTTGAAAGGCTGGCCACTGAATATTTTACCAGCATTAGCTGGCGTGCTAGTCCAACCGTTGGCTGCAGTTTCGTTCTGGCACATTGTGTCTTTTGTTGAGGGCTGAGATTGTAGTATAAAAGATGAAAGTCTGGGTAGTTGCCTGGTGTGTGTAAGTCTTGCAAAGTGAAGGATACCAAACACTTTAAATATTTCGTCGCAGCCATCGCTGCAATGACGTACAGATATACCGTTGATAGGTTATAAGCTTGATCAATCCGATACGGCGCCGAGATAGAGTCAAAATGAGAAACTTCTTGTCTATAGCCGGGCTAATTCGGAGTCATAGAAGCTTCCACTGAATTGTGCCTTGTGCTCAGTGAATTTTACTTACCCAATTAGGCAGTTATGGCATGTGGGGCTGGAAAGGCTAATAATCGCCACCACGATAATGCGGCATCTCCATAGACTTACAGATAATCTCACTCACACATATCAGATCATGGCAAGGTAGGTGGGCAGGAGGCTTTCTTTCTTTCCAATTTTTCTTTGAATTGGCTGAGTTTAACACAATTCCACCATGCACAATAACCCTGATGCATATACGATGGTAAGAGCTTTCCGCAAATCTTTTCATGAATCCTACCTGACTTGTTCAATGCCGAGAGCGGCGTTCGGAAATACTTACTAAATATATATGTTATCTATATAGAATGAGTAAATTGAAGCATCGTGTATCTTTTGGCGGTACCTAAAAGTTACATTTGTTCCGACCAGCTTGAATCTTCAACTTAGTCCCGCTTGATAATCTCTTTTCGATTTGTGGAAGCCCCGTCCACAGATACCTTCGCCCTATTGCTCTTTCATGCTTGACCCGAACCCCAAAGCTGCTCCAATGTTAAGTTATCCGAATGCATAAGCTTCACTCGTGAAGTGATTGATTGGTGTGGATACGATGGATTGGATCCTGGTTCTCCTAGCCAAGACTCATGGCGGATGAGAATGGTGCTGACTAAAATCACTATGTAGCAAGGCCATGTGTCCTACCTCTTGACTGTTGTAAGTATTGTTGTTGCGCCTGTTTGCGCACTTTTTGCAACCAACTCTCTCATTGTCCGATATTGAAGCTTAGCAGACGAGTCATGGATGCTCCCGAATCACCCGTCCGCCGGCCGAATAGCATGGATCGGGCACTCGTCAAATGTGAAATACTCAATCAAGTTAACTCGTATCCTAAAAATGTAAATATTATGTTATTAAAACACTCTAACACTCCACTTTGATATTTCTGCCTGCTTTGACTCATTCCAAATCCTTGGAACACCAAATTCACCACTCATGCAGCATCGATGCCCTGGCAGAGATCAGTGCCATTGACCCGACAAGTCTATCGCACTCTACTATTAGCCTTCTCAGACATCATATCCAGTCTAAGAGCCGCATTAATATTACCTAGCAAGAGAGAGGTTGCTGCATATAACGGTATGCCAGACCAGACTCAGACTAAGTGCAATTTGCGTCCCGACACTCTGACTGAAATGAGACTTTTGAAGAATCTCATCAAAGGCTGGCTCAAGTGAGCTGCAACGGCCATCAGTTGTATTCTAAACTTGGCTATACCGCAACTCTTGCCTCGAGTCTTTTCTATAACTCTGATTTGCCCCCCGTTACTTGGCAAGCAGACTTAAGAAAGCCTTTACCTAAGGGTTCGAAGGTATACGAGATCTATTGTCCATAATAGGCAAGAAATTCGCTGAATTCTGTCGTCTGCGCGTGGACGCCTTTTTGAGGTTGCGGACAGTGCGGACCATTCTTTCACAGCATTTTTAACTCTCCCCAAGGCTTTAGTATAGCGTGTCTTTTGCGTGGCCCGAAACGCCAACCCAACCGCCGCAGCTTGGCGCAACTCCTACCAACAACCTATCGCACCGTATTATACAATTGAAGGAGGTTGACATATACATGCACATCTACCACTCAATGAGCAGGGGAGAGACTTCAACAGCTTGAAGACAGACGGCTGGCACACGCTAGCGCCGTAATCCGTGAGCTGTACGGCGGGGTGGACGCTCGCCTGCTCGAGTATCTGGATTAGGAATTTGCAGGGGCATTTGAATGCCGTGTCATAGAGGCAGATTGCCATGGGCACATCTTTCGGAATCCAAGGGGGCTTAGAGTTTACCCCAAATCTCTTTTCCACGCTGTACAACCTCCCTGCTCTGACACGCTGACTCCTCGTAGTGTTGCTGTTGGTGCTACTACTGGCGGAGGCGGTGCTGGGAGAGCAACAGCCAAAGCCAGAACTGAAGGAGGGGCGAGAGCTGCTGCTGCTGCTACTGCTTCTCTTTGGCGGCGACTCCTCTTTTACTAATTTCTGCTTGTGAACACAACATGGCCACGGCTTTTCGCTTCTAGACTGAGGGGTATGGCTTGGGCGCCCACACAAAGTCCTTATTACGTAGGCCTTGGCCAATCTTGCCTGTTGGAAGCGGCTTCTTGTCAAGGGGAAGACGCTCCGTGAAAGGAGAATCGGTTGAATGTTCTCCTCTCCAAGGGCATCCAAAAGCGACGTAAAGTTGGGCCGCGCATATTCTAATCCTTTGTCGGGGAACAGCGACATGACTTCTGTCTTTTCATCTTGATCCAGGGCAGTCTATGTCAGGGGATTGCATAGAATGCTCTATATTTCACTAGCGAAGGGGAAGGAATCTCAGCCTCCTGATGCTCTAGTCTTTAATCTGCATCTGTTAATGCTGTGGCCATGGATATTACGCGTGGCGTTGAGTGAGGATGTGATGGCCGGGACTCCTGCGGTTCATGGTGTGTTTGGCAGCCTCTTGCTAGACAATCGCCAAGCCATGAACAAACTTCTCTTGGGCCGCTCGGCTGATGTGTTCTGAAGTCTTCTCCTACGCTGCTGCAACCTGTCCTGCAAGGCCTGTTGGCGCCACTTTTCGATGCCCCAGGGCCTTTGATAATGGAATTATTATGCGGTTGTTAATATGGCACGACATTCGGTTTGGCGAGGCCTTGTCTCTATGCCGTTTTTGCCCAGGAAAAGTCCGTACATACGCATGCGATGCATCTCTTTATCGGTCGAACGAGTACCTCACCCAGCAGATTACCGGGAAGATTTATAGATTCCCTTGCAGCCTCAGAAACCTTGTGCTTGGGATGTTGCCGCAGCTTGCTTCTACTCGTAGATGCGGTTTCAGCCGATACCTCTCACGTTTTGACAACTGCTGAAGCTGCCGTTTGGCGGGATGATCGGCAACGAGGCTTTTCAGGGGTCTCACTGTCTCCATCTCTTGGCTCGCTAATTTGTCGTGACGCCGCGAGATATCATCTTCCACCGTTGTAACGAAGGGCAAAAGTCCGCGCCTCTGATGAGAGGATTGCGTTCGAAAATGGAAGGCCGGAAGGAATGCCTTTGAGGAGATACGCTTGATGCACTTGAGCTGCGACATGGGTGCGCCGTTGCCACGAAGGGCAAAAGTCAATACTTGTAATAAGAGGATTGCCTTCTTGTTTTGAGTTGAGGGATGGTCGTGACGCGGCGAGAGTGATTTATGCCGTTGCCATAGGGTAAAGGTCCGTACTTCTAACACAAGGATCGCGTTTTTGTTGGGCCGAGCAGCGAGAGAAGGCGGAAAGGATCCGTCTAGCATTTCATAGAACGAGCCGGCTGTCTTGGACGCGCTGGCAATGGCATTTATATGCTGGCAAAGATTTCGAGAAGAAGTCGGGATTTGAATATGCGTTTGGAGAGCTTAGGGGATTATGAAGCAGGACTGTGAAGCACGAGGTACATGCACATGGGTACCAAGGCGCTTATACCTTGGTACTGGTAGTAAATAAGGACCGGATAATGTGCTCTTGGCCATGGCAGCATAAAGGACCAATTCACTGGCGGCGAGCAGTGGATCTTGGAAATTCATGAGACGAAATAGAAACTCAAGGAAGCCGCTTCACTTGTTAGGCTTTGCAAATCATGCTCGCCCTCTTTCTCACCGCGTAATGAATGTAGCCAAGTCTTCCAATAGGAGGGAAACGCTAAGAGAAACGTCATATTATCTGCACAGGTATATATAGATAGGTACGTGCTGCTATCTTAGTAGGAGGAAGCTATTAGGCGATGTCATAGAGAACGAAGAAGCACCGCGTGGATTTGCATCTTCATATAGTTCCAAAGAGCAAATCTCTTACCGTGAAAACACAGCCTCCATGTATTCTTTGGATTAAAGGTTTTCTTAGCTTCGTGGCCGAGGCATCACCTAAGTACTAGCTGCTCCTACTGCTCCTACTGCTACGACAAATACACGTGGGTGCTACATAATTTTTCGTTTGTTTTTCTGTCATCTTGTAAATTATAGGTGTGTACTTCTCCTCTACGTCGCTTCTCACTAAAGATGGCATATTCCCGCATAATGCTCGGATGAGACCTTGAATAAGGGCGGGAGGAGGCTGTCCCTTTGTCTTCTGCGCCTCTGCTGAGCGCGCCTCCTTACTCGGAACTTGAGCACCATTCTTGACGGCTTCAACATTCTTCTTGTTTTGGAGTCATTTCTCTACATCGCTTGCTGTATCTTTGAACTTGGTAATTACTCTTTTAACATGAGGCCAGGCCTTCTAAGCCGCCTCTTGCAACTCGCACTGCAATGTCTATCGCTTTCTGCGCTTCATCGCCTCTTCGGTCAAAACTTGCGCTCAACTTTTCCTTCCTTTGCACTCAACACTGTCGTTTCAACTGGATGACGTCGCTAGACGGAAATGACTCTGCAGCCCTGTTGCCGAGACCTACATTACCCGACACAGTAGAAAGCTATTTGATGCCGTCACCATGACTGTCAATAAAATTAACGGCCAAAACTAACAATTGAGGGACTGTATATCCTTCCTTCTTGTGACTCCATCGCTAGTTGTAATGATGCGGCTGACTGGAATGTTGCACGCGATATTGACGAAGATGATGATAGGATAATCCCAAAAAGTCAGTAGAGAGGTAGTAGATGCCCAACTCGGTCAGACTCAGAGGTATTTACAAACGGGAGCACGTGGGCGGTGAGCTCAACAAGAGCGGAATTGTTGTTTGGAGATAGAATTACTACAAATTTTAATCATATCCGCGGCTTGAGCCACCGTCCAATGAGGCCTCGTCCAGGTCCTAAATAAACCGACGCCTCATCACCAGAGGCTTTTGCAAGGATCTCGGCTCCGTATTTGCGCTGGGACTCTCGACTGGAATATGCACGCAAGCAACTGGAAGTCACGCCGTTTTCGTTATTCCCCACTGAACCCGTGGACAGACGCGCCTAGGGCTTAATCGATTGCCATAGCACATCAACTTGTAAATTAGAGATCATGAATTTGAGGGCTTCTTTTCCGGTCCAGACAAACTTGTTCGGCCGCTCTTGTATGAACGGAACCACCACTTTATGGCAAAACTCATGTAAGCCATTTCTTTGGCACATAGTCTCCTGGATCATCTCGAAGCCCCCTGTTTAAAGAATAAGAGTAAAATAAACTCTGCAAAGCAGGGAGAATATTTTACCGGTTTAGAGAGAATGGAATGTTTTAAGGAAAGCGAAAATTGATTTGAAAAGGCGATGAAAGGATTTGCAGAGAGGTTTGTTTTAGAACAACAGTAATCTAAACAAGATGTTATCCTCCTTGTCAATATTGTCTTGGTATTCTATGTTGGCTTGGTGGCCGACTTCGACCCTCGAGTACAAGTTGTCTCCGTGGTGCAGCATCTGCGGTGATGCATGTACAGGCAAATGCAATGGTATTCAACCATGCTAATGGATTGAAGGATGAGATGAAAGGCTGTGGCATTAAATGTATGAACTTGAAGCTCTTCTTGCGCTTGGTTGAGGAGCAATAAATGCCAGCTTGGAACAAGGGAAATGGTCCAACAACAGAGCTATCCCGCTGCCCAGAAAGAGCTCGCGGAGGAACGAGTTGGGAGACTTCTTCTTGTTGCCGAATTGCTCGCTGCGGGAGTCGTTCTGGCGCTTGGCAGGATCGAACTTGTGCGCAGCAACGGTAAAGATGGGCGGGCGGGTGGTCCAGCAGGAGAAGAATTTAGTGAGGGACTAGGAGAAGAATTTAGTGAGGGACTGGGAGAAGAGGATGAAGGGGGGTACGGTTAGAGAGGAGAGGTCGCTGTTAAAGAAGGCAATTGACTATTGGACTTGTTAGAGATGGTGATGTTGAAAGGTGATTTTGCGGTTTGGGTGTGGTTTAGGATTATTTACCTTGAGGAAGGCTGACTAGCTTCCGCTGTTTGTTGCGTCCGCTATTACTATCTAGCGATGCTGTTGTTCTAGTTGTTTTAGTTAGTAGTAAGGAAGATTAGTGAGGGGAGAAGTGTAGAAGAATTGCATAAAAGGAAGATGATGAAATTCACGGGGAGTAGAGGTAAAACTTTAGGAGTTGATGATGTAACGCCGAAGGGATAAAGGAAAAAAGAATATGTAGTAAGTTACATTACTAAAAGGAACACTGAAAGTTTATCAAAGGGAGACAAGGTTAATAGAAGAAGAAGTCTATCCAAAGAGGCAACCCAAGAAGATTGAAATCTGAAAAAAGGGACCGAGGGAACAAGGAGGAATGGACTGGGAGGAGAGGATGTCATTAGAGGGCAAAGAAGAGAGCCAGCAGCGTCAGCGATGAGAGAATGGTACACATCAAGCCTGCCCCTGCTAAGCCCAACTTTCAAGGCATCTCAAACACAGGTCGCGAATAGCAAAAGTTGATGCACATCACCTCGTGGACGTCCCCAACCTCGAGCCGCCCAAGACCGTCAACTAGGAAGTCCATCTCACACATCCCATCCACCAAGTCCCTACCAGCTCGCCCAGTTCTAGGACCACGGTGTCCGTCAGTGCAGTCTGGTCGTTCGAACGTGAGTCAAGGCGCCCGAGGAGCCGTTGCAGCAGTACATGGCCAACGATCTTGTCTGAGAGCTGCTGCCGCTGCTTCTGCTCTCTTCGGCGGTAATTCTTCTTTCGCCGCTGTCTGTTTGGCTATACAGCGAGCCGCAATTAGTTCCCATGATCCAAAACAACGAGACCTCCTCAACTTACACGAACTCACCTCTTTAGAGGAGGCGCAGGAGGAGCCGGAGCCGACGCTGGAGCTCCAACTGCGGCAGCATCAAGTTGGTTGGGCTATACAGCAAGTCATGATTAGTTTCTCCAAGTTCATCCAATGGCATTACATGGAAACTCACGCGAATCCCCCCGCTGTGGGGAGGCTGCCGCTGGTGCGATGGCACTGGGGCGCAGAGGGAGCGAGGGAGGCGCGGGAGATGGCGTCTTGTACGGGACACTGGTTGAATGATGAGTATTAAGTCGATGATTTGCGGTATTCGGGAAACAAATATACAAAAGATTGTGGAGAGAGAGCGCGTGGAAGAAATCATTGCCTGGACGCATGTGCGGTGTTGAACGCGAACGAGGGGAAGAGCGCTGAACCATGGCGTTGATAGCGATCAGATAGGCCCCTAAGATACATCTCCTGGACCTGAAGAATATGGCGCTCAATGGATCGGATTGCTGGCATTGGATGTAGACGTGTTGAGCACCTGCAGTTATCTATACACCTTGTCGCAACTTACATCTTACATATACTATTAGTGCTCTGAGTTATAGCGTCTTTCAGCGCACTAGCCACTGGAATGCGCTGCGTAATGCGCAATCCTCAATGTGATCGCAATACGTTTTCAACTCGGGTGAGATATCACGCCATTTTGTATAAAATATATTTTTATATATAGATACCTAACTATTATGGAAGGCAATATACAAGTTATTGCTGCTATACCTAGAGTAGCTTCACCGATTCGTAATTCGATGTTCGATTTAAGCAAATCCTGAACTAATCACAAAGCTCACATCATCGTTATATAGACCGGTAGCATCAAAAGTATCAACGCCACCGTTGCTTGCAATGTACAGATCATTGTCATAATGTCTGAAGTATCTCGTAGGGTAGCTCCATGACCGAATTGAATTGCCCTGGCCGTTGAGACCTGCCTGCGGACAAAATGTAGCATCTTCATTAAACTGCTTGCTGCCATCGCTGGCATTCACCTGAAGGCCGAAATTGTAATGCCTTATGTAACTTCCAGGAGTATCAACAGACTCAAACGAAAAGCAGGCACTGTTTCCAAGCCCGGCGTGGACGACCCAGCTAGCCTGCTGCTTGAGAGCAGTGGCGCTGGAGGATGACACAACTTGTGTATTCACAGTGGAGCCGGTATGAGCGATGTAGCGAGTTGTGCAGCAAGACGTAGTTGCACGCAGGGAGATGTGAGAGCCGACGGAGAGAGCTGGGCCGCTTGTCAAAGAGGTTGTCGCGTACTTGGCGGCCACGATGTTTGCCTGCACTGAGTTTTCAGTAGCATCGGATGGATAGCCAGAGGTCATGACACCTTCATAGAAGGTACCTTGAGCAGAATTCGAATTATCCCCGCCAATCCCTAAAATAATAGCACCTTCTTTGCTCATAGGGTTGTATCCAGAGGCGCTTGGGCGTACGCCGCTGTAGTACGTCGACAACGAGCCAGAAGCGGCGTTACCACCGCGAAGTGCCCATTGGTTAGGCTCACCCTTCAGAGCTGTTGTAACAAATCGGTACGAGATCGATGGATCTGCAGCATTGTTCTTTGGGTTGGCTCCGCTGAACAGACCGTTCTCTATTTCACGTTGTCAATATCACGCTGTTAATATCACGAGAATCGGTTCACGTGTATAAAGACATACCAAGGTCCGCCATGAACCATGGCCCACTACCGCTTCCTGTGCCCCAAACATTACAATTGCCGTAGTATATGGCTTCCATGTGGCCGTTGCCGGTATCGCGAGAGCTAGTCTCCGCGTTACCATAGTCAAAGCAACTAGGTTGAAAAGTCAGCACAGCTTCAGCTAAACAAGCATAACTTCAACTAAATGGCAAAGGATAGACCAACCATGCGCCATTATAATGAGATCCATCCAATACTGCATAAACGCCCTCCGCCGCGTCGCCTTTGGCAGTGCCTGAAGCAGCGTTGTTTCTGTACCCTGTGCCTGGGGAGATGAACACGCCATATGCTTTTTGCCCGTTCAGTGTAACTGGAGCTCCAATCGCACTGGCAAGGTTATCATATCCCCCAGAGTCAGGTCCGTTGAAGCCGCCAGGAGGTGCCTGGGTGAGATGGTTGCCCCGGCCAGACTGATCGTAGATGATTGTAATAAGACAAGTTGTGCCAGCGCAGAAAGAGTCTTGGGTGGCAGCATTGGCCACCCCTCCAGCAGAAAGCGGCGCAATGTTGGTCGTGGCATTGTCAGAGCCGCGTTTCACCTGGTAGAGAGAGCCGCTGTAAGAACTGTAGAGGGCACGAGTGGTGCTGTGTGCTGCGACACAAGGAGTGCCCCCTGAAGAGTAAATATCACAGGGCCCAGCGGCTACTAGAGAGCCTGTGGCCAGAAGAGCCAAGGCGAGCGCATGGGCTCGGTGAGGGGTTGTTTGAGAGACCATTATGAGTGTATGCCAGTATTAGCTGCTCTATGTATCACAACAACAGAGAATTCGAACTATCAATTGGCGTGAAGTATTAGAAGCTGCACTGCAATGGAAATGATTCCAACCTCGAACCTATGTTGGGTCGAATTAGGCTTTTTATACTTGCCATTCAGTCTACCAAGACGCTTGTTTTGGGGTTGCATATGAAGCATAAGAGGAATTTCCTCCAATAGCAAAAGACATGACCTATTACTCAATGAATGCTACCTACCAATAAACCGGCTGTTTAAAGCAGCCTAAATATTCCTGTTAAAATATGTCGTGATGTTGCTCTTCGACTCTGATGTTTAGCTCCTCATAAGCCTTGGAGCTGTTCTGTTTAACTCGCAGCGGGTATTTTTCTGGTAGTATATTTACCCCAGATGTGGAGGTGGAATATGCGCACCAATTAGCGGCACGCAAGCAACCGTCAATGATTTGATCTGCAGAGTACAGCAGCGAATCCGGGTGATATAGAGATATATTATTCTTATTCTATTTGATGTCAAGCTCTATCAGGTAATAATTCCCAAATGCTGGTTAAAAGGCTGCAAAGTCGTCTGATTGCAATGGCTAGTGTGGCTATTAGTTGTCTTCTTCTCCGCCCTACTCTAATAAGGAACCAAGTAGACAAGGATTCGACATCATGCAGACATCATTTCGTACATAACAGTGCTCCAAAGCCTATAGTCCATATACTAGTAGAAATACACTGATCCGCACCAATGACTGAATCACACTGCGTGCTATGTATTTGAATACCTTCTCTGGCCATCCTCACATTCTTACTTAGTCCAAGCCTCGGCTTTAATGATGAATATGTATTGCTCTTGGTTCCACCAGGTATCACTGTGAATAACTCGGAAGCATAAAAACATAGGTTCATTTGATCAGGATCCGGGAAGGGAAAGGAAAGTTCGACACCGGATAAACATTTAAGCACCTCTAGAGAAAGAAATGTTTGTTATATTGAGGGTGAAATAAATCGATCTCCATCTTGACTATCGCAGCAATCCTTAATACACCTTTACAATACGTGCCATTAGTATCTCTTGAAAAAAGTGCGTGTTATACTTGAGTAAAAGAGAGTCGGAAATTTGGAGAAGTGAGAGAAGAGAAAAAGGTATAGCCAAGGATATATACATATTATGAAGCCTGGAGGGAGTTTAGAAAACAAGGGCTCGTTGAGGCTACTGGGACCTTCTGAGATATATAGTGTTTAGGCGCTCATGAATTAAGTATATCTCTTGATGAAAATGGCACAATTATATCATAAGGAGACGGATGAGGCCAACTTGAATCAGCGCCAAGCTGTGAGGTATATAAAATGAATTTAGAAGATAATAATACATTACCCAATATTTCACATGAATACTACAAACGCTTAATATTATAACTTTCTTCGCCAAATATTTCTACCGTGATATTGAAATGACTTAATGACGAAAACCAACGCGTTGTCTCTACTCACTTTCCGTCGATGTTATCACAGTGTTCCAGAAACTCAGAATACTATTGCTGCTAATGCTACTGCTTTGAAGTGTAAGTATATAGCAATTAAGTGATTGCATATGTGGACTGACTGCTTTGACGAGCGATAGCTGAAATGCTGGAAAACAGAATTGGGATAGGATAACTTTTCTTTTTGCAAATTGCTCTCGTTGGTAGAGCCAAGACAAGAATGCAAAAGTGACAACGATCGCAGAGCACGCATTTCGGATTAATATCAGCCCTGCTGTCAGTACATCTGCTCCAAAATGGGAGACTTTAAAGGTCTACTATCGTGACCATAGTGTCAGATACCAGCAAGGGTCACAGAGGCAGCAAAACGCCCGATAGCAGAAAGGGGACACATTAATCATAACGCACACGCTTGTTATCTTGTACTATCCATAGACAAATGGACTTTGGTATTAATTATTTACAGCTTCCTATATACACGCCATTCTAGCAATGGCTACAATCTTGACGACTCAGATTTTAACAGTACTCGCAAGCTCCCTCAGGGCAGTAACTATAAGGCAGTTAGCACGTTGTTCATCATGATAGACTAGTGAATACATACCCGTGGTTGCAGGTGAAGCTGCAAAGACCGTCGTAGGCTGAGGGCTCGCCAGCGACAGGGCAGCCGTTGCGGCCATTCGTCGCTGGTGGCGTTGAGGGGCCAAAGCCGGTGCAGACACAAGGGCCGGGCGGGCAGTATCCGAACCTAATATTGTGAGTTCTAGATGACCAAAATCAGATGAAGAGTATTTCTTACGAGCAAGCAAATTGGCACAGGCCAGTGAAGTTTCCAGACTCGCCGTCAGCCACAGTTCCGGCATTGCAGTTGGTAGGAGTGGGAGAGCTGCCACCACCACCGTTGTTAACGGTGCTTGTGGGCGGGTTTGTTCCCAGAGAAGGCGTAGGCTTGCAAGTCGTGACCTGCAGTCCGGCGGTCAACTGAGCGAGACCATCCGGAGGGAGGGGGTCAGAGGCGCCAGCAGGGAGAGTGCCGACATAGGCGTTGAAGTTGTAAAGACCGCAAGTGCAGACAGCAGTGATGTCCATCAGCGAGGTTCCAGACAACACGCTGGCGCCGTTACGGGTCAGGGTGAAAGTCTGCTGACCAAGGGCAGCGTTCACGGTGAAGATGTTGGCGCCTGCACCGGCGTTGAAAGTCTGGGAGTTGCTACCAGACTTGATGGTGATGGAACCGGCAGACTTGAGAAGGGTAACAACGTAGACGGTATCACTCAAAGTCTGGTAACCGTCAGGACGGCCCAGGGAATCGGTAGAGTCGCAGTTGAGGCTGTTCAAGTTTCGGCGGTACCAGTAAATGACCTGATCCTGGGTGATGTAGTTGGCGACGTTGGTATCACCGTTCTTGTAAGCGGCGATGAAAGGCTTGGAGAGATCCAGCCAGCCATCGTGAGGCATGTCATTGGCCCACCTGGGAGCATTGAGTCAGTAAATCATCGATTAGTTATTTGGGGAATATAGAAATTACTTTGAGCTGCCGTCGTCAGAGTGTTCGGAACTAAGAGGTCCAACGTAGTGGGACTCGCCGTAATCGTTCCAAGTGACAATCTCGACCATGGGGAAGCCCTGCTGAATGACCTCGTTCCAGCGAGTGAAGAGAAGATCACCAGAGGGGAAGACCCAGTTCTTGCTCGAGAAGTGGGTGTTGAACCAGGGAGCGACAGGAGCGAGGTAGGTCTTTCCGTTAAGCCAGCTCTCATAAGCAGCATCGTTTTCAGCAACAGTGACGTTGACGCCGTTGGAAGGAGCTCGGTTGTTGCCATTGCTGTCCCAAGCCTATTGAAAATTTAGCACCATTTCTACTTATACGCGGCGGCCAATGAAGGCGATAAATACTCACACCCCAGCTCAGAGCGCCGTCAATGGTAGAAGTATCGGTGTTGGGGTGGAAGTTGGGAACAAAGTAGACGTTGGAGCCGGCACCGGAGCGGATAGCATTAACATCGACTCCGTCGCCAATGAAGGACGAGGCAAAGGGTCGGCCATTGACTTGGAGCTGGGCAGACTGGCCAGCGTATTGAGCAATCTTCTGGCCTACACCGGTGCCGTCGGAGGTCTGCCAGTAGCTAAAGTCGAAGGAAATGAAGACCTTCATGCCATTGTTGGCAGCAGACTGATAGGCAAAGCCGAGCTGAGTATCAGTGTAAGAGTCAGTGCCAATGTTCAAGGCAAAGGCGTCAATGCCATAGGCCTTGGCACGCTGCATATCAGCATCATAGTCGCTGGCGCTGGTACGCTGTCCAACAATGCCGATCTACGGAGAATGTTAGTTAACTCGTATGCCAAATAGCATTTTAACAAGTAACCAACCATGAAATGGGCAAAGACCAGACGGTTGCCAGAAGCAGCACGCTCTTCCAGAGATCGGACCTCGATCTCGGCGTTGACCAGGGAGGACAAGGCTGCGGCGACGGCGAAGGCGGTCAGGCCGACGCGGCGGAAAGCTCCTGCAATCGACTTCATCGTGAATGTGCCAAAGAGGTGACTGCGAGAAAGCCGCTTGACATGATCAAGTCTCTTTCTTCTTCCTGGGCTTCATCCTACTCTTATATATCTGCTACAATATCCGACACCCGACGAGGGTGAGATTCTCATCCTCTCAGAATAGCTTCTATGCCTATGGATAGTAAACTTGGCGAATAGGCTGACGAAAGGGGCAGGAGTTTGTGGGAATATCGTGCAGCCCCCTATCGTTTTAGGAAGCTGGAATATGCCACTAGGTCGGTCCGAAGGAGATTTGCGGGCTGAGTTTGCTGGGACACAGTCATCCTGCTGGTAGCGGCCTAGTGTACGGAGTAAATTAATGGCGGCCTATTAGGCCCGCTGTTACCTAACCCCAGGGCCACAAACTGCGTTCAAGTTTGAGGATTCAAAGCCGATGCCGAAGAGCTGGTTATTAAACGCGGGATCGGCGGAGCCTTGCAGGGATACCTTCTCTGAGCTGATTACTAGTATGCTATATGATTGCAGGAGCTGTCCCTTGCAATTTGCCGCCATTTGTTTCTTCCGTTTTGAAACATTGACATTGTCTTTCATATCTTGGAGTCTTGAAATCCAAAAATTTCAGCTCACCATTCTTCTTCATATTGCCAATAGCTACTAAATCTAGACACTTTCAATACTGCTAAGCGCATGCAATCGACCGAGCAGATTCCACCAAGGCCGGCAGTTCAAAATCTCGGCAACTCCTTCCATAACACCACATCTCCGTGTCTCCACAAATTGTTCCTACTGCCGTGCAAAGGATTCCCGTAGACTGGTGCCAGCGCAGCTAGCTAACCTATTTCCGAACAATCTCGCTCAATAAGAATTTAGCAATACAACTCAATGACCACCGTGAGGACCTAGAACGATCCGTCCATTGCCAAAATGCAACTCGTGATACTTCCAATGGTGTAAACTAAGTTTATTAGTTACTCGGCATTCATGTCGCCTCTCAGTTACTTGGTGTTAAGCCAGTGTCAGCTGTTTTCTAACAGAGAAGTCAAAAAGCTTCAACCAGCAACCAAATTTGAGCGCGTAGTTTATCAAGCAAGGTTATAGCTATTAGAAACAGGTGCCAAGTAAGACGCTAATACGGAGACAACTGTGAGTGACCGAGCAAAAGAACAATACCGTCGTACGATTCGTATACACTCCTACAGGTCTTGGAATTTTTTATAGTAATATCAGGCATAATAATACGCCCCAATGTAGTTAGAGCTGCGCAGAATCGAACCAACACTACGGACGATTTATATGCATTCGCCAGGATGCGCGCGCTCGCTCCGCTTGTAGGCTCAGAGAATGTAAATTTGCGGGCAGTGAATGTGAGTAAAGATGGAGGGCTGTGATCTTGCAAAAGCTACCTCTTTGAGTTCATCAGGCTTCGAGCCGTCGCAAAAGCTTTATTGATTGGACCAAGCGGATTTTTAATATTCTTCCCGTCCAGACATGTGTCTCATGAGATGAGAAACAAATGGCCAATGGAGCCACGCTCTACATTATTGAATACGAATAGGAATTGCAACGCTGAGTTTTGCAATACCCCTGCTCTAGGCAGAAGTTAAAGCAGGATCACAGATGCATACCGCTTGCTTGGCAATGTTTATTGACAAGGCCAGAGTCGGGAGGATTACGGAATCGGATCGGAAATGTCAGGCGGAAAAGCCATACGTAAAGATGCTAAAAGACGTCTTGTCCCATTCAGGAATCTTGCATTGTTGTAGCTTCGAATAGGTCTTACTGCCTAGCTGGCAGTGTTACTGCTGTACGTATGACTATTTCTGCTAGTTATTGCGAGGTATGTATCCGTACCTAGCTGTCTGTTGGTAGACCCACTCCAAGCCTGTCTTGATTACATCTATAATCGGGGGCGATTTCGCGCGATTGGTGGAATACGATAACCGGATATAAGATGCCAAGTCGAAACACCAGCTAGCAGCATCGTGTACTCCGAATGGGGTAAAATTCGCACGGGACCGTGAAATGATAAACCTTGTAGCATGAGCATATCTCTTGTCGTGTTCAGTTGTGCTGATTGCCTCTCGTAGATAGCATATAAAGTCAGTGCAATGTACACGCGCTGGCATAAGCAAAATATTTTTGTTATTTAGTGTCTTAGTTCTGCGTTTGCTGGAGTAATTCCTCATAGCCATCATGAACAGCTGACGCAGATGATGTAAGTAATCAATATTGATGCTTACATGGGTACTATATCGGGGAATCCATGCGTCGAAACATAATACGGAACATCTTCCTCTCTAGAATCTTTCTCGCTTCACCAATGCGTATTAGCACTATTCAGCTGACTCGGCAGCTTCCTCTGGCAGACTAGCTCAAGGTTGCAATTCTTTCGAAAAATTCCGACCATCAATACGCAGCATGCCAGTACGCTAAGCCGCACGGGATTTATAGATTGGATTATGCATATTCTGCAGGTACCAAAGAGCGTGCCAAGCATTATCCGATCTAGAAGCGTTAAAAACGATGATCTACAGGGCTCCTAGCATCTCGAATTCAACTCTCGGGTTTGAGGTTTCGTTTTATGCAGTGCCATGTGACGAAAGTCAAATGCCTTCTTATAATATAATTAATACCCATAGCTTCTTTGGAATGTCAATCGAGAGCCCAACAGCCATACACTGGACTTTACCCCAGCTCTAGAGCTCAATCACTTTTAAGATGAATAAGATGAATAAGTGCCGGTGAAATCGCAGTTGCTGCTGGTTCCATAAGCAGGGTAATAAACATGTTTGCTTATTCTCGTACAAGTAAAACGGCTGCATTTCGCAAGCCAACATGGTAGACTAATATAAATTTATTGAATTGTAGCTACTTTGGCACAGCTAAGACGAAGAACCGCCTGGGTTAGAATACTACAGCAGCACGCTGTTCAATAGTCACAGTTGGCTTGTATTCACTAGTACAAGTCACCATGCTTCTCGGAAGACGTTGCCGCGTAATACCTAAGAAGCATATTAAAATCTAGCTTCAAGGCACTGTGCACGGATATGGATCAGTAGAGCTGTAGTTTCTGTATAGATGAGAGATGAGAGATGAAGCGAGGATAAGATAAACTTGCCTAACGGTCCGAGACCCGCCGTGAGTAACAAGGCGCATTCTGTTGCTGTAGTGCTGTAGCTGAAACCTCACCCCGCCCCATAACTCAGCGCTGAATTACACCACGACTTAATAAGACATATAACAGCTTAGGAAATAATAACCATGCGTATTAGAGTGAAAGAACAGACTCTCAAACTCTTTTCAGCCCTCAAAATCTCGTTTTTATCTCTGTTTCTCTTCCTTCCTTCCTTCCTTTCTTTCTTTCTTTCCTTCCTCGACAACTAATTTTTCGATACAGGAAAATGTCGGGTAGGCTTAGTAGGCGCATCCTAAAATAGAAATTTTAGGATATGCTAGCGGTTCTTTTCATCCAGACACCTGAAAATCACGACCGCCTATTACATGATGTTAATGTCAGCTGTATTAATATCGTATAGCTTTTTGAACGCAGAATTCAGTAGAATCTTATTGCTTACTAGCAGTATTTTCGCAAAATATGGCCGAGTTTCTCCGCAGCCCGTCTAGCTGCTTCATCACTACGCGACAAGTGACAGAATAGCGGAAGATCTCGGAGAATAGTAACTTATACTATTTTTCTATAAGCTCCTCATTCCCTCCTAACAACCAACCACCAGAAGCACCTGACACTCGGTTTTCAGCCTTCGCAACCTATAATTCCTTATAAACCCCTTTCAATCTTTCTTTTTCTTCTTTCTTAATCCTTTCTTAATTTTTCTTTTTCTTCTTTATAAACCCTTCTTTAATTTTTCTTTTCCTTCTTTTGTCGTCGATATGTTCGCGCCAGTGCTCCGAGTCACAAAAGCACTCAAGCCACAAACGGCTGCATTGAGTGCCACATTTGTCTTTGCTGGTATAGCTGGCGGCGCATACAGCTACAGAATATACAATCGATTTGTCCGAGAATATCAGACACATGTCCGACAGAAGATAGGTGTGCTGGATTCACTCAACAACTCGAACACAGTCCGCACTCTAGTCAACCCTCATAACCATGTTACCATGGGAGACTCTTGCTCAACCATTTTGACAACGCTCCCAGAGCAAGAGACGCCATCAGACGAAGTCATCCTATCTGCGCTTGTGAAAGGCTTTTTCTCAGGTCCAGTTTTCATGCCAGAAAGAATTGCACTTCGACTTATAGGACTCCGATTCGTAACATTTGATGGTGAGTTTGTTACAACAAATAGTATTACCTGCAGCGCTCATAGCCATAATGAATAGGCTTGGAACCGACAGCACAGCCCATCTGGAAGACTTCACAGCTGTCCAGCACTCAGCTTCCTATGAAAACAGCAATACTATGGGGATGTTTCCAAATCGCGAATATCGAACTCTCGAACTCTAAAGACGGAGATAATAGAAGTGTGGTTGATATTGTTTTCGGTACCGATCGAGAGCAATTTGCTGGTTGCCATCGGTTTTCCGTCAAACGTGTGGAGGAAAATTCTCATGCCCAGAAACAGCCTGCACAGTTTCAGGTACAGGTGGAGAGCATTATCTGCAATCCAACCGTTAACAAGCCGATTTCCATTAGTTTTCTAGGAGGATTTCACAAAGTATACGCAAATCTGCTTTTTAGGGACGCTGTCGCGGAGGCAATGCACCCGCTAAGTCTTAACAGTGCGTAATAGATGCCATGCCGAAGAAATGAACTATTTTCCATGACAGAAATGTTCATGACTGTAATATTAATATGTACATTAGACACACTCCATTTCATAGTTACTGGCAGAAGTGAGTTCAAATTCATAGAGATTAGAAGGCAGTTGAATTTATAATAGTTAATGGAAAAATAAAGACATGGCTGCTTGGCTTGCTTTCTCAAACGGTTCAACCAATACATCACAGCAAACACAGTGTTTCGAAACGTTGCCAGTCGAAGCTTGCTCAATTGTAATTAGCTGGATTAATATATAACAGGGATTATAATTAACTTCTATTCCATCAAGGCTTAAAGTGTTAAATATTTCTAGAACTATCCTGTTGCGACCTATGCGCTGTGTTTTGTTCTTCCATCTGGCTCTTTGTATTAATGGTTCTCCCTCACGTCAATGACAGTTGACTTGAACTTCCGAGCAGGAAGGCGACGATTGAATAAAATGTCAGTCTCGCGGTAAGTGCGGTGCTTCAGCTCAGGGAGGAAGAAGTATGCCATGAACCAGCACACGACAGCAGTGCCTCCCCACACGTAACCACATTTGCCCGCAAGATTCCATCCTGTGGGGTTCAAGAGCTGTGAAGCCAGGTAAATCATGGGAATTTCCGCAACATAGTATGCAGCACGGCCAACGCCAGTGCTTAGGGCGCGAAGTCGGACAGAGGATGTCTCAGCAATAATCGTATAGGAGATTGGTCCCAGGCTCCCGGCGAAAACGAAAGAGATGATGATACCGAGACAAGCTTGGGCGTAGTTGGTGGAGTTGTTTTGCGGAATAGAGGCGCAAATACCAAGAATGAACAGAAGGGTGATGTTTGTGGCAGTTCCCCATAGGTAGATGGTTCGTCGGCCAAACCAGGCAGTTAAAAACCAAGAACAAGCGTTGGCAACAAATTGAAGACAAGAGTTGATCAGGTTAAGCTGGAAAGCACGATCGGATCCAATACCAGCCTCTAAGTCGGGGGTCAGCTACCTATATTAAAACATATTCAATGGAAACTGTGTACTCACGCTCGAAAAAGAAAGTTGCCTGGTTGGCAATCAAATTGCCAGCAAAGTTCTGAGACGCGTAAATCAAGCAAGTAATAATCGTTCGTCGCAGGTCGGTGCCCTTGAAAAGATCAAGAAGCGTGGGAGCACCGCCCATCTGTTTCTCGATCTCAACGGTACGCTCCATCATGGCAAGTGTGTTTCCTGAATTCTGTCCGGATTTACCACCAAGGCGCTCAATGGAACGAAGAGCTTCTTCTTTACGGCCGCGGCGAATGAGCCACCATGGAGATTCAGGAGCCAAAAAGATGAGAATCAAAAGAGGAGTCTAGTTATGTCAGTACTTGCCACTGCTGAATTTGAAACTCGAGACTCACGGGGAAGATCCACTGAAGTGCAAGAGGCACTCGCCAAGCCCACTGGTCGTCACGTTTATTATATCCAAGTGTCGCAGCCGCAACGATGATCGAGCCGATGGACCACGCCATTTGAAGAGTAGCGGTGCAGGCGCCTCGAAGGGGGAGGGGGACAATCTCGCTGGCATATGCGGGGGCGTTCGCAATGAAGAATCCCCAGGGGACACCTTCCAAGGCTTGTCCGACAACAAGCAGTGTAAGTGAGTTTGCCTATGAGATTTCATTAGTCATTGGAATCAACAAACGGGCAATGTCACTTACAAAGAATGATATAAAGATCGTGGCGTTCATAAGAACCAGGCCCAGAATAGTAGTCCAACGATATCCGATACGATTGGTAATAGGACCGGCCAGGAAAACACCTACGAAGGCACCGCATTGACCCGATTGGAAAAGGGCACTCTGCCATTTTGTTGGAATCGTCCATCCGGAGCCTTCAACGAAAATACCAAATTCCTTTTGGAAGGCCGCTTGTGCGACAAAGTTGCCGTTCAAGAACATATCGAAGGATTCCATAACCTAGCAGGCATTAGTTGCGATGTTACGCAGACAATGGCTCGATTATGAAGAGCAAACTCACGATAGTAAAGCACATGGTGAAAGCCCATAGACATGCCCAAGGATGTGTCTTGACCGCCTCCCAGACACCCATATCATGCTCTTGGTTTTCACCATCGATGGCATCATTTATCAGATCCTTGTTTCCAAGAACCTCTGCCTCCGGGACATCGACATGAGCTGCACCAAGGTGCAGATCATCCTGTTTCTCGCCTGACGACATTGTGTCCTGGGTGCTCGCTTTCTCTCTCCGAATCAATGCAATATCACCTTGAGAACATAACGGCTTTCAAACAGCACAAGGAAAAGGACAAGCATGGGGTTTATATATCTCGATATCCATGATTCTCGGCCTTATTCAACTCACGGACTCTTATGATACGCGCTTCATCTTTCGATGTTATGCGCGATGTTGCTTAGTACCCAGGTCCATTTACAGGTCCCCCTGTATGAGTCCGTGGATATGATAGGTGCGCATCTGAAGTAACCAATAAATCTCCGCGCCTCTGCTGACTAGGGCAAGCGTTGCCTCGCTGAGGCCAGCGCCTCGCCGTCTCAGATTGGACCGCTTCTCTCGCTGAGGATCCCTATCCTTGCCTGTTCGGGCAATGGCCAATAGCTGGCTCCAGCCAACAGAAATATCCCCATATTCTCCGTATAGATTCGGGGAGAACCTAACTGATACAAGTCAAGTGCGGGGAAACTAGACTGTTTGCGAGTCTGGAGAAACTCGACTACCCCAAGGTTAATACCTCAGGGCCTATGGCGAATGCTTTGTTGTACTCTGGGGTAGTTGTAGCTGCCTAGCGAACCAAGAAATTAACTCAAGATCCAGAAATAAAGTTAGAATTGACATGTGGTTTTCGTCATGCTCCGATGTACCGAGACCAAAAGTCGGAGCTATTTTAGCTGAGTGCTACGCACTACAAGTTCTGTTCCTCCGCCAGTTTGGCCGAGAGCATCGTCAAGTGATGGTAATACGCCACGAATACGCCACGCACAATCCCTGGTTACTACAAGGCGTGTTTTGGTGCCAAAGAGAAAACGTTGCTTCTCTTCAATCTGATCGAATGATTCTTTGATAGAATAGTATCCCCAATCTCTTCACATGCTGATAGCAAATTGCAAGGCAAACACCAGTTCTCCGCATATGCGGAGTAAATATGGGCTCCTAGGAGACAGTGGGGGTGGCGTGTGGGGGAGGGTCGCTTCATGCGTTCTCCAGCTGCCAGCTCAGCTCAGATGAATGCAACGTGTTGATGGAAGGAAAACACGTTTATTCGGGAGCAATGATCTTCAAAACTACAGTCTAATTGGGTAAAAACTAGATACACGATTCAAAATCTCGACTAGCGTATCATCCAGTCCCAGCTCGAAACGGCGCCTGGATTGGTTCTTCGACCAGGCGTGAAACTTCGAGAACTGTATTTTCAGCTTGTGAAGTTAGGGCTTCAATATTGGTCAAGTCTTAATCTAGAGCAGCTACGGTAAGGTTGATTACGTTAATTCGGTCTTAGTACATTTGATACCTGTAAACAACGCGAGGCGGTGTGCCAATGCATTAATAGCCTCTGTTACATCGGCAGCATTATCGTAACAGTAACCTGCCCAACCCATAGCAGCTGTAGTAAGCCCATTGATGTAGTTCCTCGTCAAGATATATATTCAAAATCCCCACATCTGTTTGACCTTTCAATCATGAATTGAAGCCTCAATCCCCTGGGCATTCTCAAATGTGGTTTCTGTCGCTCCACGCGCGTCTTTAGGCTTGCAAATCGCACGTCTAGTAGCGTCAAATCCTCGTCTATTAACCTCGCTGATAAGGATCTTGCAAGTGATGATGCATAATAATCATGCAATCAGATGCCTTGAAAATATATATGCTTTTTTATCTTTTGCTTTTGGCCTCACAAAGACCATTTTTCCGAGATGATGCATAATAAGAAGAATCAGCATCGTCAAAATGAGAACATTTGAGGTTGTTCAGGCTAAGCTTCCAGCAATAAGTGACACAAAAAAATAAATATATATCTGTTGTGAGTTTATAGTCGAAGAGATTGGTAAGGAGGTTTGGGATTGTGCCCTTGTCACGCTGCCATTTGTTTGAAAGGACATAGTAATGTACCTGAAGAAAAATGTCGGACTGTTTCACTGAAATATCTTCATCCCCTTTTCGTCCCCTAGAAAAAGGAAAGTTATTAAAAAAGAACATTATAAATATCTTGAGGTACAGGTAAAACGGAGGTCTAGAAGGTTCAAAGTGGAAGCTTGTGGCGTATCTAAGTAACAGGCCCTACGATAAATGCCAACTAGAACATGCACACAGATTTTGCAGAACATAATCCATCTTAACAATTGCTACGCTACAGAATCGTCGGCAGAAACAAATGAGATAACTACCTCTGTAGCAATAACGCGCATTCAGAGATAGATAATCGGTACGGTCAAATGTTCTGAGATAAACGCGGCGTTTCCAGGGTAAATGATTCCAGGGTTTGGCGAAGGACCGTACGTGTACTTGCAGACCGCGTGCAAAAATATTTTCCGTGTTACAATGATGTGTCAGTAGACGTAGTTGAATGGATTTTTGCCTCGAAAGAGTAGTTATTTCTTTAGTATTTATTTCTTTATACCTAAGCTATAGACAAGGTCTATCATGGAAGTGGCAAATGGGCTTGCAAAAAAATAGAGACCGAGCAATCGATTGGCTCGCAAAAACACGCTGCAGTATATGCACATGAGGGCAGCCATAATACCCACGTTAATAATGCTGTTATTATTCTTGTGCATGTGCATTTTCATTTTGCGGTGTCTATTTTTTTTTGGCAAATCGCTTTGAATGGTTGCACACATCTCATTACTAACGTGGCTACCAGTAGCTACGGGGAGATCTGAGCGGTCGCGTTACTATAAAAACGTCTTAATAGAATAAAATTAAGGAGAAAAAAAGAGAAAAAGCAAAATACAAAGACAATCTTCAAACTGATTTAGCAACTGAGTAAGTGCTCTAGACTATCATGGCAAGCTACTTTCGGCTCATATTCCGCTCCCACCTCCGCAGCAGTCAGCTCAACCCGGCCGTGATGTACCGAAGCCCGGCTCGCTGCCCGAATTGCCATCGCTAACTGTTTTGGTGGTCAATAGACCCACGGCTATGTAGCTTCAAATCAAGACTGCAGCAGAGACAAGATGTCTGACGGCTATCGCTATAGATAGGATTTGCGCGCTGACATACCGAAGCTTCCTTTGAAGGAATTCAGCAGCCGATGGATGAGAGATCATCGGAGGAGCTACTTCGTGTTTCATTTGCTACAGAGGGCTAACCTGCCTACGAGAAACCACGGCATATGTAACATGATCAAAGCAAAAGTGCGTCATGGATGATGAATGTCCACTTTGAACGGAATGCGAGGATTTCTAAGCTAAGCATTGAATTGATGCACAAATGGTGATGAAGGCGACAAAAGCGCAGAAAACTAATCTATGCAGCTCAAACTTTTCTTCTAGAAGCAGCATCACATATTGTTTTCGCCCATTAATCTGATTCCAAGCTCAATGATCGCGGCGAGATGAAATAAAAGTGCATTTGCGACTTGGGGAGCGTCTTTGATGATCGTTGAGGGGCTTCACGCATTGGCTTTGCAAAAGTGCCAATGTCATCACTGAAGGCAGCTCCCAAAAAGCGCGCGATGAATTCATAAGAGCAAGGTATGTGATCCTTCGAGCGCAGCTATTCTCCAGACCTCGGAACTTCGGCCTAACTGCACTATGCATGGATGCACAGCACCGAACAAGATGCGTTGTTTCACAAGATTAAGTCGATAGTAGCGCGAAAGCCTCACGCTAAATCCGCCGAGGATCTCGAGAATTTGCTGTGAGAAAGGCAATGGAGCCATGGAACGGCGATTACTGCCCGATTCAACGGGCAAGCAGCTAGGATATCCACGCACTAAGGCAAGAATCAATGCAAGGGTTCTATAACAGACCAAATGTCCCTGTAGCCTCGACCGTCTTTAGGCACTGCTCCGTAGACTTATGCAAGCTGGAGGCAAGGAACAGCTGTATCACCGGCCAACAGCTAATAATGTCTGTACCACAAGCCGTGTCCGCTTGTCAACCAATAACTATTGTGGATGAACCGCCCTCTTCTCAACTGCAGCTGCCTTCCTACATCCATCTTCCAATTTTTAAGCCTGCCTCGCCCGGCCTTGCAAGATGCGCCTCTTCGGTTTCGTCTTTTCGCTGCTTCTGCGATTGGGAATTGCCTACACCTTGAGCGAGGTTGAGACCCAGATATCCTCATACCAAGCCCATAACGCCACCTACACTGCAGCACCCACTCCTCCATCGGGCTGTCAGCTAGCAGTAGGGTTCCCTAGCCCAGAATTCCAATCTTGATAGCCCGTGTTAACACAGATCTTAGTGTGGCTTCCTGGCCTTCTCTTTACCGTCACAGCTGTCATATCCCAACAGCTCGACCTATGAATTCGAGGAATCGCGATACTGGGCGCAGCAACAAGCTCTGACTAGACCGACTTGCCGATTCTCTCCCGCATCGCCAGAAGAAGTATCCTTGGCCGTTCTTGCCTTGCGTGTCACACAGTGCAAGTTTGCTGTTAAAAGCGGTGGTCATGCTGCTTTTGCCGGCGCCTCGAACATTGACGGCGGCGTGACAATCGATCTTATCAACCTGAACCAGATTACGCTCTCATCTGATAAGACTCAGGCCTCTATTGGCCCAGGAAACGTCTGGTACGATGTTTACAACTATCTCCAGCCTCACAACGTAACTGTGATTGGCGGGAGGGTGTCTGCCATTGGCGTGGGGGGCCTGACTTTGGGAGGTGGAATGTCGTTTTTCTCTAGCCAACATGGATGGGCATGTGACAATGTGAATTCTTATGAGGTGATTTCTACTTGTGTTACGTTTGATCAGAACTGGAACACTAACGCCTTATGAATAGGTCGTGCTTGCAGACGGCTCAATCCGCCAAGTCAGCTACTCGTCCCCGTATTCTGATTTGTACTGGGCGCTTCGCGGAGGAGGGAATAATTTTGGCATCGTAACAAGATTTGATCTCGCGGCCTATCCCCAAGGCGATCTCTGGGCTGGCTCAGATGCCTTTTTGTACACAAACGAGACGGCAGCTGCCATTAACGACGCCTTCTATTTCCTTGGAATCAACGCTCCCTCGGATCCATACGCTCAAGTCATCATTGCATACGCTTATGCGCAGTCAGAAGATCTCTTCGTCATTGCATCTGACCTCCAATATGCCAAACCAGTCGCCAATCCTCCCATCTTGCAAAATTTCACCTCGGTCCCCGGTGCTATCGCAAGCACACTCCGCATCACGGATCTCTCGAATCTAACGGTTGAGTTCAATAACTCCAACCCCGGTGGCTTCCGGTATGTTTTCACTATCTAGAGGGTACTTCTTCGCCGAGACTGACTTGGTCCTTACAGACAAACATACTGGACTTTTACAGTTCAGAACAATGCCGCTTTAATGGCTGACATGGTCGCCATCTACATGGAAGAAATCGACGCTATCAAAAACGTCACAGGGGTTGGGCCTTCAATTATCTTTCAGCTCATCACTACTGATATGACCGATCACTTTTCCAAGAATGGCGGTAATGCACTTGGACTTGCTGGCCAAGGTCCTCTGAACCGTGCGTGACCTTTTTCTTCTTACTCGCTCTCTCTACTAACTTTGGTAATAGTAATCAATGTCGACATATCTTGGTCCAATGCCTCGGATGACGAGAGAGTCCTCGCAGCTGCGCAAAACATTGTCGACCGCTCTGTGGCCGTTGCATGTGCCAAAGGCCTCGATCACCCATACCTTTACCAAAACTACGCTTCTTACCAGCAAGATGTCTTTGCTAGCTATGGGGCAGATAACCTCGCAAAACTAAGATCAATAAGTACTAAATACGACCCGCAGCGGGTGTGGCAGAAGTTACAGCCAGGATACTTTAAGCTAGGATAATTTATATTGACAGTGTCTAACTTGCATGCACAACACAAACTATATCAACTCTCTCCCTGCTGTAGCTCATGTCTATGTTTGTTCTATGTAAAGAGGTAGAATTAAACCAGAGGTCGCAGCGCATCGATTAACTCCGTTTTGCCGTAAAGAACTTTGCTGTCTTTAGATTCCACGTCGACCATACCACCTTTGTTTTGGGCGTCATTGGCCTTGATTAGCAGTTCAGCAAGAGTTGGGCTCATTACTCGTTCCATCACTTCCTTCCACTCAGCGCGAGGAACAGCCTTCGCCTGAATTGTCTTCCCCAGTAGCTCTCTCAGAGCCGCGGCCGCGTCATTGGCGCTATATCGACGTGGACCCTCGGCGTGGATAATCTCAACATCTTCCGTGGCAGCGGGCCGCAACAAGATATTCGCAGCAATCAGACCAAGGTCCGACGCTGAGATCCTAGGGAACAGCACGTCCACCGGATCGAGAAAGCTTGGTAAGATACCGGACTCTTTGGCTACTGGGATGGCTCGTCCCCATCCCGCTTCTATGTGCTCAGATGATCGTAGAAATACTTTCTTGCCGGGGACTTTGGTGAGTCGCACTTCAAAATCACGGCACATTGTCGGCATCCCAATGTCATCGGTGATATGAGCGCCATAGTCCGAAATTGCAAGCACGCGTTGTGGTCGCGCTTCTTCAAGTGCAGTAGCAATGCTTTCGATAGCTTGTCTCATTTGTTCAGCGGTGTCCTTTAGCTGTGGAGCCGGTGGAACGATGACTTGAACTGTATCTGCATTGCCAATTGCCTCCGCAAGGGCTTTGGGATCCTGCAAGTCGGCTACAGAGATCTCACAGCCAATCTCACGTAGCTTGGCTGCTTTTGATGCATCACGTAGAATTGCTCGAACCGGCTTGCCCGCCTCTCGCAGTGCCTTTGACGTTGCAAAGCCGACTTTGCCGGTGGCCCCAACGATTGCAAACATTTTCAAGGTGGTAAATTGAGTTCCTTGAGGAGATATGGATGTAAGCGTAGGAATGCTCTGTTAAATGAGCAGCTAAGAAGATTGAAGACTTGAAGTATTAAATATGTAGACGCGAGGAAGAGTTGTATTTCGTTGCTGTTTTACTTGGCCTTTTAGTTACATGCCGCTACATTGCTCTTGATATCTCAAGTCCCCAGCAACACAACTCATTACGAGTCTCGGTTTTTATAGAATTATCCTAAAGCCGAAGATAAGTTGAAGGCTTGTTGTTCAACTGCCAGCGGATTAGCAATTCAGATGATCTAAATCCGACCGCCGCTGATTTGAGACAAACGTTTCTCCTCGGAGCACAGTGCATAGAAACTCGTGCCGTGAACTACACCTTGAATTTTTCGAGTGGCACCGCACTTGCGCTACCTCCACCACAGCTTTTAGACTGTGTCGTACACCATTACAATCGTACTAATCGAGTTGACTAGGTATGTTTAATAAACAATACAGTATGACCTTAAACTACTTCTCTAGGCACGTCATAATTGCTTGCTTGAGATGGAGCCAAGTTATCCCATGTTGGCATTGGCATTGAAATCTGTCAGAAACCTTCATCTTTTCCGCAGACACGACATGATGAGCAGGACAATAAGATGCTATTTTTCTCTTCATCAATGGTCACAGCATACAAATTTTGACTATTTCTAGGACCCCTGAGCCGTAATGCAGCATGGAAAATACTCCTAGGGAGATATAGGGTTCAGTATGCTTTCTTTTATACTAAAAAGAATGGTGACCAATCAGCAAACCTGAGCTTATTACAACTAAGTAGAGCAAAATTAAAGGCTAGTCTAAAATCAGCGCTCATGTATACGATGGCTTTCTCAATTAGGAATATTTAAGTGCTAACTAGGGCTTCTTTATCAATCTTGAAATGAACAATACAATTATAATCTCACGGTAAGATGGCCTGTGCTCATCTCTCATGCAGCTCTCGTCAACGTTACATTGAAAGCAGCGGCCGAAATCTTAGCCAACTTGCCTCCTTGTCCATAGCTGAATATGAAATCCCCTGTGCTTTTAAAGTCATATGCGGCTCGATCCAATTCAAGCCAGGACTGGCAACTGCCATTTTCCCATACCAATTTTGCGTCCTCTGCTGAGTTTTCCGCAGCAGTGGTGGTATCATAAATAGCGCGCCACGATCTTTGAGTGCTGCCATTTGAGCCTTGAGCAACGAGATTTGTTGGATATAATCGAGCGTTGACATAGGAAGCTTCGGGGATTGAGTCTGGGTTTGCTGAGAGACCGTCAAGGCTGTACAGGTCGGGGTGATGAAGCACATCGAAACCTCGCACGATAAACTTCTCCATCGCCAGATTGTTTTCTGCGTCGATATTCAACACGATGGTAGAGTTTGTTGAATGATCAGTAAATGTGCCTTTGAGCGCCTCCAGTGAGGCAGCCTCGGCCCGCCCAGCCTTGTCAACTGCTGGAATGAGCTCTTCGACAATGGCGCTGAAGATTTCGGAAGGCATGTTTTCACTGACTTCAGCACCAGCAATGAGTAGTACAACTGAGATATCGAAATCGGGAACCAGTCCAAAAACAGCATGATAAAGGCCCAAATCGCCACTCTTGGTATACAAGTCGACAATACGGCCATCGGCCGTTAAGTGGTCGCTCCGAAGAATCTCCCAAGGAGCGCCAACGGAATATCCCCACGAAGAAGTGTGGCTACGTGGTTTCATCCACTCTCGAGTGCGTCGTGGGCTGAGAAAGCGGTTGTTAAGGATGCCTTCGGCAAAAGCGATCAGATCCGACGTACTCGAAAACATGCCACCGGCACTAGAAATGGGTTAATACAGCCGTCTATCATAATTTGGGTGGCAACACCGAAGAAGAAGCTTCACGTACCTTTCAAAAACACCTAAAGTAACATTCCATGTAGTTTCTCCAACAGGGACAAAGCCATTTTTTGAAAATGATTCTACAAACCCGTTGAATGAAGAGCTGTTCATATTAACAATGTCGAACACATTGTCTTGGATGTTATCTATATAGCTCTTGTTCGTGGCGGCGTCAATCACCATTCCAAGGAGGGCAAAGCCAACGTTAGAATACGAAGGGCTAGTGTATGGTAGATATATCGGCTCTCTCCTTTGTAAGTCTTTGACAAGATCATCTTGTGTGCACGGTGGAGTGCCGGGAAGCCCTGAGCAATTCGGGCCGGTGCCTTGTGGAATAGCTGGTAGACCAATTGTCTGCCACAGAGGGATAGGAAAGATTCCCAAATCAAAAGCCGCTATGTCAAAAATTAGCTTTCTAATAGCAATATTAAAGAAAACAAGAAATCCAAGGAGCTCTTACTATCAGTGGCAAGACCAGAGAGATGAGTCATCAAGGAATCGACAGTTATGTCTTCCCACGGAATGGCCTCGACAGAAGTAGAAGCGGCAGCTTCCTTGAGCTCAGGAATGTATTCAAGCACTGAATCATCCATATGGATGGACTTGGACTGCAAAGCTGCTAATGCAGGAAATATCTTCGACAAGCTTCCCACCCGAAAGATTGTATTGTCATCGATGGATTCAGTGCCGATATCTGAGAGAACCGGGGGTGTAAAATGATAGCTAAATAGTGGTCCGTTTTCATGTATAGATTTGACCATAATAGAGATACCGCTTGAGTTTAGCTTTGAACTGAAGCTTGAATCGATGGCTGACTTGAGTTTCTGACTAGCCAGTTTGACCGCTTCGTTTTGGCTAGGAGCCTGTGGCGGTGGAAGTACAGCTCCAAGAGGTGGACATGAGCTCGCTATGACAGATGAGATTAGGGGAAAGACAGCTACTGCCGTTGTGGATGCAACGAAAGGTTTCATGGCTGAATGTATTGGGGCAATTGACCTGTGCAAAAAGTGCTAAAAGACAGCTAGAAGTTGAGTGAGAATGGATAGTGTTTGAAAATTTGAGAATGGTATTACTATCTCAGAGGAATAGATTTAATATTTTATACTTAATGGTAAAGAATAGGACGATCTCAAATGCGTAATGCTAGGTAAACTACCTAGAACGACGCGTCAATATTCAGCGATAATGGGGGACAGCAATAAGCGCTAAGTTGGATCAGGGCACCAAGCCTCAGGGACGGCGAATGCTACTGACGCTGTTAAAGTGGCTGAGATTGACGGATTCATACAACGCCTGATCCTTGTAAAATACTATGGCTCCTGAAGGATTATACACAGCCTTTGCAAATTCTACTAGGCGTACTGCAGACTATTAAACTGGACTGCGGGTCTCATTGATTCTCTCACCTAATTATATATATAGTTAGCTAATTACTGACATTGGAAAACAGTTTGCGAGGTGGCATGGCACTGGCTACGTATGTAGCTAAGCAGCCTTATTATTGCTATTTTTAGATACATACAACCGCGTATAAGTCTTTTGAGAGTTGATTGCACTGAGCATACAAAGTATACATGACTGTGCATATCATCATTGATCAGTCAAATCTCATATTCCAACTCGGCGGTAGATAGCCCGACCTTCGGGCTACTTAAATATGGCTCCGATACATGGCCAATCCGCAAGTCTTTACATATGTAAACGTCGTACTCATAGACGCGAAGCGCGAAATACGCGACAATATGAATGTCATAGGTAATGGCGTCTTCGTTCAGTTTAACGTCCGGGTCGTACCGAGGATAGCCAAAACCCGATGTAAACATGGGCCTCGTTGATGGAATAAAAATGCTCTGGAGTCCCTGTTTAATAATATTGGAAAGGGGTAACAAGAGGAGGGAGCGCCATCGAATGATTATGCAGCCATGGCTCAAGCATGCCTAAGTGTCTCCAAATGCATTGGTATCACTATATGGGAGATAAGCGACAAGGTAAATAATTACTCATTGTTTATCACGTTTAGCATTATGGATGGACCTGACATGGTATAATAGGACTCGTGGCGTACGGGCGCTAATCCGCTCTTATATGACAGTAACTTCAATCCCAAGGCTGCACACAATGCCATTGTCAACATCTTGTGATGAAACATATAGTACATATGTATGGTATATATAAAGCTTTATAATACTGCATTTGTATCACAACACTAAATATTGTATTAGATGTTGCGCAAATGCTCACCTCACGATATGAAACGTTGCACCAGACCTTTCGCTCCATTATGTAAATGTGATTCATTAGACATCTCATCCAAGCCGGCTATCTAGATGTGAAACAAATTATACGCTTCAAGACGCCAAAACAGGTCATTGATCCGTCATCCATTTGCAACTCCAAGATATTTAGTTTGGTACGCGACCTCCACTTGTTGCCGCACAAGCCCCAGGGCCAACCTCTCCTTCTCGTAGTAGTGGGCCAATCTTGAATGCTGGCATCTCGGCGAGGTCCGTTTTTGCCGGGTGATTTTTAGGATGCCAGTATAGAGTACCATGTCTCAGCCAATGCGCGTATGTGCCAGGAACGTTGTCGCTACCATCGTGTTTCCTCCAAAGAGAGCTCAAAGTGTCTCCCATGACTCTAATGATCATTCCTGTTGCCAGTTTCATGCCAAAGCTTTTAGTAAGGCAATCCTCGACAATCTTGCGTGCAAGACTTTGATCTTCGCTTTCTTCTTCACCATCCTTTGGTATCTGTAAAGACATGAGTTCGAATTGTTTCGGGCCATTCCATGCGGTAAGTTCGTTGATATGCTGGGATCCAATCATGTAATCGTATGCGTAAACGTGCTTTGCGACGTATTTGGGGCCATCCCAGCCATCTTCCACATCAATGAGGCCCATGACCATGGTGACGACATGTCCCTGGATGATGTAGTCTGTCAACATCTTTGCAGTTTCTTCACGTCCATACGTGATGCCATCCTCCTCCATCGAAAGTCCGGTGTCCATAAGGGGGAGTCCTTTTAGTAGAGGGCTTGTGTGCATCCCCTCAGTGCTTGTCTTTCCCGCCCATAGTGTGAGTAAAAGCTTGTGGCACCTGCGAAAGAAGGGATTGTTTCGTCTCGAAGCCAGGAAGTAGTTTGTCATGCTGCGATCCTGGGCGCTACCCGTATTATATGTCAAAATCTCAAATGGAGAGCCTGGGTTTCCGACTGTTTCGTTCCATACGCTGTCGAGATCTCCGATTTGAACTAAACCGACGTCTGCGTAGACGCCGCCGTATCTTAACAGTAGAGGAAATCTCACAAGATCTGAAATGTGCTGGTTCACATGGCGGCCGCCGATGGTGCCCTCTGCGAAGGCCTTTGGAAATACTTCTGGATCTTGTACGTCGAGATAGTTTGCCACGTTCAAAGAGGAGCCCGGTTCAACATCTAAGAGGCGCACAACCCAGCCTTTTCTGGAGAATCGCCTGTGCCAGTTTCGTACAGTGCGTTGATGGTAGCCGTGCATTTTCTGGAATCCGCTATTCCAAAAGAACCACAGGTTCTTCTCGTCTGTTATCGGCTTGGGATTAAGAAGCTCATAATCCACTTCCGCGTCAGATCGGAGATCTAGCTCATCATGAGGAATAGCATCGACACCGTCTGGGATGGGGTATGTTGTGAATGAGTCCATGATGGCTTGAAGGAAAAGGCTAGCGACAGTAATCAGAGAAAAAGGACTTCTAAATGCAATGCTCTATGCGTCGATGAGGGTCTTGGAAGATATTGTTAAGAATATGTGAATGAAGTCTGAGGAATGATTGAGATTTATATTTGACCATGAGAAGCCTCCCCGACGCTAATCTCTTTGACGGCAGCGGCTCCTGAGAAGCTAAGGAAGTCACTCTCCATGTGATCTCCGCTAACCTGGCTTTCAGTGGCGATAACTAAGAGGCTTGTGGCTGGAATTGGCAACCTCAAATTACGGCTGAAAGGCGGGGCAATCCGCGCTCATTCCTCCTCGGACAATGAGTCACCAAGAGTCCCGCCGCTGTGCTACACAGCCTATGGCGATGCTTTCCGCCCATTTAATTCGTTTTAATGGGCTTATTAAGAAGCAAGTCACCGCTAAAAGTGGTTCAAAGAGTCATTTGTAAGACGTTGATTAAGACACAGACGTGAAACTCGTTATAGTTAACTAATTTGCAGTACCTATCTTGCGTTTGGTTTTTGTGTGACTCTAAATAGCAGCGAAAATTCTGCTCAAGAGTCAAAGACTATCTATTTCTAAGCACCACATAATACTTTGAGATGCATTTGACTGTATGAATCCCCGCTCGCATAGTACTGCGACGCGATATTTCTTGTGACACGAAAGTACATACAAACGGATAATCGGCACAATTATCGATATATTCGCCGCTACGAATCATATCGGAGACATCTTTCAAATATTCAAACGCACAGCGCTTTGTTCTGGTCGTGGCTGAAGAAGTCAGACTGGAGAACCGCTAAGAAAAGTCTGGCGCGATTAGTAGGGCTCGGACAGTACATGTATACTATCAATCAGCATAGCAACATGCCTTAGGGCATCATAGTAGCAACATTATAGTGCGCTCAGAACAATGGTATTAGAACTAGCGGAGGCTATTCGGTAAGAATCCCAATGTCAATATTGAGTGCATCTATCTTTTACCGCGCTCTTACGGACAGCGCAGTCAATATCTATTACCTAATATGCACGTGTAGAATAGCTTTCCTCGAAATCAGATCGCTATTTTTAAGATGTTGTCTCGTGCTAAACTCCACTGTGAGGCGGATGCTACTAGATTGATAAGCGTCGGAATTTTAAGAGACGCGGGTACCCGAGAAGATTAACGGCTAGATGTTGAAAGTCGCGGTCCGAGACACGCTTATAGAAGTTACATAACGACATGTACGCTTAATCTAATCCATGAACTTCAATCGACTATTTCTGTTGCTTGAAACGGTTTTGTGATCACTATTCACTTCAGCGCTCTATAGCCGTAACTTAGGCGACTGGCCGATTGCGCCACCGGCTTACGAATTAAACACAGCGACACAATTCACTTCATAATGGCAAGCGGGTTTTGAAGGTTGCGAGTGCTATATAATTTGTCTGACATTGAGATGACGGCTGAATAAAACAAGAATGCCAAGTCCGGCGTATCTATACAGAAGAAGACATAGTGAGCGAAAGAGCAAAGCGGTAATCCATGACAGGAGCATAGAACAATAGAGAAATACAGTGTTTTAGGATCAGGCTACTATAAAATATACAATATATCAATATCTCAATATCCGAAAGTAATTTGGCGAGTGAAGCTTCTATTTATCCCAGGTTCTCAGTTTAGCACAGTTTAGCATGGGGATCGCAGACTCGCCAATTGATCAGCAGCTTCTCGAAGGATCAACGGTCCATGTGTTGAAATCCGCAGAGAGACCCATATCAAGATGATGGCATGTGTTTTCCTGAAAAGCCCGGAGACTTTGAAGCTCGGAACAGATGTGGGATGGTAACAATCTCTTGTGTATTGCCATCATTCATTGCATTATCGGCTATAAACGCCATCGTGCCATGTGGGGTAGATCATGGATCGCACAGTTGGGATTTCCCCTTTTAGGCACCGCGCGGTGAAATCTCCCACGCGAGCCTTCAACAGATGGATTCTAACGCGGAAAAGCGAAATATTTACGAAATTAAACAATGTTGAGCTTAGAAATCAATAATGAGGTACAAGATAAAAGTACGAGTCGCGGTGTGTTCTCAGCTCTATTTAAAGGCAAGATGCAGCCACCGTTTGCAGCTCTGATCACTTCAATCACAGACAAGGATTCAGGCATCGACATAAACATCTCCTCACAATCAAAACTCTACTAGAACTTTGAATCATGTCAAAAGTCATTGCAGTCGCAGGCGGTACCGGCAGTGTTGGCCGCACCATTGTGGATGAACTAGAGAAGTCTTCTCTTTACGATACCATTGTCTTGGCCCGCAATGTAAGTTACAGACAATTCCCGGGCGTCAAGTAAGGGTTTGATGACTGAACTAGTTTCCAAGGTCCCGGATCACAATGAGAACAAGTCTCCTGTTCTTGCCGTCGATTACAATAACGTGGCTGAAACGGCACAGCTTCTTGCGAGCCGCAAGGTAGAAGTCGTCATCTCCACCATTCACATAATGGAAGAGGTTGCTTCGACAGCGCAAATCAATTTAATCAAAGCCGCCAGTCAATCTGGTACGGTCAAGCGCTTCATCGTTAGTGAATGGGGCATTGTCCATACTGAAGCGTGAGCTCGCATCCAGTCCTTGAAGTCCAATTTTTATCTAACATGGGTGTAGATCTCCTATGTATAAGTTTCGAGAAGAGGCTGCATCTGAGCTTCGAAAGTCCGGACTAGAATGGACTCGGGTCTCTAACGGCTACTTCATGGACTATTACGGATATCCTCACGTCAAAACGTATCTGAAGCCGATCTCTTTCGTGGTTGACGTGAAAAACAAGGCTGCCGGTATCCCTGGTTCTGGAGATGATGTTGTTGCTTTTACTTATACGGCCGATGTGGCCAAATTTGTCGTTGCATCTCTGGGGCTGCCTAAGTGGGAAGAGATTACTTATTGCTATGGTGAAAAATCATCATACAACAAAATTCTTGCCCTTGCAGAAGAAGCTCGTGGTATGTCATTCCACCTTATTCGCTTTTCACTTGATCCATACAATTGCGCACAATATTAACCCTATTTTAGGCACAAAGTTCAATGTTACCTATGACTCTGTTGAAAAGCTCAACAAAGGCGAGGTTACAGAATTGCCTTCCCACCCTGCCATATATTCCATGGCACCAAAGGAAGTACTCCAGGGAATCTTTTCACTGTTCGGCAAGTGGATCATCAATGGAGATTTCGACGTGCCTGAGGATCTTAGCTTGAACGCCAAATTTCCCGACATCAAGACAACCAAGCTGAGTGAGATCGTTGGGGCATGGAAGGGACACTAATGCAATCCATACTCACTCACCAAGCGCATAATTTCTAAGGATAGTTTAGAATGGGATATGGTACGGTAACAAACATCATTATGCGTATTACTATATAAGCAATGGTATTGATCCCATCATTCTGAAACAAAAAGTGAAGTCCCATGTTTCCTCGTCTTTCTCTCCACGAGTGATCCATACTTTCTCCATTATCTTTAGTGCCTCATTCAGCGTGCCAAAAGCTGACAAGGAACCCATTTTGGAAGCAATTTGTCTAAAATCCGCTTCTTGATTCTTGGTAGCGAGGCAACCAGCGATAAAAAATGGCCAAGTGAGGCTACGCAAGATTGCTGGAGACTGAATCTGTTGTAAAAGACGTGAGGCTGATGAGACATTTTCTTGAATGTCTTGGTCTTCCTCCCGCCATCCAAAATTAGTGATCAGTAGATAGAGAACGGCTGCGTGTGCCCATATCAAGCTAACCGATATGGTATCTATACTCTGTAGAAGAGTCTCGGGGTGGACATAAGCCTGAGGAAGGACCGGGTTGTCTATGGGTTGCTGCATCCCGGTATTAAGACTAGCTATGCCGCTCTGAAGATCTGCAGCAATCCTATTACTCTCAAAAAGTAGATCTTCTTTGAGTACACGCCCAGACTTTTTTCCTTCTTCTAGAACCGCAATATCAGCTATTAAAAGAAGAATCCAGCCTTGGCAGCCAACAAAGTCTCCCAGCTCTAAAACTTGACTTGGATGAGCTGCTTTAGCTCTGGGTTTAATTAGGCGTGGATAGTACTCTCGCAATTTGGGAACATCTCCCAAAGTGGTTGCAGATATAATATCCGCAAAAATGACAAAAGCGACATGAAATCGAAAAGCGCTTTGGTCGCTGTTCCACATTCTGTGGCTTGGCGACTCAGTTGACCATCCCGGCCTCTGCATCATGGCAAACACCGAAGTCAGGTCAGCCATCTCACCACGAGGCTCAGGCAGTTCCAATATGTCTTTAAGCAGTGAAACGGCAGCGGTTATATGAACACTCCATTCCGTAGTCCTTGCAATGTTTGTGTCAAACACTAACAACTGCACGACACCTTCAAATAGATGTGCTTTTCCAAAGACTGATATTGGAGTTGGGCTGACATGGAGATCATTTATTCCCTTTCTTATGGAGTTGATTGCATTATCAATGTGAGAAGTGAGTTTGCGCTGAATCAATCTCCTGCAACCTTCATGCTCATCTTGGCCATCCGCAATGTTCGCCATAACTAGAGTGAAGAAATAGGTCGAAAAGCCCATGGCAGTATGGAATAGTGGCATACTGTTTCTCAAAGTTGCCAACAGCCAGCCGCGCCCCCCTTCAAAGATTGAAGGGCGGTAGAACGGAAAAAGAAAGGGAAAGGCATAATCCAGAAAAATGATTTCAAGATCAAGATCAATGTCATTGTTGACCCCAAGTAAAACCGGGTCAGTAACGTCTCTATCCGACTTGACATTTTCAGCCCGTGGTACATCATTCTTTGAGGGTTCGTTTTCGGATGATGTTTGAGCTTCTTTCTCAGCCTTATCCGCTTTAGGTGTTTGAGCAGCTACTTTTAGGCCGCCTTTCGGTCGTTTTGTTCTTCCAAGGGGCATTACTTTCACATAGCTCTTTTCGCGGCGGCTTTCTGCTTTTTCCTTGACTTGAGCTTTGATCTGGTCTGCAAATTCATCTCGCTCGCGATCATTGTTGATCCAACTTGGCCGGCTATTGCCATCATGGCAAGTTATGTCAAGTGAGCGACAGGCACTGCAAGCCGGTTGTTTTCGGTCGCATCGCTTCTTGCGAATCCGGCAAGTCCAGCACGTTTTTGAAGATAAGTGGCTCATTGGGAACGTAAAGGGAGAGGGCGATAATGAAAACAATATGTTACTGCACGTTAGTATACTCTTCAAATCTATCGCCACTTGTTCAAGCAGCTACTGTAAGGAGTAAGGGGATGGGCGAGGATGCCATCACGAAACCATGGATCCGCGCGGTCACCAATCTAGGATTAGCGGATTACCAATATCAATGCCCACATCCAGGGGTAGGCTCTGCGGAGCTTGCGGATTTAGTCTTTCATTGGTGGGATTGAGACAATGGTTCTATGGCGAGGAGAGTAGTAATTGACTTTTGCTAAATGATTTGCTGAACGCGTAACTCGTAAAAGGATTCAGTGGGGATTCCCAAAATTGGTAATCAAGCGCGTATTTCATTTAATGAAGTCACTATAACCGTTTTTGTGCGTTTTGTTCTTGATCACTGAGCCATTTTCTTTCTCTTCATCCAGTGAGTTAGACAAATAAACTCACTTAAAGCCTGCCCAAGTCCACCCACCGCTATGATGGTGCGGAGATACAGTACGATTGCTAGACATATCGTGTCCGGTAACAAAAGCTGCTTATAAAACGGACGTTGTGATATTCAAGACCTGCATAGTATAAAATGGCTGTAGAGTCGCTATGGACGACTACAAGAAACTGGTATCACCTATTCCTTCAAGAGTCACTTGAGACAACCAGATATTTCATACTGCTACGGCTTTGCGGACAGTTCATTCGCATCTCATTCTACACGTAGTCTCCAATGGCTTTTTTCTCCAGCACTCTCTCCAAGAAGCATGTCCTAGTGACAGGTAATACCTTCATCAATCCGGTATTCCTACATCTTTTAATAGCAAATCGCAGGCGGCTCGAAGGGTATCGGCAGATCCATAGTAGAATCCTTCTTAGCCGAGGGAGCGAATGTCTCGTTTTGCGCTCGCACAATTCGTGAAGACGAATTCTCATCTTTCACGGGCGCCAGTCATGGAGCACAAGCCGTTGGCTCAATTGTCGACATTGGAAACCCAGACGAGATCAAAGCTTGGGTAAGCCAAGCAGCCGAAACGTTTGGTCGCATTGATTCCGTTATCGCCAATGGTAAGCCATGCCGAAACACCTTTCCTTCTGGACCTTTGACCAACAGTCTCTAACCACCGAGCTTCTGAAAAGCATCTCCTATCATTGTGGAAGCAACAAGTGAGGGCTGGGAGAAGAGTTTTCGTGCCGATATACTAGGCTTGATTACTTTGATTGAAGCATCTATACCCTTCCTCGAGGAGCAATCGAAAGCTTCGGAGAATGCGTCCATCATCGTGATCAGCTCTATGGCGGGATTTGAGGCGCGTCATCCGTCAATCGCCGGACCCTACTCAACTTTGAAGAGAGCCCAGGCCGTCTTGGCTAAAGATTATTCCCGAACCCTTGGCCCTCGAGGTATTCGGATCAACTCGATTGCACCGGGGTCTATTGAGAACCCCAATATCACGTTACCAGATGGCACGGTACAGTGGAGCTCTTATCAAATTGTTAAAAGAGACAACTATCCATTCTATAAAGCTCTGCTGGATGCTGTTCCACTTGGAAGAACAGGCACTCCAGAGGAGATTGCCAATACCGTCATTTTTCTTGCCAGCAGGCTCTCTAGCTACATCAATGGGGCTAACATCGTGGTCGATGGTGGCATGTCAATTACATTTTAGACTAGTCAATGCGTATCGCTTTCTTAAATAGGTTGTCCATGCGTATTACGTGTCCGCCCAGTCAATACTACTAAAACATGGGAAAGATCAGTCTTTCTGCTGAAAGATAAGAATATATGACATGTTAATGATATGAGTTGCACATTTCAATAGTTCATTGGCCAATAGCTAAATGTATAGTAAACGGCAATCGCTTAATGAAGATAATAAATGCTTGCCCTCTGGGGCTTGATAATTCCTCTACCATGGGATTTCAAGGCCATCGTATTGGTTTACTCCTTCGGCATGCTCCCAGCCTGAAACGAAGATGTTGTAAAACTTTCCGTTGTAGCTAGTGTCTGCTTTGTTGATAAGATCCATTACCGCTTTAGCTCCTGTTGCGACATCGAGATCGGCTTTATCGGAACCCATGTCTGTTTTCAACCACTAAATAACGCGTTAGATCTTTAACAATATCAAGCACCAGAGTGATACTTACTCCTGGACTTAAAGATAAGAAAGTGAATCCTTCCTTCTTATACTGTGTTGCATATTGCACTGTCAACATACTCATCGCAGCTTTGGTAATTTTATACGCGTATACTGGTGACCAGAGGTAACGATCCGCCCACGCAACTGAGCCCAAAGTCGACGAACTTCAATCTTATTAGCCAAAACGCTGAGCGGCTTACTGAAAAAAAGATAGAATTCTTACACCATGATAACTTTCTTTTCTTTTCCCCGTTTCAGGGACGGGATAAGTGCAGCGGTAACTCTATGAGCTGCGACGACATTGACGTCAAAAACTTGAAGCAATTCTTCCGCATCCATTGTGTGAATTCCTTCGGGCGTAATTGGCATTGACTAATGTGAAATTTGTTAGCATAGTGTGCTAACAGAATGCTCAAACGTTATACATACACCGATATTGTTGATCAAGACGTCAAGCCCTTCCCCTTCGAGTTTTTCTTCTACTTCAGCAGCGGCACGTCGAACACTTGCGGTTTCGACAACTTCGCACTTTATGTGGATGACCTTTTTGCCAGAAGTATTAATAATAGCGCTCAGTTCGGCCGGCGGGCTTCCTCTCGTCGTAACAAAAAGCTTTGCAACGCTTGAGTCGTCAACCAGTTGACGGACAAGAGCAAGGCCAAGGCCACGCCCTCCTCCAGTAACCAATATGTTTGCCATTTGGAAGTTGATTGAGTCGTTATATTGTAGTGGAAGCTTTCGAATGCAGGAAAGGTTGTTTGTTAATAGAATTATCTCTGTCTGTAACTGGATATAGGTATATATATGAACGTTTCTTGGCGGAGATAGGAGGAGGACACTTTTAAATCCGACTTTTGACGAGAATCATCTTTTATCCTGCCCAAGTATGTCCGATTGACTGACAAGCACGTCCGATTGACTGACAAGTAGGTATCCTACTTGACTGGAAAGTATCTAACTGCTCTCAGACTCTCCTATGACTTATTAATGTTGCATCGGAAGGATGCGATTTACCACTAATCCATTCCCCAATTATTAAGCGATTCCTCCTGAATGCTGATTAATTGGCATACAAAACAGAGAAAAATAGTCTCTGAGAAACCTCCTTATGCTAGCGAAATGGTATATTCTTGGTTTCTTTTATGTAAAAGCAATGTTTAATCTAGATAGTCACGTCAACTTATCTCGTAGCTGGCTACCTCTTTGGTTGTCTTCTCCTGACCCATACTTCCTTATCCGCGAAACCTGACACTTCACTAGCGCCAACTTCCATTTGCTGCGAATCCAAGCCTTCAATTTCGCGCAGTTGCGTTTCCCATATATCTAGCTGGTAATTTCCCCGGTCTGCTGCTCCTGTGAATATATCGAATGACCATTCATGTTTTGGGCATGTCAGCCCAGCGCTAAAAACGATGCCGAAGTCTTCAATGTCGAATGGCGTGCCTTGTGAGAGGGGATACGACGAATGAGGGCATTTCTCGTAAAAGAGTCATTATTGATTGCCTGAAGATACAATATGTGGCTATCGATTTGCCTCGATGTCTGACTTACATGGTCAACCGCATGGAATTTTCCCTTGTATCGAAACACCAGGACTTGGTCTTTGAGCCCCTTCATATCCGATCGCTGGAGGGTACCATCTTCTCTAATTGCGACTTCTGCGCTTTGAAGGCTATCTTCCCTGGGCACTTGGAAAACCTTGCATCCTGGTTTAGAATCCGCACTACACGTTCTATATCTTGCCAAGTTGTCATTGTCGGATCCCACGTCTGGAAATGATGAAGCGAGGCCGACGGAGAACCATTCTGCACCAAGTTGAGATGCTTCCCCGAATGAACTCATATCCAGATAAACCGGGATATCGCGGTTTCAATCCACCCAAAGAACACTCCACAGGCCTCGCAACAGACGCTCAATGCGCAGTCATTACATATATCGATTCAAGTCGGTGCAAGAACAAACTCGATTAGATAATGCAAAATTCGACTCGACAAGTTCAAAGGTCACGTGGTAAGAATACGTGACTAAGGAGGAGTTATCGCGAGGCCCATATTAGAGTACACCTACGTATGTACCTCAAGCTGCCTTGAAGTTCATGAGTAAAAATACATGTAGACAAGATTCAGCATATATAGCCATTACTTATATAATGGTGAGATTCTATACCTTCAACGCTGAAGTTAAAATATGCAATTGGAAGCTAAAAGCTGGGCCTAGTTTCTTTCGATTGAGTGGCGTATGTAGCCAAATAAATACACGCAATAGGCATCGCAGCTTTACGCTACAGTAGTGCTTGTACAAAGTGAGCATACAGTACATGTAACGACGATTGACGGATCTACTTCATGGCCTTTAAAGATGCGTGTTGCTAAGGCAAAAAGGTCTCTCTTCCAATTGACTCTTTCACTTTCGTAATATTATTGTTGAACAGACCACTCTGGCAAAAGTTGAAGTAACCACTTCTCTCTGCCTAGTGATGTACTAATACATAAGGTATCCTAGTTCTTCCAACAATTATTCTTTCCCTATTCTCCTCTCTTATCCCTTTTCCTCTCTTCTTCTTTTTGTAGTAATCGCACCGTTCGATTACATGCTTTATTTGTTTACCTGAAAAAGCGAAGTCGTTCGAACGCTTCATTGAATGGAAGAACATGGCCATGTATATCCTTATATGCATGTACCTATTAGGCTTCAGTCTTGGCTTATTCACGACTAGCTAGGATCGGCAGTTTCTCTTTTTAAGCGTAGCCTCAAAGACTCCGCCTGTCGGTGAAAGAATATCACCACATCCGTCGGCCCTGGCGATCCTCGGTCCCAGATTAGTGGAAGTAAAAACCCCGTAGCAGTCGTGCCGATATAGAGCAACCTTCCCCTGCAGACTCGACGCTGCAATGTAACGGCGCTTACGGCAAACTCGGCAGGCTCCTATGCGCTAACAAGACGAGAAGACGTACAAGTATCCGTACATAGTTCGTGATACAAAGTGTCAATTGCACATGTTAGAGCTCAGATGGATATGGCGATCCACAGGACCTATCGCCAAAAGTAAGCCCTAGAGTAAACCACCGGTATCAAGCCCGCCCGAAGATCTCGACTGATCGCTTAAGGCGCATCGCAATTATGGGGTCCATGTAAAAGTATGTCACTCTCGCTAGCTATACAAAGTTCTTTGTATAATATCGAGGCTATAGTATATTAATTCCCCAATAGCATCATGGCCAAAAACAACGTGCCCGCTGGCCATTGCGAGCCTCGACCGCTCTTTAGCTGAACAGCATCAGATACTCGTAGCCACAATGGGAGTGATTCCCGTTTTGGCAAGTCATTAGCATCATGAACTCAGTCATTGATTATTAAATACCCGTGAAACATTTCGCGATACGCAGGGACCACGATTTCAGCGAGGTATGAGCTGTATTGCCCAAAAGTCCACATATAGGTCCAATGGAGAAGGTGATGGATGTTGTCGCTAATATGGATCAACAGACCACTGGCCACCCTCCTTCCTATTCCAGCTTACTATGGAGATGAAGATCGTTAATTTCCCGTCATTGATGAAATAGTGCCGTATGATTCCGTATAGGAAAGTTCTATAAAGCTTGATCGATATCGCCAAGATGCGCTAACATTTGGGCATTTCTTTCACAATCCCATCAACAGAGGCCAATAGTTCTTTTCCATCTCTCCGTTTTCATCATGGGGTTCGCTAAATTTGTCCCGTTGTTACTTCTTGCTGCCAAGAATGCTTTGGCGGATACGCCGATTGCCGTCAGCGACTTCACCAACAATGGAGGTTTAGCAGCTGCGTGAGTGCTATAAGCCCATGAGATGTTTCCCAAACGCTTCATTTATACTAATTTCCCCAAAGTCAGGCTGCTGCGCCTATGTGGTACATGCCGTCTGGCACATGCATGCCCTCGGCGGCTGAAGATGGCGAAGGCAACCAGACAAACGGCGTTGATACAGACAACTGCAACATCAACGCTCTAGCAAATGGCTGTCCCGTGCAGCCTACTTGGCAGGGAGCCAACACCTTTTACGGCAATGTTTCGGGTGAACCCTTCGTCACCATTCCAACGTACTGGGCATCGACCTTCTGCAACGGCGATTCCTCCGGCTCCGATGCATCATATCGTATCATCTACTACGTGTATTTCAAGAAGGATACTGGCCACAAGAGCGATTGGGAAGGAATCGTTGTGAGATTTACTTCTCCTGACGGAGGCAACACTTATACTCGCGAATCAGTCATTATGGAGCAAGGTAGGTTGCATCTGGTTGCACACGAGCAACTATCTATCTCGAAACTTTACTGACACTTCAACAGACGGCAACCATGTGCACATTAGCTGGTCCGATGTCAATGACACTTTCGAGGGGTAAGTTGACAGCTCAAAGACAACACAGTATTGCGCCAGCAGCTAATTTAGCATCACAGAGATAACGACTGGCAGAACTTTTCCCAGAAGAACCTTGATCACGGCAAGTTCTACTTTGGCAAATTCCACCACTCTGTCCACCAGGACTGGTACACCGCAGCTTTCAAGAACACTTGCCCTCCCCTCTCCGCTGATGACTACCGCAACGACGACTATCAGTTCTGGGCATATAACAACCTGCGCCCCGTGTCTGTCCTTAATCCCAACTGGGTTTGGGGCCAGGCAGATTCACCTGCTAACATCGACATCTGCTCATACTAAAACGGCTAATAAGTTAAGATGCTTCAAAATATTATGATAGATACGGAAATGTTTATAGAGCGAAAGTTGGGCGTATCACAGCAACACTTGACAAGGGCTTTTAGATAGTGCGTCGCTTGGTCCCTAGTTAATACAGAGGAGTCCAAAAATGCCAGATGAGAGTCTGCCTTGTGGAAATAGCTTTGCCATTGAGTGTGACATAGAGTAGGTTAACTTGCCTCATAGCTAGCCAATAGACACTCTCAGCCCCGATTTGCTTAACATTGATCAATTATACTAGCTCACAAACCCCTGCATCTGCATATTAGGAAGAAGAGGAGCTGCGAATCTCGACCGCCTGCCTGTGCCGCGTTTAAACCGCGTTGATGTCGCATCAACGATCAAGTCTTCGCTTTTCTACCGCCAGCTTCGCGATGCCCGACGTAGTTGGATGATTGTCAGTGAAATGCAAAATTTCTCATCTTCAAAAGTGGCCAAATTGGCAAACCCTTTCTCGAAATCTGAGAAAGGGAAGAAAGCGCAACGGTCATTATCTTTCGTTATGTGAGATTAAAACTACCTACGGTATGAGTACACACAATCATCGATTCGGATCATCGATAGAAAGACGTTATTGTACGCAGACTCCACGCTCATTTTCGCAACAACAGTCCTTGCAGAGAACAGAATAGCAACAACCAATTGCTAACAGCTACTCTAATATATGTATATTTGTTCTTGGGTATCTTGCTGCCAAATGTTGAGTGACAGCGCCCATGAAATTAACTCATAAATGTTGAAATACCAAGAAAAAAAGTTAATCAATGTTATACCACCAAATACTCCGTTGAAAATGAGTATCAATGTTGTTGAAGTCCTTGAACTATCCAGGAATACTCCGTTGAGAATGAGTATTAGTATTGTTGAACTCGTTGACCAATCAAAGTGCACCTTATTCTTACATCCGTTTCAAACAACTCTAGTTCTTTTCGTTTGTATCAATAATCCATTGACAGAATTCTGTCCATTTGTTTCTGTAGGCATTTAGCATCTCCGTCTTCATCGCTTCACTTGTACAGCTGTATGAGATACTCCATTCGGCAATAGTTCGCCAGCCCATGAGCGTCATGTTTTCGCTGCTCATCATTGCTTGGTGAAAGTCATGAGATAGCATGCTCGCTCTGTATAAATCAGTATCAGTATCATCACTTAGCTACCGGTGGAAGTACTCACTCCCAAGATCCAGGATCATCACTGTTGACAGTGCAGGGTACACAATTTGCCAAGAGCACTGGTAAATGGTGAGATTTCGTTGTGGGGACCAATCCCAGCACTTCGTTAGATATAGGGCAAGTCTCAATGGCTATTTGCCTCTCTTTGCAAAGCTGCATCAGAAGCGGATGCTTGGTAATGCTGAAACCGTGACCGATGCGCTTAGTGTCTAGAAGGATGGCATCGTACAAGTTTGAATCAGTTTCTCCGCCGTGATCAAGTGTTTCTCCAGCATGAAAGATGAATGGCAAATCAAGATTTAGCTGAGTGATCTTAGCGCGCATGTCGAGAAGGTCGGCGACCCAGTACGAGAGCGGGTGGCCAGTATCTTCCTGACCTTGCATATCAAATGCTTAATACTTTGTTAGCCTTTGGAAGGTAGATGGAAACTTTATGGTGTCTCACCACAAATCAAGTCAGGGAACAGCTGCTTCATTTCGATGCAGTTGTCCATGCACCATAGCATGGCCTCTCTAGAAGAAGATCTCATGCACGCATAGATAACCTTGACGCCATAAAAAACATGCCCCGCAGCGTGAATCTTTGGGATTTCTTCTTTGAGGACGCTCTGGAAAATCTCCAAAGCTTCCTTTTGCTTGAGTTCTCGAGTACCATCGTCAGATTTGATGGCGAAGCCATAATTGAGAGCTACTCGAATCTCTGCATACATGATGCCGTCTTGCGCAAACTTCCATAACACTCTTCGAAATTGTTCTCTGTACGCAGTTTCATATCCGAGCATCGATCGAATGACTGTTACTGAGCGAATGAATTGTTGCCAAATGCTAAAAACGTCAACACCTTTGACTTTTTAATTACCACTGCGTTTGCCTACTTACCCATCAACTGTCTGCTTTGGGTGATACGCATCTTCTGGCTTCAACACCATTCGCTTATGAAGCCATGCTTCTGCTTTCTCAGCCCCGCCTGGAAATCTAGCCAGAAACTCAGAATAACGCATCCAAGATCCGGCGACATAACTTTTGCTAAAAATGTTGGTAGAGTCAACCAGTGGTATATTTTCGCTAAACACGTCAAACTGTGGTAATGCGTATGCAAAGAGTCCTTCGGAGACCAATGGCACGTCAGCCTTGATATAAAGGTTCGGCTGGTTGCGAGCATCGCTGAGGGCGGTATCCGGAGGCAGAAGACAGTCATAATGGCAGTGTAAAAGACAGCCTTTGGGGGCCTTGACGGCAGCCTCAAACAGCTTGCTCGTTGGTGCTACATCCAAGCCATGGAGAAACCGATGGCCTGCCTCGAAACCAGAGCCGTCGCTCTTGATACCATAAATATTTTCATCTTCCCAAGCTTTGAGTTGTTGGATAATATCCTCGGCTGCCGATTCCAAACTCGTTCTCTGGACTAGGCCTTCATAGCCGCGTGCCTTCTCAGCTTTCACAAGGGACTCTCTGGCTTTGGCATACTCTTCCAAGGATCCGAATGACCTCGAGAGCAGAAAAGAGCTATTGGCCATGATCAGAGACTGCGTTTCTAGTGAGACATCCAAATAATGAGGTTTCTGGAGAAAAAAATAGAAGAAATGATGCGGGGAAACAGCTTTGGCGAAACTCGGCATCGGATTTAAGAGATGAGTAAACAAGCTGTATCTTTCTGTTTAAAACAGGTTGAGCTTGTCGCTAATAACTAACTCTACCCCACAACACGCCGACGGAACGCCTCTATGCCAAGCCGTCTATGAGTTTCGAGAAAGTCAGTATCGGTGAAACCATTTGTTGAGTGATATTAGATCTCCGAAATACAATTGAGATGAACAGACAATCGACTTGAAATTTGTATGCGATGCTCTGAATCTACAATATCTTGGAGCAATCGAATCGTGATGAGGATGCAGCATCAAAAGAGCACTGGAGTTGCCGCTATAATTGACAAGGCGCCGTAGTGCTGTAATACTGTGCATGCAGAGCGGAATTCCGCAGTATTACAAGCTACCAGGTAACTCCTATGAGATAAACTGAAAGGCATGTGTTCCTTCAATTAGTAGAGTTTATCTAAGCAAACAATATTTTTGTATTTATTCCACCATTGATCAGGTAAGTTGGGTACACATGCACATACAATCTTCTAATTACGTTTACCTCCATGTACTAGGTAATTCGCCTCCCTCTGCAACAGCTACCCGGACGCATCATCCTTAATTTACAGAGGTATACTTCTGATTATTGGTTTCATTTAATGCGGGGTTAAGATAATTGATGCCCAAATTTTAATTCTTGTCAATCCTCACTTGCATCACCGTCTCTATCTATAGCTACATTGCTACTTTCATAAGTTTCTTCAAAGGTCAGCAATAGAGAGAAAGTCAATCTCACAGGTGTGGCTACAGATTTCCTATAGTTCAAGCATGAGTAGAGGTGTTTATTAGTATGAAGATTTACCTACTTCAAACGTTTGCGTGGAAACTATAACTTTCCACAGTTGGCTTTTATTCTCGATTTTAAGGTTATCTAGTAAAGAATTTGGCTCATTTTATCCTCTATTCATTGTTCATCCGACTAACACATACGTACATGAACTTTTTGAGCCTCGATTACAGACTCTCTCTGCAAAAGGCGATGGACCAATGATGCATATGCCGGGTAGTCGGTATCCATGTCAATCTTAACTCTGATTCCCCATAGATAGAATACCAATAGAAAGGCATCTACGCCGGTAAAAGAATCTCCCACGGAGTTGGTGCTCTTGGATTCGCTGAGTCTGCCGTCTACGAAAGCACAGCAATCTTTGATGGTCTGTCTCGCTCTCTCTTGAACTGCCGCATACAATGATTCATCACTCACAAACCTCTCCGGTCGCCAGAGCCCTCCATATCCTTGTCCGTGGAGCGTACCAGAGAGATAGTTCAGCCACTCGTATGAACGAACAATCTCTGCTGTATTCTGTCCCAGCAATTGGCGAGTCGGGTTCAATGCCGAGATAGCTGTAAGGATAGCTGGCATTTCGGTGATAACTTCATCGCCAACTGCCAATACCGGCACTCTCATTTTGGGATTCACGCGAGCAAACTCTTCCGTCATCTTGCCCGTTTGAGCAAGGATCAGCTCGGGTTGAAGTCCGGCTTCAAGCAGTGCTATATGAGCAGCGAAAGAGCAAGCTCCAGGTGAATACCATAGTTTCACAGTCGAGCCAGACGTGACAGCCATGGTGTAAATTAAATAATCGGACTGGGGAATGAGATATCGTCAATTGTGAGAGTTGAGCTTCTATTCGTTGGTGTAGTCTCGCTTTGCCGCTGTCAAAAGTTCAATGGTAGGTAGGTCGGGGAGGTTGGATGTGTTATGTCTATAAAGAGATAAACGAGGCCGAAGATAGCAAGAGCTGTAAAACGAATATCTGGAATCGAGACTTGATTACGACATTCTTCACACCCACAAAGAATGCCAAGTTTACTGATCGCGTACATCGCCTATATCGCTTAGACCACACAATAGCCGAGGTGGTGTCCCCTATCCTAACGCGCGTTTTAACAGCCACATTTGACGAGCCATATCATCAAGTATCTATTACAAAGCTATAATACTTTTATTCGTAAAGATCAAACTCCATAGCATTGTGGTCGTCGTTGTTCAACTCGAGCAAGACATCATAGCGAAAAGTTGGAGGGTCCCGACACATAGTATGACATCAATAAGTGAGTAGTTGTATTATACATCTTGGTCAAAAATCAGTTAAACGAAACTCATATGCTACCCAATATCGCTTGCATCCCATAACGCCCATCAATCCCGTTTTCCCCTGTTTGTTTTCACATCAATAGAATCCTTCTCGTAGCATTTTCTCGTCCGCCACTCCCGCGGCTCGCAGCCCGTCCATTGCCAAATCACCGAATCCCCCCGGACCACATATTAAAACATCTCGATCGCTTGCCACCTCTGGAAAATAATCCATCGTCAATCGACCCTTGTGTATGTTAATTTCTATATTCTTCTCATCGATGCCATCCATATTCACGTGTTCTTTGCTCGTGAAGATATCAATTCGCAGCCTGACCTTCAAGAGCGCATTTCGGAGAGAAGCCTGGACCAGTCTCAGCATCATTTCGGGTTCTCGTGTTGATAAGGCGAGTACGACATCGCCATGCGCTTTTGCTTTTCGTTCAGATAACGCGCTAAACATGGCGAGGAAAGGGGTGATGCCAATACCACCAGCGACCCAAAGCATATTGACGTTTTCGTCTCCCAAGAAAAAGTCACCCGTTACACCGACAACTTCGCAGACAACATCTTCGGTAATCGTTATGGGCTTTTCCCACTTATTTGAGGAATGCCTTCTCAAAACATCGAACAGTGCCCCCGTAACCGCCCCTCCTTTCATCTCGCGCATCGTGAGATCGAACCAAGTAACGTCCCGATTCTCATGGGTACTTGAAACAGTCCAGGTCCGTACCCTATCGTCGTTGACCGATCCAGGCGCAGAGTTAGCCATATGCTGATATGCCGGAGGCCCTATCCAGTCCATGAAGTCCAAAGCGATAGCTTGCCCGGGCCGTATTTTAATTGGTTCAGCGCCAGGCTTCGACGTAACTTTGAATCTAAACACAGCAAGATCATGCGAGAGCTGTGTTGCACTGGATAACTTGGCCTTGTGCACTCCACTGGCGCTTGCTTGACCCTCGGGCTCTTCAACAAGATATTTAACTTTAGGGCTGTACGGGCTGCGCTCAATCTCTGTGCCAAACTGTTGCCGTACGGGAAGAGCGTCTCGAACGAAGATGAATCCGTTCGTTTTCATCACAGTAAGACTTGCGTGCTTGACAATGACTTCGAGAGCAGGAGGACCAACAAGGTTTTCCGCCGTTCCAGTGAGATATAGAACATCGCCGGTTGTAAATGAGACAATGGTAAGGGCCATCTGCTTGCTCGACTCAACATTTCCGAGACTAGACATAAATCTATTCCCGGAGTAGTCAGGTAGGACCACTGAACATCCATCCGATGGACTGACACGCATGAATCCTGGCAATCCGCCTCGCGCATTCGACCCAGCGTGCGATGGAAACTTCGCTGCTGTGGCCGGGTCGGATCTGTAGACCGATCCAATGAATACGGTATCAGCACTTGTAATGAAATCGATAACCTCTGTGGGAAGTCTCTCAAACTGCGTCATATGTCGCCTCTCGTATGCAATAGTCGGGTTGGTGGTTTTACAACCCACAAGTTTTCTAATGTTGATGTATTTGGGGCAGTTTCTACAATCGTGACGAGTTAGAAACATCTTCAGAAGAAAAAGCGACGTGGTGAGCTGAGCCTCCGAGACTTACCCAGTGGTTTGATTGACCTGCAAATTCAGTCTAAAATCCATGCCTGTTTTTCGTTTTACGTCTTTTATGTATCCCGCAAACTTATTGCGCCTTCGAGTGGGAAACTCAATTCCTATGCCGGCGGTTAAATATCTCTCTGGTGCGGTCGAATTCCAGCCATCTCCATCAACCCATTTGTTGAGTGTGTCCAACAACGGCTCTCCGGGCCAAAGTCTTGCGTTGACGATGAGGGTTTTCAGATCAGGACTCTCTACGAATCCAATTTCTCCGTCGGCGCCAGCAACAAGTGAGGCCCATGGTCGCCCTTCATCGTCTGTGGTGGTTATCGGGATAAAAGGCAAATTCCCTGTGTGGAAAATGCGATGTTGTTCGCGCATTCTGTCTTCGATCTTCTGCCATGAAGACGACATTGCTTCGGCAAAGCCTAGTTTCGACTGCATGGCAACTTCTCCGGGATGCCATCCCTGAAGGCCTGATATTGACACAGCCATGAGTGCAAAGATGTGTAATTATTATGGCTGTAAAATCGTCTGGGTTTATTTTTTTGCGAGTGGTATAATTTAGGTTGATCAACGAGTAGATTTCCTCCTGTTCCGTGAACGAGACTTATCGACTCGAAATGGTACAATGTATATACGCGTTCCAGCTTAGACAAACGATACTAGGTAAGAATGACACCACCGCATGACGTACAGCGATGATTAATTACAGAGCAACAGTGCAGACTATAGAAGCCCTATAATCGGGCGGAAGCTACATCGGCAACTCTAATCTGTAGCTATTAGCTGGGCGACTATTACATAACGTTCAAAAGATTCCTCATATGCAGAAAGTCAGCACTAATGCCGCTTTCGCCGCTCTCTGTACGCCGCAGTGATGCGAGAAGCGACGCCCTATGAGATGTAGCTTTTGCTTACAGGAGACGCCGAAAGCCGAAAGCCCCCAAAGGCAAATCACCCATCTAAATAATTGAAGTATGGGACCTCAAAGTGAGACTGTGGCAACTCATGCTGGCTATTTGAAGAGACAATGGAATGTGTTTCACCTTGTTATAAGTATGGCTGTCTTTGAGCACAACCCTCCACGAGAAGTCAGCGCGCTAACCATGGTGAATATCCTTGCCATTTTAATTTCGTGTTTAGTAAATCTAGTGAGCCCTGGGCTAAAGCATCTGTTTGCGTATTAACTGCAGGTTACCGCAAATAGAAACTTTCAAGAGCCACAACGTTGCGCTGCGGCTCTATATATAAGGGAGGTACATGTATCTACTTATTACTCTTCTTTCGGAGAATTTCCCTGCGTACCAATGCGCAGAAAAGGAACAAACAAACAAGCCAGAGCAGCAAACCCCAGAGAAACATAAAATGCGCTCTGAAACGGCTTGAAGACATTATCCTCCCCCTCCGGTGTATCTTTAACTGAGCTGTATACTGCCGTGGACATTCCAAAAATGATAGTTGTGCCCAATCGAATGAACATATTAAAGATGCCACCAGCTAACGACTGTTGGTGAGATGGAAGCGATTGCATCACGTACATCTATACAGTAATTAGATAGGAGATTCACCATGGAGGTGCGACTACTCACGTTGGTGACATTGAACTGTAGATCAAGTCCCATAACATTTGTCAGCAATGACGGGAAAATAAAGGCCCAATATGTTGCTGAGGGATTTTGAAAAGCAAGTAACAGGTCCGCAACGAGATACATGGCGGCGCCAAATGCCATGATAAGGCTGTTGTTGACTCGGTGAAGAATATTCGCAGCTACGATATTGGAGATTATTGCAGATATGACCTGCGGTAAAAGCTGTACAGCAACTACCAGAGAGGAACGATGATGAACTTCTTGTATGAACAAGGCAAGCCAAAAGTTCGATGAAAGCATAGCCATGACACCAAATATGGAAACAGGCATTAACTAGAGGCAAGTTAGACTTCATGATGCAACCGAGTCGCAACTGGAAGTAGGAAAAACTCACAAAGGAAAAACCCTTATCCCTCCATATATGAAGCGGCATCAAAGGATTCGGGCAAATTCTTTCCCAAATGACAAATCCCACAAGTAAGAAGAAGCCGACAATTAGCATTGCAATAACATGAGCAGATTTCCAGCCGTCTCCTGGTCCAAGACTATTGATCATGTGAGCAATTATCTTCAGTGTATCAGCTGCGAACCAACTTACGTCAAGCCTGTTGTGAAAAGCCCAACGCCAACAATTGTCAGAGCTGTTCCGACTATATCGAATTGCTTCAGACCTGCACGTAACCTTTTCCCAAACGGTCCAGGCTCATAAGCTTCGATATCAGGCACAACCCAGATTGAAACGATGGCCAAGAGTCCCCAGAGGATGGTGAAGAAGAAAAATCCAGCACGCCAGTCAAATATTCTGGCAGATATTCCCATAATGATACTACCGAGTCCGAATCCGACAGGGTTGCCTGCGCTGAAACACGCAAATGCCCAATTCTTGCGCTTTGATGGCTCCGAGTATGCCGCACCAAGTATTCCAATCGCAGGTGGTACAATCACAGCAGAGAAGAGGCCAAGAAAACCACACAGAATGTTCATCCAGAACGGATTCCGGGAAAATCCTAGTATGAGACTGCTTACGCTAAAACCAGCCATTCCAGCGATGAAGAAAGCTTTGCGGCCGAGGAGATCGGTGAGCTGGCCTAAAGGCAGCTGGAGAGCTCCTGCAGAAAGACTGGATATAACCTTAGCCACAAGCACAAAGACGGTAAAAAAAAAAAGTCTAAAGGAGGGTTGGAATAAAAGATTAAAGAAGCCCTTACGTCGTTGCAGCACTAATCCAAGTGATTTGAGCTTGTGTCATGTGCAAATCTCTTCCGATCGAAGCTGTGACGATTATCATGGCACCGGTTACGAGACTGTTCGTCGCCATGGCTAGTGTGGCCATGAAGATGAAACAAATCTCTTGAAAAGTGTTTTTGAAGCATTCTGGTCTTTTGCCAGCGTTGCTTTTCGACAGAATAGGGTTCGTTGTGGCCTTGGGATAAGGAGAGTCGACCAAGTTCGATACTGCGCCGTCTGTGCCTTTTCTTTCATGGAGCTCTGAGAGCTCGTGCTCAATCTGACAAGTTTCCATCATCTTGTATATTTGGATAGCAGATAAACTAGGCGCTAATTCTCACCGACAAAGATGTTTAAGTGATGAAATGCAAACAGCTAATCGTGAATCATGGCCTGGAAATATGTTTATTTTTCAGGGGAACGCTACCAGCTCACGATCGGAGCAGCGTGCCGTCGGCAGGTGAGTAATCCGATGATGGAACATTGGCAGCGGAGATTGACTTGGCACACTAATCTAATTGGAATCAATATGGTCGGGAAGTTTCCGTTAGTCATTGTACCTGTACTACTTATATGTGCTCCTCGGTTGCCTTTTCCGGCTGCGAGATACGATACAACTCTAGGGCCAATGTCAGAGCTAGAATTCTAATAGACTACCTATATGATGCCATAGACCCTTAGTTTCACAATTTATGAACCCTTCTACCTTTAATAAAGGCGTCTCTTGCGAGCATTCTTTTTACGTAGGCCGTATATACGGGATAGTCGTTATCAATGTCAATCGTAACCTCTTTAAATATGATTGTCCAGAGATTTAATACCGTAAGGAAAGGATCAGCAGCAGTAAAAGAATTTCCCACTGCAAACTCTGTGATGTTTCTATCGATAAATTTAGCTTCTATGTGAGGGAAAATTCCTCGCATGGTTTCGTATTCCTTGGCCCGGAGTTGAGGATATATATCTGGGTTATTTGTGAATCTCTCAGTTCGCCATATTTCCGTAATGGCTTGACCATGGGCCGTGGTTGAGAGGTAGTTGAGCCACTCGTATACTCGAATTTTCTCGAGCGGAATTTTCTCAAAGATATGTGCTTCCGGCGCAACAGTTGCGATTGCTGTGAGGACGGCTGACATCTAAATAATTACTTCTTTGTCAATTATCAGCACCGGTAACCGACGTTTTGGGTTGACGGCCTCAAAGTCCTTCGTCATATGTCCAATTTGAACCAGTTGGAACCCCAGTCCTGCCTCGCAGAGGGCGACATGAGGAACGAAGGAGCAAGCCACCGGCGAGTAAAAGAGAGTCAATTGAGACGCATGAGATGTAAACATTGCGATTAGACTATCCTGTGTTTGGTAGTCAAGACTTGTTCTTTCATTTTTTTTTTTTTTTGGTTAATATTTCATACTGAGAAATGTTAAATGGCGTTCACTCTGCAACTCTAGAACCTCACATATAGCCAAAGCCAAATACAAAGAATATCTACTTAAATGATCGACTGAATGGACAGCATTGCGTATCTCATCTATAATTATTATTATTCTCATATCTAACCATTCATCCTATTCCATATTGGCCATTACCACAGCATACGATCATGAAGATCAGCGCGTCTTGTAAACTGCCGCTAGCTTCGGCTATATCGTTTAAATCGCTTGAGTTCTCTCGGTTGTCAAATTTTGGATTCAGTTACTCTCATTATACACGGACCGGAGATGCATTCACCTCCTAGTTTAATTAGGTTTAGTGGTCTGTCATCGCAGGGTGTTGGTCTCACTGCTTCGTTCTTAGCGCCCTTTATGCGAAGCACGCATTTGTAGAGAAATAAATCCATTTCGTAAGAAGCCTGCAATTCAAAATTGGGCACCAAAGACTACGGAGCTCATTTCAAGTTGGAACACGCATTGCGAAGCATCTCATATGAACTTGTTCGCAGATTCTATTATGGCAGCTCGGTCTTCCGTTTCGGCTCTTCATTATTTGGCCATTGGCCGACTCGGTCGTGGTGAAGTAGTCAAGTGAGTACCCTGGCTGATCTGATCAGCAAATCAAAAATGTCTACTGCCTTTAGCCACTAACCATTTCGCCTCTTTCTATCAAGTCTCTTCTTGAAAGACGCGGGAATTGAATACCAAGACATCCGATATCCTTATGATGACACTTGGTCCCGGAGCAGCGAGGAGCTGAAGCGGAAGGGACTGACAAGGACTGGTAAAGTCCCTGCAGTAGAATACAAGGGTGTGACTTTGAATCAGGTACGGCATTCTGACTTTTCATTAATAACGCTCTGGGTAGCTGATTCCTTCAACAGCATATTCCAACCTTGCGCTATATCGCCCGAGATCTTGGCCGCTATGATGGAGAAACAAACTGGGAAAAGTTTATTGTAGACGCAGTATCGGATGTTTACATTGATTGGAGAGTGAGCATCCCCACCATTCTAATTGGATGACAGAATTGACATGAGTAGTTCAAATGGGTTCAAAATCTTGGGCAAGCAACGGACGAGTATAAGAACAAGTTTGCGCCAAGTTATTACGACACAATAGCGCAGTATTACGGCGAAACTGATGGCCCTTACTTGCTGGGCGACAAAGTCACCTACGCTGATTTTGCTGTTTATCAGTCTATTGACAATGACCAAAGGACAGGGACTCTACCAGTAAGGACTATTATGGGTTATGATTTGGTGATGTGCTGTTGCTAACTTCACCTCAAACAGGCAAACCTGTCTACCTCTATCACAAAGTTCAAAGAGACATTCGAACAGCGCCCAAACATTGCACAGTATATCAAGGAGAACTTGCCAAAGCTTTAGATTTATGGTACTAGTTCCTACCAGGCAATGAATAGATAGTCGAGTAAGAAGTGTTTATCAGCACACGCTATGAAGTTTTCTCTAGCTTCAATACGTCGCCAATGTACTTATTTTCGGATAAACCATTTACATCACCATATGTCATAAGCGGCAACCTAGGTGCTGCGGGATATCCAAATTGTTTGTTAAGCAAAGATTTTAATCCGGGAACCTGTGGAATGTTAACTTGTGGTGGATGATAGGCGCAGTCTTGCAATAAAACTTACGCCGCTCTTTAACAGCGCAGCCTCTCCCAAAGAAGCTACTCCCTGAGCAAACTGCGCGTTCGTAAAATCTGCCTTTGTTTCTAAACTTTGCGTCAATTTCCACAGTTTCATGGAAAATTTCTACGCCTAATATTAGCCTTTGTTCTCTCATTAGTTCTATACAGTTGACAAACCGGCGCAATATTGGGTAGAGGACTAATAGCGCCAGCGGATCCCACAACCACAGAAGGGAGGAGAAAGTCAATGAGACCAGCCAGCGTTGTGAAAGAGGTATTGTCAAGCAGGGCAGTGACCCTTGCAAGTTTTCCTACGTTGCCACATCTATGTTCGTGTTAGCAGCGACAGCTATCAGAAGCGGCGCATATGCCACTTGAAGGTTGGGGAGCCTACGATAACATGATGCCGCATAAATTGGGCGCGAGTCTTGCTACCTCCGCCACATCATCGCTGTCCAAGTCTATCCCCCCTGCCACGGGAGGGAAATTGTATATGACTCTATCTCCCACAGTAATATTAGCGGATAGTCCTGCCGCGCGACAAAAGGGAGGGGGCATGCATACACTGGGATTGGCGAGGCCGCAGCCACATCAACGAAGAACTTTTTTGCCGCCGCCGGATTTCCCTTAAGATAGCCAGCCCAGTATCCCGGAGCGATGACAAGAGCAAAATTTGCGCCGGCTGCAGCAGCATCGCGAGCCAACTGGATTGTTTCACGGGTGCTATTGCCTCCTACACCGGCAACAATTGGCGTCTCTTGTAAGCCAATAGAGTCGATTGCATCTCGTAGAGTCTGGATTAGCTTTATACGCTCTTGGGGAGTCTAAAATTGGATCTTAACAAAGAAACGAAAAAGGCAAAGACTAGAACACCAACGGACCAAGTGTACAGCCTCGCCCATGCTTGCAGAAACAACTGGCAAGACTCCAGGGGCGGTGACATCTTATTTGCAACATATTAGTACCCGGTAATGTTCCGCTTCTCTTTGCGCATTCTACGTTCAATTTGGATCAAATGTACTTACATTTCGCATGCTTCGCGAACGCTCCATAATCTGGGATTCATTAGTCACTCAAAGATTGGACTTTTAAACAGTTGGTAAATGCAAGCCTACCTATCTCGTCTTGGTTGTTGAAAAATACAGGGAGGGGGCATAGAGGCCCTTTGGAAGTATCTTGGCCATGGTAGCGAGGTCTCTTATTTCAAGGCCCAGCGAGCACAACAAGTATGGCTATAGTAAACTATTGAGATACAGCTGATGCTCAGAGTCGAGTATATATATGTCAATTTCAAGTGAACACAAGAAGTTGTACAGGCGACGTCACAGTGTAAGTAAACACAACAAATTTCTTTTTCCTTCCAATACCGGTTCGTAGTGGGTTAGCGGCCAATAGCAGCTCAGTTATAAGTCTTGGCTAAAGCAACACTGTAATCTAGCCGCAGTCTGTAGTGCTGGCTATTGGATCGGAAAATTCGGCTTGGCCTAAAGTTACCCCCATGGTCTACTTGTCGCCTATTTCTCAGTTGCTTGATCTTCTCCGCCCATCTGCGACGAGGCAAATGCTATTAGCAGGATGTGGAGTACGGACAAACACATCGACTCTGATTCTTCAGTGCTATATTTCGTATGTGTATAGCTTCACTTTTAGCTTGATTTTTAAGCGTATCCTTGCTTCATAAGCAGTAATGCTTTCCAATCGATTGGTGGTGCATCAACGGCGGGTTGAAAACCAGATCTCCGCGGGAGTAAAAGGCAGATTAGGTCATTTTATTGGCAGCGAAGCTACAGTGTCTACTACGGCCAAGATCCAGCTGTGCAACGGGGGACGCAGCAATTGAAGTCTAAGCCCTTCAGTTAGCTTTTCGACGCAGCTGCTGAGCCAATTTTGGTGTACAAGGCCGTTGGCCTGAGGACTTTTGGCATGTAATTGTTTGTCTCTTTAATATTGACTGTGTTTGTGTTTCATATTATGCAATTCTCATGTCTAGCCCGTCAACGGTGAAAACAAAGTCATTGTTCTTCGCATGAGCCATCGCCACCCCGTCGTCTCCTGATGGCTTACAATCCGCAAAGTCAACTTCTGCGATAAAAAGTTCATCCTCATTATCCCACCCTGGGCCTCCGAGAACATCGCCACTGGGGGACACAATCACCGATCCTCCTCTGCTCACTATCTCCTCCCCGCGCTCAGCTGCTTCAGTTATCCATTCTAGGAGGTCGCTTGCCCTGATACAGGGCGTGGCTGATAACACAAACGCATTGCATTCAACTCCGATTGTCTGCATTAATGGCACCCAGATCTCTGTAGCATGCGCGGTAGGTCCCAGAAAGAGATTTATCCCCTGCTCATAGATGCTTTGCCGCAACAGCGGCATCCAGTTTTCCCAACAAATTGCAGCTATACACTCATCTTTAGTATTCTAAGTCTCGATAAAGCGTCAGACGATGGCTCATAACTTGCCTGACATTCTCAACTTCACTCCTTTAATTGTCGTTGAGACCGCTTCGAGCGTTGAGGGGCTCCCCTGGCCCCACACAACTCTCTCTAGTCCTGTCGGCATTACCTTGCGTCTCTTTCCAATTATCCCCAGCCTGGGGCATATATAAACAATAGAGCTGTATAGTGTTCCGCCAGATCTTTCAACAACACCAACTATTATGAAGACGCCGGTATCAGCTGCTATCTTTTCCAGTCGCTCCCTCGTCCCATCTCCCCGGTAGGCACGGTTAGGAGGTCGAGGCAGTTCCCGTTTGATCCATTTTTGACCAGCTCCTTTAGGCGTATCTCCAAGATCAGCAGATGCTCGCCAATGATTCACCCATGGGCTATAGTCTTTTTCATCTCCAAATATTCCAATTGCAGAGTTGCCAAAGGTAGATAGCCGTGGAAACCCGCCAACAAAGACTTCTGGGAAGAGGACAAGATCCACATGTTCGGCGCTCAGTTTTCGCACCCTTGTTTCAAGCACGTCGAGTGCCCGTCGAGAGTCATGAACTGTATGGACCTGCGCTGTTGCAATTTTTAGTTTTTGCTGGGATTTGGGTGCCATATCCTGCAAACGGCGACGGCCTTTTTGACGTGTTGAGAGTTGCTGTTTTAAATTCACCTAAGTGGTCTAATGCCACAGGCGTTTAAGAGCATACAGTCACAATCTTGAAGAATGGAAACTAGACTATATATTCCTTATATGGATGTCATATAAGTTGGTATTGCGACATACAAGAACATCATGATTACGGTGGAAATTGCCTAATTTAGTAAGGGGACATCCAATAAGCACCCGCCGTCTGTGTCGCTTAAGTCGCTTCCGACGTAAACCACGGAATGCAGCGGAAACTAAACACAATCACATTACCTACAGTTCATGGGGTAAGTGAATGGCAGCTTCAAAGCGGCATCAGAATACTCATGATCTGTTAGATAAAAGACGGAAAGGGCTGCCTCAATCTTCTTCAAAGACTTCGCACCCACCATCTCATCTTTCATATCCTTGAGGACGAAGTTCTGCTAGCTTCATAAATCATACCGACATTCCGTTATACCCGTCTTTCCCGAAAGAGGAGAAAAGGAAATCAGCCACAATGCCCAAGATCCTCAAAGTTGCTGCGGCTCAGTGTCGAACTCTCGACACAAACGCAAACACTCTTAAGCAGCTCGAGGCCAAGGTCAAAGAGGCCGCCACTTTAGGCGTCGACCTCATCTTGTTCCCGGAGGTTTACCTGGGCGGATATCCCCGGTTCGCAACATTTGGTGCCAAGATTGGCCAGAGGACTCCAGATGGCTATCAGCAATATCTGACGTACTTCCAAGGCGCTATTGATCTAGGGGACACGCCTCAGGGCGCAGATGACGATTGGATCCATCGGAGACTTCCCATTAGTGAGAATGGGATACGCGGAGACGGTATTCGAGAAGAGCTGGAGAAAATTTCTCAAGAAACTGGAGTGTATATCGTCACTGGCGTTCTAGAGCGTTCCGGAGGCACTCTTTACTGCTCTGTAGTCTATGTTGATCCTGCCAAGGGTATTGTGGGAAAACGACGCAAGATTCAACCTACGGCATCTGAACGTCTCATTTGGGGCCAAGGCCAGCCTAAATCTCTCAAAGCCATCAGTACCACAATTAAGGGGGTCAAAATCTGTCTTGCTGCCGCCATCTGCTGGGAGAACTTCATGCCGCTTCTGCGCCAGGCCTTGTACCAGCAGAATGTAAATCTTTACCTAGCACCTACAGCCGATGCTCGCCCGACGTGGTTACCGCTGATGGAAACAATTGGGTACGAAGGTCGTTGTTTTGTTCTGAGTGCTAATCAAGCTGTTCGCGATGATCAACTGCCCGAGTGGATTACCGAGATTAAGCGAGAGGGTAAAATGGTCAGCTCCGGAGGATCTTGTATTGTCTCGCCTTTTGGCCAAGTTTTAGCAGGCCCATTATGGGATAAGGATGGTGAGCTTCTCATCCAAGAGTTGGACTTTGAAGAGTGTGAGAGGGGCCGATTGGATTTGGACGTTGCGGGGTCTTATTCGCGGAATGACTCTTTCCATCTGGAGGTTAAGGGTCTTGACCTAATTCCTCCGCCTTAGAGATGGCGGTAGCAAATCATAATGTTTAAAATCTTAGATCTTGATTTGATTCCTAAGACCTAGATACGATAATAGCAATGTATGCTTTATGAACCGGGACCAAATACCTAGTCAAAATTTAAAATGCCATCAGCTGATTAATGCAGATTCGGATCTTCCCGATGCAGTGTTTTTTCTAGATGTATAAGTGGGTAGTGTCATATCATCAGTGTATCAAGCATATGGTTGACGTATAATAAGCACAAAACTATCGGAAAATATGACCATTTACGGTGGTTCAGAGTATCATGAAACAGTGGTATTGTTTGCTTGCTGCCTATTTAGGAATAGACGCCAATGATTTCTAAGTTTCTATAGTATCTAGATAAGTATTGCTCTACTATTTTGCCAATAACCAATCGTAGTTTGCTTATGGGTTGATTCTAATCTCCTCAGACCAGGCACTCTTTTCCTGGTTGTACAAATCCCAAGCCTTGTTAGAAACGTTCTTGTTGTTCAGGTTGGGGTTTTCATCGCCGACTGTTCCAGCAACAGCAAGCAAGCAGATGTGAATACCCTGAGCGGCAAACTTGTCGCGAAGAGAGAGAGTCAAGTTCTTCTGAGAGGCCTTGGTAAGGGAGAGAGAGAAGAGATCGGCAATCGGAGTCTCGGGAAGGTGAGAGTTTGTCACCATGAGAGTTGGCTTGGCGGTGGAATCTTGCTTAGCCAGAGCTGAAAGTTCTGGGATAGCCCACTTGGCAGTGTTGTACAGAGCAATAGTAGAAATCTGGAAGTCTTGCACAATGCCCTCGTCGTTGAATTCCAAAAGCGGAGTCATGGCAATGATAGCAGCGTTGAATAAGATGAATTCGGGAGCTCCAAAATCATTCTTAATTTGTGCAAGAGTAGCGGCGAGCTTGCTGCTATCAATAATGTCGGTAGGATAGGTTTTGACCTGAACTTGTCCCGGAGCGGCGCTGCTCACAGTGGCTGCATCCTTTTCCAATTGGGCAGGGTTTCTGGCCACAAGAGCAACTTTGTTGAATCGCTTGGAAGCGAAGATGGAGGCGGTGTGGGAACCAATTCCCGGGCCTGAGCCGATGATGACCACAGTGTTGTTGGAGCGAGCAGACATGGTGTTGAAGGTATATAAAAAGGCCTCTATTTTGTTATGTAAGAGTTTATAAGCACGGTAAGATTGCTAAGACGCAGTTTTTGAAGAACTGAAACTGATGATGCTGATGATGATGCTTTCTATTGATTGAGACAACTTCGTGGTATCGACTCTTTAACCTTTATAGATGTTTTCCTGTCGCTTTCCATCAACCCATCTTCAATCGTACTCAAAGGATTGTTCATCATGAAGTTTCTAACAGTGTCTTTGAACATTATTCAGCCTTGTACATCTTCCGCTGATTAATGAAGCCAGGTAGGCTCTGTTCCTTGAGCTGTAGTTTGTGGCATCTCCGCGGAGTCCACTCAGTGGCATTATTGTTCCGTATTACGCTAGAGAGTCCCGAAGCGTCTATCCGACCCGAAGGCTTGGCCGCAGGGCGGATTTTGCCTCGAAACTAATGCCTCATTGGTCGGTCGAACTCGGTCCAATTTGCTTAATAACGAAGGGTGTAGACGGCTACCTCGCTTGACTCGATTATCTCGATAACTACCTAAGGGCATTCGATCCCCTGTTGTTGGATCCAAGATCCAAGGGCGTATCAACTCAATTGTACACGCGTATTGACAACTTCGTGGATCATGACAGAGAGACGCAGGAGACGAACAGGCTGCCTCACCTGCAGAGCACGGCATGTCAAATGCGATGAACGAAAACCCGAATGCGAGCGCTGCGAAGCTGGAAATATCGAATGTGCAGGCTATCTTCCGAAAAGGCAAGTAGAAGTGCGGGAGTCGCAGCGCCGCGGTCGTCGAGGCCGTCGAGGACAATCTTCATCCCTCGGTAATATTGCTCCAACACCACCACATTCTCTTTCATCAGACGCTTCATTACCTTCATCAACCGGGGAGGTCGCCAATTATCCCCACCAACTGTTCCGCAGCGATGGACTTCCACTTGTCGGTTTACCCAGCAACCCTCGTCCCTCCCAGAGGCCACTAGCAGGGGCTCGAGAAGTGCTTGCGTATCACCAATTCCTCTTTCGTACGCTGCCAATTCTATTTCCTACAGAACACTTGTGGTTTTGGAGAGATAGATTATGCGAAGAAGGATGGGGAATCGAATACTTGTACATGATGTTTTCAGCGCTCGGCAGCATGCATCGTGCCGTGTTAATGATGTCGATGCCGGGTGACAGCGACCAGGATCGCGGACTGGACACAAAAGTGATTGCTATTCAATCATACACTTTTGCTCTTCAGGAGCTGAGCCGAAATTTAGAAGATGCAAAGAAGACGCAAGAAGTTTTCATTGCGACTATCATACTAATGGCCTATTTCGAGGTAACGAACAACATTCGCATCAAAATCATTCGGGAGATTACAATCTAATGAATAAACTATAGTGCTTCTCGTCCAATATCACGGCAGCATATAGTCACATACGTTCAGCAAGCTATTATTTCGAGCTATACAAGACTAGTTTTTCACGTCAAAAAGCAAATGACACTCCTACTCTAGACTATCTTGATACAGCTCTTCTGAACTTGAGTTGGATGTGCTTCATGGCATTGCCTCTACAAAACAAGATGCCCTCAAGCAGGCAAACCATTACAGTATCCGAAGAAATTCCCGTGACACCCACGTCGTTGCGGCAAAATTTACTCAGTATCTTGGCTGAATCTGGATTAGAAGATTTGATATGGAACCTGGTGCCACGATACTCAAAATCTATGGCCCTTGCCAAAATTTACTGGCTGCAACAAAAGCTGCGAGCGTGGAGAGACGCAAATAAATCAATTCTACCGCCCTTGGCCTCAGATATGGCAGATTCAACCCAATTAAACTTTCAAGAGGACCCTTTTCTCATCCCACCCTCTCTCTATTCGACGACGACACTATACGATGCCTCTGCTACTCTCTGTAGTTTTCTTTTGGGCCGCACCTTTTGGTTATTGTCCATCCTCGAAGATGGCGTAAATACAAAAACGCATAAACGTCTGGCATATTTGCATTTCTACGAGACTTTGCGATTTGCAGCAACAGATGGAGCTTGTAAAGCAATACCGCCGAGTAATAGGAGTGCGAGATGTTCATCGCCATTACCCTGTGAAGATCTCGAAAATGGAATACTGTCTATGCTTTACATAATCGGACAGTGTTCCCCTGAACCTTCCTGGCTGCTCTGGATCACACAGTTAATGAAGCATTCCGGGAGGCAAGGACTATATAATGGATTGGTCTATGCCGCTAGCCTCGAAACTTGGCACTCATTCGAGGTGAATAATAGCGTTTTGCAAGAAGAGTTGCAATTGCGCTATCCAGAACCATCATCGCGAACAATATCAGTCCTCATTCCAGATGCGAATGGCACGGAGTTTATTACATACTATGCGAAACCAGCTGAAATAGATGATTTGCTCATGAGCAATGATGGCTTGATGTATTATCTTCTTGGCGACACACATCTGTCATGTCGACTACTGGATGGTCATATTGAGCAAAACGTCCATGTGTATCACCACCAAGACCTGGACATGGAATTATTCACACCTGATTGGCTCCAAAGCCAAGCTATTTGCCTCGACTGGCAGCATCGATCGTTACAAGTAGAATTTGATTTGAACCGTATCCTTCAGGACCACATAAACGGCGGGCAATTTTTAATACCGTCTAATACTAGCTACTGATCATCATTATTCATCAGGAATATATGCCTTATATCTTTTATGGCTTTTTTAGCCCATTTTTGAATCTATATATACTTTATTTAAGATGCAGCTGCCCCGAGTCTCTCATTTAGACATATCGGCTATACCGCGTAGCGCATCAAATTGCCGAGATGTTTAATCTCGGACATTGTCTAGAGTTGATAGCACTGTCAGTGAGGTTGTCTACAATTCTATCATATCTAGGATGCACGTGGCAAGGGATTTAGTCCGTCATTGCCTTATTATGCCATTTATGTGTCAGGCACCCTTTCCTAGAGCTTCACGACTTATCTCATATTTGCCGATATAATCACTTAAAACGATCAGTATAAGTTTTCATGGAGCTGACAAATAAGCTATCGCCGAGAAACTTGTACGAAGGGCGTGTGATTTGTGATTTGACGTAAGCTACTGTGAGTTCTCTACCTCCGCGGATAAGATCGCTCCTCCAACTCCCGGACAAGCACATGTACGTAAGATTGCTATTCCAAATAACATTCCAAGTTGATATTATTAATCCAAGGCTTCGAGTCTCAGCAGCTCCCAATGACAAATATGGGAGAAAGGAAAGTATATGAGACGCCGTCCTCGCGTGTCTATGTTCACTAAATGAGCAAATAAAACTCGCACATCTTTCAAAAAATTGTAACTTCCGCGTTAGGTTCAATTCTCAGGTAAGATATTTTCTCCAATAACAAATACCTTTTCAATCTTAATTTTTGAGAGTGTGGCCGTTTACCAATGCCGCAGTCTTCCATATACACATATCCTCTTACAGCCCGGGATAATCTCAATTCTTTATCCTCCCGCAACAGATTCCACTTAGCCGCTTATGTATTTCGCAAAGATCTGAATTGGCATAAATATATCAGGTGATTGTATACATTCTTTATACTACAGAAGTCAGAAGCAGTGTAGCTGCTTCATTGTTCCAGTCTTCGACCCATCAATCACGCTACTTCCTCTATTTTATTAATGGAAAACAAGACTGAAAACCCCGAATTGCTCTACCTAGTATTATCAGTGGCAGCGTGGTGACGTTTGGCTACGCAATAAGCAGCAGGGTCTACCATGACAATTGAGAGTATCGATTCGTAAAAAGGCCTAACCAAAATATCGCAAGCATTTGAGAATTGGTTGAGTCATTTCATTCTAATTAAGAGAATACAAAACCAATACTAGACTTTTATTAAACGGGCAGATAAAAGCTGATAGAGGCGACTCTCCAAGCATAGAAAGATCTGTCAGTCGATATACATCTCGAGATCCAGCGAGTGCTTTAATTATACCAGGTCATCTCAAAATCAAAAGGCTATTCAGGGACTATAGCTAACCTGTATTCATCAACATTGGTGATGTTGATAACAGATCTCTCCGAACTTTCTGTAGACTGCGCCTTTGACCAACCATTCACCCATTTGGCTATGACAGAACAATTCCACTTCGATCATGCGTTGCAGGCAAATTGTCTAACTCTTGCTCTAAACTCTCAAACGGACTGTTGTCGAAATAACATTGAACCTAATGAGATTCCGCAAAGAATGGTGATAACTGCAGCCAATGTGGCTTCGAAATGCTGCTGTGCATATTCCTGATGTAGATAAATGGCGAAGACAGCCAGTGGCTACGCAGCGAAAAGAATCAAGGCCTTACATAGCTAGTCTTTATCGCATAAAATGTGAAGTGAACAGAACTAGGATTACTCTTCAAACAGATATGTAGTTCAGTGATGAGAAAGTTGAATACGGTTGTTCTATCACAAGTATCTTTCTGAAGTTCCACTTCTTGCGCAAAATGCCAGATAGAGAAATAAGCGGCTACATAATCCTAACAGGGCTAGTGATGCGTTAGAGCTTACTGACGAGAACGCCCAGTCCCCGTAATCTAGCGATCAAGTTTAGCTGTATTAGCGCTGCTAGTATAGGAGAGACTTGTGTCTTTAATTAAGCTGGGAAACAAGCCAAGGATAAGCCAAGATTAATCTCAGCATGTTATACTTGTCCTGGAAAGCTGAAGAAAATACTTCCATTCGAATAGACTCGCTTGTTTACGCGGCTACTATCTGCTTGCTATACATAAAAACTCTATGAGGCTCTGATCAATTGACTGACAGCAACTCACTGAAAGATGCCCATCAATGTTTTAGAACGCCACGTTAGCCTAACAATCGCTTGAAAAAAGTGTACCTAACTGCAACTGATAGCGTCCACTCAGCCTTTCTCACCCTCCGTCCAGCGCCATGGCCGTGATTCAGAGTCTAAAACGACAGGGCTATGTCATAATGCTCAGATTTCGAGCAAATGGAACCCTTTATTATAAATCCAACCGATTTCGAATTATCAATCCATTCAGATGATACTAATCATTGAGGCTTCTGTATCAGCATCTAGACTCTATCACCTCGGTTTATGGTGCAGAAGCGCATGCTGAGGTAGCATTTGGCGATGCAGACATCGTAGTTTGGGAGTTCGTGCTAGCACCGAGGCTTACAAATAGCCAAGGACAAAGTTTCTAGTCTTCGTTATTGTTATAGCTATTCGAGGGGTAAGAATACAGGGTATTGAAATAAATAGGATCGAAATTCCATTTCGTTCCAAAGTTGCTAAGATTTCCCTTTATGGTAAATTGTCCCGTATACACTTAGCGTCGAGTTGCTATTATATATGGTCTTCGCCCCGCAGCCATCCATCAGAACTCTCTTATCCAGCCTTCATTGCAAAGTCCTTCAATTTTCTATCTCAATTTAGATTGACCTATGATCTAACTTCAGGATGAAGGCTCTCGTTCTCACTCCTTCGACAAAAAATGTCTCTGTTCAGGAGCTCCCCGTGCCCAAGCCTCGCGATGGCGAAGTCCTCATCCGCGTTCATGCTGTGGCGCTTAACCCCATAGATTCTATATATGTGGTCCATCCAATTGCCGAGCAAGAGCATCGCGTTATTGGGACCGACTTTGCCGGAGTAATTACCGCAGTTGGGCCTGATCTAAGTTCCTCAACCGACCTTCGTGCTAGAATTGGTGGCCGCGTTGCAGGCTTTCATCAAGGTGGTGAGTTACGCAAAGACTGCATATTCTGTTACACGGCGGCATAGCCATGATATACTGATAGCTCTGGCATTTCAGCTTGCTCTACCAATGATCGACCGGGAGCGTTTGCCGAGTACATCACTGCTCCATATGATCTTCTGTGGTCAGTGCCTGATAGCATGTCGCTCGCAGATGCCTCAGCCATCAGCATGTGCGGATTGACCGCGGCACAAGGAGTCTACTCGCGTCTCGGCCTTCCATGTCCCTTTGATGACCAAACTAGACACTTAACAAACAATGGAAGTGACATCACCAATGTGCTCATCTATAGTGCATCAACCTCTTTTGGCCTATACGCTGCTCAGCTCGTTCAGCATGCGGCTCGCACTTCTGGCCGCAAGATACGTCTCATTGGGACTGCAAGCCCTTCGAAGCATGATTTGCTCCTCGAAGCACCTTATAGTTACGATATATTGGTTGACTACCACGATCCTAGATGGGTTGATAAGGTGAAAAAAGCTACAGAGGGCAAGGGTATTGACTTTGCGGTGGACACCATATCGGAGGGACAAACTGTGTATAGCGTCCACGACACCCTAGCTGCAAACGCAAAAATGGCTGTGTTCCGTGGACCCAAGGGAGGCCAATATGATCCATCCGAATTACGCATCAAGCCCATCTATGGAGCCGTATGGGAGGGACTGGGCTATGAAATCGGATATAACGGTAGGTTGAGGATACCCATTGTCTATTCTGAGATGGATGTTACGATAGTAATTACCATGATGCCAAGACTCCATAATGCTAATAACCATGATAGGGGCAACAATTCCTGCTAATCCCGCTGCACGTGTGTTTGCCACAAAGTTCTTCAATTTCTTAAGCACAGCTGCAGCCGATGGAAAAGTGAAACTGGAGCCGAATCCCGTGCGACTCATGCCAGGGGGACTAGAGAGAATTGTGCCAGACGGTTTCACACTTTTGGGTAGCGGACTTGTGTCGAAGAGGCCGGATACAAGCCGCACAGAGGACTACATGCGACCTATTAGCGGAGAAAAGATTGTATATAGAATCTCAGGCGAGACCTAAATGAGCAAGCCACGATTCTCGGAGTTACAATGGCATATACCATAAATAATAAGCGATTCTCCATTTCGCCTTGTATAAGAGCTTTTTCAGTTGGAATCCAGCTCTTGCATTGGAGCCTTAGCCTTACATATCCAAGGACAAGCTTGAGGCGGAATGGCCCTGGCGATCAAGTGGAGCGCGATATCAAACTATACTAAACCGACAAAGTATTAGATGTTATGATTCAAATATTATATATCATGAATTTAGTAGCTGGCCTTGGCGCCATATTGCATATGGGAGCGACAAGAGTTGTCTATGTAAACGGCGTTCCGCATCACGATAGTTGTAGCCCTATCCCAGTTTACAAGCACTATTTCCACAAGCTTATAGGAAGCTTCTATTAGGGTTAAGGGTTATTTACTATTTAGCTATTATATCCTCATACTCCTGCTTTTTATGTTAGATGGTAACTATATAGCTTAAACTTACTAGTACTTTTTATTTTTTAAAGTAGCTATAATGTTATACTTTATTACTATATTAATATTATCTCGGCAGCCCGGGTAAAAGTGCGGATACGCGGAAATGGCTGTTGGGGCTGGTGAGGCTGGGCGATGCGATGCCAAGGAATGGCCTGTATTCCCCGACATGGGGATCTTCAACCCTCCTTCGGGAGCGTATACTGAATAATCAAGCAACAACTCCTCGGCACTTTCATATTAACCCTCTCTGGCGCCATCCCAAACGTCAACTTCAAATCCTCAAACCCCTTATCAATAGCAACTTCCCCCTGAACCCCCAATACCTTCAAATCATCACTCGACTTCTCCGCCTCCAAAACCAACGGACTCCCCAACAAATCGACCTCGCCAGACCCTTTCCAACCTTCACTTCCCCCCACAGCCGGCTGCAAAGCAACCCAAACATGCTGAACCTTGACGGCATGCCCCGAACTCCAAAAGGGTAACATATTCGGCAATCTCTCCACACTCATACTGACAATCTTTTGCCGGTCAGTGCCCTCTGCCTTGCTAATCCGGCTCACAAACCCTCGCCATTCATTTGAAAAGTCAGCCGCAAGATCAACAAAGAGAAAAGCCCCCTCATTCCCAAGACTCTCATCAATCTGGCTCCTGAAATCCCTCGCCGCCTGTGTAGCCTGATTCTTCCAAGTAGCGCCTCCCTCCAGCGACGTAAAGTTGACCGTAAACAAAACATCCCCAATCGAGTTGTAGTCAAACTGTCGAAACGGACCGGGCAACTCCAACTTCCACCGAGAAATTACACCAGCGCCTTCAAAAGGCGCGTACCGCTCCCCGCCAAAGCTCAACTCGAATGTCCCGCTATCATGCGAGCAACTGCTCAGAGCCACAGAAGTGATCGGTACACTATCCGTATGGAACCGCTCATCCCCAGCCACACCCTGATTATAATAACTCCCAGTCAAAGGCGAAACGCCAGCCTTGAGCCGATACCGATGCTCCAACAACCTTAGCGAGCAATTCACACCCGTATATGGTCCAACTATACTCGGCATAGACACAGCAACACTCTGAATCCTCCGACAAAAATGTCCCGGAAAGTCCAGATCCAACAAAACCTCCGGTATCTCAAACTCAGCCGTCCTAGTCGTTCGCAGACTAAGGAGAGCCAGAGGTGCCACCTGACGTAGAGAGATGGTCTTTGTAAGCTCATAATCATGCGGCGTTCCCTGCATCTGAAACTTGTCAATCCGATGCAAAGCAGCACTCAGCCCCTGCGCAGCGAGCAACCCATCCCTCGACTCATCCCAATACGCACTGCTCAGGAACGAAGGCTGCGCCCTAGGCCCATACTCCCACTGTAAAGCCCTCTCCGCTGTCCTCGCCATATCCAGCGCAGCAAGATAAGACTGATAGGCCAATTTCCTCGTCTCAGCTTCAAGCCAAGAGTATAGCTTATCAGAAGAATACTTGGTTCGCAGAAATTCTTCCATCTCAGCTGCGTCAACGGCTTGTTGCTTCTGAGCACGCAACTCCGCCTTGGCAACTTCAACCCGCTTCTGTTGATTCTCGACCTGTTTATCGACAATCTTGATATCATGGCCAGCGAGATTAGCCTGCATCCGACGTTCCTGCAGTTGCCGAACGAGCTGTCCCTTTCGAGCAGCACGACTCGCCATATCCGTACTCGCCTGCGCCGCAGCCCGGATAACGCTCGCGCCCACAAGAAGAGCCTTGGCGATGATAGACGCATCCATCTGTGTCGAGATGCCAACACCCATAGGCTCTGCCTGTATAGTAAGACTCGGCAACGCCATGAGCAATCCAGCATTCTGCTCAATTCCCGTAGCAATCTTATTCGTATACAACGCCGACTCCATCGAAGCGGACTCGAGATACTCCTCTGCACTCATCCGCAACTCATCCTTGTTTGGCTGTTGAATGCCAAAGTCAAGATCAACCCAGTCCGTGTCGGAAGATGGAACCATATCAGTTGACTCTCCGATCAAAGCGAGGAAGTACGTCAGCCGCAATATATGTGACTTGCGTGTCTCAGCCAACGTCTCCAGCGCTGATGTCGCTTCCAAGACTTGATGCTGTTTAACATCATTCAGAAGTGACAACACCCCAGTCTCCTGTCTCGCACGAAGTCTAGCCATAGCCTCCGCATCCCTCCGCTCCCTGATAGATAGATAAGACTCGGCAAGTGACCGCAACTCGGCACACAAATCCTGCGCCTTTTGCAAAAGAAACCTAGCCCTGCAATTCGGCATAGGCCCTTCCGTCCTACCCCCAGACAAACTCGCAAGACTCGCGCCACCTGCTCTAGCAGCGATCAACTGTCCTGGATCCAGAGGCGGGTCGAACAACGGCAAACGACGTGGATTCCCATCAATATCTAAACCGTGACGGATATTATACAGTCTTCCGTCGATGAGATCACGTAACGCTTGTATCGCCGGGTTCGCTGGAATACCAAAATACGTTGATCGGACAAAGCCCAATGTCCCATCACGGGTCCCGACATTCCCCCTCACATGCGTATTGATGAAATGCGGAAACTCGAGCTCCATATCTACGGTAGCCGTGGCAAAATCCGTCACAAGAGACTTTATATCATCATAACGCTTGGTGACAGGCCGCGTAGGTGACACAATCGTAGCCGGTGCCGGACCAAAGAGCGTCAGTGCCTCCGTGTATCGCTGCGTAGCCATAGGTATCGCCTCAAGGGATGGTTGCCGGAAGTACTGATCACCGCTTGCGATGAGAATCTCGATGCACTTCATGACGAAGCGTTTCATATACACGGCTGGACGTTTCCGAGCAACGGCGTGCGGGGAAAAGGGATTTGCTTTCCAGTCTTGTACTTCGGGGTGCTTAGCTGGTAAGGGTTTGAGATTCTGTATAATCTGTCGTACAGACCCGCCGAGACGGAGATCAGCCGATTTGAAGGGGACAAAACGCCAGCTTCGGTCGAGGTTAGACAGTGGCTTGGGGGTGGCTGCTGCTATTGCTGCTGCACTGTCGGGTTCCGCGTCGTCTCGTGACGGGTCAAAGACGAGACGGGATATTTCGATAGCGAGGTCGAATTGCTGTGTGGCGAGAAGTCGTTCCATCAATAGCGACACGACATGGAAGCCCATTTCCCAGTTGTAAATCGAGGCTGGCATGGCCAGTTCCCTGTACTCTCTGTTCTGGAATCCAAAAGACCTGTTCTTCATGTCCTTGGGGAGGTGCTCGAGTGCGTCAAAGATGGCGTGATAATCCTCCGTGCCGGCAATCTCCTCGACGAGATACAAGGCCGAGTCATGTGTCATGGTCGACGTCGAGATTGTCGTCTTATTGCTGGTGTCGATTTTGCCCTCAAGTGTCATTCCAGGATAGCCAAAGAATAGCGAAGCCTGCGTCGGTGTAGTTCTTTCAACAACCAATCCCAGGACTCCCGGATACTGGGAGACATTGTTGGTCAGAAGCCACGAGAGTGCATACGTCTGTGTCATTGTCTTCGGACTAGGCACCGCCAGAAGTGAGTGTTCTTTCGCATCAATACCGAGTGTATAGGCTTCAACTTGGCTCTTCAATGTCGAGATGTTGTCAGTCGAGCTCGAGTGCGTAATCCGTCCAAACTCCATCTCCGTTTCGATGTGCGTCCCAACTGTTGAACCGGCGGTACCGTCGATCAACCGCAGTCGAAGGCCCTGCATCTCAAAACGTCCGAGTATCTGAAACTCACCCCCACTCCCAGAAGCTTTCCACCTGTCCACGTGAATAGCAAGGCTCAAACCTCCATCCGTCGTCTCCAATCGGAAGCGAAAAGATGATATGGAAGGTAAAGCACTCTCACCCGAAGCCACACCGACATGAATCCCAGTAGCAGTGATATATTTGGGAGACCACTTCCCATTTCTCATCTCAACCCAAGCCATCTTAATCTCCCAAAACTCCTCCGCCTTGGACGGCCCATTAACATTTTTTGCTTGGTCCGCCAAACTCGTCGTTTGATCCTTTCCCTTCTTCGCTTGCCTTGCAATCTGCGGCATAAACAAGAACAAACGATTTTTGAACAGCGCAGGGAGAAGATAGCTCCCCGGATGAGCAAGAGGCTTCTGGTCAGCATCAATCTCATGCGTCTGAATATCAACCTCCATCTTACTCCACGGAAGCCAGTTCCAACTCATCGACATTGTGGTTGTTCCAGTGACCACAAGCTGCCTGTAGTAAAACACAAAAGGCGCCGCACGCGACCGACCAAAGAAGTGATATCTCCCGCGATAGTTCTTGGTCGATTCCCAGAGATAGCTCAACACTTCGAGGTCGGCGACTTCATGGATAGCGTAGACATACTCACGGAGTAATTGGCTGATGGTATCCCGGTCCAGACTTGCTTGGAGCATCTTACTCTCCAATTCCTCAAAGGCGTGTGTTTTGTCGTCTCGGAGGGAGGGGTCGACCCAATTCTCGGGATAGAGGAAGACTTTGCGGTTAGCTTGCCAGAGTGTAAATTTACACATCCAAGCCCAGAGGGATTGATCGACTGCGGTTGTCGATACGCCGTACACCTTCTCCAGCCCTAGCATCGATCGTTGTATGAAAAGTTGTGCGCTGGCAATGGCCTGCCCGATTCGTGATGTCTCCATCGGTGGACCCATCTGTAGGTCCATGAGGAAATCTGCCGATAGATCGTCGGTGGTGACGATACCGCGGCTGACAAAGACTGGCAAACGGATGATGTATTCTTGCAATACGCGTTGTTGCCTCGTGAGGACGACTTCTTTTGCCCGTACGAGTGCCCCACCACTTGTAGATGATGCAGACGAGGATGAGAGTGCCGTCTTTAATTCCTCTGCAAATTCAAAGTCCTCTGCTTTCTTTGGGTCCCAGGGTAGTTGCGCCCATGTATGCAGTATTTTAATAGGCACACCGAGATCCTTGGACAGGGAGCAAGCTTCACTTAGTTGCTGGAGAGGATATAAGTCCCCGTCGAGGAAGGTTTTGGCCAGGTCCTCGACTGTTGCCGTTGGCCAGCGCGTAGTGAAGAAAGCGGAAATGTCACTTGCGTCAAGTGAAGTCAGTCGTTTCGTCGCGGCCACCAATTTATCGATCGTATCCGTACTCGACCCGCTTGAGAGTCGTTCAAGGTACTGGACATAGGCTATCAAAGTCGCCACACCAGACGTCGAAAACTTTGCTCGTATATTAATAAAGGACCGTAGTTGGAGTAGTTGAGAGACGTCTAAACGAGAGAAGTCAATCCCCCGTCCAAGATGAAAGCCAACCTCCGCCGGCTCAAGACCCAACATTTTAGCCACGCCCATACATCGTCCCAAGTGGCCCAGAGTTAGACAGACGCGACGTGCAAGCTCAATAGGACAAATCAAGCTGTCTTTCAAGCTCAACTCCCCTCCTGATGTAGAATACGATAGATGCTCCAACTGCAACCCATCCGTCCATTCCACTAAGACCACATCACCCTGTCGCAAGTGCTGAGGCGTAGTAAGACGCTTCACATTAGGCCCAGGGATAGGCGTAAAAGGACAATCCTGACCGTTGATGGCGGCTTTTCCCTTATCGGAGCCTGTGATGAAAGTATACTCCGCCGTCACAGGAGGGAAGAAGTATGTACTAGTTGCCCCGGAACAGTAGTCCTTGATAGAAGCATAGAAGCTGTTCAGAGACTGGAGGTATGTTGCATTTGTCGGATCTGGGACGCCAGGCAGGGGCGTGGGATCCTTGGCGGCCAGGAGCTGCTGAACGAGTTGAGAAGGGGCGTCGTGGAAACGAGTGGCGAGTGAGTCGCCGACGACAGTATCCGTTGCTCGACGTTTTAACTCTGGGACCATCCAGACCATGGCTTGTTTTCGACGTGCTGCAATCTCTTGTTCTCTTTCGTCAGGTTTCAAGCCTGAGACCGGCTTTCTAAAGGCGTTGATGACGTCTGATACGTTAAGACGAAAGGTCTGAGCAAACACGCTTATGGCTATGCTGTTGCTCGTTGTCGTGATGTCTAGGAAAGAGTTAGTAAAGTAACTCATGAACCAAGGACGATGATAATGATGTTGAAAACATACTTGCTGTTCCTTCAACCACATCAACTACATCCTTCGCAACAGAAGGACTCAACATCTTCGAACACATGGCCAGCAAAAACTCACTGCTATACACTTGAACATCTCCAGCTCCTCCCCCTCCACCACTCAAAACCAAAGCAAACTCCCCCTCAACAGCTGCTATCCCCCCAACGATCCCAGCCACAGCACTCAAATCATGCTCATCCAACTTCCCCCCCTCCTCTTCTTCCAAGGAAATGATTAGATCAAGCGCTTGCTGGCTCGACTCAATCCCTTCTGGCAGATCCAACCACAAATCCAATGCCTTCAACGCACTCTGCGGATCAATAAAAGGATCAACACCCCCCTTCTTACAAACAACCCTCCACCAATCCGCGTACCTCTTCACCGGCAGACGAAGGATCTTGCACAGCCGCTGATGACTATACAGCCTAGCAATCCCATCAAGCGTCCATGCCGTGTTGGCATCGAACCCAATAATCCCCATGAACACAACCTGCTCATCCTGCGTCATACCTAACGCTCGCAACACAGCACCCATATTCTTCCCAAACGTAGCATCCGTCTGTCCATCTCCATCCACAAGCGCCAAGGACGGATACAACTTGACCAACCCGCTACGCAGAAACAGTCTCGCATAGAGAGAATTAGGAAATTGTGCGTACATTAGGCCCCAGAAGGGGAACAGCTCGACGACGGTGATACCAGCCTTGATTGATAATTGCTGCGCTGCGGCTAGACGTTGGATAAAGTCTCCATCCAAGACGTGGTGTTGAGTTGTATCATGAGGATAGATGACTTCTCGATGAGCGAGGGCGGCTATAGCTGCATCTGTTGTCTCGATGGACCAGCCAAGGGTTTTTCGGAGACGGATGAAAGATTGGAGATCGAGGGATGTACGGCGAGATATTCTGGCCGCTTCATCAGAGCGGCCAATCATAGGCGACTCTTGTAAACGCATATCCTCCAGTTCGTCGCTGAATTTCTGTTCTGTGACTGACTTATCGCCGACCGTCTTCTCCAGCGTGACCACGAGGCGATTACTCAAGTACCGAGTCTTGAGAATCATATTCAGCTCCAAAGGTGTGAGATCAGATCTTGGCAGAAGCTGGGCCTTGATCAATCGAAGGCTAATAGTCGACTCTGGGTTTATCATCTTCCAAGTTGGTGTTCCGGATTTTGATCCATCATCAGGCGATGATGCTGCCACTTTCGGGTCATACGCTTCATAACCCCAGTACTCTCCCGCCAGGGACAGTCCCACAACCTGACTATAGGTTTTGGAAGCCAGGTCTGAATGCTGCTGCTGAAGCAAAGTGACAAAGTCGTGCGTGTAAATGCCTTCCTGGGTGATAGCCTCAAAGTCCAACGGTTGCAAGCTGAGTGCCTCAGCAGCCAACCGCCGCTCATGCGTAGCATGTGCCGCAGCCAGATAATTCCCTTGCTTTGACGCTGGCAAGCTAGGAAAAGCTCGATGTACCAGATCCCCATCAGTCTGGAATCGCCTCAGCAGCTCATACCGTGAATAGCCCAACCCATGCAACGCAGCCCTCGAAATCCCCATAGCATTGTTATAAGGGAAAACCACCATAGGCGCAACCCTCTCCGCAACAGCTGTATACATCCCTCCCTCATCCACACCGAGTTCCTTCTCAAGGTAATTCTCCATGACTTCGACAACCATCTCCTGATACGTAACTGCCGTCCCAACCTCAACCTTGCTCAACTGCATCTCCGCCACATCGGGCCTCCGATGCAAGAAAATATCCAACATGGTCTTGGCGTCCTCCACCTCCCATCCCTTTTCACAAGTCCCGATGGATACACCGCGGAGAAGCTGCATGAGATCGACGAGGTATGACGCCGGGCCCAAGACAGAGGTACTCTCATCGGCGGTCACGCTGTCTAGATCGCGGAAGAGTGTGTCGAGGTTGACTTGTACATCGTCTGTCCCAGGGTAGTCTTTGCCAGATTTTATACCCGTTACGGCGAGGACTGGAATCTCACGGCGGGAGCGGACAATGTCGGCCCAGATGGCATCATTGCGCGTATCTATGCGTTGTGCTTCGCGGTGTATGGCCACGAGTTTGGCGTTGCTGAGGGCAGAGGAGGAGAGACGGCCGGTAAAATCAGATTGGGATGTTAGGGCTATGGACCGGGCGGATGTAAAGCCTGCATCAAGGAGGGCGGGTAGGTCTTCTGCGTCTGTGACTAGGGCGTGCAGACGGAGGAGGGAGGCCAGGGTTTTTTGGACTGCTGTGGCATCGCCAGCGGCAAGAGACGAGAGATTGGACTTGTAGGCTGATGTGGAAGTGAATTGGCTAAAGGTGGAATGCGTCGTGTTGCCGCCATTGTCGGTGTTGGCGTGGAGGGCAAGGACCTCGCGGAGTGCGATATTTGCGGCAGGGGGTTGGATAGCCAGGATTCCGGAGTTGCAGAGGGCGCTGAGCACGGCGGTTGGGGCGCGATAGAGAAGCTCCGGGCGTACGGCTTTGGATATTTGTTGAGTTGCGGCGTCACTGTCGCCAGGAGGACGGTAGTACTTCAAAGCTACGTCGTTGAGTGTGCCGAGAGCTTCGTCCTGGAGGATGGGAAGGTAGAGTTCCCGATCATCCTTGCAAACATCGATAATGTCAATCACGAATTGGAGGCGTTTGGAGATAGGGGGGGACGAGAGTTCGGAGGAGAGAGTGGCTCGGAGGGCAGAGGGAAGTGGGAGACCGGTTCCGACGCTCTCGCGGATGGAAGAAGTAATTGTATTGTCCAGTCGGAGGGCTTCGTAAATTTCCTCCATTTTTTTCTTTTTTTCCCCTCTCTCTTGTTCGTATTTGGAGTTTGTGAAGGAGGCTGGCGCGATCTTCGCGACTGTTTGGCGACAAAGTTCAAAGTCGTCGTAGATTGGCGCACTCCTCAAGTCAACGTTTAGGAAAAAGGCCCCGAGTACTTGTAGTCACGCATCCAATACCCCCAGAAAAGATTCCTTCTCTGATTGAAATAAATATCACTCTATTTCTCCTCTCGGGCTCGTTTTCAGCTTGCTATTAAGCAGTGGCACGACCAAAAAGGGACGACGGTTGTGGGGTTCAAGGTAGGAGTCTGCCCCCTCACCCCCCTTTCCCTTCAGCTGGCCAGAAACACATCTGCTCCATCGATCACTGCTCTTTCTGGAATGCATTGCAGTTTAATAGACAGTGCATACATGAATGATGCGTACGCATTAGATGTAAGTGAGGGATAAGAGTGAGGGGGTAGCAGTCGGGTATAGACGCATCTGTAGCGCCTGCGGATGCTGCCTTGCTTTCGTCACGATGTGGCCTCAAACTGCCTACTACCAGTAATATCCTTGCAAACTTTCCCGTGTTACACTGCCTACTACTTGAGTACGATGATTTTGTTCCCCCTACTCAGTGCCTACCTACCTAGATCATCAGTCCTTTCCGGCCTACCAACTACCGAAGCAGCACCCCCTCACTCATACCACACAGCCTGATACTCCTTCTCCCACTCCGCAATAATCTTTCCCGCCTTATCCTGCGTCTTCTCCCTCACCCTCACCAACTTGGGGCCACCTTTATGCACGGCAGGGGTGCCAGTGATGTCCAACTGGAACCATGCCCCGGGTGGGACGTTCATGGCCTCATCCCAGAAGCCACCACTTTGGATTTCAATCTCCCATGGAACGACGGGAGGCTCCGGTGCCGGGTTTGTTCCTGGAAATACCACCGGCGTGTCCTTGGGGCTGTTGATGGTTGCGGTGGTCGTGTACATGTCAGGGGACCAAGTGAGTGTCACAGTATCCTTCGGCTTGGGCTCATCGACTTCTTCCCCCTCCTCAACTTCCTGAGGGACAAATGGACCTCTACTGCGATACTTGAATTTGCTCCCACCCCTAAATAGACACCCATTGCCCTCATCGTCCCCAACATTGAAGAACACCACACAAGCCGCCAGGCTCACAGTCTTGGAGTTATCGTTGCTACCCCGTATTGTCAAAGTCAGCTTCCCGTCGATATCCGGTGTCGTAGATGAGCGTGCGGTCCAAGTCAGCTTGTGCGAGGAGATGACCGGTCCGCGGAAGTCGGGATTCACGAGTGGCATGTCAGAGATGGCTAATGCTGCTGTGCCCGTGTTAGCCACGGCAGCCCGTGATGCTACGCTGGTGCTGGCTACCTGTATGGACATGCTGCTGCCGCCGTTGTCCTTTACATCTGGTACTTTGATGCGACCATCGGCTTTGAATCTGTTACACGCGGCACACGCACGGTCAGTAAAGCCGAGAAGAGGCTGTAGACAAGAGGGAATATGGAACGAGGGAAACATACGGCCTCATCTTGACAGCAGCATTCAAATCGCCATATCGCCCCATGGAGGGATTCTGGAAATCCAGGGCAGCACCGCCGGGGTAGGTCAGTCGTCCAGCCTTCTTAAGCTTATTCTTGATATTCTTAATCATGTCGTCGATCCCGGAGCGCAACCCTGCCTCCAGACGTCTCTTAACGCCACCCGGGTCGCCACCGGTACCCCAATACTGATGCCTCATCTTCCAATCTACATTGACGTATGAGCTCGCACCGTTGTCAGGAGATTGGATCTCTAGGCGTAGACTTGAGGAGGAGTCCTCCTGTTCGTTTGCAATAATCTTGCATCTAACTTTCCATGTGATTGTGTAATCGTCTCTGTTCGTATGCCCATCTCTCGGTTAGCTGATCACGTTTCAAAGATCATGGGAATTGGAGACAGGGGGACAGGGAGAAAGGAAGAGGGTTGGGGGGTTACGTACACTCGCCAGCTCAAGGGCTTGTCGAGACCACTCTTAGTGCCTGAGCCGCTACAGTCCTCATGGCTCTTCAACAAGCCACTGATGACAACTTCATCACTACCAGCATTCCAAGTTACTTCCGTCTTTGCAGAATCTTCCGTGGACACCCTGAACCACGACGCACCTCCATGGTCCACTGGACCCGTCTTGCTTGTTTTCATCCACCTGTACCCCCTGACCAGCCGCTGATTATAATTTTCCAGCACGGGTTCGAACTGGTACACAGGGTGATTGGGGTCGGGGTAATCGGGATCGCCCCCAGTCTCGAGGTGCAAGAAGACCAGGTCCCCCTTTTCTGAGAATGTAGCGGGCTTATGGTAAATTTCGGTCAGCCGATTAAACAATGTGAAGTTGGGTAGGAGGAATTTCTTCATGAAGATGTCGCTGTTGAGGAGGAATGTGCCCTGGATGGCCGGATGGCCGTAACGCTGAAGGGTCGCAAAGTTTCCGGACCAGATGAGACGCGGATCTTGAGGTTTGGAGCCGCCGCCATCAACCATTTCGAGGAATAGGAGGCAGTTGCAGTCTCCCGCTCCTCCGATGCCGGTCTGACCATCCTTGTAACCGTTCGGCTCGCTCTTGTATTGGTGGACTTGGTGCAGAACGTCCTTGGGGGCTGACGACTCAATGTTAGATTTGCTACTACTGAGTGGAAGTCGCGACAACAATGCGACGAATGAGGGGTATCTGCTCACCATAAGTTGCCTCGACCTGGGGAGCTAGTTGGAAACTTCAAGTCAGCCTTTCGATTCCGACTGCAAGCACAAATCAAACCGCCTCACAATATCCCATCGGGACACATGGAAGATGGTATCTACTCACTGTCTGGAGGCGTAAACGTCAATCCCAGCGAGTTCAAAGAGTTCTTCTCGTTATCGTAACTCCATTCCTTCAGCCAAAACTCTAGTAGATTCTTCGTACGGACGTTATCCTCATCCGCCGCCCATTCAATGTAAGGGAGGGGTTTGCCCTTCTCATCAAATCCCGCAAAGGACAGGTCATTGTCCAGATTGTCCCACCGCGCCGTGGTTAGCTTCATGTAAAGCCGATCGATGCCGTAGTCACCCGGGTGGTCGAAACGCTTCGCGATCTGCTTCCGCTTCTCCTCGACCCTCTTCCTCGTCTTCTCATCCTTGATGGTGGAAGGATCAGGCAGCTTGTCGGGGACAACCATGGTGCGTACGGCAAAGGTCCAGCCGTTGAGGTCATCGATGAGGGATTCATCGTCTGTGCCTTTCAAAGAGCCGGAGGTGAAACTGTGATGCCGCAAAAAGAATATTGTTGGCGTTGATCGAGAAACACGTCAGAGAAATGCAAGACGTACCTCAATTTCATAATCACCTCGTTGAGGTTGGCGCCATGCTGGTCGGCACCAGGAATCAAAATCACGGGAGCCAGGATCTTTCCCTTGAACTTGCCGAGGGCGCCATGGTAGTCGAGGTTGGAGAGTAGGTCGGGGTAAGCGTCATAGAGCTTCTGCAAGTTTTCGTTGATGAGACCTTGTGAGAGGGCGACAACCTGGTCGTACGAGCCCGAGTCAGCGCGCGTCGTTGTCTCCAGGCGGGACTCGTAATCCCACTTGTTGTTCATGGTTGACGCGGAGGAGCAGTGTCAAGAGGCGTGCTGAAGTTTTTCGCGAATCAGTGAACACGGTGTGCCGTGTCTGCAAGAAGGAAAGATTTTATCGTCACAAGAAAAAGCCAATCCTTATTTCCTACCTCCTGTCGCCTTTTATGTCTCTCAATCTCAAGCAGTCAGTCAAATGGACGAGACGCGCCCGTCCTCTCTCTCCTTCAAGGTTCTACGACATTGGAATCTTGCTCTCCCGCGAGGCGGCAGGCAGTGCCATTATCGCCAGATTTGGTATAGCCAAGGTCACTATCCAGAGCTGAAAGATACCGACTGTCTCTCCTCTCTTCTCGATGGTTGGTCGGCATGCAGTGTGATGAGACGGGCCACAATGATCATGACCAACCAGGGCGGAGAGAAAGAAGAAAAAAGACTGGATATCCAGTCCCTCGACTAAGCTTGGAAGTGATGTCAAACCACTGAAAAGGGAGATCCTTTGGTCCGTTGAGGAGAGAACAGGAGCTGAGTGTTCTGGCTTGGCGTTGAGATTGGCTCATAATCCCCTCCTTTCCCCCTCACATCCATCAGGCCTGACCACCCTATTTCTTCGCCATGGGTGGTATCACGATTGCATGTGAATACTGGATTGTCGTCGTCTACCAATTATGAGCCTGCCTCGGGGACTTTCCGAATTCGTGGATTTCGATGATGACCAGTAGTTGGTAGAAACAACTGCTCGAATGCGACCTTGACGGAAGGCGTTACAGCCGCGTCTGGAGGAATACCACCCGGTCACAGTCTTGTCGGGCATCAGCGCAGCAACGGATATTCAGCTCGAACGAATTTGTCCATGATCCGTGTTAATGGCGAGCTGAAATCCGTAAAAGGCAATGTATCCGCAAATCACGGGAGCAGAACCAAGCACATTTACACTCAAAAGACCAGCAACTATCCATGATGGTTTTCATATCAGCACTTGGTTTCCCTGAGCCTGCGAGGTCTGGAAGCCTGTAGAAAAAAAACAAAGAGTAGCAGCTACGGGCCCTCGAAATGAGCTCCTTTACCCGCATGCCAGTGCCTGGAGGAGTGGTCGCTTCGGCAGATACATCCGTAAGTTTACGTGACGGCGTGGAAAGAGGCACATGCCGTGTCACTGAGAAACAGGTGTAGGAGTGTGTATTTCTGTGTATTTCTGTGTTACGGACGCTAACGTTGGGCTGAAGAAGGAAAAGAGACCCATACATGATCCTCAGTCCCAAGTGGGTCAACGGAATAGTAGCGGAGATTCAGCTAATAACTTTCCTGCTTCTGGTCCCGATCATGATCCTGGACGAATGACGGCAAACGGCGCCAGTCGTCGGTCCAACTCGGAGAAATTCAACGTCAAGGTCGACACTCAGACCGGCGGGGCGACTTGTACAATCCCCATCCCGACTTCTTCTGCACGATCCTCCCATGTCGATCCCGTTCTTAGCCTGGAGTACAGCTCCGGGGCCGCTGGGTCTAGTGGCGTGTTTGGTATGGGATGGCGTCTAGCCGGGGTTGATTCCATCTCGCGCAAGACGTCTCGGGGCGTCCCGACCTACGACGATGACGCTGATGCAGATGTGTTTGTGCATTCCGCCCTGGGAGACTTGGTCCCCTCGGATAAGCCCACCAGGACGACTGATGGGCACAATGTGCGCGAGTATCGTGCGCGGGTAGAGGGCCAGCCAACGCGTGTCGAGCAGTGGACGACGACAGACGGGGCTGATGCGTTTTGGAGGGTGACTTCCTCCAACAACATTGTCGCCATCTACGGCCTCTCTGACAACGACCGGATCTTTGGCCAAACAGGGTCAGGGCCGTCTGCGAAGAAGAAGGTATTCGCATGGCTGGCTTCCGAACAGTATGATGGTCGCGGGAATCATGTTGTTTACACGTACAAACCCGAGGACAACGTGTGCGAGTCCGGGGTATTTGACGATATCCATTCGTCCTTTTCGCAGCGCTACCTCAAGACTATTCAGTACGGGAACGCTACGCCTAGCCGCAGTGTCGATGACTGGAACGTTGTGACAAGGCCTTTGGATTGGCTGTTCGAGGTGGTCTTTGACTTTGGCGAGCACAATGGCGAACGACCTACAACCAAGGCGGAGAGCGCGTGGAGCCGTCGCCATGACCCGTTCTCGACCTACAACAGCGGCTTCGAGATACGGACATACCGCCGTTGCAGTCGCGTTCTGATGTTTCACCACTTCCCATCTGAGCTTGGTAGGCAGGACTGCCTCGTCTCATCGACATGCTTCGATTACGAGACAGATGAGCGCTCGGGCGTCAGCTTCCTTACTTGCTCCGTTCAAAAGGGCCACAGTCCCCAGGGAGACAATGACTACTGGACCCTTGCTATGCCGCCAGTTGAACTTGGGTATACCAAGGGACCCCCCGACTTTGCAGATTTGCCAGTCGAGGAGATGGATCTGCGCATGTCGGGGCTGGACACCTCCATGGCGCAATGGGTTGACCTAGACGGCCAAGGTGCGCCCGGCATACTCACCAAGTCCAAGGGGGGAGGGTGGTACTACCAGCGCAACGTCACGGGAGCGGATGGCCGCCCAGAAGTTGGCGAACCGCGCCCAGTGAGCATGTTGCCAAGCATGACCCAGTCTGCCGTCGAGGACTGGCGTTTTGAACATGTTCGTGGGACAGGAGCGCTGGACGTCGTGGTCATGACCGAGAATGGCGGCCTGCGTGGGTTTTACGAACGCGACGAAGATGATGGATGGCTGAATTATGTGCCCTTTGAGTCGCAACCAAACCTCGATAACCCAGAGGATTACCGCTCTGTCGATTTGAGCGGGACTGGCACTGCCGATTTGCTCTCCATGGTGCCTATGGCTGGCGGTTCCCTTGTATGGCAGCCATCCTTGGGCTCTGATGGCTTCGGTCCGGCGCAGGCTGCTATTGGGGCCCCGTTACTGTCTCTGGGAGATGCTACATCGCTGATTCAGCTCTGCGATATGACAGGCGATGGTCTAGCCGACATGGTCGAGATTCGCAACGGAAACGTCAGCTACTGGCCCAACACAGGCCATGGAACTTTCGGATGCAGCATCATCATGGGCAATGCTCCCTTGATGGCCGCTGGTGACCTCTTCTCGCCGCAGCGAGTCCGACTTGCCGATATAACGGGGTCTGGGACAGCCGACCTGCTTTATGTGCGCCCCGAGGGCGGTGTTGTGGCCTATTACAACCGCTCGGGAAACGACTGGAGTGATGGAGACGTGATTCCAGGGTTCCACCTGCTTGGTCGCGCATCGGCTGTCGATGTCCTTGATCTTGGAGGTCAAGGCCTTACATGTCTATGCTGGGTGTCCGACCTGTACCGCGGTGGTGGCGACGACGACGCTGGGAGCACCAGCGGGCTCTCAACGGTCTATTTTGTGAATCTCTCGGGCCCGCAACATCCCGGACTTCTCGAGAAGTGGTCAAACGGGACCGGACTGGAGACGACATGTACCTACAAGTCGTCCTTTTCTTTCTACAGCGAGGACGCGGCTCAAGGAACACCTTGGGCGACTAAGCTTCCGTTTCCGCTCCTTTGCGTCTCCCAGACCGTCATGGTGGACAGAGTCACGCAAACATCGTCCACTGCCCGGTATGCCTACCACAACGGTTACTACGACCACACCGAAAAGATGTTCCGTGGCTTCCAGATGGTTGAGACGTGGGATGCCGAGGAATTTGACTCGGTGGCCGCCTCGCCGTTTCAACGCCCCCCCGTCCTCACCAGGGACTGGTTCTACATCGGCGCGGGACGGGTAGATGAGTCGAGTCGCCTGCCGTGGAGCTATGAGATTGATGCGCCCCGGCACGACGCCATAGCCAGCACTACGTTGCCCTTGCTGGGGGCTGACGTGGCTGTTTCCGCAGAGGCATATCGCGCGCTCGCGGGCCAGCCACGGCGAAAAGAGGTCTTCAGCGCCGACCCCTCGGATCCAAAGGCTGCTTTTCCATACCTCATCTCACAGCAGACGTACGACGTGGTCCTCCGGCAGGCGGCGCCGGCACCTTTGGTGTGTAGGGTGGACGGACGAGAGGAGGTCACGGCGCACTATGAGAGGGCGACGGTCAAGGACGAGCAGGACCAGCCCGAGCTGTCGATCCAAGATGCCCGCGTTCAGCATCGCCTCACACTGCAGACGGATGATTATGGCAACGTTCTTCTGGAGGCCCTCGTGGAATATGGCAAACCATCCAGTCAACTGCCCAACGCCGATGACCAACGGAAGCAGGAGGAAACCGTTGTTAGCTACACCGAGATGAGATATACCAACGCTGTCGAGTCTGAGACTTGTTTCCAGAGTCCACTATCTGCCGAGGTCCAGAAATACAGAGTCTTCCCAGCTACTGCCATCAGTGGAAAGGACCGATATGCGTGGGAGATGATTGCGCAGGATGACGCACGCTTTCTCAAGGCGGCCGTGGAAATCTCTCTCAACGCTGACGTGGATGAGCAGCTCAAGCACGCAAATACCATAGGGTGTCGTGTCTTACTGGCAGATCAACGCACGACGTATACATCAACGGATCTGCTTGAAGCACTACCCGTTGGGGTGGCAGCCGAGTTTTCTGTCGTTGACCGAAAGTACCAGTTGGTCTTTACGTCAGATTATCTACAGGAGGTTTTCAGTGACGCGAAGCCAGCAGCAGATATGGAAGTGCTGGCCGCGCATTGTAAAGACGGCGGATACGTTGAATTGAACGGCGAGGACGGCAAATGGTGGGCTCAGTCATCGCGTTCCATCTTTGGAGACGACGACCCGGGCCACCGCCTCAAGGCTGCGCGGACTTGTTTCTTCATCCCCAGCGGTGAGGTGGATGCATATGGCAACACATCAACCGTAGAGTTGGACCACTACCATCTCTTGGCAAAGAAGACCACAAATGCGGTGGGCAGCGTAATCTCCACTGTTAGCGACTATGCTAAGCTCGCAAGCATTATGACCATAGATGCCAATGGGAATCGAGTCCAGACAGCTCCAGACCCCCTTGGACGGGCTGTAGGTGTTGCTGTTCTGGGGAAAGAAGGGGACAGTACTGGGAACAGCCTAGATGGATTCAAAGGGGAGATTGACCAGCAGACATTGGATGCCTTTTTCACGACGCCTTACGGAGAAACAGCCAAGTCCCTGCTTGCTGAAGCGAGTCAGCGGACGATATATGACATCGACTCTTACCGCCGGAGCGGCGTGCCTTCGCGGGTTGCCGTGCTGACCCGTCACGACCACGTTGGAAAGGGGACGGACGTATCTCCCATCACTGTGCGGATCACATACCTAGGCGGCAGTGGCGTGGGTATACAGTCAACCTTGCTATCAAGTGATACAGGCAAGACGGGATGGGATTTTGACGGATGGGTTATCAACGACAACAAAGGACAGCCGGTCCAGAAGTTTCAACCCTCACGTGCCTCATCTCATGCCTTCCGGCCTCTGCCGCCCCCCAGCGATGGCACCGTCCCCGTCACGACAACACTGCGAGACCCCCTCGGGAGGGTATTGGGGGTTCTTTACCCTGATCACACCTGGTCCAAGACTCGATTCACGCCGTGGACCGAGGCTGAATATGACGCCGGCAACACATCCAACGTTGAAGATCCGGCGACAGATGACGATGTTGGCTCCTACTTTAAAAGACTCCCTCGGTCTTTATACTATCCGACCTGGCGACAAAAGCGGATGGCTGATGGGTCAAGCGCAAAGGATAAGATGGCAGCCCGCCAAGGAGATGTGTATGCTGATGCTCCCACTATCACGCACTTGGACGCCCCGGGTCGGGCCATTCTCACCGAGACTGGCACGGGAGTTGAAACTCGTCATGCGCGGGTGGATTACAACTTACGCGGGCAGATAGGCCGTCTACGAGACGCCCTGGATCGCACAGTGGAGAAGGTAACATATGATCTCCTCGGACGGCAGCTACACACCGCCAACATGGACCGAGGTCGGCGTTGGCTACTCTCAGACAGTGACGGTCTGCCATGTTTGTCCTGGTCAGACAGGCAGACCAGAAAAAGGTCCGAGTACGATGCCTTGCGACGGCTGAAGAGTGTCTGGAGACTGTCTTCGGAGGAGCATGCGGTCGAGACAAAGGTGACCGAAATGACTTACGGGGAGGGGCGGCCTGACGACGCTGCGTCCAACCTCCGCGGACAGATATATCAGTGCCGTGACCAGGCTGGACTGCTTACCAATAGCAAATTCGACGTTCTGGGGGGGTGTACTATGTCCACGCGGTGGTATGCCAACGAGTACCGGAACAGGTTGGACTGGTCGAGTGTGAAGGACGAGCAGGCGGCGTTGGAAAAGGATGGGCACAAAACCGAGTGTCGATACAATGCTCTCAACCTGCCCGTCGAGAATGTGGCGTCGGATCTTGGGATGGCCAGACGGCAGTACGACGTCGCAGGGCGATTGGTGGCTCTCGAGTCGTTCAAGGCGGACGGCACGGGGGCTGCTACATCGTCGACTAATAGCATCAAATACAACGCCAACGGCATGATCACCGACCTCGCTTATGGTGATAAGACGCAATCGACAAACACATATGACGAGCAGACACAACGCCTTGTGGCCACAAGAACCATTCGCACGACTGATAATGTGGTGCTCCAGGATGTCTCATACGCCCATGACTGTCGAGCCAAAGTCGTCCAGACAAAAGACACGGCCAAAATTGGCGTCAAGGACGCGGATTCGACGCAAGAATACCATTATGACTGCCTCGGTCAGCTTGTACAAGCCACCGGCCGAATCCAAGTCGGCTCGCAGTCAAAACATGTTAGGCCATACAGCTTCAACGACGATAAGCCTGGAGGTGACTCAAAGACAATTCGCTACACGGAGACGTATGCCTACGACAAGGCAGGAAACATGCTCACCATGTCCAATACCCCAAACACTGCCGGACACACTGGCTGGAAAAGGGCATACACATATGCAGAGCAGAGTTGTATCACGATAGGAGAGACGAGTAACAGACTGACCCGCACCAAGGTGGGCAAAGTGACTGAGGAGTATAAATATGAGGACGATGCGGGACGGCACGGCTGTATGACGCATATACCGGGATACAGCCATCTCTCCTGGAACGACGACGATCGTCTGGATTCCTTTTCGACGCAGAACGTTGGTGCGGATAATGGAAACACGCCTGAGAGGACGTGGTATGTCTACGATGCGGAGGGCACGCGTGTGCGCAAAGTGACAGACCGCTACCGCGACAACAACGATGATCAACCGCGCAAGAGCAAGGACATCCGATATCTGCCCATGGGGGACATTTTCTCCTCGTACACAGGCGACGATCTGCAACCATCACGCGTAACATGTACGCTCAACGCCGCCGATGCCGCTCTAGGCTCTACTCCCATCTCCCTTGTTGAGCACAGCACATCTTCCCCGACGGCGCTGGTGCGATACCGCCTCGGTGAACGACTGCAAGTTGACCCTGATGCCAAGGTGGTCTCATACAACGAGTTCTCGCCGTTTGGATCCGGTACCTACCAAACCTTCAACACCGATGCCCCTCGGGCATACAGATTCGCCAGTTATCGCTGGGACTCGGAGAGCGGCCTATACGCTTGCGGAGCTAGATACTACGCACCCTGGCTTGGACGTTGGACATGTGCCGATCCCATAGGCGTAGCTGACGGATTGAATCTCTTTGCCTATGTCAGGAATGATCCCGTCAACTTTGACGATCCGGGCGGCACAACCAAGAATCGCAAATACAACAGATCACTCTCTGAGCCATCAAGTCACGAACAGGCAGCGGGGAGCAGCGGCACATTCTCCAGTATCCGTGACATACCCGCCGCGGTTGCTCGCAGACTTGGGTCCAGTCTCTTTGATGCCGATCATCCTCCTCCTGTCGCCCCAGGCTCAACCAGGCTGTGGCGCGCGACGGACCTGGCGAGAGGTATTCAGTTTGTACGCTTCGGTGACGTATCTGCCGTGCGCACGACGGCGATTGGCAACTTTAATCGTGCTGATGAGACGGCTGCCTACTGGGCTGCGACTAGGGCATCTGCCGAGGTGCACGCAAAGCATCTAATGAAGGCAGACAAGAAAGCGCTGATATCCATGGATGTACCGCAGAGTGTGTTGGCGAGCGGTACCGCTGGTGTGTATGACTACGGTCCTGAGGCGAGCACCCAATGGCAAGAGGTAAGCACTTCCCCTCCATCTTTTCATAGCACTCTTTAGCTACCTGTTGACGATAAATGACAATAACAGAGACTCGAATACTACTCCAGCCCTGACGAGAGACTGGCATCAACGATAAAAGAACACAACTACCAGAAACAAGTCTTCTCCGCCATAAAGGAACATAATCTCACGGAATGGGACGACGCCGAGAAAATAGTCAAACAGACATACGACGAAGCGGCGGAGACTATACGAGCCGATAACACGGCGGCGCGGATCCTTGCGGAGAGAGCGGCTGAGGTCACGATTGGTGCGGAGACGCCAGTTATGATTAATTCAACTTCGATGGCGTTTGAGCTAGGGAATGGACCTGAGATGCAGTATGCTTTCAAGGGAGGTGCTTATGGGAGGTTGGCTGGGTATAAGAGCGGGTTGGTGAGGTATCAGGAGGGCAGGCAGGGGGGTGGAGGGGGGAGAAGTTGTTGGTGGAGATGTCAGTTGCTGTGACAAGGGACGGACTATAGGGTACCGGCATTCTACTGAAATATAGGACCTCAAATAGGCAGACTCCTTTTGTTCTCTGTTATGCTGAAGTCTCAATCCTAGATGTATCCCCCATTTGGACCCTACATGTCCTATCCAACGTGGAATAATAAACACCCTTGATCTACACACCTACAAGCCTTGACGGCAATAACTTGGTCGGAAACTGCTCCTCCTCACGCTACTCGGTTACAGAACTATAAAGCTCCCTTACAACCGTTATTCCAGTCTTTCTTACTCATACACTTCCTGATGAATATTGTGTCTTTATTACCTGCCACGGGGCTGCGTGACGTTTCTAACCGTACTGTATGGTTAAATAGGGTCTTTCAGTCTTTTGTGATTTATATACTCGAGATGGGGGGAAACATTACGAGGTTAAAGGGTGTAATGGTCCATCTGTGAACAGAGTAGCAATTACGATGTTGTCAAATGCCAAATTCTAGGGTAAGAAGCTGTACAGCTTAGTATTAGTCTCTACTTTACCTTGGCCGTGTTTATGCCGCATATTTGTTTCAACTCTGTCCCCCTTTATCTGACCCTACCAAATCCGAACGACGCATCCAGCACCAAAGAGAACGGGCACAAGGACCACGGAAATAGTAGGCGGGCTAATCAACACCTATCAACAAGTCGTGCGTTAACAGCGGTACCGGTCCATCGCCATGGCGGATTACGAAACCGAGGTTGAGGGCATCCGTCAGACGCCAAAGGGGCAGGCGGTAATGCGAGAATCAAGACGCTGATTCAGAAAAGAGAACCCTTGGCACGTATTGAACCATGTTTTCTGCCTGCCTATATGGTAGGACTATTGGAGTTCTCGCATGATGTAGTAGGTACCAGTACGGGGTGCGTATACAAATAGTACGGTACGTAAGACAGGCATCTTCGTCGTCACTGGGCCACTCACTCCTGAGCATGTATATATACTTCACACACCCTAAGCATGGCCCAGCAATGAAAACGGGCCTTCTGACCCGGCTATAGATGATGCCAAGCAGCCTGATTCTGTCTACTGCACTCCATACTCCTCCTGGCGATGCCTCTAAGCGGTAGTTGCAGGCAACGGCGGGGGGGAGGATCGGCCACCCATGGCGCCGCTAAATGCAAAAGCCCAGGCACCTGAGCAATTAAGGTACGGCGCATGCGGGTGATTTAGCCATGCCGGGTCTGGCAATCAGATGCCCACCGATATCGACGAAAACTTCCGTGCTTCCTTGCTGCTCTGCTTGCTCTGCTAGGTATAGAATCCCACTTGTACTAATCGACCGCCAAGGGGTATAGAGCCTACAAGTATCAGTACTAGCGGTGCTACTAGTGAGTACCTTCTGGGTTCTTGACTGGTGCCTTGCGTGGTCGTTCAGGAGCATAAAGGCAAGATACTTGTAATAACACTAGCACTTCATGTGAGCGGAGCCCAGGCATAGTGCCAAAGTAGCAGCATATGCCTCCCATGTGCTACCAAGATCTCGCACGCCTTCCATTGTTCCCCCATATCCGCCCATCTGATATCGACGATCAGAAACCGTGACGCCCTCCAAGAGTTCACCTGAGCACCAGGTCCCTATTTCCCTCTCCATGCCGTGCTTACGGTGCGTTTCTTCTCTCTCTTTGCCTGTTCTTAGCGGTCCTTTAGCACCATTATCCTTCCGCAAGCGGCCAAACGAAGCTTTAGCGCCTGACCACCTATTAGGAAATCCACCTTCCTGATTGGGCCTCATATCGGCACATCTTTCGGTCAAAATGCATATTACTGTGCATCCCGCGCGAACCTGCAAGGAGCAGGAGACAAACCTGGGGTTGTGAACAAACCGGATGAGGTGCTCTGGCAAAGTGCTCGGCTCAGGAGGCTTTTTTTCGATTCAGTAGCATCTATATAGAAGCGCTGCTTCTCGCCCCCAGAGCTGTTGCCAACCTCTTGAAGTCTTGCCCCGGATTTTGCATAGTAGGACAGCCGCCTTTGAACCACTCTTCTTACAAGACAACTCCTTTACAATCAGCAATCATGAAGACCGCCACCTTCATCGCCGCCGCCCTCGCTGGCCTCGCCCTGGCTGCCCCTACCAGCAAGCAGACCAAGGAGGTTGCTGCCCTCCGATACGCCAACTCGAGGCCTCTTGATGCCGCTGCCATCCACGGCTCTGCTTCCAAGCGCGCCGAGACCGCTGCTACTGCCACCCGCGAGAAGAACCTCGTCGACCTCAAGTACGCCAACAAGCGTCCTATTCCCGAGGGTCACGCTCCCAAGGCCGCTGCTTCCAAGCGTGATACTGCTTCCACTGCTGCCACCCGCGAGAAGAACCTTGTCGATCTCAAGTACGCCAACAAGCGCCCCATCCCTGAGGGCCACGCTCCCAAGGCTGCCGCTTCCAAGCGTGATACTGCTTCCACCGCTGCCACCCGAGAGAAGAACCTCGTCGACCTCAAGTACGCCAACAAGCGTCCTATTCCCGAGGGCCACGCTCCCAAGGCTTCCGCATAAACAACGCAAACCGTTACCTCTGTAATGTGAGGCTTCCTTCTTGTACATAACCTCTTTTTTGATGGTTCGTAATACGCTTCTCCTCCGCCTGTCGCGGCCATGCTTGTTTCGTGCGACTAACAAAGGCCTTTTATATCTTTGCAGACACACCACATATGATTCTTCGCCGGCAGTTGTACATATTGTTGACGGCGATGCCGATACGTTAGATGTGGACGTATATATGACTCGCAATGTATATATGAATTGCACGATATTACTCTGCAGAGACCTTGCCGCTTTCTTGTCTTCCGACTATGCTTGTGACGTGACGTAATGTGAATAATGTGGAAATGCAATCGTCACAAAGTCGTAGAGCCGCTGTAGTTACATCTATGGGAATATCATCCGGCGTCTGTTTCGTCCATGTGGCGCCGTCCCGAATAAGTGGGCGTCGGTTCATGGAGTTAATGCCTCGCAACAACGTAGCACTACCATCTCTACAAGCAGTAACAACGTGGCTGTGGTTTCCGTAAAGTTCAGCTGAGACTACTGCAAATGGAACTGCAGATCTCGAAATTCTGGAATGTTTCTGCCATGTTCTACAATGTATTCATGGTCACATGGCTCTAGAGCCAAGGTGCCGCGGAGCAACATCAACACATATAACCAGGCTTCATCAAGATACATTACGAAGAAGGAAATAATTCTCGTAAAAATAAAAATTCTTGTTCAAAATCCACGCTGTCATAAGAGTATATACAGTTGGCGGCGCATGGCACCATCTATATACATTTAAATAAAAATTATCCAAGTCGTACTTCGTTCAGGCAATGCCGTAAAAGCCAGCACCGCCTTCCAATCTCAACATCGCGAGCCGCGGATTTAGCTGTCAGTGGCGCACTTTCCGCTCTTGCAGACCAAGTCGTCAGAGCAGTCATCGTCGCTGCTGCACTTGGCTCCAGCACAGTGGCCAGACCAAGAGCAGGTAGGCTGGCTGCCAGAGGGCTTGGTGGAGGATGCAGGAGGAGGAGGAGAGCCAGAGCTGCCAATGCGGGCAACGAGGCTGTCGCCGAGAGCGCCGAGAGACGACTCGAAGTCGGTGAAGGACGAGGCAGACCAGTTGGCCCCCTTGGCACCGGGAACGGCACCGGCGCCGGTGAAGGCAATGTAGAGGACGTCGTTGGCATCGTGGGCTGCGTTGCCGTTGACGGCGCTGCCGTAGCAGGCTCGGCCGAGAGCATCAGAGACCTCGCCGACCAATGGTGGGCCGTCGTCGCCGTTGGTATCGCCCCAGACACCGTAGAACTGAGATTGGTGTTAGTTGGAATTGTCTTTCAGAGCTCATTGTTTGATAGGTTTGGCTGCTTACCATCTTGTTGCCACAGACCACGGCAACGAGAGACAGAGGGTCAACGCCAACTGACTCTGGCTCAAAGGTCACGTAGCCAGACTTGCTGCCCTCGTTGCCCAGCACCACAAAGGAGTGGATGTAGGCGTTGAGATCCTTGATGCCGGCCTTGTAGCTGGTGATGGTGTCCTTGAAGGAGGTCTCGCCCTGAGTATCCTGAGAGCTGTCGCAGCTGCCGTCGCCCGTGCCAAGAGCACCGTCGCAGTCGATGTCCATGTTGACCAGGTTGCCGTTGGTGCCCTGGAGGTACATGATGCCGTAGTCGTTCAAGTGGTCACCGCAGTAGCTGAAGTCTGTAATCCCAATTAGTAACTACATTTAAGCATAACAGGGATGCACCATCTCATCGACTTACTCTTGGAGTCGCCCTCCTGGCTGTAGAAGCCGCCCTTGAGGATGTTCTTGCAAGAGCCCTGAGCACGGATCGAGTTGTACAAGCTCTGGACGTTGGCGGGAACCTGGCGAGCCAGAGCCGGCGAGGCCGCAAGGGCAGTGAACAGGAGAGTATCGAAGCTGCGCATCTTGATCGAGTGGCTGTTGTCGAGCTGTGTTGAGAGTTGACTGGAGGTGAGGAGCGAGATCTCGGCTTCAATCGAGGAAGCACAAGCAGTTTATATAAACATCGGGCTGAACAGTGACATCTCTCCTCGGCACCTCCACATACGTTCCCATTATTTTAGAACCATTGGCCCCGCGATGTTCCGTCTGTCTATACGAGCGGTGCAGCTAGTATTTCTGACAAGGGAATCCTCCGAGCCCAGCCTTGCTGGCATACCACTACTATTGCTAACAGCAAAACACGCCCAATACTATTTCCGCCGTGTTACTGTAGTGGCGCTCTTTGGCCCCCTGCGCTAGGCCTTCTGCATCATCGGCTTTCGCGACCTGCCGCAGCCACAATTCTGCTTGTATGCGCTGAATCGGTCATCGCCCCTTGTTTTCCGTGAACTAGTTGTAACGTTAATAAAAGGCTTACACCCAGCTTCCTCTTTCAGCCAGAGCAAGGCCTTTTTTTACGAGGAATGGAATTCTGGATTCTTTTTCCGCGTTGGAAGTTGTACAGCAGGCGAGTAATATCGAATCATCTCGTATCAGATAGCCAGCTTGTAACCTGGTTGAGCATGTGTCGTGGGCAGATTCTACCGCTGAAAGTTGCGAGTAAGCATAACTTCTAGCCTATAGAAGGAAGCTGAAGCTTAAAATTGAGTGTCTGCCAAGGAGCGTAATCCACCAACCGCTGACCATCTTTGACAGCGCTGCTATCAGATCGCCCAACTTAATGCAGTGCCAGAACAGCTCTTAGAAGTCAAAACGGCCAGCCAGCAAACTATCCGCCCCTCTGCAGCAACTCTTCTCAACGTTACGCCAAGCAGGAGGGTTGAGAGAGATGCAAGTATTCAGGGCATTGGGCATGATTAGTCGTGCAATAGCGCAGATCTGCCCTGAGAGGTCCTGTCATTAAACGCCTCGGCAGCCACCGTATCAGGTCCATGTGGAGAATTAGCTTGCTGCAGGATCTGTTCTCAACTAGAAACGATCTAGCAATTCGCTAGCCTGGCAACGTGGATAAGCTGTGAGCTGTGCCCAACTTATACATGTTTGCATCGGCGATTCCACCAATCAAGAGACCTATTCAACAAAACCATTAGAAAAAGGGAACTTGGATTGACGACTTGGCTTCTATCGGTAGTCGCGAGGTTTTTTGCCCAAAGTAAAAGACTTTTCAATAATAGGAGTTTGCAGTTCCGGTCATGGCCGCGAGCAAAGTGGAGAGGGCTACACGTGTCAAGGGCCGGAACTCAGTGGCTCGCAAGGCACAATGGTCAGATACTTGCACTCAAACTGTGCTCGATCATTGATTCTCGGGTTGGGCCGAAGGATAGTGTAACAAAGGCAACAGTTTGTGTGGGCGGCGATGTGCAAACTCAAAGGTCACAACATTTGCTTTACACTTGTAGAACCAACTCTAGAATTCCCAGTCTCCATTTCTGCACTAAGCATTGATACCGTATGCTTCCAATGATAGAGCCCGCAGTCCTCATCAATAGCATGAAATATGAGCATTTTCCCTAATCTTCTCTCAATGTGGACGACGGGCAAGTTCCGCATTAAAGTGCAAACACACATCAAGAGTAATCAGAATCTCCGATTCCGTCGGCAAATTGTAAAAGACGGCACTACTGCCCACTTAATTCTGGACAAGCTTTTTTCTTAGCTTTTTCTTAGCTCTTCTCTATTATGGAGCAACGTTAAATGCATGCGGGAACGTGCTGCAACTCCCCGCGTTGCTACCGAAACATTTAGCGACTACCATTTGCTACCACTCCTCATCATGTCCATTTCATTCTTGCCTCCTAAAGCAATAGCCCATTGTAGTCAACAGCGAGTCGATAGATTCCCAGAAAATGGAGAAGCATTTTAGCATACCAAGATGGGATAGATAAAGATGCATGAGGACCTATATAGACATCTCTGCGATTCCTATGGGATTTAATTGTCCACCAATGAGATATGCTTGGTTGTCTCAACTCATTATGGTAGCGAGCGAGTGAATCCACAGCAGCTCGCAGCTAACCTTCTATAACTTCCTCATTCGCCAGGCGTTTCGGGCTTCTATCGAGGAATTCGTATTTACATTAATTGGACAGGGGTGGGTTGAAGGTGTCTTATGTGGTTTCGGCAATTTGGCTTCATGACAGAAAACAATGTAGAACAGCTATAATTGTAGGTCGATTCAAACTTAATTTTTTTTTTCTCACATAACAGTCCCGACAAGGTACCTAGTTACAAGAGCACGTGTAAGTGGTATAAACAGTTGCTTACTGAGTTACATGATCAGCACGCAGAATGAACTAGACTGGTCCTACATCCCAACACATAGCATGTGGGCCGTGAGTCAACAAGAAGACCATCACAGTTTGGTTCAACGGGTTTATCCGAGAACACTAGTGCACTCGGTACAAACAGAAATTGGCAACGATAACACAGTACGGTATACTGCTTCGTTTTTGGGTGTATATACGACAACTAGCTTGCCCAGGGTAGCACCGAATCCTTCCTCTGGGGGCCCTGAACCACTATATACTCATCTCCTTATCTCTATATCCCATCATCCCCGATACTGTTCAAATCCCCGTACAGCGCATGAACCCTTGCAGGCTTCTAAGAGTGCACCACCTTGATAGACTGGATATGCACCTCAGACGTAACCGCCGTCTTGCCCTGATTATAATTCCCAGTCTTGAAATAGCAATTAGGAGAGTCCCAGTTAAAGGTCGAAAGCGTCGTCTTGTTTCCATTAATAGAAATACTCAAGACATTATTCGAATAGGACATGATGTAGGTAAAGTACGTTCCCACAGGGACGTTTCCAAGCTTGGTAACAACCTGATCGCTATCCGCATCTTGCTTCACGCCGACGACAATGTCGCCTTTGGTGCTGTAGTACATCTCGGCAAGAGGCTTGCTGGCCTCGGCGGCAAAGACCTGGCCAATGGCCGTGCCGTGAGTGCCGTCGTCTGCCTTGACAATCTTTAAGCTCACGGTATTCGTGTTGGTGCCAGTAGGAGGCCAATTGGTGTTTTGGCCACTCTTGTTTACTTCGCGCAGCTCAGTCCGGCAGTGCTCGCTGCCGGAGGTGGTGGCACAGCCAGTGAGGTCCGGATTACCCGGTGCCGTAAGAATGAGCTCGCCATTGGTCTTGTCGGTGTAGAACGTAGGGCCAGTATAGCCACTGCAGCCTTGAAGAGCTTTGCTCTTGATGGTGTCGACGCTGCCGTCGCTGCCTGTGGGGAGCTGAAGACTCCAGACAGTAAAGTCGAAATTGCCTCCAGGTGCACAGCTAGGATTCAAGGCAAGGACAGTGGTGATGGGCAGAAGCGAGAAGAGGCTGACGATAGATTTGGGAGCCATGATGAATGGTGTATTTGTCAATATGATTTAGCTTTGCTATGCTTCCAAAGATGTTGTGAAGATGGAATGATCGACACTTGGTTTTGTCATCTTCAATCTCGACTTCCGCATCTCATCGCCTTTTATAGATCTCTTGTGAGTTTCCACGAACAGTTTGTAGCACGCTTCTACTCAAAGATAACCTATACGCGCAGCCTATTCCCTTTCTTTTTTTCCACCAATTGCTTCTTCTTCTTCCCCATCAAAATAAATTAAGTCATTTGCGTCACCCCGAAACACATCTTGGCTCATGCTCTGTAACCCCGAGACAAATCTCCAACACCTACCCCATCTACACTAACACCGAGAATGATCTTTCTTCCAGCATCAAGTAACGTAGCCCAGCACCAAGATGAGCTGTCAGAATATGCTAATGCGATCTGCATATGCACTCCACGTTTTGTTAACCTTTTTCCCCCCGTAACAATTCGGGACCCCCTTCTATCAAATCGAAAGATGATCTCCAAATGCCGAGGCGGTAAAATTGTTGATTGGTGGGGAATTCTTGGCGAATCTGCCAATGCAACCGCCTCGGGCACCAACTGCGGGAGAGCTGCCATGCGTATCAAGCTCTAGGTTTCACCTGGGTCAAGAATGGATACAGCTTTCAGCATGACATGCCTGAAAAGGCACTGGTATTGGTGGTAATGATATTTTGCCTGACTAACACGAGAGCAATCGGTTCATAACATAATACACGAAATACCTACCTGTCTGTCTCCAAGGAAGAGCATATCTTGGAAGCCTCGTTATCATCATTATCGTGCATTTGTCAAGTTCCCACAAGTTCCAGATATCATGTCCGAACCTCAGTCTTCCTTTGCCTTGGAAGGTGTTGGTATCTTATAGACCCAGCCCACCCTTCCCGTAAACGGTTCCTCTGCTTCTACATAATCCAGAACCAGCATCCGTCTATCAATCGGAGGGAAAACCCAATTCTGCAAGATATGATCCGCCAACAGCAAGGGAAGTATATATAGTGATAGGAAATAATAGAAAGCGTTTTCCCAGACAGACACCCGAAGTACAAATGCGGATAACTTGGCATCTGTGTCTGCAGGCTCTCGTCGAAACGCATAATACGATTGGAACGCTTCGCTCAAGGCGAGGGTGCCGGGTATGCCGTCCGGTGCTTGAGCAACGGCTGAATGCAGTCGATTGCACAAAGCAACTACATCTTGTAGCCCGCTCTGATAGCCAAGGCCCAAATTCGGGGCGAATTTGTGGCAGCTATCTCCAGCGAGCACGATGCGGCCCCAGCTCCAATGGCTCGTCATGCCTTCTTCAATAGAGGCCATGGAAGAGTTAATCTTGTTATTGTAAGCCTCCCTCACCTTGACATGCTCAGTAATATGGAAATCGGCAAACGTATTGATCATTTGCTGCATATCCTCCTTGGTACAAGCGAGGCGCTGCGTCGTCGGCTGCCGTAACTTTTTGTAAAGAAAGACCCAACAGCGCAGCTTTCCGCTTAAGCACATGATGGAGTGGTCCTTGTGGTACGTTTCATAAACCGCCATATCTGGGCTTCCAGGGAGATTCTGCTGGCTGACCAGTGACGGCGTGGAAAACCAGAGGCACTTGTACGTTGTCAAGTAAGGCTCTTCTGCGTCCCAGCTCCTCTTTGGATGTTCTTCAATAGCCATCTGGCGCATTATGCCGCGCACTTTGCTATGGACGCCATCTGCGCCAATCACAATCGACCCTTTATAAAGAGTGCCATCGGCACACTTTACCGTAACGCCAGAGTCGGTACTTGAGATGTCGACAATTTCCTTTCCTGTCAGCACCTTGGCCTGGTCGCTGCCAAGCCTTTGATACAAAAGTCGCAAGTAATCAACGCGATTGAATGCTATCGACGTGGAGCCAGTGCTTTGAGATTGGTGAGTTGGAATGTTAACCTTTCAGATATTGACAACTGAGCCATACTTTTCTTTTAAATGATGATAGAACAGAGTATCTTTAACGAGGCGCCCATCAACAGTAAGCGCCTTTTTGCGTTCAGATCTATGGCTAACCTCCAAAAGGCTCTCCAATAGGCCGAGTTGATGGATGACCCGCATGCTCGCAGGGCCAACAGCTATAGAAGCGCCTACGTCAACGACAACATTCTGTCTCTTTTCAAGAACAAGAAAGTCGATGTTGGCAAGACGAAGGGCATGGGCTGCTGAGAGGCCGACGGGGCCAGCGCCTACGATGATGACGCTGAAGTTGTGTGCAGTCATTGAAACTATAGCTGCGGTATATCTTGGAATGCGATTGAGGACGGCGCCGTGTACAGAATATAGATTACGTTATCTGGATTAAACAGAAGTTGGGCAAGCCAGATTTATGTAAAATCGAAGAAACAGAAACATCTTTGCCAGCTTCTGAATTGCTTACTGTTCCTGCATGTGCATAACGACCTCGGCTTACCTACATGCACCCTCTTGGTATCTTCATACATACTTGTACAGTTGTACAGGAGCTTCGCTGAAGGTCTTGCGGGGTTGATGCATCCGTGGTCTGATGCAGTGCGGAGTACCCAGGTAGGACATTGGAGTATGACAGGCATTCTGTTTAGGTAGCTGGCAAGATGATCATGTATTCTCCATTGCGCGGCTCGAGGGTTATCAAATGCTTAAGATCCACCACACTGATGAATATACACGCATCCAAAGATGGCAAAAACAAATAAGAATAAACATATTGATAGAACAATTCGATAAAATTATTAGTATCAAGATTGACTACGCAAGTGCCGTAGATCGTCGAGCCTTTACAAAGCACGACGCAATTTGGTATATCGCTTAAGGTAAGCGAAATATGCTTTTTGCCATGAAACTTGCCCCGGGCGATGCCTGGCTCTCGATTATCCACGGCACGCCGTTGCATGAGAATTTCTTTGTTTTCTTCTAGTCAATTGTTATAAATATAATTTGTAAACTGCGTGGCAGGCATTGGTCTTTAAAGTTTATATCGTCATGAGTTCACTTGCAAGGGAGTGTATTTGTCTCAACGGTAGCAATTTGATGTGCCAAGTACCGAGTTGACACGAATTTCCCGCTGATTCTTGCGACTGACGCAGTTGCATGACTGACAGATATTAAATCGTCAACTTCATTTGTTGAGATCTACGCCCCTTATCGTCTGGTTGAGAGCATATCATACCGAGGAATAGGAATTTCAGGAGAAGAAAGTTTAAGGGTGTTGGCAGGGAGTACCTGAAGCAAGAGGGCAAAACATGCGCTTCAAAAGGTACCGCGGAACAGCCCTGAAATTACAGCGCATCTCGGCGCGCGGTTTCTGTTTAGCGCATGCGTGGCTGACTAAGTGCAGATGAAATCGATGTGTTGTTCTAGGTAGGGGTGATGCTCCAGCTGGCATCATCTTGATCCAACACACCTGAGGCACAAGATGGAAGAAAATAGAGTCCATGCACCAACAATGTCTGTTTCAAGCCAGCGCTGTTGATACTCTGTCCATTTAGACTTTGGATGTTGGCTCGCCTAGCAACGTTCAACGTCAACGTAAAAGGAACCTTGATTCATGACTAAGCGCAAAGCCACCCATGTAAGAACGAATTTTAATTCAGGGCCACTTCTCATCTAAAGCAGACGAGGCCGTATCAAACCCTTGGTTCACACCGTCTCTGCGCTGCAAAACAAACAATCACCACTTTATACCATCTACAGTAATAATCCAGTCAGTTGCATGTAGCTTTAAGCCCCGGCGCTTATACCAGCGTTCAAGCTCTGTTACTTGAACTCTATTTGTGGCGGTGCCGGGGTTCGTTCTTCTGCAGCAGCCCATCATGAGTGGCTGCCCCTCACTCTGCCCGCTAAATCCAAATCGCATAGCCGCCGGTGTCAGCCGTAATGCCGCAGCCCAAAGCCAAGATGGTTCCTGGGAAAACGAGTCTGGCCGCCTGCGCTCTAATGCAGGATAGACTTTTGGCTGGCGGCGCAGATATAGCCCGACCGAGCACTCGACTCGAGTACCTACAGACTGTACACCGCAGGTAGCAGGTACCGTGGCGTGGCTGAAATAACACGCACAAGACAAGACGCAGCGCCGATGCAGAAATTAGGCTGGCCAATGCGCTGTCCCCTCCCGCCCAAGGCTTAGCCGCCCATTTCGGCGCGCTGCTAGCTGCTATAAACAGATCCAGGCTCCACCGCGCCCCCGTTGGCACCCAATAATTCGGAGCAGCACCTGCATGCAGTGCCTTTTGGCGGCAGTACTTTGTACTTGCGCTCTACAGTGCACTACCAGCTCCCGTGCCTCGCTTCGCTTCGTTTCGCTTCGCCTCTCCTGCTCCTGATTCCATTCCATCTCTGCCTCTTCAACACCCAATCGATATTCCTAAAGGCAGCGCCACTCCCAGCACGCGTCCCCGCGACAACGACGACTCTGCGCGATTCCTCCGGCCGGCACACACGAGCCTGCGCAATCGATCCAACTGCCGTCCAGCCTCGACGCCTGATTTCCTTGCTGCTTCGCTTCCACCTCCGCTTCGTATTCTACACACATCAATAATGCCTCTCTGCGGCGGATCAAAGACGGTGCAGCGCAAGCTGGTTCTTCTGTACGTGACGTGGGCGACGCCAGAGCCATCTGGCCGGCTGCAGGATGCGGTGCCTTGCTAACCTCTCTTGCGTGTCTATAGGGGCGATGGTGCCAGTGGAAAGACGTCGCTGCTCAACGTCTTCACGAGAGGGTTCGTCGCCTATTCACCCTTGCCCGGCAATCGATTTGACCTAACGCTTGTCCGATAGATACTTTCCGACCGTATACGAGCCTACCGTCTTCGAAAACTACGTTCATGGTACGACACTGTGTGCCACGCAAGCGGCTCTCCCCTCGGCTTTTTTTTTTTTCCTTTTGGTGTCTCTTGGCAGAGCAGAGAATCAGTGATGATGAGGCTAATGAATTCGCGGCGCAGACATCTTCGTCGACAACGTGCACATCGAGCTCTCGCTCTGGGATACAGCTGGCCAGGAAGAATTCGACCGTCTACGATCGCTCTCCTACGGTATTACGCCCTGTTCATCTACTGGCCGCCCCACCTCCATTCCATTCCATTGTGTGGCTAACGTTGCATGCGCCCAGATGACACGGATTTGATTGTGCTCTGTTACTCGGTCGATAGCAAAGACTCGCTAGAAAACGTCGAATCCAAATGGGTCGGAGAGATTGCCGACAACTGCCCCGGCGTCAAGCTGGTTCTCATTGCGCTCAAGTGCGATCTCCGTCAGATGGGCGAGGACGAGCCTGAAGAGGCCGACGCAGCAGCCGCAGCAGACGGCAACGCACAGCGCGAGAAGCCGCCGACCATTTCCTACGACGAGGGCCTCGAGGTCGCCAAGCGAATAGGCGCGTCCCGCTATCTCGAATGCTCGGCCATGAAGAACCGCGGCGTCAACGAGGCATTCACAGAGGCCGCCCGAGTAGCGCTAAGCGTCAAGAAGGAGAGGGAAGACAACAAGTGCACAATCATGTAAAGGATTCGCAGCTTCTGACGCTCCGGTTTATATCGGGGTCCTCTTCTTGATACCCTCCCTCGATATACCTTTCAAACCGCTTAGATCCGGCGGAAAAGCAATATTTCACCAGCTACGACGCATTCAATTTTTTTTAACCGCCTTCTTTCTTCTTTTTTTTGTTTTCTTTGCTGTTCTCTTTATAACATGGTGTTTTCTTCCTTTCTTCACCACTTGCTTTTCTTTGTCTTCTTTCCAACAAGTTTTTTATCAATCTATCATGGACCTTCACCGTACATATTTGACTGCGGAATGACCGATTTGCGGTTTTTTTAATTTTGTTGTAATTTTTCCTGGAATGGAGCGAAGGAGCTGAGGCTGGAGAAAAAATGTTTGATACACTACGCGCTACTGCAGCGTATTTTCGACGCAGGCTAGATTTCTCATCACATTTTTTTTGTTCTTTGTACACGCTTTGTATTAAAGAGGGGACTATTTGCTTGTGTCTTAGACTAGGATCGAATTCTAACGTTTTGTTTGTTCAAATGGGTGTGACGTGCGAGTTTGTTTCTGGCTCTCTTTAGTGTCGAGACATGACGCTGTGCTGTGCTGTATGAGCTGTGAGAGTGTGTGAAGTACAATGCACTAAGCGACAGACAGGTTTTCACGTAGTCCAGCGCAAGGCAAGACGTGGCTATTCTTAGCAGCAGCATCTCGATGGCCTCGTGTTACTTGCAGCTCTTCATCGTACATGTACCAGGTCTCAAGCCTGTTCATTGCCCGATGCTGCGAAGTTGTGATGACATTCGATCCGAGGCTGAAGCCGCCAACGCAGTAGCTGCAGTAGCCGCTGCTTGCATAAATTGCTTCTTTCATCATCTCTGCACCGGCATCATCATGCCCGCGGCCTGATTGGCTCCTGGCCATGGCAAGCAGCTGGTTGTTGGTGAGCTACACCGCGATGTACGTCACGGCGGCGGCGATCGCGCGATCATCGCTTCAAGAAACCAAACAGGTTTGCTGGATGGTATCATCATCGGCGTCATCGCCATTACACGTATTGCAGGAGGGACAAAGGGTTGCGCCAAGAAGAAAATAAATATTCGAAAAGGACCCTGAGAAAGATTTCTTTTTTTTGTTTCATTATTTATTCATTACACATTTCTGTCTCACAGTTACACATATACATAAAGGCACAATACGTTTTGCCACCCACTTACACGCATACTACACCAAGGATCTACACACCAAACATTCATCATGCCCTTCTTCAGCCGCAACGAGCCCTCCCCAGAGCCCGTCTACCAGCCCCAGCCCATGGCCGCCGAGCCGCCGGCGCGCAAGCACAGCCTCTTCCACCGCAACCGCGACGTGTCGCCCGTGTCGTCGCACCACGGCTCCGTCGCCAGCTCCGGCGCAGGCCCGGGCGGCTTCACCAACAACAACATGAACAACGCCAACGCCAACGGCAGCACCTCGGGCGGCCTGTTCCGCCACAGCACCGACAGCTCGGCCAGCCGCGGGCGGCGCAGCCTGTTCCACCGCGACCACGGCGCGCAGGCGCTGGACCCGAGCATCCTGCAGGCGCGCGAGCATGTCATGTCGGCTGAGGCCGCCGAGGTGGATGCCGACCGGGCGCTGGGCGAGGCGCGGATGCGCGTGAGGGCGGCCAAGGACCATGTCTGGCGATTGGAGGAGGAGGCCAAGGAGGAGGCGAGGCGGGCCAAGCTTAAGCAGGAGCAGGCGCGGGAGGTGTCCAAGAGGGGACAGGGCCTTGGACGTGAGTTGTCATGACTTGTATTGTTGAATGTTTGCTGACTGGTGATTGCTTTAGGTCATGGCTTGTAAGAAGCAGAGATATACGATACCACGACACGACTGTACGATTTTACTTGATTCACTTGCACAATGTTACGATACCTGTGGGGTTGGGTGTATGGATGCGCGGAGTAGAGTGAATGCTATGTTAATGCGCTGCGATGAGATTGCGAAAAATGTAAACAAGATACTGTATTATTAGCTGTAATTTTATGAGTTATCCCCATCCAAATTAACGTTTCTCTATAATTTTGTTTCATGCATTTTTTGTCCAACCATGCTCTACTACTGCAAGCACTACAGATTCCCTTAAATTGTAGTTTTGGGAGGCTCGGATGAAACTTCACGTATTCACAGCATTTTTAACCTCCCCCGAATGCCTACGAGCTTACTTGGCTGTAACCAATCAGTCTGTTGTGGGTATATAAACGCTGATTATCAACGACGCAACGCCATTAATTGACCAACCAATAGCTGTAGTTATCATTCTCAATGCATATTCACAGCATTTTTAAGCTCCCCCGAAGGCCTAAGAGCTACATTAGCACACCTGTATATTGTATCAATCAGTCTGCTGTCGGTGCTTATCAGTGACGCAACGTCAATTATTCATCGACCAATGGCTTCCATCCATTTCTTCGGGCACTGCCCACCTTGAACTTTGTAAACAATCATTTGCTTACACGCCAAACCGGCAATTCCTCCAAATCAATGGCCGCTCATCCTCTCTAAACAATGGCGGCCAATCGAGATCCCGCCAAGGAGGGCCTCCTGCGGGAGCATCAACTCGCCCAGCATCGCAGCTCAGTCGATTCCAGAGACGAAGACCTCGACCTTGATGAGCTCAATCCCGCGCTCAAGAATGGAGATTTCACCCACGACCCCTCGCGTCTGGGCGCAAGGCAGCGGAGCGTTCCTGGACGTCTGTCGTGGATGCTGCCGCGGCGACTTCGCAAGAGCCGCTGCTGCATCGCCCTTCTCAGCGTGGTCGGCCTCATCATCCTCCTATTAGCCGCGGGAGGCGTCTTCGGAATCAAAAAGCTTAGGATCACGCCTCTGGATGGAAAATCACCGCCATGGTATCCCACGCCCAGGGGAGGCACGGTTCGCCAATGGGCCGACAGCTACGAAAAAGCAGCCGAGATGGTGTCCAAGATGACGCTGCCGGAAAAGGTCAACATCACGACGGGCACCGGATGGAGCATGGGCCTTGCTGTGGGCAACACGGCGCCGGCAGTTCACGTTGGATTCCCTGCGCTGGCTCTCCAAGATGGACCGCTGGGCATCCGTTTTGCAGACAATGCAACGGCTTTTCCCGCTGGCATCACTGTCGGCGCGACGTGGAACAGGGAGCTCATGTATGAACGCGGCAAAGCTCACGCACTGGAAGCTCGCGGCAAAGGAATCAATGTGCTGCTGGGTCCTGCCATTGGCCCCTTGGGCAGGATGCCCGCTGGCGGACGCAACTGGGAGGGCTTCGGCGCGGATCCGTATCTCCAAGGCATTGCTGGCTCTCAGACCATCAAAGGCATCCAGGACCAGGGCGTCATGGCCACCATCAAGCACTTCATCGCCAACGAGCAGGAGCATTTCCGCCAGGCGTGGGAATGGGTGCTGCCAAACGCCCTCTCGTCCAACATCGACGACCGCACCTTGCACGAGGTGTATGCCTGGCCGTTTGGCGATGCCGTCAAGGCCGGCGTTGCCAGCGTCATGTGCTCCTACAACATGGTCAACAATTCGTACGCCTGTGGCAACTCCAAGCTGCTCAATGGCATTCTCAAAGACGAGCTGGGCTTCCAGGGCTTTGTCATGTCGGACTGGCTGGCGCAGCGATCGGGCGTGGGAAGTGCCTTGGCTGGACTGGACATGAGCATGCCGGGAGATGGCCTGCGTTGGCAAGATGGCAATTCGCTCTGGGGGCCTAACCTCTCTCGTGCTGTCCTAAATGGCTCACTGCCCCTTGAACGACTTAACGATATGGTTGTTCGCATAGTGGCGTCGTGGTATCAGCTTGGGCAGGACGATACGTCTCTGTTTGACAGGAAAGGGCCCAACTTTTCTTCGTGGACAAATGACAAGATGGGTGTCACATCACCCGCTAGTTCATCGCCTCAAGATAAGATTGAAGTCAACAAATTTGTTAATGTGCAAGCCAATCATTCGACCCTGTCTCGTCAGATCGCTACAGAGGGGACCGTTCTGCTCAAGAACGAAGGTGTTCTCCCTCTTAGCTTTAATGGTGAGCTGAGTGGTAACCAAAAGCCGAACAAAAGAGATGACAAGGTGAAGATTGGCATTTTCGGAGAAGACGCAGGTCCTGGCGATGGACCTAATTACTGCGAAGACAGATCATGCAACCAAGGCACTCTTGGTTCTGGCTGGGGAAGCGGCGCGGTCGAGTTTCCTTACCTGGTATCGCCGGTCGAGGCTCTCCGGGGCAAATTCAACAAAGAAAAAGTCCAGCTCACGGAGCATCTAAAGAATGATAAGCCAGCAGCAGATGTCGTCAAAAACCAAGACATATGCTTGGTCTTCATCAACTCTGACTCCGGCGAGGGGTATCGCAGCTGGGAGGGAGTTCGCGGCGACCGCAACGACCTCTTGGTGCAAAAGGGCGGCGAAAAGCTCGTCACTGAAGTTGCAGCCAACTGCGGCGGCGGATCAGGAACAACAATAGTCATTATTCACTCTGTTGGGCCTGTGACTGTCGATGCTTGGATCGATCTACCCAGTGTAAGGGCACTTATTTCTGCCAACTTGCCCGCCCAGGAGAGTGGAAACGCCCTCGCAAGCATCATATTTGGCGAGGAGAATCCAAGTGGCAAGCTCCCATACACTATTGGCAAGTCTCTCAACGATTATGGAGAAGGTGGACAAATCATGTATTTGCCAAACGGAGCTGTCCCGCAGCAAGATTTCAATGAGGGCCTCTACATTGACTATAGACACTTTGACAAGTATGAAATCGAACCACGCTACGAATTTGGATTCGGACTTTCATATGCTCGGTTTGATTACAACAATCTCCAAGTTGCCGGGGCCAAACCAACGTCACCTCTGCCAGATGAGCGACCAGCACCAGAGGTTGAGCCGCCGCAATTCCCCTCCACCATTCCCGATGCTAAAGAGGTATTGTACCCGGCGAGCATTCGTAAACTGAAAAAATACATCTACCCATACATTGAATCTGTCGACGACATCGAAAAGGGCAAGTATCCTTATCCTGACGGCTACGACGTGCAGCAGCCCCTATCCGGTGCAGGAGGCGGCGAAGGTGGCAATCCATCGCTGTGGGAGCCCCTCGCAACTGTGACTGTCGACGTGACCAACTCAGGACAACGTGGTGGTAAAGCCGTCCCCCAGCTCTACCTCTCGTACCCCGAGTCAGACACGGTCGACTTTCCTGTCAGGGTTCTGCGCGGATTTGACAAGCTACTCATTGCAGAGGGAGAAACGAAGACGGTGGAGTTTGTGCTGACGAGGAGAGATTTGAGCTACTGGGACGTAGAGAGACAGAACTGGGTTATCCCAGATGGGCAGTTTACGTTTGCGGTTGGAGAGAGCTCGAGGGATTTGCGAGTTACCGGCACATGGTGATGTAAAAAGTAAAAGTTTCAAAAGGGGCATCGAGATGCTATTTGGATATTGACGTACAACAAGATAGAAGGATACAAACAAAGACACTTGTACACAAGGATTCAGAAATTTGAAACACGGCATCGGACTCAATATCCATCAGTCTAAAAGAGAGGAATACGCATTCAACGCCATCTGCCCCCCCAAATGCGCATATAACACATTCCCACCCGCAATCTCCCCGTTCCTAATCAACCCCATCAAGCCCGCCAGACTCTTCCCCTCATACACCGGATCCGTGATGAACGCCTCCGTGCGAGCCCCAAACTTCATGGCCTCAATCGTCGTCTCGTCCGGAATGCCATACACCTTGGCATTGAATCTCTCATCCAGCACGATATCCGCCTCGGTGACATCCGCCTCCGACAACCCAATCTTGGCAGCAGTAAACTTTGCAATGCGCAGCACCTGGTCAAACGTCTCCTTTGGCTTCCCCGAGGCATCAATCCCGATAATCCTACGCTTCGGTGATCCCAGCTTCACCTGCGCCAGCTTGAAACCCGCCACGATCCCCGCCATCGTCGACCCCGTCACCGCACAAACAACCACCGTGTCGAAAAACACGCCCATCTGCTTCTCCTGCGCCTCCACCTCCAGCGCCCACCGCGCAAAGCCCAGCCCGCCCAGCGGATGGTCCGACGCCCCCGCGGGGATGTAATACGGCTTCCTGCCACTGCCCTCCAGCTCGGCCTTCAAGTTGGCCAGCGTCGGCTTGTGCTCGATGCCAAAGGCCGACGGGTCCAGCCGCACATCGCCGCCCATGAGGCGCGAGAGCTGGATGTTGCCGACCTTTTCATAGTGCGCGTCGTCCCAGTCGACCCAGTGCTCCTGGACGGTGGCGGCCTTGAGGCCCAGCTTGGCGGCGACGGCGGTGACGGCGCGCGTGTGGTTTGACTGGACGCCGCCGATGGAGACGAGGGTGTCGCAGCCTTGGGCGAGGGCCTCGGCGGCGAGGTATCTGAGAGTGTTAGTGAACAAGTTGATGGTGCTGTACGTGTAAAGGGGGGGGATACTCTAGCTTGCGGACTTTGTTGCCTCCGTAGGCAAAGCCCGAGTTGCAGTCATCGCGCTTGGCGTAGACGGTGACTTTGCCGCCGAGGGCAGCGGATATACGGGGGAGGTGCTGGATGGGCGAGGGGCCGAAGAGGAGGGATTCGTAGGGGATGCTGGCAAAGGGCTCGGGGATGGTGAGGGCCATTGGGTATGATGCTTGGAGAATGAAAAGTTGTGATAAAGATGGATTTACTTTAAAGAAGCTGGGTATATCAATTGTTGTTGAAATGGTTTACTTTGAGCGATATGAAGTGTTATATAAGTCGGTTGGAAGGACGTCGTAATCATGACTTATATACATCACCAGCCTCGATATTCATCATACAAAGACCATCACAACACGTCGCTATCCTCGGCTATCCAGCCACCGATCTCGGATAATCAAAACAAGTCTGAAGCTGAGCAAGCATGCGTAACAACCATGAGATCCAAGAGACTATCTGCATCATCCAGCGAAGCGCCAATCCAACCACACAAAACACGCCGCTTCCCCCATTTCCCGCAGATCCTACATCGCTAGCAAGACAAGCACTCTCCTCTGATTGGCCCGGCTGGTGTTCCAGAATACTACCCATCTAACTTTTCCAAGAAATTCAATCTTGTCAAATGGTAAAATGCTGGTGGCTATCGCGTTAGAGGGGGAGAGGGAGGGGGATTGTCTGCCGTGTGCGGACCTTGTGCTTGGAGGGCGCAGGGAAGTTGTCAGAGGGCGTGGGCGGATAGTGGCGGCTTGGTTTGTGGCATTCCCGGGATGCGTCATGTTGGAGACGGCAATAATATTCGATACATTAATGATGGAAAAAATGACAGCGGACTCTTGTCTTTTGGTTTTATAGATGCGATAAGATGCCGATTATTTGGGTGAGGCTTGTGGCGGCGAATAGTACTGCGGGCCTAGTACTGTCAATGTGATAAGAAATAGTGCGAGAGATTCCTCATGGCATCACTGGGGCTGCACTAGGTAATATTCTTGGAATGGAAGATGGCCTCGTTTTGATGCAGTTACCGCAGAGTATTTGATCTGGAATAGAAGGTCATCGGTTGAATACATGTATCCAGTGGAATGTATAGGTGGGCATTGGAGTAGCATTGGATGGCTTTCTTTCATCACAGAGGCAAAAGCAAATCGAGTGCACCATGAATTTCAATCAACTCATTCATTCAAGATGGAACAAAACCTTGATAAAATCATTCATTCAATGTTTACGCAATGTCGGAGCCAACTGCAGAGCGCTTCTTATTGTCAACAGCTACACCTGTCTTACGAGTTTAGACATGTTATTCCCAACATAGGTAGTCAGATGCTTACAGGGCATTTTCTGTCTTTGCATTCCGATTGGCCCAATTGGCTATTACACGTTATAATACACTGACGCACATAAGCTTTAAGAGTTCATCTATTCACGCTACGAATCATATGGCTACTGCATAATCTGACTCGCGCGCGTCTGACGGCAAATGAGTGGGATCAATGGTGATGGATCAGATGGAGCACCACATGAGGGCAAAGACAATGAATGAGATTTGCAACTACAGATTTAATTCGAGGGTATATGATGTAGCCAATAAAGGAAATCAATGGTCAATGACAGCCTTTTACTCGACCACGAATACACAGCCCTCACGCAAGACAATTCTCACGACAGACAAACTTGTGTAAGCCAGTAGCAAAGCCAAGCTTGAGACATGCTCCCAACATTCTATCAGCGCGAGTCTACCTTTTGTTATACAAGTAACAGGGAAATAAAGTACAAACCTTATCTGCCTGATATACTTGGATTATTCGCACCAATTGATCAATTGACTGCGCATGTGATCAATCCATCCAGCCTGCTTGCTATTCGCCCAAGCCTTTGCTCCCAGCGCTCAAGACCCGCTAACGGTCCGAGCCGCTCCAAAGTGGCGGAACCAGAGCTCGGAACTGCTGCATTCCATCAATTCTGAGGGATGCATGTCAGTTTGGTAATACGAAGAGAAAATAAGAATATTAAAAATAAAGCAAAATCCCAATTAGATTTAAACAGCATCCAAAGGAATTAAATAAGCCAGTGTTCAATGCGCAGCCAGATCGGGCAACTTGCCACCTGATACGGGCGTTATCGCTGCTATCCATTATCTCACCGAGCTCCAGGTCCCCACATCAAAAAGCTTTCCGCCAGGGCCTGACGTCTTTCATTTCGCCTGGCCCTTCCTTTCCACGACGGCCCTCCATCTGCCTGAATCCCGCTCGAATCGTGCTGAAGACATCGCTATTGCCTCCTTTCTTTTTGCGCCCGTCTCCTTTTTTCTCGACTTCTCCAGCATGATCTTGTGGCGGCAGATTGTCGCTCAGGTTCTGGCTCACACGCCCGCAGTCTGACGAACCATCCTGGCCCACGAAACGACGATTATCCGCGAATAATATACCGACCGTCTGCGAGACGAAGACGGAGACGAAAAGCGCATTCCAAGCTCTAGAGACTTGATTGGATTCACATCACAAGACTACGGAACGAGCGCCGCTACTTCAGGCGCCGAGCGCTGACTGGACATGATGACGCGCCCTTCCATCAGCAACAGATCCCGGCCTGGGCCTGGAGTCACCGGCAATCCGCGATCACTCTCCCGATCGTCCGGCTCGTTCCATGCCGGCGCGCCCATCCCCATCCTCGCTGCCATGCGACGGCCCTCGATCCCGAAATACCAAACCTTTCCGACGCCTCCGCCCCGGCCGCCGGGGTCTTCCTCCGACACCTCGAGCGATCGCTTCGCCGTCGAGTCCGACGCCTCGTCCACCTCCTCGTCCGCCGACGACCAGACGCCGCTGCCCATCCGCCAGCTTCTGCTCCTAGCCTTCCTCTCTCTGGCCGAGCAGACGGCGCTCAACTCCATCGGGCCGTATCTCCCCGAGATGGTGGCGTCCATGCCGGGCATCCCAGCGGATGAGATTGGCCTCTATGTCGGTCTCTTGGCCAGCGCCTTTGCCCTGGCGCAGCTCTCGACCAATTTTCTCTGGGGCTACACGTCGGACATTGTTGGTCGCAAGCCCGTGCTGCTGGCGGGCACCTTTTCGCTCATGGGCTGCTTCTGCGCCTTTGGCTTCTGCAAGCAGTACTGGCAAATGATCCTGGTCCACGCCGCCATGGGCCTGCTCAACGGCAACGCCGCCTGTGTGCCGACGGTTCTGGGCGAGGTGACAGACCGGTCGAACCAGAGCAAGGCATTCACCTACCTGCCCATCATTTACTCGCTGGGAGGTCTTACGGGTCCTGCGCTGGGAGGCATCATGGTGGGACGCGTGAGCAAAGACTACCCCTATCTTGGTCCGAGTGTTCTCAGCGCGGCCGTTCTTGCGGCGGCCGTCGTTGTGGTGGCCATTTGGTTTGAAGAGACGCTGGAGGATGTCGACCAGGACCCGTGGAAGCCAACATGGACGACTCGCATGTCGGCCCGCATATCAGACTTGTTTAGCCGCACGAAGCCGCGACGAGAATCGTGGAGCACGAGGTGGCCTCGCCCTCGGGCAGCGAGCCAGACGCAGCCCTTACTATCGCCAAGCTCTGACGAGGCGGGCTCTGAGGACAACGATGGCGACCTCCCAGACGAAGAGGGACTCGAGGCGTCAAAGCCGCCAGGCCACAACCACAAGCAGCCCACGCCGTGGCACGAGCTTCTTAACCGCACTACGATGACGCTGTTGGTTACCTATCTGATATTCCAGCTGGCCAACATCAGCTTCAACAGCCTATATCCTATTTTTGCGTCTTCTCCCTCCCCAGCGGGCCGAGATCTCTCGCCCAGTAAAATCGGCATCAGCTTGAGCTTCGCCGGCTTGATCTCCATTGTCTTCCAGGCATTCCTCTTCCAGCCGCTCAAAGGCCGGTTTGGAAATCTGGGAACCTATCGTTTTGCGCTGCTTGGCCTGGCGATTACCATGATTGCGATTCCCTGGGTTGGCTACGTCGACGACGAGCCCCTTTTTGGCGTCGGCACTGGGACCATGTGGCTCTATATCGAGCTTGGCGCGGTGCTGATTCTGAAGACTATTTGCGCAGTTGGGGGGTTGTCATGCGTGATGCTCCTGGTAGGTCTATTCCAAACTACGAACAAATGTTGAATTATCTAACACAGCATATAGATTACAAACTCGGCGCCTTCTCACAACAGTCTTGGGACTCTCAATGGTGTAGCCCAGACACTGTCAGCCCTAGGCCGCAGCGTTGGTCCCTTGATTTCCGGCGGCTTATTCACACTATCCATGGGAATCCAACCGAAAGGCGAGGTTCTTGCATGGAGCTTGTTTGGAGGTCTGGCCTTTTTGGGCTGCATAGGATCCATTTTTATCCGGGGCAATGGCCTGGAAAGCGACGACTGGTATGACAGCGAGGATGAGGATGAAAGAGATGGACAAGGAAACGAGGCTGGGGATGGAGATGTTGAACAACAGCGGGACTAAGCACCGGTCAATATTGATAGTAAACAGGTTATAATTGGTTTTAGGATACAAGGCATAATGGCAGCGTGGCGGGAGAGATGGTAGCGAATAGGAGCTGTTTAGACAGACAGCGAGACAGAGAATTACAATAATAAACTAGAGCAAGTAATGATGACTTGGATGCCCACACTCTACCCCAACTCATCTCACCAGATCGGATGTCGGCCAGACTCTTATATCCACCGGCACTTGAACCAGCCGCGACCCGACAGCCGCGCTTCAACAGTCTCCTGTATCAGATGGGTAATAATACCCATAACCCCTGTTGCCAGCTACACCATCCCATAGGTGGACGGACTCCAGATGTACTTTCCTATAAGAAGCATCCAGGGTCCCGGAGTTCTGACAGCGAACCAACCTCCGTCACATCCATGATTCGCTCCCATGGAAATCACATAGTTCCCACTCTTGCAATTGATGTTTGAGTGATTTGCAGTCAGATTTTAGTCCAGGGGGGTTCCCGAGAAATATTCCTATTTGCTTGAAAAGTGTGACGGGGACTGTGTGTGAGCGCATATCACGGCAAAGGGTTGCCCGTTTGGAGGTTGGTAGAGAAGGAGTTTGCGAGGTGGTTGTGTAAGTCGGGATGTTGTGAGGCGTGGATATGTACTTGTAAGGGGGTATCTGGAGTTATTACGTATCAGCTTTTTTGTAGATGTTGGATCTTGTGTGCCTGGTACGAGGAAAGTCAAGTTGTAGCCAAAAGAGGCACATATTCTAAAAGGTGATGACAGTTTGCGATGTAAGTAAATTGAGTTCAAGCTATACACATACGCAATTAGACATGTAGCAGCGTAGACTCTCTCATTGAGAGCGTACCGCCATGTATTAGAGAAAGGCGTCTCCGGCGTCTGCAGCGTCTGCCGCGGCCAAGACGCTCCGTGGGTCGAATAGGTAACTCAAAACACAGCTCTACGCACAATTTATTGACGTGACAATCTAGTACCTGAATTTGATCTCATGCTGGCCAATGCAACTCTACAGAGCTGAACCATGTCATTGTGACGGAGCAGGCTTGGGGTCGAGAGCCTCAGTGATGGAGCAGGGCTGGAGCCGACTTCCGTCCAAGGCCCAAGGCACGCAATATGTCTTGCTCGTCACACAATATAAATGAGGGACAGCCTCGGTGTACCTGTGCATCCCTTGATTCAAGCAAAGTAAATAAACAACCCGGATAAACACCAAGAATCGTCAACGGGGCCAATCATCAACAGATACAACGATGCTACCAAGATCGATATACACCCTCTTGGCCCTCAGCCTCGGCGCCTCGGCCTGGGACCAGGCGCCCGCCCTCCCCGGCAAAGGCGCTCCCATCTCCAGCGCGGACCGCATCTACACCGGCGACCAGTCGTCCAACACAATCACCGTCATCCAGCCCAGCACCGGCGCTGTGCTGGGCACCATCAGCCTGGGCGACCTGCGACTGGGCAGCAACCTCAACCCGCAGTACGTCAAGGCCGTGGGCTCGCACGGGCTGGGCTTCTCGCCCGACGGCAAGCTGGTGGTGTCGCTGGCCGTGACGAGCAACACGGTGACGGTGTTGCGCACCGAGGACAACTCGGTCGTGTCGCAGTCGTCGGTGGACCGCAACGCGCACGAGGCCTTTTTCCAGCACGACAACCGCCACGTCTGGGTGGGCACCCGGGGCGTCGACCGCATCGACATCGTCGACGGCCTCTTGGGCGGCGTCGTCGGCTACGTCGAGTCGTGGGGCGGGCCCAGCAAGGTCGTCTTCAGCCCCGACGGCAAGACGGCGTATGCGAACCACATCCGGTCGCCGTCGCTGTCCGTCATCGACGTTGCGCAGCGCCGCGTCGTCGCCAACATCACGGGCCTCGCCGACGTCTTCTCGTCCGACATGATGATCTCGCCCGACGGCCAGCGGCTCTGGGCGGCGCACAAGATGGTCGGCAAGGTGTCCGTCATCGACCTCGAGGCCCGCAGAGTCGTTGGCGCGCTCGACACCGGCGCCGAGACCAACCACGCGCAGTTTGCCGTCGTCAACGGCACCATGCATGGCTTCGTGACCGTGGCGGCCACCAACGAGACCAAGATGTACGCGCAGCCCCGTGCGAGCGAGATGCCCGTCTATCTCGGCGCCATCGCGGCCAGCGGCGTCGAGCCTCACGGCCTGTGGCCCAGCGCCGACAACACGCGCCTGTACGTCGTCAACGAGCACTCGGACACGGTCGACTTCATCGACCTGACGGCCTCTCCGCCAAAGGTCGTCAAGACGGTCAACGTCGGCCAGGAGGGCCAGGCGCTCATCTACGTCTCCGGCGCTGTTTCTGCAGCCAGCAACGGCACGCAGAATCTCGGCAAGCAGGGCCTCTTCAACAAGCCCGCGCTCAACAAGCTGCTCACTGAAGCTTCGGTTCCATCTTCCAAGTACACTTCCAACGGCAGCCCGCCGCCAACAGGCCTCGTCACGGTAAGGCCAGAGTCTGGGCTGGACATGCTGCAGGTCATTGGGCGCAACTTGAGGCTCAACACGACGTACACCGTTTCAGCCAAGATTGCAAACTCGCTAATTCCACTGGTTGATTTCAACGCGACGTCGCCGACGGGCCACGGATGCGGGACGGCACCGCAGGTGCTGGCCTTTCTGAAGTTTATCGGCGTATATGATATCGACAATCTGGTGATGACATCCAAGGGCGAGTGAGTGATTCGGTAGTAGTCGTTGTCTTATTCAGTTGTATATATGAAGCACATGTGTGCACGCCATGTAATAAGGAAAAAGTGCATTTTCTTCAATTTATTCGTTCTAATTCCCGCTTTAGCCATTGCGTTGATGCTTGAAAGTGAAAAGGGAACATGATTGCAGTGATAGGGTAGCATAATGAGCTGAGTCAGCGGCAGTGTTGTCACTGGCAACAGCGCAAATCGCTGCCAGTGGCGGTGGCTGTCCTCGTGCCTGGCCCGCTGATGTCACCTGAACCTTGATGGACACCCTTTAGAGCTCTGATCCAACTCCTCCCTTATCTTTATCATCACCATCAATCACCGCCATCATCATCATCATCATCATCACGCATCTATACTCTTCTCCTCCAATGGAATCTTAATCTCCCAGCCTACTTCGTCATGATCCAATCATCCCTCCTCGGCGGCCTCATCACCGCCGCTGCTGTCCAGGCCGTGCAGCCCGGCGCCGTGAAGCCCGTCGCGGCGCCCATGCGAGACCTGACCTGGGGGCAGATCAACTTTCTACACACGACAGATACTCATTCCTGGGTCAGCGGGCATTTTCTAGAGTAAGACGATTCGGACTTGGTCCCCTGTTAGAGCGGTCGTTACTGGCACAACATGTCAGGAGTGTTTCATCGAAGCATCATCATTTCTAACAGCTACATCTCCAGGCCCTCCTTTTCCGCCGACTGGGGCGACTACGTCTCCTTCTCCCAGCATATGCGCAAGCTGGCCGACGACAAGGGCGCCGACCTGCTCCTCATCGACACCGGCGACCGCATCGAAGGCAGCGGCATCTACGACAGCTCCACCCCAAAGGGCCTCTATCAGTACGACATCTTTGCCCAGCAAAAGATTGACATTCTTAGCACCGGCAACCATGAGCTGTACAAGGCGTACTCCATCGACATGGAGCACAACACCACTGTGCCCAACTTTAAAGAAAACTATGTCGCGTCGAATCTAGACTACATCGATCCCAAGAGTGGCAAGCGTGTTCCTCAGGCACAGAGGTATCGCAAGTTCAAGACCAAGAACCTGGGCCTTAACATTGTGTCCTTTGGCTTCATATTTGACTTTGACCTCAACGCCAACAACAGCGTCGTCCAAAAAGTGGCCGACACTGTCAAAGAGGAATGGTTTCAGGATGCCATCAAGGAAAAGCCCGATCTTTTTGTCGTTGTTGGCCATGTTGGTGTGCGAATGGAAGAGTTCAAAACCATCTTCACAGCTATCCGCAAGGAGGACTGGGATACGCCCATTGCCTTTTTTGGCGGCCATCTGCATATACGGGACGCCGTGAGCTATGACTCCAAATCGCTTGCCATTGCCTCTGGCCGCTACCTCGAGACCATTGGCTGGATGTCTATTGACGGGATCGCCAAGAAGCACCCCAAGGATGGTGACAAGGACGGCGACAAGGACGGCGACAACACTGGGGAAGTGGAGATTAAAAAGGGCCCCTCTTTCACTCGCAAGTACATGGATAATAACCTCCTCGGAATGTACTATCACACCGGCTTAAATGAGACAACCTTTCCCACCAAAGAGGGCCAAAAAGTCAGCAAAATGATTGAAGAGGCCCGCAAGAGTCTAAACCTCGGCCATCGGTATGGCTGCGCGCCTCGAGACCTGTGGATGACCAGGGCCCCGTATCCTAGCAAAGACAGCATCTTCAGCTGGCTCGAGGAAGATGTACTCCCTGACATTGTCGCTAACAAAGACAGGAAAGACAAGCCTCGGCTGGCCATTGTGAACACGGGCGGTGTCCGCTTCGACATTTTCAAGGGTCCGTTTACGCGTGACGACACTTTCACCGTGAGCCCGTTCAACAGTGGCTTCCAATTTGTCCCCGATGTGCCCTATGACATTGCTAAAAGGGTCCTTGGCATCCTCAACAGTGAAACAAGGATCTTCGTCGATGGCTTACCGAACACGAGACAGTTGACTATCCCGCAACTGATGTACCCACGTCCCACCTTTGAAAGCGTAGACGAGATTGAGACCGTTGATGACGTTGACCAAGATGCGGATGAGACGGAAGCTCGCCTTGAGCTCCGTGGGGTTGATGCCTCGGACGGAAATGACAATCTCTTTGGTGGCTACACAACCAAGGACGACATTGGCAAGGACGGCGATGACACCGTGCACGAGCCAATTGACTTTTATGCCGTGCCCAACTGCGTCCAGGCCAAGATTGGCTTCTCGGCCGAGGAAGAGCCCAAGACGGTGGACTTTGTCTTCCTCGACTTTCTGCAGCCATGGATCATCCCTGCCCTCAAGTTTAGCGGCGGCGACTATAACGCCAAGGATATAGAGCCGTATATGGACGGGACCCTGACGTCCAAGTTGGCCGAGTGGATTGGCGACAACTGGAAGGAGGAATGTCAATGATTTGTCAAGTTTTCGATTTAGTTTTGCATAGGCTGTTTGATCACTTTGGCTTGGATTTAATAACGAGACACAACGAACATGATAGATTGCTCAATAAATGATACAACACAACAATCTTCTCGGTCTAAAGCAGAAAGTGCCAGATCAAGTTCCACACATTAGTTGCGACTCCAGCATGGGGTCTATACGCGTATTCAGGCCATACCCATAAAACACCCCATATCCATCCGAATGATAATAACTCAATACGCGTATTTCGTATAAGTTGAGCCACGAAGATCAATACCATCGTATTCGCATCTCGACACTCTAGCAAAAAGAAGCAGTCGTTACCAACAAAGGATTCATTCAGCCTGGAACAAGGCTCTGCCGCTGCAAGAACCCGCGAGGCCTCAAAATCCGCCTTACGAGAAGGCAGCTGAAAAAAAAGGAAAAAGTCAGACAAGGCGCTGCCTGCCCGCATTGGCAACTAAACCCTTACGAGCAAACTACCGATTTTTTTTTTTTAACCTCTCTCTTCAGCTGGCGAACCTGCAGTCATAGTATTTATTCTTAGTCAAATCGGAATCCTCCGCAGGTGCGGCTGAGAGGGGGAATAATCGCATTGGGGGTGGCTTGTTTCCCTTTGTCTCACCCCCTCCCATCTGTTCTTTTTACGGGCTACATACGCGTATAAAGCCTTTTGCGGGGGCTAAAGACGAGGCGAGGCCTCACGGGAGGTTGTAGCACAGCAGGGGGGCAAGTCGGATGAGAACGTTTGTGTTGGAGCCTGTTGATCCCATTTTGGAAAAAAAAGTGAGGCGGGTTGTTAGGCAAAGCATGCTTTGCCTGCATGAGAGATTCAGGAGTAGATTGAGTGCTGAGAGGGAGTCTCATGGGTATAAGAAGGCAGTGCCGTTGCCTTGAGTTTGTGTCCATCATCTCCTCCATCTTCATATACACAAGCACACAATATATATAACAATCCAACTCTTCTCTTCATCACAGCCATGTCCCTCTCCTCCAAAGTCATCCTCGTCACCGGCTCCGCCAGCGGTCTCGGCCGCTGCATCGCCGAAACCCTCCTCGGCCGCGGCGCCTCCGTCACCATCAGCGACATCAACCCGGACCGCCTCGCCGCAACGCTATCCGAGCTCTCGGCAACCTTTTCCCCCGACCGCCTGCTGGCAGTGCAAGTCGACGTCACAGACGAGAAATCCGTCCAGTCGCTCGTCGAGCAGACCGTCCAGCGCTTCCACCACATTGACGTCGTCGTCAACAACGCGGGCATCATGGACAAGTTTGCGCCTGTGGGTGATTGCGACACGGGCATGTGGGAGTCTATCCTGAATGTGAACCTCACGGGGGCGTACTATGTCACCAAGCACGCCGTGCCACATCTGCTGGCTCGCGCCGAGGAGCGTGGTGGCGGCGAGCAGGGCAGCCTCGTCATCAACATTGGCTCCACGGCGTCCTTCTCGGGCCTCACTGCCGGAGTGGCATACACCGTTTCCAAGCACGGCCTCGTGGCCATGACGAAGCACACGGCGGGCTACTACGGCCCCAAGGGCGTCTATTCCGTGGCGCTGCAGCCCGGCGGCATGAGCGAGACGAGAATCACCGATGCCTTTGCGCAGGGTATGCACAAGGAGGGACTAATGGCCATCCAGGGGGCGCATCCTAAGACGATTAATGTGCCCATCAGCCATGTGGCCAGATACGCGGCGTTTCTGAGCGAGGACGGCATTGGCCAGAGTTCGAATGGAGGCTGCGTTACAATCACTGGCAACTGGCCTGAAGCGTAAGTGGCAAAGAGATGTACTGAGGGAAAGATGTAAGATAAAGAAAAGGGCACACGATAAACCAGCTAGCATAGACAACTTGTTTGACAACTTGTTATCCAAAATGATAACGAAAATACCTTTCATTCATATTCTGTTCATACACATTAAAGCGCGAGCCCAAAAGTAAGAGTGCGCGATACCTATTAATAAATCCAGCACGCGGTGTCCGTGATCTATCGCCTCTATCACATCGTCGTTTCTACAAGAACGCTTCCCACTTTCGGTTGATCTGCTTCCTCCGAACCTGCGTCATGAAAGTCAGTATACAACTCGTAACATATTGCAAAAGGGCGAACTTACCATAGGCGCCAAAATCACCACTCCCCATGTGAGCGCCACCACTGTACCCAACAAAGTGATCTTGTTGAATCCCTTGCCCAGAATGTCAAACGTCCCGCTAGGCGCAACTTGAGAACCAAAGACGTCGATGCCATAGGCCACCACCAAGCTTGTGCTCTCGACCACGGCCGGCGTGGCCACGATGCCCCTCACACCAACAATATCGCGCTCGTGCGTAAGCAGGTTCCGGCCATCAATCTGAATGGCCGGTGTGTACTTCATGAGGCCTTCTGCTTCCATCTCCGCCGCAGACGGGTCCCGACCGACAGGCCGACGAGGGTCAATTCCGTGGCGAGTGATGCCCAGGACAGCATGAGACTCGGGCAGGTAGGCCAGGAGCTGGCGGTTGCTGATGCCTTGGCGCGTCTCAGTCACAGTCAGGTTGGTCAGGGGCTCTGAGATGATCCAAGTCTGGGACACCACCCACGGCAGAGGGACACCAGTCGGTGTATCAACGGGATCCAGAGGGGAGAAAGTTTCCGCCTCACCCAGAGGGCCACGGTCATTCGGATTTGGCGACTCATACAAGTCAGACACAACAACCTGGTATCCCTTGATATCTCGGTTCGTGCCGTCGTCCAGAGTATACTGTCCAAAGAAGGCACAGCTGTACCAGTTCTCGGACAGTGTGCAGGAAATGTCCTTGTCGCCATCCACGCCATCATATACTTGCGATGCAAGCAGCTGGCCGGAAACAGTGTCTACGACATAAACCGAAAGAGCAGCCGCAGCATTGTCAATAGCCGCGACGACAATGATGTTGGGGTTCAAGTACTTGTAGTTGACAGTTCGGTCTCCCAGCACACGGCCAATAGAGGCAATGGGATCATGGGGGGGAAGCTTGGCGATGCTCACAATCTTCTGGCCTGGGAGCAGCTGAAGCTGCCAAATCTCATTCCTAGTAACTTGGCCGTCTTCGTCGGAGAACTTGACTCCCTTGATGATGTCATTCTCGTCTCGGATAACAATGGTCTGATCAAGAGAGCGACCCTTGAGGGCATCGACAATTGGCTTTCTATCTTGATCAAAAGCAAGCAGCCATTTGCTGCCATCGCTGCCAACGACTGCAGTCGAAGAGACAACAGCCGAGTCATCGCCATAGTGGACCTCGAGAATTTTTCCATCAGCCACCGTGATGACAGCGAATTCACCTTTGGAGCCTCGGACGGTGACTGTGCCCTCCGAGTCGTTGACTACAATGCCTTTTACCTCCAGAGCGGCACCAGGAAATTGAGGGAAAACGTCAGCAGACCAGACAACTTGGCCGTGATTTCCTGTGTCAAGAGCATAGAATTGACCTCGGCGGGTGGCAAGGATAATGATCTTGTTGAAACCAAATGAGTCACGATGAAGGCCTTCCGTCTTTGATACCAGGACGGCACCACCAGTGATGCTCTCGATGACTCGGGTTGGGACTGATGCAAGGTAGTCGGGGAGATACTGAAGGTCATTAATATGTCGAGTGAGACGGTGGACATATGCATTCCAGGGGTTGGTGTGTGCCTCTTCGGCGAGCACTTTGGCCAGATCCTCAGCTTCTGGGATCTCCGCCCAGGCCGCAGCGACAGCACCGCTGAGCCCCTCGTGGCGAGTCCAGTCGAGTTTGCCGTTTCGAATGAGAATCCAGTCTTGTGCTGCGGTGACGGTGGCGGAGCGGATAGCAAACTCTTTACCGCCAGCCTTTTTGATGACTTCAGAGACTGCGTGAATAGCTCCTGTACGGGCCTCGGGATCGAGAGAGTTACGGGCCAGGATGCTGTGAGAGTCGGAAGACACCACAAGCACCTCGTCTTCGGTTACACGGGTGAAGTAGACATTGGCGCCCTCGGAGCTGGTAGAGAAGGTGCCAAGTCCGGGGAGCAGGGGAAGCTCATATGCCTTGGTGATGCGGCCAGTCTTCAAGTCGGTATGGAAGACCTCGCCCTTGTTGCCGGTCGTGGTACGGGTGTGAACCAAGAAATGGGGCTGAGACTGGATCAAGTGAGGGGCATGGATGGTGACGGAGACGGTATCAGCGATGAGAGGGAACTCTTGCTTCGTCTTTGTGCCGAGGACATGAACATTGAGCTTGGTCAAGTCGTTGCTGGCCCATGCCAAAATCGGAGCCGCCGAGTTTGCGCCAACAAACATGACATCCTTTGACTCGTGGACTTCACCCTTGGTGCCAACTGTCCAGTGATCAACTCGTCCTCCCGTAGCAGGCTCCAAGGAAGTGACTTTTAAGCTGTACGAAGAAGGCGATCCGTGAAGACTGACAACGTAGACGTTGGTGAGGCTTGTGGACACCTGCAGGGGAATGTCCTTGGAGACTTCGCGGAACTCCCAAACGGTAGTCCCCAGAGCGCCATGGAGCCTCCGCAGAACCGTGACGCCATCCTCCTCAGACAAGACGAGGACGTCCTTTCGCGCGCTTTCAGTGAGCTCCATGATCTCCAAGTCCTTGACCTCGCCGCCAAACTCGACCTCCCACAGATTCCTGCCGCTCAACGCAGCCCACGACTGGACTCGCTGGCCATACGCGGCCGCCACCCAATTCTCGCCCTCGGGGGCCCTCAAGTGGCCGCCGCCATTGGAGACGCCGTCAGCAATCTGCTGGCGCCAGACAAGAGCGCCCGAGTTGGGGTTCACCGCTCCCAGGATGCCAACATCGCTGAGCGTGTATAGATAGCTCGCCTTCTCGTCCTTTTTCGGCCGGTGGAAGAAGGTGGTTTCGACCTGCGGGACGCCGACCAGGGCGTGGTGGAAGTCGATGTCATCGACCTCGTCCTGGAAGATGGCTGCCGCGAGCGACGACAGGCCCAGCAGCAGGACCGATTGGAGAGTGCGCCGCATAATTGGAGGGGATGAGCTGCTATGCGATGTGGTTCATAGCTAGCTCGATGCCTCATTTGGAGGAGGGACACAGCTTTGGTGGGGATGTCGTCAACGGCCACATTTCCCCGTTCCGGATGACTAAGCGGGGCTGCCAAGCTTCATGCTATCGCAGCAAGGCCTCTGGACTTTAGTGCATTGCTGTAATTGATTGGAAACTCATACATTGCAGTTATCAATTGTGTCACTAACATTGCCTTTTTAAACAGGCATATACTCGAGTCGAAGCCACCTACGCGCTTTGCAGTGCGGAATTTCCGAATACCGTCTCACAGTGAAGATTATGTAATACACAATATCCTTGGGGAGAATTAAAAATGCTGTGAAGTGCATATGCTCCCTGTAACTCAAAAATTCTAGACGGGGTTAAGCTTGAGAGGACCCAGGTAAAATCAAGGCCTTGGGGGGAGTTAAAAATGCTGTGGAGGAAGATGGGTGCTGCTGCCTGCAACTCAATTCTGGGAGGGGTTGAGCTTGGGAGGACCCAGGTAAAATCAAGGCCTTGGGGGGAGTTAAAAATGCTGTGGAGGAAGATGGGTGCTGCTGCCTGCAACTCAATTCTGGGAGGGGTTGAGCTTGGGAGGACCCAGGTAAAATCAAGGCCTTGGGGAGAGGTAAAAATGCTGTGAAGGTCAGGCAGATCCGTAATCAAAGGCGCTTGAAGCCTAAATCCACCCTTAAAATAGTCTGAAGATCGCAAACCGTCTTTTCCTGAAGTTGGACTAAGTGGCGGTAATCTGGAATAGCTGGGGGGTGAGCGACAGTCTGTGAACCTTAGATCCAGAACAACAAAAATAACTACATGGTCTAGATTTATCGCCCGGCAAATATCTCGTAATGCACGATCTAGGATGAACTGCTATATACTACTATGACAAAGAAGGAAACATCACAACTCAGTCCCAAAGGGATCGACCAGACTCCATAATTTACCTACCTACTGTATGCAATGATGTACGAATTACCACGCCAATGATTGGCCCGGCCAGAGCGAGGTCGTTGTAGCGTCATTCTGCTCGTCTCTTTGATAGATTCTTACTTGGGCCATACAAAACATATAGTAAGTGACAATAATCTAGCAATTGCATGTCAAAGACATGGGCTGTTTAGGAAGACATAGAGAAACAGTATGAAAGTATAAGGCTTGAAAATTAGAAGAAGAAAAGCCTTCCGTATGGCCGTTCCGATCGTCAATGTTAAAGTCAAGCAATCACGATAGCTTCATCACCAGACAGAAAAAACATCCCAGAAACTCTTCGGCAGCTCCCGCCTATATGACGAAATACGCAAATATCGTCCTCACATCTACCTTTTCCGCGGATATATCTCCTTCAATCGCCCCTCCAGCCTTATTCACCCCACGATACAGCTGAAAGAGAAAGAGAAAAACATACGATAGTACGTTGATGACTCTTTTCTCAGTTTCGGAGTCTATCACCTTTCCATCCTAACCCGTCTCCGCAACACAAGTCTAGATCAAAAGCAACCTGTAAAAGAACGGGACCCCTGAAACGCCCGACCTTGAACACCGTCTTCCGACAGTTTCCATGTGGCCTTTTCGCTCCGGACCGAACAATCAGCCCACCGAGGTGGAACCGCCGTCATGCGCTGCTTGTAAGGAAAAAAAATGATTCAAGTCCATATAAGCAAAAAAAAAAGCACTTCCGTCAAAACGTTGAAAAAAAAAACAGGGACCTTGCCCGGGCGCCGCGTAGATTCAGCGTCTCCGGATCTCCGGGGGCGCAAGATTAGTGGGCAATGGCTGTTTTGTGGAACCTTCCCTCACTCAATGTTCCTGTTTATGCTTTGCATACGAGGCGTTGTAAGCAGGAATAAGGCCCGCTGCGATTGGAAGCGAAGGGAGACTGTGCGCGGAGACGCTGAAAACGCTTGATAGCAAGACCCTAGAAGAGAGATTTTTTCTTTTCTTTGGTCGTTAGGCTATTCGCCTTCGGGATGTATATGGGATGGGATATATAAGGGCTGGAGGGAGGTGAAGCTAGGATTTTTCTTGCTTCATATTCAGACCATCACGAACAACCTCGACAATTACATCGTTTTGTTTAATTTTGTTTAGTTTTGATTGCTTATAGAATCATCAAGACAAGACTTGCATTTATTAGACTTTTACACGGTTCAACGGCAACTGCTCGTCAGCAACCATCAGCATCGACAACCCCTTGCGTACAAAAAGACATAGAACTTGTATATACAAAGTCGTCAACCGTCTTATACATCAACACCAAACCACCAACCATCACCATGGCCACCCTCAGTCCCGCCCAAATCGACATCATCAAATCCACCGTCCCCATCCTCCGCGAGCACGGCCCCCTCGTCGCCACCACCTTCTACGCAAACATGCTCGCCGCCCACCCCGAGCTGCAAAACTACTTCTCCCTGCGCAACCAGCAGACGGGCGCCCAGCAAATCGCCCTCTCCAACGCCGTGCTCGCCGCCGCCATCCACATCGAGCGCCTGCAGGACATTGCCGGCGCCGTCGACCGCATCGCCCAGAAGCACGTCTCGCTCTTCATCCTGCCGGAGCACTACCCCATCGTCGGCAAGTACCTCATCGGCGCGTTCCAGCAGATCCTGGGCGACGCCTTTACGCCCGAGATCAAGGACGCCTGGGTCATTGCCTATGGCCTGCTGGCCGACATCTTCATCAAGCGCGAGGTCGAGCTGTACGCCGAGGCGGGCTGGCAGGGCTGGCGCGACTTCACCATTGAGGACAAGGTCGACGAGGCCGAAAACGTCACCAGCTTCTACCTCAAGCCCGTCGACGGCAAGCCGCTGCCCGAGTTCCTGCCCGGCCAGTACGTCAGCCTGCAGATCCCCATCCCGGAGCTCAACGGCGTGTTCCAGAGCCGCCAGTTCAGCCTGAGCCTGTCGCCGCGCCAGAGCGCCGACCACTACCGCATCACCGTCAAGCTGGACAAGGACGGCCTGGAGCACACCGTCGAGGAGGTTGTCAGCGGCAAGGTCGCCGGCCTGGTCTCGCAGCGCCTGCACGAGCAGTACAAGGTCGGCGACGTCGTGCAGCTCAGCCCTCCCCACGGCGAGTTCACCTTTAGCGCCGCCGCAACGCCTGCAACCGCTCCCATCGTCTTGCTCTCCGCCGGCGTCGGTGTTACTCCTCTGCTCTCCATCCTCGACACCATCCTGGAGAGCTCCTCTCAGGCCTCTCGCCCCGTGACGTGGATCCACGGAGCGCGACACTCTGGCGCCGTGACATACGGCAAGTATATCCGCGAGGCCGAGAAGAAGCACAGCAACCTGTCCACCAAGATCTTCCTCAAGAACGTCCAAAAGGGCGACAGCAAGGGCCAGCAGTACGACTACGAGGGCCGCATGGATCTCGACGCCCTGGAAGCCGACGGTGTGCTGCCCCTGAAGGATGCCTCTGCCGAGTACTACATCTGCGGACCGGAGGAGTGGATGATCCAGACCCGGGCTGGCCTGGAGAAGAAGGGCGTCAGCTTGGAGAGGCAGCACCTTGAGCTGTTCCGCACTGGAACTCTTTGATTGGGATGAAGATGAAGGAGAATTGATTTGGAAGCATACAAGGATGGGTAATAAGAACGATTCATAGATGAAGATTTAGATGGGCATGTACACCTCTCCTCTCGTTGAGAATTTATAGCAAAGCGTTGGATTTTTATTAACAACACCTAAAGTAAAGAACAGGGCTAGGAATGCAAAATATTGTAATAACTCACTTTTCTCCTAATAGTGCCTTTATAGTTGATGAACAATGGCGAGACTTGTACATACATGTGTTTATGAGTATCCGTGGTATACGTTCAGGTGTAATATTAATAAGGAATCCTTCAATTCGATTCAACAAGTGTAATTAAGAAGACTAAGAATATTAACAACTCATCCTTTTCTTAATACCGTGATTATAGTTGTGAAAATGCGAATCATACATAGTCATACACATAACACACCAGATGATGGAGAATTATAGGGTAAGAAAGGATATCCAAGCATTTATTGTCTCCAACCAGTCTATCGTTGGCTTAGTCTAAATTCCACCACAAAAAATTGTCATCCAACTCTCTGAAATAATAACAAGTTTATTTACACATAAACACCCTATAAAGACCACACATCATCGTCCCATACATCATTTTCTCACTCTCCCTTGTTTAGAAAAGGGTAGCAAAGATACCAGCAACGAGAGCTACACCGGCAAAGGCAGCGCCGGAGACCTTGTTGATGGAACCAGCGCTGTGGGAAGAGGTGGAGGCAGGGCTGGATGATGTCTTGGAGGCAGAGCTGTCAGAGCTGGAGTCGGCACCCTTGGCGCTTCCAGCGTTGTTAGCGCCGGACTGGGCAGTCTGTGAAGGAGCAGTGACGAGAGTCGAGGGGGTAGAGCCCTTTCCGGTGGCGGTGGGCTTGGTGATGGAAGAGCTGATGGACTTGGACACGGCAGGGCAGGTCAGGTTGAATGAAGGAGTGCCATCCAGCTTCTGGTTGACGCCAAACTTGACCGTGTTGGCAGGGTTGGAGTCACGCAGGTTGTACCAGAAGGTGGGAACCTTGTTAAACAGAATCTCGCAACCAACCTGGTCCCAGTAGGACTTTGCGTTCTCGACGCTGGGAACAGCCTCGTCCCAGCTGGGGCCGGTCAGAGGCCAGCCGGTCTCGGTGACCCAGACAGGCTTGCCGTTGGCAACGCCGAGCGTGGTCTGGTAAGCAGAGTTGAAGAGCTTGCCGGCATTGTCAATGTTGTTGCCCTTGCCAGTCTCGTAGAAGGGGTACTCGTCAACACCGATCCAGTCGACAGCGTCGAGAACCTCCTTGTTGGTGCCGTTAACCCAAGCATCCCAGGTGTCGACGTGTCCAACGGGAACGCTGGAAAGCGCAGTGTTGGCAAACTCCTTCTTGTAGGCGTTGATGAAGCTGAGGATTTCATCGGGGCCGTTGCCGACACCGGCCTTGTTGGTTCGTCCAGTGGCCGAGTCACGGTACAGGTCCTCGCTACCGATGGAGATTCCAATGATGAGGTCGGTGAAGTCGGAGCCGTACTGCTTGACAGCGGCGCTCAGAGCAGCAAGCTCGTTGTTGATGTTGGCGGTACCAGAGGCCCAGACACCGAGCAGGATCTTGGTCTTGGTCTTGATGGCGGCCGAGAAAGCCTCAATGGGGGTGTTTGTGGAGTAGGCCTGGATGTTGGTGTAGAGACGGACGGCGTTGAAGGTGCCGGGAGCGCCAGGGAGCTTCTGGGCCGTGGTGAACTCGGCCAAGAAGTCCTTCTCGAACTTTGCGGACTCGTCGGGCAGGGTGGCGCCAGAGTTGAAGCCGAGGTAGTTGTTCTGTCCAGCAGAAACACCGGCCGCAAGGGCAGCACCGGCCGCGATGGTCGAAGTCAACTTCATGGTGAAGAATGTGAGGATTTAAAGATGGCAGAGAGCGTAATGTGCGACGAGCAAAATGTAGCGAATGCGATGAGTCTATTTTCTATTGGGGCCGGATGGGCAGTGAATGAACGTCTATGTTAGACAAAAGAATGAATGTCGCACGCAGCAAGATGGAAAGGCAATGCAAAAAGAGGAAGGAAAACTTGAAGATATCAAGCAAAATAAAAAGACTGTCTGTGGATGAGGGAAAGGGACCGACGCTTATGAGCTGCGGCGTCGCGAAATTACACGCAGGGGGCAGTGACGGCGGCTGGGAGTGCTGCAGTCACGTGCGCTTCAGGGACCGGGAGCCTGTACCTGCCTGTACCTGCATCTCCTGGACCCAAAAGTTGAAACAGGAGTGCATAGCCCCCCCGCGCCTAGCCGCATTGGGCAGCAGCTGGCACCCATCGTCCTTCTAATTGGCAGCTGGACGGCTATGGCCGAGTGCACAGACGTGGAAACAATACGAGCTGGGCCAGCAAACAGGCGGTGCGGGCAGAGGTACCGCGGCCACGGCGTCAGTGTTCAGGGCAAGATCTGCGCCGAGACGAGATTATGCTTGTTTGTTATTGTTTTTTCTCCCCTGTTTTTGTTTCCGCTTCTTTTTCTCTCAGAGTGTTCATTTTTTCTTTCTTCTTTCTTCTCTTCTTTTTTTCTTCCCTTGAGAGGGTCATCATGCCTACATACTTGGGCATCTCACCTACCATCATACGCCATACTTCATACAGGAGCGCGAGGTGCATACGGAGCAGTAGCATGACTTAATACCTCGTTGAAACACCGTCTCACAAGAGAGCGCCCCAGCCACCGACGCACAGCTTGCATCTTGGAGATGAGTCTCGTATTAATAGACATACAAGCACTGCAGCCCAATGAGAATAGAGAACACAGGCAAGCAGTGCTCGAGTGCGTAGTAAGGGCTGGTGTCTCCCTCGTGGCGAAATGAGTGGCGCTGGAGCCATGTTAGTGCCCAGTGCAGATCCATGCGCTCCAGGACAGCGAACATGGACCTTTGATGAAGAGGGGTCTTGTGCTGTTTATATACTCCGTCAGAGTATGGAGAGCTTCTTGCTAGTACTAATACCCATTAGGAGTACTATGCGCAAGTAGTGCCGCGGCATAAGCTGCATCGCATATCGCATCCCAGTTTTACAACTCCAAACCAGCGTTTCCTCCCCCCCACTGGACAGTCAGCACCAGCAACTTTGGCCGAGATGGAGGGAGGAGGCCGGGAAAAGGCCCGCTAGCTCAAGGATGCCAAAGCGTGGCTCTTCATCAGCTCTCTGGCTGCCTTCACGTGCCCTGCGAAACCTGCTTCAGTCGGTGCCCTATGTTGATTTTCGAAATGGGGCAAAAATATCTTACCCTGACTAATGGAATGGACGTCATTTCGGGGAGTGACGGGGCTGGGGGTGCTCTGTACAGGAATTCCTGTCTAGGAAAATCTCTTGGCCAGACTGCTGTAAAGGGATAATGCCTAGGCCCTCGCCAACACAGGGCAGCATCGGGCGCCAAGCGAGATTGAAGCATGTAGGGTGAGTTGCAGAGTTCCAGACTGTTTGGGAATAGAAAAAGTTGACGATTGAACTTTTGTCTTTGCCAATACCTGGGGTGCCCGGTAGCTTACCTAGCAGTAGCCTTGGTCTGGCAACTTTTGCCATTGGACGGCTGGCAGGGCAGAATACTGGGACTCGAGCAGCTATTCTGTCATGGCAACTCTGAGGCCGAGCCAAGTGCAAAGAGTTGTGGCCTATCGTGCATCAAGTTGAACAGGGAGCGCAGGTTGGAGGTGGCATTCAGCACTAATTGGCCGAGAAGGCTGCCAGAGACCACTTTTTGTCATGTCATGACTCTCGCACTTTGGATCGTTTTTCGCACCATCTCCAATCATGTTGTCGCATTCCCGTATTTGTGCGGACGTCGACGGTGTCCGGATTACTGATCAGATAGGTTGGCCAGATAGGTAGGTAGCAAGTCAAGGGGGGCAACAAACGCCGCGGCCTATCACTTCATTTCTATGGCAGACCGGCGGTCTTTTTGCACCCCGCATGGTAGTGAATAGGGCCGCAAGTAGTGCGCTCCGTATATGCCGGCAAATATCTGCTGCTCGGTAAAAAGGCGCTGCAGGAATTGACATCGGGAGAATTACCGTCTTGGCTTCTATGTCCCACGCGAGGCCTCCCTGAACTCTTCTAGGCTTCTCCCAAATAGAGCCATGACTCAGCTGCCGCGAGGGAAGAGCCGCAGCTACCGCGGGGCTGATTGGTGGATTTGGCGCTCGCTTGTTTCTGATAGGATGGCTCAAGCGCGCGGAAGAGGATAGATCCGAGCCTTAGCTGCCAACGAGCGAGGCAGACTTTCTGCTCGTCTTCCATTTACATTCTGCTGCGCTCCCACATAACGGCCACGATTTATGGGGAAACCGGATGACGAGCCGCATGCCCTATCGAGCCGGGCCAAGGCTGGGCATGGCTGTGCTTACGCTGGCTTGGCTGGGCTAAGCTGGGCTGGATCCGGTACCCGCGAGCCCAAACTCCAACATGCCATTGGCCAAAATATGCGGAAAATTCCCGACTTGTCCTTCAGCCCAGCGATTATTAATATCACCTTGCCCTGATCCCGGCTCTGGCGCGTCTAAGCAGCTCGTGCAGTGGCGATGCTGCGTCAATCTGGGATGCTAAGCGCGCCCCTGTGCCAGTTTCTGCTCGTGATCCACGTTTATAGCATCATCGACCCAAGTCTCGTGGATACAGTAGAGACTATCTTTGACGAGGGTCGTGCCAGGGTCTTCATCTCCTGGCCTACCAGCTGTGCTGCAAAAGGCAAATGGAGCATCTTACCTGGCGAGTTAATTTGCTGCCGTTGGCCAAGAAGCACTCCTGCTGACTTTGGCATAGGCTCGATTCCCGATAAACGATGGATACGAGCTGCCAGCTTATTGACGGCATGGCTGGGCTTTGGCGCGCGTATCGGCCACCTAGACTCATTTCGGCGCCTCGGTCGGGGCTTATACTCTGATGCTCACCACGTTTCTCACCACCCTTAACCGCGCTGGTCGTACGTTTTGGTGTTTGTTTCTCCCCGCCGTTAGACCCGCCCCAATGCAGACCTCCAGCCCTGTTCGGATCCGCCGTGGTTCTCCATCCCGCGTGAATGGGCCACCTATTCGGCTTTCGGTCTAGTTCCCACTCCAGCCGGCTGGTTCGCCAGGAACCGGTGGCGTCCTCGCACTGGAAAAGTTCCCAGAAGTGCGAGGTGGTGCATCGGTTGTGTCGTTTGTCGCTTAATCCGTCATTCATCTTACACCGGCGACTACCGTTAAGGCTGGTTTTCTAAAATTGCTAGCTAGCGTTTTTTCTTTACAGAGCCGGTGTTCCAAGCTCCCATTAATCCACTCTAAACTCCTGTTTATCCCGATCTGTTCAATTTTTTTTTTTCGCTTTTCCTGATAGCTTCGTGCATAGGCGAGCTGCCGCATTTTACCATTGCATCTTCAAGGCAGAAGCGGAGCCAGCCCCACGACAATCACAAGAGAGCTAGGACTATCTTCTCCTAGCAGCCGAGTTAACGATGGCTTCAGATCAGCCTTGAGTCAGACTAGTTGGCAACTGCCACCAAGGAGAAATAGAGCATGACAAGACTACAACACTACATGGGCGTGGGGGAGTTACGCCAGTTGTCAGCCCAAAGAGCCACCCCTAACTCCCCAAACCCCCCAAACCCCCATCCATGCAAGCTGCAAGCCATCTAAGTTTGCAGACCTTACCTTGTCGTTGTCGCCTAGCCCTCATTACTCACTTCGATTCCCACCTCGTCGGAACGGTGATCTTCCGCTGACAGTCGACCCGTATATTGCCATTCTGACTTCTCTTTTGCCCATCAACAATGCCTTGCGAAGGATTGCCCATCATCTCAGACCAAGTCACTTGCTATGTCCTACCGTTGTTCTAACTCCCTATTGACACAATAAGCTTCTTATCCATGTTGGCAAAAGGCAGATTTTCTTGTCGAGGACTGCAAAATTAGGGTTAACACTGCACACCAAAATATCTCACAACCTCTCATACGGCACATACCGTTTCGGGAATGAAGACAACAAGGCCTTTTGAGGATGGTCTGTGTGGTAGAGAGTTTGACATCTTTCAAACTTCAACAGATGATATAAACTTGGGATCCCATCTTCTGCAACTACAAGACAGGATTTCCAAGCAGCCAACAACAGCAGCGATAACCGCAATAACCGCAATAACCACAACAACCACAACAACCACAGCAACAGCAGCAACACGAACAAGACGAACAACAGCATCGCTTTTGGCATTCCATCCCAAAATTTGCCTTGTAACCAATCAACCGACCATGTCTACTCCTCGAAGCGGCGGCAGTGTGAGTTCCAGGGGCTCTTCGTCCCGATACCAGGAGACGTCTCGGGTAAGTGGCATCTTTCCACCGTTGTTGCCATGGACAAGTTTTGATACGAATGTAATGGAAACTCATGTGCAACTTGATACAATTGCACACGAATGTTTGAACATGCAATAGTCACTTACCTGATTGGGAGACTCAAGCTGCCCAACATCAGATGCAAGATGATGCAAGACAGTCAGGGGTAGATCAAGAATCAAGAGTCAATGCTAACATGTGTTGCATGCACAGTCCTCCATCCAGCAACTGGTAGAATCGCTCAACACCCACCGCATCAACACCTTGACGGAGCTCTGCCGCATCGAGCGCATTGCCGCGGCCTGCGACTCCGAGGCTGACGCACGGGCCTTTCAGCAACCCATGACTTCGGCCTGGATCCACTACGTTACGAGCAACCAGTTCCTCATGGAGCTCCGCGGCCTTACGCGGAACTATCCGCTCAGTGCGGACATTGTTGCCGAAGCCCATCGCCGCGTGCGTTCCGACCCGGAGAGCAACCGCAGCTGGAACCTGGCCTGGCTGTGCCTGACGCGGATGCGCGACGACGGGCTGGTGAGGATCTTTTCGGACACGGAGGCGCGCAAGCCTGAGATGTGGGGAGGCAAGGTGCCGAGCGAGAAGATGGTGCAGCAGCTGGCCACTTGCTTTGAGGACGAGTGGAGGACTGCGATTGAGACGATGCTGCGGCACTGGGCGACGCAGCCGACCTGGTACTAAGTGTGTGCTTGGCTTTTTTTCTGCTTGGCTTTTGCGATGGAATATGGGTTGGGAAGCGGTAAAGGCAAAGCATACTGCCGGCGTGCAGGCGTGCCTTTTGGATATCTGCTGCTTCCCTTTTATCTTCTCTTCTCTGCTTTTCGTTTAAGATGCCTGTCTTTTTATTTTTCTTTCTCAACGGAATTTGTTCCATTCTTGTTTCTCTCTTTTTGCTCGATTTCTTATTTTCTTTCTTGATGGAAGTTGTTTCTTGCCATTATTAGCCTTGTTCTTATTCTCTCTTTTGCTTGTCTATGGTGTCGCCTGTACATTACCAAGAACGATGGCGTGTATGATACATTTACAAGTTTTTTTTCTTCTCTTCTTTCTTTCTTGATGGTTGCATACCCCTATAGCGTTGCGTTACAAAGTTGCTCTTGCATTCGGCTTTGGCATAGGAGCGGTGGCGACTTGGCGATTTTCTCTTCTTGTTGCGCTCGCTTTTCTGAGCCTGTGTTCTTGTTCTTGTTGTTGTTTAGCAGCATGTTTTCCTATGCAGTCACCTGGAACGGGAAGACCTAACGGGCGGCCATTGTTTCTTTTCTTCTTATTTTGTCCTTTTATTTTTAGATAGTACTCATGCTGTTCCCTTTTGGTCAGCATCATCAGTTGTAAGGAGATGTAGTATTAGTGTATAGTACAGAAGTTAGTATACCTAGTCAATTACACCAATAACACACATTTGATTCGAGCCTGGCCCTGCAACCTGAATAATTCAACTGACAAATCGCAACGCCATTCATTATGACAAATGAGGAATCAACTGCCAGCTTTCGTCATTACAAATGTTGCTGGGCACAAATATCCTGAATCAATGAATCCTTTTCCGCAACTCCATTCCGCCGCCTTATAGCGAATCACTTACAGCGGCTCTCACCTACACCGTACAGCGGCCACAGCAAGCCGAGCGGCTTCGGAGTCGGAGTGGACCGCCTCTGTTTCGGCGACCAACAACAAGCCCTGATTGGCCAGCGATTACAGCCAGCCAATCACGCTCTATGCATCCCTCTCAAAAACGTAAAACAAAGAGACAAGAGCAACACCAATCATTCCAATCATTCCCATCATCTGATGAAGCCATCGCCGGTTGTTTGTACCCGAGGCCGCGTGCAACGCTGACGCCGAAGAGGTTACGGATGACTTTGTGACTCTTTTTGTTGAAACCTAACCGGCAGACTAAGCCGAAGTGCCCATCTCGATGTATTGGACTCTGCTGGGTTTTACTGGAAACCCCTCTATTCAGGCTTTACTACAAGCAGTCTTTGGGATACCAAGGATGGTTAGGGAATTGCTTTATACAGAATGTCCCACAGTTCTACTTATTGGTAGTACCTACTGCAAGTAGCAACTTGAACGCTGGGCCCCACAGCTCCATAGGGCGTAGGTGCATTTACTCCGTCCGTATACGCGGCTTACCGCTGCGTGCCCGGCGAGTGTATCCGGTAAGGTCGGTCCCGAAGCTTGGTCGGTGAAACGAATCTGAACAGAATCGAGAATGGAAGAATGGGCCAATGAGTCGTTCGCCGAGTGCTGAATTGCTAAACTAGATGTGCAAGTTTATTTCTCTTCTTCAGAAATAGGCTATTCACGACGTAATCGGGATGGAGACCCATGTTGAGTATCGGTTGACGTCGTAAACTACGGCCCTGGGGTCGGAGCTCATTACGGAGCAGCAAGTATCAAGATCGGTTCTCAGATATTGAGCACTGCAGGATCTGATAGTCCGATGTGATACAATATCAGGACAAGGTAGTCGAGTCATAAGCTTGCTGACGAATTCTGCACATGTTTTATGTCGCATGACATGAATGCATATACACCTTGATAGGCTGAGGATGCATTAAAAGCATTAGTTGAAGAATGCTACTGGACAAGGTGGGTTATAAACTCAAGGATATTGTAATGGATGCTTATAAACCGAATTACCCAGCGGATTGGTAATAAGAACACCTTTGCAACTATAATCACGACGATGCAGGTATTCGGGTTCCGCGCGCACTTATGTCTTTGGGTGTAAGTGTTGTAGAGCTACTCACAGCCCTAAACAAACAAGCCTTTGGCCCCACGAGGGCTACCCAGTCTAGAAAGCGGTTCCTACCATATCCAGCAAAACATCAATAGAACAAGCCTCTAAGCGGCGGCAAATCCCAGCCAGAAGGGGAAAGATGACCAGCCAAGAAGTGGCCAAGTCCGATTCTTGCTCGCTAGAAGCCCAAAAGTCGGCTTCGGAGCCACAGAGCCGCTACTTTTTGTGGTGGAGGCGCGTTGTGGGGAGACGCCAGAGCGAAACCCTTGCGTATTCCTAGCCCTGAGCACCGTATGACGACCCTTGTGATGTGACAACGGCAGTTTCGAAGCCACCTAATAGGCAGATGTATATAATAGGCAGGCAGACGTTGCAATGGATTGCGTATATATGGATATGTTATGTTACGTGTGGGAGCGAGACCTACGTATGCCTCTTTCGCGGCCGCGGAACCCGATTAGCCTTGCGTGAGAAAAACACACTAGAAGAGGAAAGAAAGTGATTAAAAGAGAAAGACACAGGAAGAAGGAATTTGAATGCAGGACAAGGAAAAGATAGTCATGGAAACCGCCATTTGCTCATCTATAACACGGGCCGCGGGACTTGGAGACGCTTTTTGGAGAGCGAACTTGCGAGACGTTGCGGTCATGGCCATGTCGGATCAGAATCAGAGCATGAACAAGCCTTTGGGCAAGGGCAAGGAAGTGACTCCAGGTATGCACAAGTTTATTTCTTCTTCTTCTCATTTAAACTTCAAGTCTTTCTCTTTGTTTCTTTTCTTCTTGTCAAGTTCAAACGGGAAAAAAAAGGAGAAAAAAGACGCCAATGCATGCACGAAAAGAATGACTCATCGTGCAACTCACTTGTGTATGTAATTGTTGTTGACAAGGAGTATTAGTTGTGCCACCCTCCCTTGCGTCGTCGTCGTCTACATTTCAAGTCCAAATCAAGTCGGAACAAAATGTCATGGAGCGTCTCGCACTCGAGTTTTCATCACTGCCGGACAGAGAAATGGTGCCTGAGGGTTCAGACTCGGCTGGGCAGCAACAGCAACTTACAGCGCCGGGGTGTAAGTCAAAGTTGTGCCACGATTTTGAGACAACAGCCTCGCACTCCCATCACTGTGAGCTAATAAGATGGAAAAAAAAAAAAAAACAGCATCTAGTCAAATTACTCCTACTTCAAACACGCCCACGAATAATCTCATCACAAAGACTATCCGCGCAGCCATGTCGGACATCAACAAGCCAAAGTGAAGATTCCAAGTCTCACTGACAGCCAGAAAAAACCAACAAAACGAGTATCCGACTGGGGGGAAAAACACAAAGCATAGCCGGCGTTCCTTTTTCTTCTCCTTCTTCTCTTTTCCTCAAGTTCAATATTTCTTTTTTTCCTTCATCTTCTTTATTGTTGGGGTTGTCTAAGCGCGGCAAGACATCGGCGCAATTTACAGTCAAAGAGTCATCTCATGACTAAAACGCGCGTCAGAATCGGTGAGTAGACGCAATCGACACTAGGAAAAGGGTCTCTTTCGGCACTTTGAACAGGCAGCAACCCTAATACTAACACTGGCATCATTGACAGCAAAGGGGAGATGGAATCGACGGTCAATGCCGGCGTGTCTAGATTGATAGAAGAAAAATATGGAGAAGAGGGTGCAGGGCGCTTGTCCGGATCGAGCTCGCCGAGAGCCGCCTTGAGGTTCGGCTTCGGCTTACTTGCTGGCTGTCGTTGCTCTGTGTGCGGCTTCGGACTTGCTGCCAAGTGAGGGGATATAAATGAGCATCAAGACGCCGTCACAACTGGTTGGTTTTACATGATGACCAGCACTTGCTAGGGCTTGGCAACACTGAAGAATGTCTCGGTCTGGATTACCAAGAGTCTGTTGATGCCCAAGTGCCGGAGCGAGGAACCCAAGTCGGAGCATTTCCCACGAAGCCATCATGTGATGCAGAGTTGGGGAGAGTTGTCTTGGACGAGTATGCATGTATATTGTACTTATACATCTAACCAGCAATATACCAAGTGTTACTTCTATGAGGATTAACAATGTCAAGACCACCCATGGCTTCCAATCACCTCATCTCATCTTGATAGCTTCTCTCCAAGACATACATACATGCATCTTCATCCTTAGCCAGCTTCATCTTCTATACATGCGTCCTGCCTTCTTCCCCACAACCCAGTACCACCTCGCCACATGGCTCCATTGTGTTACTTGCTACCGCCACCATCTAGAACCAACAAATTTTCTCTTCTTCTCCTCAGCAATATTTTCCTCTTTACTCACAACACCACTATAGCTAGCCGCTCGTCTAGCGAGGTCCAGCCTCCAATCACGTCGCTGCCGCCGGCGCATGACCCGCTGCAGGACCGGGAGGAGTCCGCTAAAAGGCTTTACTGCGGGCCGCTACAGGCGCTGCTGCTCCCTGCAAGGTCCTGTGGCCGGGCCAGCTCCAGCCCTTCGACTCTTCTTCCTCGACCTGTTCCTCTTTCCAGCCTCTTGCATCTCAGCTGCTTCAGCCTCCTCGCACTATCGCCTCTACATCTGCCACACCCCTTCATCCTTCTTCCCGCAACCAAATAGACATCTCTACCTATGTCACCGTTCAATATAAACCATCGCCACGTGCAATAGACGAAACAGCGCCTTATCGGCCGCCCCGCAAATCTCCCGGTGCTAAACCCCATTCTGCCCGTTTTACTGCCTAGTACGTGCCATCGCCCGCTAGCTCTCTCCACCGCCTACCTTCTGCTTTCAGCTGTGATTTTTTTTTCTTCAATAGTCTGGTCTGGTGTGATAATAATTGTTGCCTCTGCCTCTTTTTGCCGTCCTTCTTTTTCTTCTCCTCTCAATCCCTTCTCTTCTCTACAGCAGCATTTTGCACCATCTGCTCGTAACCGAGTGGATTTCTTCATGAGCGTTGCTCACTCATAGGACTGCCGGCAAGCGACTTGGAGTCTTTGCGCTTGCTGTACGATTCGTACATAGGGACGAAGAAAGACTCCACGGATTCGGAGCTCCAACATTGTCACCACCAGCATCACCATCGAGATACCCAATATATACCCACGCGCATATACACCGTTGTAATCACACAGGTATGGAATGACGGACTCAATGGGATACATAGACTTTTGCCCGCCTGTCGATAGAGCGCATTTCTGACGCCACACTTGCTAGCAATTGAATGACCCGCTCAAAGCGCCGTCAAGCACCAACAACTCCAGCACCCGCATCTCCAGCAGCATCTCCAGCTTCAGCTCCAGCCTCTGCCTCCCAGCCTCTGCTCTGCTCCAGCTCCTCCAGCTCCTCCAGCGCTGCTCCGTCCTACGGCACCGCCACCATGGCCATCAACCCCGCCCCGCCCTACGTCGAGGCCGACTCCAAGCTCGGCTTCTCCACCACCGTCGTCTCGTCCGGCTCTGGCGACAAGAACGACGATACTCACGTCGCTGAGACCAACAACGGCCGCCAAGATCCGGCCACCGACGCCACCCTCTCCGAAGGCATCCACATCCTCGAGGCGTCCTCCACCCACTGGTGGTCCTACCTGAAAACCGCCGACTTCTGGGCCGTCATCGCCGTCGGCCAGGTGCTGTCGCTGTGCATCACCGGCACAAACACCTTCACGTCGTTCCTGGCCAACGTCGGCACAAACATCCCCGCCTTCCAGACCGTCTTCAACTACATCCTGCTCTTCCTCATCTACACCTCCATCATGCTGTGGCGCGACGGCCCGCGCGTCTGGTGGGACATCCTCGTCAAGGACGGCTGGCGCTACCTCATCATGAGCTTCCTCGACGTCGAGGGCAACTACTTCACCGTGCTCGCCTACCGCTACACCAACCTGCTGTCCGCCCAGCTGCTCAACTTCTGGTCCATTGTCTGCGTCGTCATCATCTCCTTCATCCTGCTGCGCGTGCGCTACAAGATCTTCCAGGTCATCGGCATCCTCATCTGCTGCGGCGGCATGGGCATCCTGCTGGCCTCGGACCACATCACCGGCGCCAACGGCGGCCCGGGCGTCGACATGGTCAAGGGCGACCTCTTTGGCCTGCTGGGCGCCACCCTCTACGGCGTCTCCAACGTCTTCGAGGAGTGGCTCGTCTCCAAGCGGCCCATGCACCACGTCCTGGCCTTCATGGGCCTCTTTGGCATGATCATCAACGGCATCCAGGCCGCCATCTTCGACCGCAAGTCCTTCCAGGAGGCGCACTGGGACGGCGCCGTCGGCGGCTGGCTCGCCGGCTACACCCTCTGCCTGTGCATCTTCTACACGCTGGCGCCCCTCATCCTGCGCATGGGCAGCGCCGCCTTCTTTGACATCTCCCTGCTGACCGCAAACTTCTGGGGCGTCATCATCGGCATCCACGTCTTTGGCTACACCATCCACTACCTCTACCCCATTGCCTTTGTCTGCATCGTCATCGGTCTCTTCATCTACTTCCTCTCGGGCAGCGTCCTCGGCGACTCCAAGAAGCCCTGGCTGGGCGACAACCAGGAGGATGGCGTGGCTGGCTTTGGTACCGCCAAGCTGCGCGCCCTCAACGCCGCGAGGAAGGCTCAGATGAATGCCACTGGCACCGAGGCTGGTGCCGCTAGTTCTGAGTAAAATAAACCAAGCATCAAGGATAAGAGGAGGAATTTTTGGCTTGAGTTACATAAAAGGAGAGATGGGATAACGTAATTGTTTAAAGGGGTGATGTACATGAAAGAGATGTAACATATATCTACATCTATACACATATACCCAATACTGCTTAATATACATGACATTTACTTCTTTGGATACACAAAGAAATAAAATACATTACACGTCTACTCTTATCATTTCGTCTCTAGATTGCAAACTCCATAGCATTCCCCCCCACTTCTTGATGACGGCTCATAAAAACTTAAATCACCAATCAAATTATATATAGTCTTTATTTGTTAACCTTTTACAATATTTAACCCCTCCCTCCTTGAACCCCCTCCCTTTAGATAGCCATTCCCGCAACTACCTACCCAACATAAGATTAAGTAAAACGCTTCATATCGCCAAATTGAGTCCCAGCCAAAAATCCATACATCCCATCCAAAATAGATAGAAAAAGGGAGAAAAAAGCAACACCAACATGTTTGTTTCTTTCACCCCAACCCCCCCTTGTGGTAGATAATAAAAGCCCTTTCGCTGTTCCAGTCTGCGCCCGAAAGATTAACCCCATATAGTTTGAATAGTATATATATATATATAGACAGATTGCGCATATATCGATCCATCCATCGATAAGAGTGTGTAAATGTATGCAAGCATGAGCGTATATGAATTGCAAGCCAGTCATATGCCAATGTGATTGCAACTTAACACGCTTTTTGTCAGTATGCATCTCTCTTCATGCTTCTTCCTCATCATTACTTCTTCCCCTTTCTTCGCTTTTGCAAGAGTAAGCTCAAATAATGGCCTTGCTGTCGCTGTAAGCTGCTGCCGATTATTCCATCAAGAGAGAGAGACGTGTCAAGACAAGACCACCTCCACTCCGTCCTCCCCCCCATTCCTGCCATTAATCTTCTCAACATGCTCAACTCCATTAGAAGCTTTCCTTGTCGACGAGCTAGAGCTAGGCCGCGCATCATCTCTGAGAAGGCCAATTCTCGCATCGTGCTCGCTTTGCAGCTGCTTCGTCTCCGTCTTGATCAGCGCCTTGTCTTCAAGGCCCTCAATAAAAGAAATATCGCCAACCCGAAACTTTTCGCGCAAACCCTCCACCCCGGGAGATACAGCACCTCGCTCTGGAGGTGGAGTCACTACCAAGTGATCGGGCCATAGGATTCTGCGTGCTTCCTCTTCCGTCATCGGGGGCTCGTAAATGTCGTCCGCCGATATCACGCTCGTTTGATCCGAAGGTGTAGTCGATTCATTTGAAAGCTCAAAGGAGCGCTGCCGAGGTGTTGTTGGAGTGGCCGAGTCATCGTCCTCTGAGCCATCATGGTTCTCGTCAATGTTGGCGACTGGCAGCAGCGGCGGCGGAGGATTGGCCTCTCTCGATTGGAACGGCGGTGGCGGGTCACGGGCCAGAATACTCACAACATCATCCTCATGGCTGGCGTGGGACCGCCCGCCTTGTGAGGATACAGAGCCGTTTCGAGTCAGCGGGTCGACGCTGCCGTCGTCGTCGTCGTCGTCGTCATCCGAGTCGTCCGAATCGTACAGTCCTTCGTCGTCTTCGCTTCGCAGAGTAATTGCATCTGCACCATCACCAAAGCCCCTTTCTTTGAGCAAGTCGGCCTCTGACTTTAATATTTTGCTTTCCGCCTTGTCGTCTTCCAGCGAGTATCGTCCCACGCTTCCCCACCGTATCCTATCGGCACGCAGAATGTTGCGCATGAGCTGGAGTTCGTTTCTCTTGTACGTCTCGTAGAAGCCTCGGTTGATCCTGGCAGCGGCCTGAAGATCCTCCAGGTCCTCCATCTCACCAAGAATCCGGAGTCGAATCTCTTCTGGGAATTCGCTAACAACACTGTGAATGTTCTCATGCGCAGCAGCCATTCGGTTCAGGCCAGCGGTGAGAAGCAACTGTGGCTCTGATATTTTGTGCTTCGACAGCGCCCAGCCGTGGCTTTTGCCGCTGATATCAAATAGGGTCAAGCCGGTGACGCTGTTGTAAATATCGGCAATGGATGCTCGAAACGCGGGAACAGGGTCACAAACGCTTCCAGGGTGAAGCGGCGCAGGAGGACTCGGTGTCGAGCGAAGCGTTTCCATCATCTGTGCCAAGCTCTTGGACGGAGGACGAACGTTGGGAAGGTGTGACATGAGGCTGGGCTGTACAATGGTGGGCAGCAAGCCGAGTTCGTTGTACACCAGCATCATCCACCCGAGGTTGGAAGCGTCACACCAGTGGTTGCCCTTGGGGCATCTCGGGGTGCTGGTCAGCGCCATGGAAGGCTGGATGGGCGAGGCGAGGTGGCTGTCGAGTTCGGAGAGAGGGATATGCTGATTAGTTTGCGAAGAATCATCCTGCGCTGGTCGGATATATTCCTGTATTGTGCTCCTACAGCTTGCGTAGAGTTGATCAACCTTGGCGCAGCGAACCGCCCAGACTTTATCCTTGATCTTCCTGGGCCAAGCTTTACTGTCCAAGTCTTTTTCGTCGGCAAGATTTAGTATAGCGCTCTTGGACATTCGAGTGAAGAGCTGGCGGAGGCCAAACGCGTAGCTAATGATGAGAAGCCCATCCGGCATGTCATCGGCCCCCTTGTGCATCCACTGCGGCAGCCACCTGTGCTCGACGACCAATTCCAACGGCGATGTGCTTCTGTACCGCAGGGAACACTCGGCAATGGCGACGAATTGCTCAAAGGTAACGTCCCTGGGCACTTGATCGTTGTGCATGTGGCCGGCATGGAGCAGGATCTCGAGTGAACCGAAGCGGTTGAATTCTTGCTGCGGCATCCGGTACAGCTTGACTTCGGATCCATCATCACAGACATACGGCACCGGCAGCGGCGGGAGTTCGTCAGTGATGTCGTCAGTTTCATGCATGTAGAGACTGTTGGGGTGCCCAGAAAACAACCGCCCGAAGATGGGCGACGTCTCTGCTAGCAAGGCGGAAGAAACACGGAAGCGCAGCGCAGGCTCATTGCCGGTGGCATCGGGGCCAATGTTGGCAAACTCGAGAACAACGTCACCGCGAGGGTGGATGGCAAATTCCTCAATGACTCTTGCCGGAGAGATGCCCGATTCTCCAGCTTGGAGCAGTTTTCGAACATCGCTGAGTTCTTGCTTGACCTTTTCGTAGTTTCTAAATCGTATTTCATATCGCGGAAACTGCAAATTTATTAGCATTGCTAGAGAATTAATGATCAAAGACACTGTCATTCTCTGTACTCACAAATTGGGGATCTGCAGACAAAATCTTGGTGACGCTCGCATTGCGCATTCGGTGGACCGCTTCTCTTCTGAATTTCTTGCTGGAGAAGAGATTCTCGAGCATGTCTGGCGTCGCATCCCGTTCGTAGCTCTTGTACGTCTCGGCGAGGCTGGTTTTGAACGAGTCCGCCAGCACCTCCAGACATGCCTTCCAGTCGCGGATGGGAGTAAGCCACGTGTCACCGCCATGGTGACTCCTCCCACCATTTGTGACTACTTCGGCCAAGCTGCGGCCGCTAAAGGAACTTCTATGGTCGAACAGAGCACTTGGACTGCGAGGGCCGTATACCAGGGAATCGTGGCGAATCAAGGGGAGAGTATCGTTGGTGTCGGAGAGCTTGCGAGGCAGCTTAATCTCCTCTCGCAGGATAGCCTCGCAAAGGGCTGCGCACCGCTTGCTGATCTTGTCAAACTCTTTGTAGGCGCCATCAACATGATTGGGGCCCTGGGGAGCGCCTCGCATGCGCGCAACAAGAGCCTGTAGCTGGTGATGACTTGACTTTGATGTTTCGTGGATATGGATGGAGCTGTTTTCGTGGATGGAGGGTTCGTGGGCGTCGTTGTCGACGGATGGGGTGCCATGCTTGTTCTAGGCGGGGTGTCAGCAATCAGTCATGATGGTTTGGGCAGCAGCAAGGAAACAGTCGAGGTAAGCCAAGCTGAGTCGCTCGACTCGGCGACGCAACAGTTGAAACAGACAGAGGGGCGGATGTAAAGGCAGGCAAGAAGCGCGACTGCGGCAACAAGATCTGAGTGAGGCAAAACGCAAGACATACCGTCGCATTCTTGTCGTCCTTGCTAGAACCGCTGATGCTCCCGATTTTGCGGAAGGCCGAGGAGATGCGCCACCTCTGCGACGAGGCGGTGGACGAAGCGCCGCCCTCGCTGTTGGTTCGATGCATCGTGCCGCTCATTTACAGGCTGCTGCGACGGCGGCGGGGTGTGAGGCGAGGCGAGGCGAGGCGGATAGAAGGGAGAGGAAGGATTTTTAGTTGCTCAGACGAGGCGAGTCGAGTCGAAATGGACCGAAATGGACCGGCCGAGTCGAGGGCGAAGCGAGCAGAGGAGAGTAGGCGGGAGAGTGAGGTCCAAGGCGTCGGCGAGGAAAAGGCGAGAGACGCAGATGCAAGGCAAAAGAAGCGGTTGGAGATGTCGTGGCGGGTTGGCGATGCTGCTCCGCGTCGTCGTTTGTGCTCTGTCAAGCCTCAATGTCCAAGGCAGCGTCGGTGCCAGCATCCGTCGGCAGCATCGTTTCCGAGGACGGCGAGATCCAAGACGCAGCGGATCGTGTTCAATGGCGGGACAAGAAGGCAAGAGGCGAAATCAGCGACAGGCGACAGTGTGCGTGAGAAAGAGAGACGAAGAGCGGGCGCGCGAAAAAGACTTTGGCGATGACATGCGGTCGTTCGATTGTCCGGCCGGCTAGTGTCTCGAGATCGGAGACATGGGATGGGGAGAATCCGGGGTAAGAAAGTTTGGAGGTCCAGCACGTTGTTTGTGCCCTGGCCGTTTAGCGAGACCCCAGCGCGCAGAGTCCACAGGAGGGGTTGCAGCACTAGAGCTGGGCGCTGCTACAGGCGGACTGGCTGTTGTCACCATTGCCACAGGGCCTGAGGATGTGCGCCTATCGCTGTGCGGGATTCTATCGTCCTACGGGTCACGTATAGGGACTGGCATCAAATGTATTCATCTGTGCTAGCGGTGCAGCGGCGGTACATGCATCAAGATCCTCTGCAGCGTGAAACGTCAAGTGCCTATTCGCCTAACGCGACAGGGCAACCAACGCAGTCAGCTTTGCAATCCAATCCAATCCAATCCACCAAGCGCCATCAGATAACATGGCCCAGGGCACTGTGTGTGTCTCTACAGGTACAGCTACGGGGACCACAACCTGCAAGGGACAGGGGAAGCTGGGCCTGTCGCTGCGGCTTTGCGAGGGTGGTAGTATCGGTGAAGTGCCGAGTACAAGCAAGGTACAGGTGGTATCAATCAATCCAACTGTTTGCGAAGGATTCAACTGCGAGGGATGCTTGCTCACAGCCCGCCACTAGGGGCAAGGAACAAGGACAACGGGCTTAGAAAAACGCTGTGCACGTGAGCAGTGATTTCAAACAATTGAGAATTTCATAAAGAAGGGAGGCAACGAATACGACTCATGGCGGACACAGCCTAGTCCTTACTATTGCAGGTAGTTTGTTTAGCAAAGAGACTAAGGAGAGGACGCGGCTTGACCTTTCAAAGCAAGCTTAATCAACACCAGACGCCACAGACTGCGCGAGGAGGATTTAGGGCGAGTCCATTTTCAGCAGGTAGATGTGTAGATGAAAGCTTTCTGATTGATGCGTATGATGCTAGAAATAGGTCTACAAAAGAGAGTGATAGCTAACTACATTTCACAGCAATCAAAGCAAATCCTCACGACGGAGTGCCCAGCCCGCAGTTACACTCCTAGCCTAAATACTTGTTACTATTGACTAGGTACATATATGATCCCTCAGTCACCATTGCCAAAGTCGACCATCTAGGGGTCCTATTCGCCATGTGGCAACTGCCGGATCCTCGACCCGCATCCTGAATCCTTCCAAGCCTCAGTCCAACAGTAACGTTGGTTTTCCCATGCCGAGAAAATGTAGCAAGCATGTGCTAGCATGATTTGCGCAAAGCTCTCTCATCTCTAAAAACCCCCAAACGTAATAGAGTCGCCGCAGCCTTTCAATGCCTATATATTCCATTTCAGCGCCCATTCTCAACAACCAACACCTCTCGATTGCAAAACACAATAACAAATATCAAGAATAAATACCGACCCAACACAACGCAATATTTTTGTTAAAAAATCCAAGAATCCCACATCGTAAATTGCAGCTGTCAAACACAAGGTTGCATTATAGCCCCCCACGAGCTGCAACATGACACAGCATGACCACGACAAGAAGCCATAAGCAAACACAATTGGAGCTGGATAAAATTAAGAAATAAAAGACTTTCTAGGTTTGCTGCCACGTTCAACAAAGTTCTAGGCACAACACCCGCCGGAGCAAAGACGGCATCTAGACCATCCAAGAATCTCTACTCGTAGGATATCCAAGTACTTATCGATTAGCTTCTATTACCTCATTACCAAAACAACTCGTACAGGAATTAAATCAAAAACATATATTTCTATACCATTCTATTTAACCTACAAAATGCCATAAACATATAAGACATACACGCCATACATACGCAAAAGGCCCCAAAAACATCAAAAACATTCCACGTACTAAACACACCATCATAAAAAAGCTTCATACAGTCAAGTAAATGGGTCCATGCAATACCTCGATTCCATCAGCCAAAAGCAAAACGATGCAAAATCACCAATGCAAGCCGCATCTCATACAATTTCTTTTTTAAAATTTACGCTATCATTTATTTGCTGTACCGTAATCTTTCTTAAATGCTTTTTGTGTAACATTTCCATCTAATGCCGCTGGGTTTGTGTGCTTGTGCTTGTGCTTGTGCTTCCATTTTGCTGCAGAAACGAAAAAAAGAAAAGAGGGAAAAGGAAAAAAGGAAAAAAAGCAATGATAACAAGGGGGAAAGAAACATTGACACAAGTATTATCGAGTTTTTTCAGCTCTGAGCTTTCAATTGATGCAAACGCCGCCATTTCCACCCTCCCTAAGCCATGATGTATATGTATCAATCCCTCTTTCTCTCCGTGTGATTCCATTCCAGTGTGTCCTTTTCGTCAAACCTCATCCTGGATTCTTTGCTGTACTGTGATATATCGTTCATGGACGTTGCATTGTAATTCCTCCTCTCTCTATGTGTCTTCTTCTGTTGGTCTTTTTTTTTAGTCATCATTTTGTTTTGTTTTTGCTTCATCCATCAGCCATTCGTACGCGCATGCGACACACTCGTCTTCCAGCGATGCAATCAATTTCATACATGGGCAGATCCAAGGCCTCTTGTAGCTGCATTGTTGAGAATACTGCAGCTGTTCCTCTTCTTTTGGTTGAGTCATTCGTACACGCAAAATGTTCCCGCCCTTCCTCCCAATACAGGCATGTCACTCTAGTTTGTCGCGGCCACGGATGCTTCCCCTATCCAATGTCGCCACTGTAATCATCTTTCTCATATTACTGAGTAGAATTGGCGAGCTCCGCGTTCCTGTGGTATCATTTTTTTTGTTCGCCTTTCAATTTTTTTGCCGCCGTATGCTGGATGTAAATCCATTGAAGCAATCCCTTTCTTGTATTTTTTAATGAAAAAAGATGGAGAAAAAGAACAAGATAGAAAACCGTCATTCGTCATCGCTGTCGTTGATGTTGCATACATACATGTCTTCAGCCTCCTTTTCGCTCCGAGTCGCTTTTCGGTGGCTGCTCCGCAAGCGCGGCTTGCGCAAGCCCACTCGAACCCTTCTTTTTGCCCTTGCTAGCTTTTTGCCAGCCGCCATCGCCATCGCTCTTGGCACTTCTCACGTGGCCATTTTCACGTGGAGTATTGTTGCGCTGATTGCTCTGGCCTGTCGACTTTTGCGCCTTTGATGACTTGTGGTTATCTCGAGCCGGCTGAACCTTGTCATCAGCCTTTGTCGTGGGCTTAGCCGTCTCCTCGTGGGTTATCTTGATGTCTGCCTTGGTGTCTACCTTTTCGTGGACAGTCTTGCTGGTACTGACCGCGGGCACATCTGGCTTCCGCGTAGCAGTCGGAGATAACGTCTGCGTCTCGTATACAGGAGAAAGGTGAGCCATCTCAGGAATCATGCCTTTGCGGTGGTCGCCAATGGCAAGATCCAGAGGAGCAATCACGCCGTTCTGGGCTGACCTAGACATGAGGCGCTGTTTTGTTGAGGGCGGAAGTCTCGTCATGCCATTGGCCTGTAAAACATCTTGCGGCATCCCGTACGGGGCTGGCGGATACGAACCCATCATGGCAATCCTGTCTCTGAACGAAGCATCCTCGGCAGGAGGCATAGCCGGCTTGCTGTTGGAGCCGTTAACAATAACAGGGGGTCGATCCATCGCCGGCGTGGACAAAAAAGGGGCTGGTGCGAGCGATGGCTGGCTGCTTTGCGCATCTGCGGTATTTGCATCAGTAGCTGACGGTACCGTATTGATGTTCAGAGCGTTATCAATCTTTGCCATGGCACACTCCTCGGCTGCCAAAGAGTCCTTTTGTCCCTGATTTGGCGCGGCAAGCATACTGCTCTTTAGGCCCGATCCATTTACAACTACTGGTCTCGTCGCCACATTCTTGTTCTGAGTCTGGTTAACCCCAGGGAACGGGGCTGCGGCAAGAGGCGATGAGGGAATCGTCCGAGAATGGTCGAGGGGTGAAGGTGACCGAGAGGTCCTCCTCATCCTCCTGTCCAGTATGGTTTGGGGCAGCTGATCAGTCGACAGCCGACGCCTCCGTGGACTAGATGACTGATTGGCAACATCTCCAACTGCAATGCCGTTCTTTGTGGGGCTGTGGCTATGGGGTAATAGCGACTGCTGGCTAGGACTTGAACCCCGCGCCCCCAAGAGCCCATTGTTAAACCTGTTGTCCGTTTCGGACTGTGGCGAATCTGAAGAGGCTTTCGAT